CCGTCGCTGTCCTGAGCGTTTTCTTTGCGCCTTGTAACATTATCTTCATGTTCATTCAGATTGCCAAGTATGAGCGTGACGGTCTCTCCACCGACCTTCTCAAGGGACCCCCCGACAGCAACTCTACTCTCCCTGGTCTGGCTCACTTTATCTTTGCTGGGGTCCAATTCGTCGTGTATCCCGTCATCGCTGCCTTCCTCGAGCGGGCTATACATGGTGTAGCCGACGAAAGCCGCAAGATCTACAAGGGAGGCCCCAACGAGAAGCCTATGCAGGACGCGGTTGTCATTGAGGGCCTGACCAAGGTCTACCGTCCAAGCCTGTTCCGCCGCATTTTCTCTTTCATTGTCAAGCCTCGCGCCCCCACTGTGGCTGTCGACAACCTCAATCTTGTTGCTAAACGAGGTCAGATTGTCTCCCTCCTAGGCGCAAACGGCAGTGGCAAGTCAACCACCCTCGACGCTGTGGCTGGTATCCACCGCTTCAACCAAGGCAGTGTATCCATCGACGCTTCCGGCGGAGTTGGTATTGCTCCTCAGAAAAACGTCCTCTGGGACGAGCTCACAGTCCTTGAGCACCTTCGTCTTTTCAACGACCTCAAGTCACCCGGTGCTACAGCCTCTGCGTACGAGCTGCACCAGCTTATGGAGGCAATCGGTCTATCGCAAAAGAAAAAGGCCCAGGTCCACACCCTGTCGGGCGGCCAGAAACGCAAGCTGCAGCTCGGCATGATGCTCACGGGCGGAAGCGCCGTCTGCTGTGTTGACGAAGTGTCTTCTGGCATTGACCCCTTGTCCCGTCGTAAGATCTGGGATATTCTTCTCTCTGAGCGCGGCCGCAGAACTATCATCCTGACCACCCACTTCCTTGACGAAGCCGACCTGCTCTCGGATGACATTGCTATTCTCTCCAAGGGCACTCTCCGTGCCCAGGGCTCGCCTGTTGTTCTGAAGGACCGCCTTGGGGCTGGGTATCGCATTCACATCCTGAACGCCAAGAATGTTCGCAGCCCTCCTTCTTTGCCTGGCGTCAAGTGCGAGGTCACCTCCACCAACATCACTTACACAGCACCATCGTCCGAGATGGCCGCAACCGTTATCCGGGCTTTGGAGGGTGCTGGTCTAGAGTACCGCATGTCCAACCCTACCATCGAGGATGTCTTTTTGGCCGTCACAGAGGAAGTACAGAATGAGCAAGGGCTTCTGTCAGGTGTCACCTCCAGCCAAGGTATCTCACCGATGGAGTCTGAGAGCTCCGATGACCATCTCACCCGCAAGAAAGCCCCTGGCCGCGGTCTCGAACTTTTGTCTGGCAAGCAGACCGGTGCGGTGAAGCAAACCATTGTTCTGGTCAAGAAACGTTTCACCCTGTTCAAGTCGAACTGGATCCCATATGTCGTCGCTCTTCTGATCCCAGTAGTCGCTGCTGCGGCTGCTCAGACTTTCCTTCGTGGTGAGGAGCAAGTCGGCTGCTCGCCCAGGGAGCAGTCCAGCGCTGAGGATGGCGAGAAGTGGCAAGACATCTTTGACAACGTCCTGATAGCCGCTGGTCCGCGTGGCGATTTCCCATCTGGCAGCAGCTCTGGCAGTGTCCTGAATATGACAGGTGCTTCTACTGACAGCATCAACATTGAACTTCGCAACTCCTTTTCTGACCTGCGTCGCTACGTTGAAGACAACCGCAAGGACGTCAACCCGGGCGGTTTTTGGCTTGGGTCCTCAGACCAGGCGCCAACAATTGCCTACCGCGCTGATGGCGGCACATCGGTGTACACGGCAGTCATAATGCAGAACCTGCTCAACACTCTCAAGTCCAATGTCAGCATTGCCACACAGTACAGGGCATTTGATAGCAGCGTCCCTGGCATCACCACCGATCTCATCATTGCCGCTGCCATCTTTACCATTGCCTGTGGTATCGCACCGGCCTTCTTCGGTTTCTACCCCAACGTGGAGCGCAGGACCAACGTGCGCAGCTTGCAATACTCGAGCGGTGTCCGCTCGCTGGCCCTGTGGTGCTCGCATCTGGCATTCGACTTTTCGATATTCCTTGTCGCCTTTGTCGCGGCTGCTGTCGCTTTCATCGCATCATCAGATGTGTGGTACCACGGTGGTATACTCTTCCCGGTCTTCCTCCTCTATGGGCTGGTGGCGATTCTCCTGGCTTACGTCTGGTCCTTGTTCATGGCCAGCCAACTGGCAACTTTTGCTGCCATTCTTGTGCACAACACTGTTGGATTTGCCATCTATTTCATCGCCTTCCTATTCATCATCAGCTTCAGCCCTGTGCAACAGACGGAGCGTAACATTTTGATTGCTCACTACACCATAGCCGCCTTCTTCCCTAACGGCTCGTTATTCCGTGCTCTGATGGTCGGGCTGAACCTCTTCGCTACGACCTGTGATGGTGACCAGCTGTACAGTTTTCCGGCGGACATTAATGCCTACGGGGCACCAATCCTCTATCTCGCTACCCAGGCGGTCCTCCTATTTGGCTTCATCTTGTGGAATGACTCAGGCAACAAGCTTCCTAGCTTCATGAGAAGCAAGAAGAGGTTGCAGCAGTCTTACCGTCCAGACATTGACGACTCGGAAATTGCAGGGGAGACCAACCGTGTCTACGCCGAGAACAACCGGGACGGTTTGCAGGTCAAGAACCTGGTCAAAGTGTTTGATAAGCACACGGCCGTCGACAATGTCACTTTTGGCGTGCAACACGGCGAGGTTTTTGCCTTGCTAGGGCCTAATGGAGCGGGCAAGTCCACCACCATCTCCTTAATTCGTGGTGACATTGCTCCCAGCGCCGGAGGCGGCGACGTGTTCGTTCAGCAGGTTTCAGTCACTGACCAGCGTGCACTCGCACGTTCCAACCTGGGAGTTTGCCCACAATTCGACGCCCTCGACAACATGACCGTATTAGAGCACCTTCGTCACTACGCGCACCTGCGTGGTATTAGCAATGTTGAGCGCCAGGTGCAGGCAGTCGTTCGCGCCGTCGGTCTTGAGGCGTTCCAGCATACTTTGGCTCCTCACCTCTCTGGCGGTAACAAGCGGAAACTCAGTCTTGGTATTGCGTTGACTGGCAACCCGTCTGTGATCCTGCTCGATGAGCCTTCCTCCGGTCTGGATGCCGCTGCCAAGCGAATCATGTGGCGCACCCTCGAGACAGTCGTGCCAGGCCGCTCCATCCTTCTCACCACACACAGCATGGAGGAAGCTGATGCGCTTGCGAGCCGGGCTGGAATCATCGCGCAGCGCATGCTGGCCGTCGGCGAAGTTGACACCTTGCGTCAGCGCTTTGGCGATAGTCTCTATGTGCACCTTGTTTCGCGTACGGCGCCCTACTCTACCCCGGAAGAAATGGAGCGCATGCGTGCCTGGATCCAACACCTGCTCCCCGCCGCTCAGATCGAGGCGGAGACGTATCACGGCCAGATGCGCTTTAGTGTTCCAGCTCGCGCCATCTTGGAGCGATCACGGCAGACACCCAGGCGTGACGACGCTGCGCAGGCATCTGCGAGTGCCATTGGCCACTTGATTGTTCTTCTTGAGGAGCACAAGAACGTGCTTGGCATCGAGCACCACTCCGTTAGCCCTACCACACTGGAGGATGTCTTCCTCGCCATTGTCGGGCGACACAATGTGCAAGAAGAGGGCTACGCAAAGGAGGCGGATGCGGCCGAGCAAAGAAGACGGGCGCAGGCTGGCTTCTGGGGCCGTATCGACTGGGCCAAGGTCAGAAAGGTCACTCTTGGATTTTGAAGGTCATTGATATGTAAGGGGTAAGGACGTGTGTGAATTTACGTGATACTCCCTGAGGATGAGCCACTCTCCTCTACGTTTGCTTGTTATAGTTGTAATGTGTTTATGATGATAGACCGTGGAATCACCACTTCGGAAACATGCATCTTCGTGCGCTTTCATCGGCTGAACTGCCCTTCATCGCCAGCATCGAGCTTGAGGTCGTGCGAGAAGAGTTTCTCGGCCCTAACACGCACGTTCCAGCCTCAGCAGATGATGCTCTCGTTTGGGGACTGTACCCTTTGGCAGAAAAAGAACATCGTTCTCGCCACCGATCTACCCTCTGCTTGTTTCAGGTCTCACCAACGCCGGTAGGTTTCCACGAAATTTCCTCTGATGCAAATTGTACCATGTACTTGATGTGCACTCCCCTCCTGCAGGTAACATATGCACAGTGGATTCCTTGTGGGAAGGGGGCGTGGGTGTTCGCCAATGCCAGCGGTTCGTGAAGCATACCGCTTACGAGACCGCTCCCAGAACAGCAGGCCACAAGGAGAGCTCTAAGTCCTGCCATTTCAGTACCCTTGCTGCATGTACGCTTGCAGTTCAAGACAAGAGTGCAGAATGGCCCGCGGTGCGCACCACATGCGGTTTGCAAGGCGACGGGGGCTGAGACCAAGCATTGGCTGATCGACAAGCATGGTTGGTTGATCTGCGCTTGCTTTTGATTAGCATACGCCGGAGTGTCTTGGCCACACCACCCTGGATCAACAACTCGCATAAGGTAGGCTGAGATCCCCCGCAGGATTACATCCAAGCAGGCGTAGGCACGAAGGATGCGCTACTCCTGTAGGTAATGAGCGATACGCGACCCGAGCATACAATTCGTGTGCAAGGCTCAGCAAAGTGTGTGGCTCGATACTGCTGTGCAGGGTCATGGCCAACGTCGTGTGAAGTGATTCAGGTGCGCCGGGAGGATCCACGCAAGTCATGATGTTGATCTCATCATTGTAAACAATCTGTCTTTGGCAGTAAATACCTAATTATCAGCCAAGTGTCCTTTCTGTCTCTTCACGCTTGCGTTAGTCACGGCAAAAGGGAAGTTGTCGCTGAGGATTGTGAACTCACTAGATCAGGCTCAGGCCCCCTTTCCTCCACTCTCTGCTTTCCACTCTCGGCGTGCTTTTCTTGCGATGCTGACGCCGTCGGTATTCTAGTTCCTTGCCAGAAGCACTGCGTGCTCTGTGCCGGCTCTCTGCTTTACGCAATCAAGTCGGCCACATTCATGGGCATCTCATCAATCTGCGTCGAATAGTACACTAAAGTCTTGCGTCAGTGGGCCAGTCGGCATTACAAAAATGTGCCAGACTTACACTCGATATCGCGCAGAATGCGCACATCCTCGGTAGTAACAAAGTTGATCGCGACACCCTTGCGCCCAAAGCGACCGCTTCGGCCGATGCGGTGGATATAATTCTCACGGTTGCTTGGTAGGTCGTAATTGATGACCAGGCTAACCTGCTGCACGTCGATGCCACGCGCCCACACATCTGTCGAGATGAGCACACGGCTGTTGCCCTGACGGAAATCTTGCATGATGCTGTCGCGCTCCTTCTGGGGCATGTCGCCGTGCATGCTGCTAACGGTGAAGTTGGCCTCGCGCATCTTGTCGGTGAGCCAGTCGACCTTGCGCCGTGTGTTGCAGAAGATTACGGCTTGTGTGATGGTGAGAGTGTCATAGAGATCGCAGAGCGTGTCGAACTTCCAGTCCTCCTTCTCGACAGCGATAAAGTATTGCTTGAGACCCTCGAGGGTCAACTCGTCACGCTTGACGAGAATGCGCACGGGGTCGGTCATGAATTTAGTTGTCATGTCGAGCACATCGTATGGGAGGGTAGCACTGACGACGACGACCTGTGTCGCCGGGGGCAGATAACGGTAGACGTCGTAAATCTGCTCTCGGAAGCCCTTGTTGAGAAGCTCGTCCGCCTCATCCAGCACCAGCATCTTGATGTGCCTCGTACGCAGGTGACGTCTCCTGATCATGTCCGCTACTCGTCCGGGCGTCCCTGACACAATGTGCTGGCCGTAGTCGAGCTTCCTAATATCCTCGCCCACGTTGGTGCCGCCAATGCAAGCATGGCACTGCACATTCATGTAGTCGCCAAGCGCCATCACAACGGACTGAATCTGCGTCGCCAATTCGCGCGTCGGGGAGAGAACAAGGGCCTGCGTCTCACGGACAGCGGTGTCGATGACCTGGAGCATGCTGATCGAGAAGGTGGCTGTCTTTCCGGTGCCGGACTGCGCCTGGGCGATGGTGTCGCGACCTTTGCAGACTTGCACAATGGCGCGGGACTGAACGGCGGATGGCGATTCGTAGCCATAGGCGTAAATTCCACGAAGAAGGTTCTCTGTACACGTGTCAATGCGAAGATTGAAGCTGCGGTTCGAATAGCGTCTTACCCTTCAGCGACATGGACTCGAACGTCGGGTGGACCGTAACCTCCTTGGACGTGGAGAACTCCATGCGCTCCTCCGCTTTGCGATCGATTCCTCCTGCGCCTTCAGCCATGATTGCGATGTTGGTGGAAGAAGAGGGTAAGTTTGCACCTGCCAAATGTGACCAGTAGCGGCGCAAGTCGCGATAGTTGGCCTGGGAATTTTTAAAGTTTCCGGCGTTTCTTCGGTTACCCGTGCCCGACTGCAGGGTAGCTTGCACGCACCTACCTACGTCAGCCAGGCCAGCCAGCACCGCTACTCCTTCAACAATCGACGTCAACAACGATGCAGCTCAAGGCACCCTCTTTGTCGCTATTCTTGGCCGCTGGCTTTTGCATAGCCTCTGACGATGTAGATGACACTCCTCTTCCGCTCGTGATCTGGCACGGGCTCGGCGACACCTTTGATGGCGATGGCATCCAGCAAGTCGCTTCGCTTGCCGAGGCGATCAACCCAGGCACATTCGTCCACATTGTGTCCCTAGGCGACGATGCAAACGCCGACCGCTCTGCGACCTTCTTTGGCAATGTTACGAGCCAGCTAGAGATGGTGTGCGAAGCGCTCGCCAGCCACCCGATTCTTTCGACTGCGCCAGCCATCGATGCGCTCGGGTTCTCCCAGGGCGGCCAGTTCCTGCGAGGCTACGTCGAGCGGTGCAACAACCCGCCCGTGCGCAGCTTGGTCACGTTTGGCAGTCAGCACAACGGCATTGTAGAGTTCAAGGCATGTGGGAGCACGGACTGGCTGTGCAAAGGTGCCATGGCCCTGCTCCGCTTCAACACGTTTGGCGCTTTTGTCCAGAGCCGCCTGGTGCCCGCGCAGTACTATCGCGATCCTGCCGACTACGAGACATATCTGGAGGGATCTAACTACCTGGCCGACATTAACAATGAGCGTGCGGAGAAGAACGAGACGTATGCGGAGCGGATTGCCAAGCTCAGCAACTTTGTCATGTATCTCTTCAGTGATGACACGACTGTGGTGCCAAAGGAGACTGGCTGGTTCCAGGAGGTCAACGGTACGGACGTGATTCCTCTGCGGAAGCGCCAATTATACAAGGAGGATTGGCTCGGCTTGAAGAAGCTCGACGAGCAGGGCGGGCTGCGCTTCCGGTCGATTGAGGGCGATCACATGCAGATCACAGAAGAAGCACTCAACGAGACCATGTCGGACTTTTATGGTCCGTACGGCCGCACCTTCAAAGCAGAGAAGGCGGCAGAGGGTTTGTGGGACGAACTGTAAGCAGATAGATATTGTCAGAATTTAGGCCGCTTTAGTTTAGAACATTCAATTCAACTCAGTGGGTGCTCATCTACAAATATGCTTCCATTTTTGCCAAACGCCTGAACGCCGTCTTCATGACCTGGAACCACCTCGATATTCTCTAGTCGATCGACTTCCTCGCGGCAGCCTTCTGCTTCCTTAATGATGACTTGCGCTCTGCGATCTGCACGTCTAGCTTGTCGTCGTCGCCCTCCGTCTCCACCTCCTTCTTTGCCTTCTTGGTCTTCTTTGCCACGGGCTCCTCGGTCTCTCCCTTCAGTGTCTTCCTCTTCTTGCCCACGTTCGCCTTCTCGGTGGCGCCCTCGAGGTCATCAGGCCCATTGACGACTACGTCGGTCTCGTTGAGCCACAGTTCGTCCGTCATCCAGATGGGCAGAGCCGCTGACTCGGGGCCCTTGATGTATATGCTGCGAACGTTGCGCCACTGCTGGGGCACCCACTTCTGCACCAGAGCTGTCGCGACGGCATCGACATTGTCGGCAATCTGCTCGGGGGTCATGCCCGAGTACCCGATCTTCACGGCAGTGTTCGTCGCGGGCGAGAGGCTAACAAGAGCCGAGCCAATGGCGCGGGTAATCTCCTTGGCAATCAAGGTTGGCGAGGCGGCATTGACCTGACCGTCTTCCTTGCCAGGACGCTTGCGCTTGCCGGCGACCTTGGAACCCTTGGGCTGCAGGATGACGGGGATGGGGCGCTTCAGCTGGCTCTTGAAGAACGTCTTGCCGAGAACCTTAGGAATGCGGGTGATGATGCGGTCATCGGCGAGGAAGAGGTCGTGCTCCGAGTAGAGCTTCCTCTGGGCCTCGTACTGGCTGAACTTGGCCTTGAGCTTGGTGAAGTCAATGACTCTTGTGATGCGCTTGCGCAAGTCCTCGGGGAACTCCTCATTGTCGACAATGTCCTTGTACGCGCGCTGGGGATCCGCCGTGATAAGGCAGATGGTGGTCGACTCGTCGGTGTTCAACGGATGAGGGAGCGTGATCTTGCCAGGTTGCAGGCGCGGCTTGTCGACGACGTGGCGCTTGGTGGTCAAGGTGAGCCAGATGGGCGTGTCCTCGGCGTCCGCATCGCCCTCCTCGTCATCGAGAAGGTTGCGTTTGTTGGACTCGGTGGCCTTTTGTTGCGAGGCCTTCTTGATGTGGGAGATGAGAGCCTTGGAAGCTTTCAGGGTCTTTTTGTGGTAAGTTAGCGTTGAGCAATCGCATCTGTGCTGCAGCCGGGCAGAACAAACCTGGTCGGGGTCAATTTTGACGAGAGACTGCTCGCCGACAGCGACGAGTTCCTTAGAGGGCGCCATGGTACGTTGGAATAATAGCGACCGTGGATTGAGGTTCGACAATAGTGTTCAATAGAAATGCTGATGTGTGGGGTGGCTGGCTGGCGGCGGAAAATCACCATCCAGATTTTTTTTCTGCCGTGCTGCGAATCGAGAGCGGTGAGTGACCATTTTAGTGGGTCCTCCGCCGTGGAGCTCCGTTTTGAAGTCCGGGCTCGGCGCTAGATGAGCTCCACCAAAGCCGAACCCTCGGGGACAGATGGGAAGTGCTACTGTGCAAGGCGCAAGGCGCAAGATGGTGCAATCTTGGGAAAGTGAGCCTTCATCTAGGTATTGATATCAATCAGATGTCGCATCATCAAACAGCAGGCCAGTTAACGCACCCTTGCTGCTATTCTGTCCTGCTGGGCGGAATAATGAATTGCCTGGTCACGTAATGCCGGAGCATTTGGAGATGATCGCATTGACTGCACAAAAGACAAGCAGCATCTGAATCGCTCGGTCTCTTTGGGATCTTAGTCGCAATTCCTGATAGTCCTAGAGGTCTAGAGATGATGCGTCACTCGGGGAATGGCTAATCCTCGCTACCGCCTCTTGAGACATTCAGGCATGCTATCGCTGGGCTTCTATTGCAGGCCCCGGGTCGAACAGATGCTGTTTCTACCAAAGGGGACTGCGGGTATCACTGGTCTCTAGGTCTTGATGACCCTGCAGTGGTGTCATATACCGTATGGCGAGTGGACAAGGCCTGCATGCTCCCTTGGGACGATGCCACAGGTGAGCTAGGAGCCTTGGGAAGCCGATTGTCATCACGCCACGCCATTACACCACCAATAATGCCCATCATCATGCAGCATACTTTTTAGTAGCTTGATCGAGATGGCAGACTAGCCCACCTCAAATGCTAGAGCACGTTCTTGTTGGCGAAATATAAGAATGTCGAGGGCGCTATGAAGTTATGTCATCGAGAACTACTTGACCCAGCTCGGTCTTTGGCGCAAGGAGCAGGCATTCGTGCATTTTTCCAGTTCCTGAAGCAGCACGCCATGTCTGACAAGACTTTGCTGATCCCTTGGTCGCTGAGTACTGGCGCACCAGGCACGAGAAGGATGAATATGAGAACCGCTACAGGGTTGATCCTAGTTTACACTGGTCCTCTCATGAAGAGAAGAAGCTGGTTCGAAAGGCTAATGACGACGGCCAAGAATGGTGAGTACCGGACGGACTGATACAATGTAGGTTGACAAGCGAATCATGACTTGAGCGTGGCTCATGTTCTTTGCCTTCCACTTGAATCGCAGAAACGTGAACCGAGCCATCATCGACACGATGTTGAAGGATCTTGGTATGGACACGAATGATTTCAACTATGGTCAAACAGTACAAAGTCACTCTCGTCCTTGTCCATTCGACTGATAAGTAGTTCAGATCTTCTTCGTTTCTTTTCTCGCCGCGGAACTCCCCAATGGACTGGTCAGCAAAAGGCTTGGCGCTAATGATGTGGGATTCTGTGGTTGAGGGTTGTTGAGGCATGATTGAGGTAGCCGTATTCAGTCCGTACTATGATAGTCCGCGGCTCCCCTGGATAGATATATCTCACCACTGTCGTATGTAGACCAACAACAGGGATTCATTTTTGGCCAGACTATGTCTGTATTGACCTTATGATGAAGAGATTCTACTTGGTCTTTCCAGAGGCCAACTTGGCATTTTTGCTCTTCTGAACGTCGCGCCAAGGGAACACCGCGGGCGATTACCATGTGGCGAAGTAGATGGGGTCACTTCCTCCATGGCACTGCGTCAACAAGACCCGTTGTCTCCTTATCGCAACTTTTGCCTTGGGTGCTCGGCGAATGAAGAGAAGCTCAAGATCCCTTGAACCGATGGCGTCAGCGCACCTACGTGTACTGATGATGCCATCTTCAGGGGGTGTGATAAGTGGTCGATAGCCTGCGCACGTTCGCCCTCTCCTACACAATCGCACACCTTTCTACTGTGGGGTAAAGGTCGTTCGGTGATATCGCAGGTGCTTTCACCGTCTCTATAGGTAGTTATTGGTGGTTGTGATGACCTGCGTTGTTGTTGGCCCAACCCAAATGGCAGAATGAGGGTTGCATATTGCGACACGGAGCAATCGGACATGTCAAACTGGCAATCGGAACCCAAACGAAGGCCAGTGCCATCGCTCAAAGAGACTTGTAAGACGCGGGTGCCCTTGAAGGCAGTCAGTGTAGTCAACCATTCACATTACCTTCCATGACATTGGTGCTGAATCCATTTTGAATCAAGTCGAAACACAAAAATGGCTCCCTCAGCTACCGAGATCAACCTCCCGTCCGATATCAGGTCTGTCCATGGTACAAAGGGCCCTAGAAAATGTCTAGCCACCCTAGGACATGCTGGGTCTGCCGTACCAACCGACGAGTCGCTCCCCGAGGTTCTCGCTGACCACCGCGGACCCTTGGAACTCTCTGGTGCTCCTGATGGATTCAAGCACTTTGAGTCTACACCTGTCATTGGACGTGAGTTTGTCGACGTAAACCTAGCCAAGATCTTGGAGCTCCCAACTCAGATGAGTTGATTCGGGATCTCGCCATCACGAGCAAGTGCCATCCTGTCCGAGATTTCACGCGTCAACTATAGTAACAGAAGCAATCTCCCATCGCCGCGTGGTCTTCTTCCACAAGCAAGATGAAATTACCAACGATCTGCAGAAGGAATTGGTCGGCCACCTCGGCAAGCTCGCTGGAACGTCGGCCTCTTCAGGGCTGCACAGCCACCCAGTCATGAATGCTAGCCGAGAAGATAACCGTGACGATGCGATCAGTGTCATCTCCTCAGTCTGAGCCAGGAAAATCTACTCGGAGAGGTTTGCAGCCAGGAAGCAGTCGCAAAAGAACCATTGGCACTCATATATCACATTTGAGCCTGTACCCAGACTACTTGCTCCTGAGACTGATGCAGCTCCCCAGCACCGGTGGTGGTAGGTCCTTCTTATCTGGCCGCACTCAAAGGAGAGAGCCTCAGCTCACATGGATATGGTCAGATACGCTGTGGGCCTCGGGCTACGAAGTTTACGACCGCATCTCAAAGCCTCTCCAGTCTCTCCTTGGGCAATCACGGCCACCTGTGCGCAGCCAGACTTCAACAAAGCCGCGGCCTGCAACAACTTCAAGATCTATAGCGCAGAGCGCGGGTCCCCTGAGAACGTTGGTGAGCTTCTCGAGGCCGTCCACCCTGTCTTCTGCACCAGACCTGTGAGGGGGTGGGAAGTCCCTCTTTGCTATTAGGGACCATGTTCAAAAGATCAATGGCCTGAGCGAGGACGAATCAAAGCACTTTTTGTCGTGGTTCTACCCGCTCATCACGTTGGGAGAATGTGAACGACCGAGCGATCTGGGACAATTGGTGTGTATATCATGTCGCGACGCCTGATTATTTGTTTGGCGATTTTGGCGAGAAGATCAGGATCGAGAGTTGTGAGCGTGGGCGAGGGGCCCTCCTTTGACCCTAAGAGCAAGAGTCGCTTTGAGGAGACGACCAGGGCATACGTGGATGGTTCAAAGTAGTTCGATGCCATGATAGGTCGTTGTTCGCGTTTGGCCGGCACCCGATAGTCAATTGAATGCCAGGGCGCTTCTCTGCCAAGATGCACAGGAGAACACCCAGTCCAGCGTGAGTGATGTGGCCCGAGGGTACTCGTCAGCTCGACCAGGAGGGATGCCTACTGCCTAGCGTGCCACCACTCAAAGTTCCCCCGCTAGGCGCGACGGATGGTGTGAGCCAAAAAGTTCAGTCCTCTTGTGAACTTGAAGGTTCCAAGGTTAAGTTGCAGACTTTCAACTGCTACTAGATTGAGGACGTTGCCCCACTTACCGTCGCCCGCAAGACAGGGGACCTCGGCTCATGCCGAAGATCAAGACATGGCGTTGACTACGCTCCAATCGAATTACCCAGAAACAATGCATGAACGTGTGCCAAGAGGGTAGATGAGTCGTGTTGGAATGTGCGGGATCTTATCTGGATGAGGTTGTTGCACCAGTCACATGTACCATCCAGATTCCAGCCGGGAAACGAGGGATGAGGGACACCATGTGTCGTGATGCGATCACCTATCCGCACAAGTAGCACATCGCACAAGTAAAAGTACACATGGCAATTGGCTCTGGCTGCCTTGGCTCTCGGCTGGCCACTCGATTTGACTTTGCCAGCGCCATATGATGCGGAGTCGAATCGTGCACTCGTCATTGTTGCAGCGCCAGTGAGTGCCAGTGGCTCCCAAAGTGGGAACTGTTGTGCACAACGAAGAAGCAAAAATTTGGAAGACATTGATCCGTCGCTAACAGCATTGCTAGTACTAGTAGTGCCTAACTGATAGCTGGGTGGGTCTGCTGAAAAGCTTTTTCGGACCTGTTTTCATCAGCCAGCCAGTCCCGTCATCAGCCACAAAGCCACACGCACAAAACAAGGAACCACCTTCAGGTTGCAAGGAAAACAAAGGGTTGACCAGCGAACGAACCACACCGAACCTGAGGGAATCGGAGATCTCTGCAGATCACCGTTGCTCAACACGAAGATTCGAAGAAGCACGTCTGTACGACGTACTGTACAGACGGTCACCGCCCTCTCCGACACGTCCATGAATCCCCACGCGCCCTGAAACAAACAAGCCAGCAGCCGCTCACTGCACTCACTTGTCGGCGGCCTGCCGGCAGCCTCACTGAAAACCTAGCAGGACCTGTAGTGATCAGTCATCGATCCTCCGTCGCATGGCAGTGCATGACAACATGGGAGACACCGCCACAAGACCGTGCGTGACACGCGGACATGTGCTGAATTTAGAACAGCGCTGTCGCAGGTGTTCCGTCGCGTGGGGCCACACGAGCAAGACCAGCGTCACCCTAGCATCAACTGCGGACTTTACGACACAGCGAAACAAGCTTTGGTGAATGTCATAGGCCATAAATGCGCGATCGTAATAGAGGGTACAGGTAGCGCAGCTACGTGGGTCGAGATGTCCTGACGGTCGGTCGATCTCTCGCTGGCTATGACAAAAGCCATCTGTTATGGGTCCTGTTCTCGCGCCAGCCTACGTAGCAGATTCATGCTGAAGCTGCGAATCTTTTTCCTGTTCCTCTCGTTTCCTTCGTGGATCCCATCTTCCTCCCTAATCCCCATCATCCCACCTTCATTTGCTGTAGCTACTTCCGTGACGGTAGACTGCGTTGCTAGTCCGCTGCTTGCCGCCTTCGTTCACGCCAGCCTGTTGACCAGGTAGCAATCATATTGCTTTCTGATAATGAAAGCAGGAACCTCTTGAGACATCCAAGACCTCTACGCCCATTCAATTTTCATAAAGGATTTCGCAGTTCTTCAGGCGGAATCTTCGCCGCCATGGATCACAATCAAGGCTACTCACGAGGGTACCAGCTCGAGGATATCCCCCCGACAACAGATGTGAGTACATAATCATATTCCAAAAAACAACAATTGAATAATACGCTAACAATGTTTCGCAGTACGACGCTACGCCAGTAAACGAACATGACAACGTCCGACGGTACTCTTTGAGCGACAATGGCCCGGCTTACAACGACCAAACAGATCCACCACCCATGTCACCAACCTCAGCATCATACTATTCCCAGGACCAACCACCACCAGTATCGGGAGTATACCACATGCCCCCCTCGTCGAGTACAGCAATTCACAACAGCGAATTCGAAGGGTATGGAGGTTTCGGCGACGGCTACGGTTACAGCCGCCCACACTCATCATCCCAGGAAAGCGATACAGACGATTCTTGGGCACGACGACAGCAAGAGCTTCCCTTGACAGCCGTCCAGAAACTCACAAATGGCACATCGCTTCGCCGGCGCGAGACGCGCAAGATTAAGCTTGTCAAGGGGTCCGTCTTGAGCGTGGACTACCCAGTGCCCAGCGCCATCCGAAACTCTGTCCACCCGTCCCACCTTGACCCGGAGAGCGGCACCAGCGAGGAGTTCAGGACAATGCGCTACACGGCCGCGACCTGTGATCCCAATGACTTCACATTGGTCAACGGGTACGATCTCCGTCCGCGGATGTGCAACCGCCACACGGAGCTCCTGATCGCCATCACGTACTACAACGAGGACAAGGTCCTACTCGCCCGGACGTTGCACGGCGTCATGCAGAACATCCGAGATATTTGTAACATGCGCAATACGAGCTTTTGGAATAAAGGTGGACCGGCGTGGCAAAAGATCGTCGTCTGTCTGGTATTTGACGGTATTGAAAAGGCCGACAAGAATGTCCTCGATGTGCTGGCGACGATTGGTGTGTACCAAGACGGCGTCGTCAAGCGGGCCGTTGACGACAAGGAGACAGTGGCGCACATCTTTGAATATACGACACAGCTATCCGTCACACCCAACCAGCAGCTCATCCGACCAGTCCTCGACGACAAGGACAAGGGCGCAAAGGACAATTTCCCGCCTGTGCAGATGATCTTCTGCCTCAAGCAGAAGAACAGCAAGAAGATCAATTCACACCGCTGGCTGTTCAACGCCTTTGGTCGCATCTTGAATCCAGAGGTGACCATCTTGATTGATGCCGGAACGAAGCCGAGCAGGGGATCCCTACTGGCGCTATGGGAAGCCTTCTACAATGACAAGAGCCTAGGCGGCGCGTGCGGCGAGATCCATGCGATGTTGGGTCGCGGGGGTCGCAAGTTGCTGAACCCTCTCGTGGCGGTGCAGAATTTTGAGTATAAAATCTCAAATGTGCTCGATAAGCCCCTCGAATCCTCGTTTGGGTACGTGACGGTCCTGCCCGGCGCGTTTTCTGCCTATCGTTTCCGTGCCATCATGGGTAGACCGCTGGAGCAGTATTTCCACGGCGACCATACGCTTTCCAAGATCCTCGGGAAGAAGGGTATTGATAACATGAACATCTTCAAGAAGAATATGTTCCTTGCCGAAGACCGTATTCTCTGCTTTGAGTTGGTGGCTAAGGCAGGGCAAAAGTGGCATCTTTCCTACGTCAAAGCTGCCAAGGGCGAGACAGACGTCCCCGAGGACGCCGCTGATTTCATCGGCCAAAGGCGAAGGTGGATGAACGGGTCCTTTGCGGCGTCGCTGTACTCCTTGATGCATTTTGCGAGAATCTATCGCTCGGGGCACTCTCTCGTCCGGCTTCTCTTCCTGCATATTCAGATGGCGTACAATATCGTGCAGCTCTTGCTGAGTTGGTTTTCACTGGCCTCATACTACCTCACAACTGTCATCATCATGGACCTCGTGGGTACGCCATCCATTGTCTCCGGTAATCACGGCTGGCCATTTGGAGACACAGCCTCGCAGATCTTCAACATCATTGTGCGCTACGTCTACATCATCTTCCTCATCGTCCAGTTCGTCCTGGCGCTCGGCAATCGACCAAAAGGCGCTCGTTACACCTACGTCGCCTCGTTCATGGTTTTCGGCTTCATCCAAGCCTATGTCCTGGTCCTCGCCTTCTACCTAGTCTACAAGGCCCTTAGGGATCCGATAGGTGATTCTATCAGCGTGTCCTCCGGCGCAGCATTCTTCCAGAGCATGTTTGGAGACACCGGTGTGGCGGGCGTCATTCTCCTCGCACTAATCACCATCTATGGCCTGAATTACGTCGCCTCGTTCATGTACCTCGACCCCTGGCACATGTTTCACTCCTTCCCGCAATACCTCGTCCTGGCCTCGACCTACATCAACATTCTGATGGTGTATGCCTTCAACAACTGGCACGACGTATCGTGGGGAACAAAAGGCTCCGATGACGCCGGCACTTTGCCAGCAGCGCACGTCACGAAAGGAAAAGGTGGTCAGGCCGTCGTGGAAGAGGTCAAGAAGGACCAGCAAGACATTGACGACATGTTCAAGGAGACAGTCTACCGCGCCCTTGCCCCGTTCGAGGAGGAAGCCGTAGTGGAAAAGAAGGACCCTGAAGATTCGTACAAGTCTTTCCGTACCGGTTTGGTGGTCGCTTGGATTCTTTCGAATTTGGTCTTGATTGTTTTCGTCACCAGCGACGACTTTGAGTTCCTTGGTGTTCAGGTTAGCAATCCCAATACCCATCCGTCACAAGTTTCGAATACTAATCATCCCCTGTAGGAAGCGTCAGTAAGCCGCACACCTCACTATTTCCGGGCGCTGCTGTACATTACCGCTGTTCTTTCGATTGTTCGGTTCATTGGGTTCTGCTGGTATTTGGGCAAGACGGGTATCATGTGCTGCTTTGCGCGCCGCTGATGAGCAGCGCTGGGCGAACAAATGCACGCGGAGTTACTACAGGTTCAAAGCGTTGGGGCATCGGAATTAGTCGTGAATGGTTCTGGGTATTATTTGGTAGATGTACGGTGATATTGTCTTTAGGCTAATTTAATCACTACATAATATCGTGCATTATCTTTGCGCGTTTTTTTATCTACGCTGTGACGATTGGTGCTGGTGCATTTCTTATGGACAGAGACTGCTATGTGTAGGACCGAAGGGCTATGTTTACATTGACCCCTTTCTCACGGGATGCTAGGGCCAAAGCCTACCCTGAACGTCGCCGTTGGGTTCTGGAAATCAGCCATTACCGGTATAAATAGGTTCTAGTGCTTGCATCTAAGTGTCCATAGGGTTTTCATGTTAGCATATTTTGGGTTGCCCCATTAGTACACTTGCGAGCATTTGTGGTGACCAAGTCCCATCGCCAGCCCAGCAGTCCATTCCGTCAGCTCTGGGCCTCTGACAATGGGCAGCCGACGCGGACATTTTAGAGAAGCCACAGGCCAACAGCGACCTAAATCTGGAGCATTGTAACATCCTTCGACCCCTTTTGTGAATCTTCATCCTTACTACATTTATTACCCATATTCAACTTTAACAATTGCATGTCGCGTCGTGAGGTGAACGCGTCCTGGTGGATAATCACGGTAGACTAACTAGGGCCAACTCTGTCCAGATAGTTTCAACCACTCGACTTGCTACGGTTCGTAGGCGTGCGTCAAATATGCAAGCCCTGGCACAAGCCACCTAGATATCATTCGAAGGATTCTGGAAGCGATATTCACCGGTTTGTGTGCGTAATTTCTTCTTGAATGCAACGCAGTTGTGGCCTCGGCTGGGGGCTGTGGGTTCCCAACCACCATCTGCATTTCTCTGCAGGCGGCGCCCAACACCCGATGCGCGTCTGATGACTGCGAGTTGCGCACACAGCGGCATTGCACGCTGAGCAGATTGCGTTAAATGAGAGTATGAGAGAACAAAGCTCAAGATCCATAATCTTCAGCGAGAAGACCCAATATACATATGTTTTGAGTGCTTGCAGCTCCCTTACGTCGAGAGGCATGAAGTCATTAAGGAGCTGCAGCTGTGCGCTTCTTCCCTGCAAAAATCGCGATCAAACGCGCCCCTTTGGGGGCTTCGGGGCACTCGCCCCACATATCACCTGTGAAAAGCGCTGTAGATGTCGGAACAAGCGCTGGAAAGCCCCCCAGTCAGAGCAACTTCACGCGCCGCGCACGCGGCGAGAATGTCCCACAGGCGCGTTGACTGGGCGTGTCACGATAGGACGCTCTTGCCCTCTTAAAATACCGCCCATCCCAATTGCTCACCACTACAGGTCTCCTCTTTCTCGGCCACCTCTGACCTTAGGAAACGCTTCTTTTCCGAGACAGACCTCCCCCGACGACCAGGTCTCCTCCAAAGATCACTTTCCTTCGATACGAACATTAATCGACTCGTACTGTTCCCGACACATCGCCATACTACCTGCTACATCACGCCAGGAGCGTGTAAGTGGGAGCAGCCAACGCCCACGGGTGTCACGACTTGATATACCGCGAATACACGCGCCTTCACTCGATACAACATACCAAAATATCCTCCATCTTGATTTCGAGTGCATGGCAGCAAGATTCTGACCTTCGATTGCCACATCATCTTCGCCAATTCCCCCTCGACTCTCCACACAATGGCCGACGACTCTCCCTGCCCCTCCCCGACACAGGGAGAGAATGCTTTCTTCGCGGAGCCTACGCTGCCTGCACCGCAAGCCACGTCTCCGGTTGCCAAAATGCCAATGGGCATTCTCTCGTCGTCTCCAATGGCCGGCCAGAAGCGTCCCGCCGCGTCTCTTCTGCCCGCGTTTGAACCGCTGTCTTCATCGCCAGGCCTCCCACGCCCTGCGAAGCGCCAGAACATGGGAACTGGTGTACGCTCTCGCATGCAGCTTCCTACTCCCGTGCCTACTTCCAGCACTGGTATTCTGTCCAGCTCACCGCCTCGCAACCAGCAGAACCATGTCACGCGACCACCGTTTGTTCGAACGTCGACCGGCGCTGCGAAACGCGAGCCTCTATCAGACTTGCCTACCGTGGTGATACCCGAGAATGGCGAGTGGTTGACAATGGGTCGATCATCTAACTCGTCAACGTACCAGCTGTCTTCCCATCGCGTCGTTTCTCGCGTGCACATCAAGGCTCGTTATATCCTAGCATCGGGCTCCGAATCAGCCCGCATCGAGATTCACTGCGAAGGGTGGAACGGACTCAAGCTCAACTGTCGCGGTCGCACAACAGAATTGTTGAAGGGCGACAGTTACACAAGCGAGTATGAGGGATTCGATATCCTACTGGATGTGCAGCAAGAGGCGCGGGTCATGCTTCAGTGGCCAAAGCGAGAAGCACCTCAGAGCGCACCGTCGGATGGTTCGAGCTGGGACGACTCGCCGCCACGCTCGCAGGTGCTCAACCGCGGCGTGAGCGAGTCGCCACTGCGACGTACCATGCGCTTGCACTCGCCCGCGAGCCCGACGCCACGCCATCTGTCTAGCTCCCAACGACTACAAGCCCTGTTCCCCCAGCGAGATTCCCCTGCAGATGATGAAGACATCCAAATCTACGAGGACGAAGCAGAGGATGAGCTGCCTCCTGCCGGCGGACCCATGGATCTCAACACCAGCATGCGCACCGAGGCCACCGTCAGCTTCTCCAGCGATCTCAGTGAGCCCGAGTCCGACGGCGAGAAGGATCCTGATGAGGAGAACGACCCCATTGTGCACTCTTTTGGTCCCTTTGGAGCTGACATCTCTGGCCGATTCGCTGCCATCTCTGCCGTGTCTCCCGGAGTCAAGTCACCCAAGGCTGTCAGGTCACCTGTGAAGGTGAGCCGTTCGCCTGTCAGGTTCGGTAGCTCGTTCTCCGGTGGCATCATTCCCTTTGAGCCGCTGTTGAAGCCCGCAGAGGTCAAGCAGGAGGCTGTACCGGAGCCCGTGAAGAAGCCAGTCTTCGCTCCCGTCGATCCCGTCATTTGCAACCACGTGGTCAACCAGCTTGCCTGGTCCCGTCTTTCGTCCACGCCTCTCTCCACGATCATGCGAAACCTGCCCGCCGATTCTCAGGTCGGTCTGCAAAAGGAGGCACTGCGCATGTCCATCGAGTCAATGCCCGCTATTGGCATCATTCCCCGCCAGGGCAAGGACGCGGCCGGTAAGCCTCTCGAGAGCGAGTATTATTACTTGCCGGAGAAAGATGAGGACGAGGAGCGAAGAGCCATGGTTGTCGATGGCCTGAGGAAGCCTAGTCTGCGAGCATGCCGGAAACAACACAAGGTATGTTGCTCGCAAATGGTCTTTCCAAGTTAATCACGCTAATGAATCATACAGCAATACTACTGGAAGCGTCCACGCACGCCGTAGTCGTGTCAGTGTCTTTGTCGTTACAAACGGACATCGAAACGATCCAGTGGCGGAGATGCGAGATGCCCTTTACATCGTTCTTGCGTACATATTTGAGTAATGGTTCTTCAGTGTAGGAGTATGGTTTGATGCATAGCCAACCGGAGTCTTGGTTTTGTTTGCTGGCTGGCGGATCCCTTTGGGAGTATAAGAGATGAGCTTTGGGCGTTCTGTGGTGGATTTGGCGCATTATAGGGGCGTTGGATGGCACGTGTCAGGACAGGACGTTATGTGTAGCAAGTGAGCGAGTTGTCTGTAAGGGAGAGACCCGAAGAGACGTGGTACGATTCAAGTTATCTTCTTCGCTGCTAGGACGTTTGCCCAATGAATGCACATCCAGGACCTGGATCTCACGGCATGCTCATGGCAGAGTTTTCTGTCGCTCCGCGCAGTTTGCTTGTGTGCGAGATGCTTGGGGCTAGAGTCGAGGTGGCGATGGCCAGCATTCATTCATCATATCGTCATGTCCGTCCCACCACCGACTACAAACCCCTCAACGTCCTGCGTAGTACATCACCTCCTGACCTTGCTCCCTTCCCATCAACTCACGAAGACTACGACAATTATCCGACACAGCACACTATCCCGATTCGTGTAGAGCAACCATCATGAGCACATTCAACGACTCCAACCCTCCCACCACGGACCCGCAGTCCTCCACCCAGACTGCCTTTAACGCGATCCCCTCGCACCCCGCACCCGTCGACGCGGCAGCCACCTCGTCTGGCGTAGCCGCCGACAGCACCAGCCCTGCGGATACCGAGACCAAGCACGCGTCCACTGGTCTCACGGGCAGTGATCGCCCCGGCAGCGGCGACGAAAGCAAGGCTACGCGGGAGGCCATGGAGCGTACAAACTCCTGGAAGCCGAGTTTGGACCGCAAGCAGAGCTGGAAAAAGGAAGACCAGAAACGGGCATTGCAAATGACGGGCATGCAGGATGCGGACAAGTAGGGTGTGTGTCATTGAAATCAAGAAAAGTGTCATGTTTATCACGTAGTGAATGGAAAAGACAGATTCAAAGTGAGAATGACCATTGGTATCCGATGTGCGAGCAAGCCCCTAGCACCGATGCCTCCCAGAAAAATACGAAAATAGAAAAGAGTTGTGCAGTCGGCTGTAGCAATGAAACGATCTCTGTTCCCTCCCCAGTGAATGACAGGACATGGTCAAAAAGTGTATGTATACCTTTCTTCCTCACTTTGTGCCGCGCGTATCGGGAGCAACGCCTGGTCTGGGCGGCGCTCCTCTAGAGGCAAAGTACTCCCCGACGACACCAAGAGCGCATGCTGTGCCGCCAGCCCACGCCGTGCCAATCACCAGATTCCTTGCCATTGTATTCTTCTTATTCTTCTTGGACACCTGATCAGATGTCCTGACGTCGTTAGAACCCTTCTCTTCCCTGTGGGCGTCAGCAAGGGAGCGAAAGGGTGGCGCCGGCTTGTGGACCTTCTCCTCTGAAATGGAATCGTAGTTAACGAAGCCAGTAGGGCTGGCAAAGTTGCCTGTGACGGGTTGCCCCATCAGATCGATGGGGTTGATTTTTGGACCGGGATTTGCCTCTTCAGCGGCGGTTGTAGAACCACTTTTGGCCTCACGGACTTTGCGAAAAACCAACGTGTTGTCTGATCCTGAAAGCAGTTCGTACCCCTGGTCTTCTAGCATTGCAAAGTAGGGCATGAATCTGACTGGGTTAGAGAGACGTGGGATGATATCTCCAGGTGTCTGCGGGCGACTTGTGTCTTCGACAGCCGATGTCGTCTCCGCCGTACGGACCGAATCATTCTGCTGGTCGTATGCCAAAATCTTGTAGTACCAGAGTTGTGGTGTGCTGCGAGATGTTGTGATGGATGCTGCGGAATCATGGCTTCCATAGTGCTTAGCTACGGGGGACGTAGTAGCGGCCCCGACCTCGCTGTGATAGCTCGTTTCGAGACCTTGGGCAACCTTCGAGTAAGGGTCTTGCTGAGTCCAACTGGCCTCGGGCAACGACCTCTTGCGTGCATGGCGGTCGAGTGCAGGCTCCAAACGAGCCTCCTCAGTCGGGAAGCTCTCGTCCATGGAACTAGCCTCCGCCTCTCCCTGGATGGCATCTTCCTTGCCTTCGCTCTCGCAAGTCTTGTTGCTTGGGAACAAGGCACTTTGAGAGCTCGAGTTGTGCGTGCTCCAGGACGTCGAGAACTCCTCGGGAAAGTCGCGCACATAGTTCCCTGTCAGTTTTGTCGCAGGGACGTCGCGGTCTCTCTGCTTCTCACTGCTTTCGTGCGCCCTACGCAAAACATTGGCGCGGATTTCTTCGGCAGATAGTGACTCTAGTTCAGAGTTTGGCGTGGGCATCGAATAGTCTTCGGTTTGACGGCGGGCAGATTCGTTGTGGTGCTTTGTCGGGCTGTCAGACCGACCACTCTGCGCCGGCTCAGATCCGTTGGATACAAAGCCGTACATAGAAAGGTCATCGCGCGCTTTGGAATCTTCTTCAGGGTGTGTCCTTGAAGCTGTTCTAGGAATTTCTTTTGCAGAATACCTCTCCAAGTCCGAATAAAACTTGGACTCCTCCTCTGCAGTGAGCTTTTGAAGGCCGTCAGGCTCGTTCCATTGTACAGCCTCGTAAGAATCCAAGTCATCGTACTTCTTGGACTCTTCCTCAGGAGTCAACTTGCGTAAACCATCAGGCTCATTCCAATAGACAGGCTCGTAGGCGTCCAAGTCTTTGTATTCCTTCCCAGGATCTTCCGACGTCACTTCAACCTTGGGCGGAAGCGCTTTGCCTTTAATACTCGAGGTGTTCTGCCCGGGCTCGTATTCTTCAAGCACCGAGCTATCGACTGTGAGAGGACCGTCGTATGTAGAGAGATCCTGGTACTTTCGCGACTCTTCCTTGGGGGTGAGCTGGCGCAAACCATCCGGCTTATTCCACTTGCTAGCGCCGTAACTGCTGAGATCCTCGTAGTGCTTAGTGCGCTCTTCCGCAGTAGCCTTCGGCAGACCATCCGGCTCGTTCCATTTGACGGCACCGTACTGGTCAAGATCATCACGCTCTTTTGTGATCTCCGGTGTGGCTTCTCGCACGCGGTCCGACTCGCTCCATTGCATAGACCCATACTTGTTGAGGTCTGGACATGCCTTGCTCATTGCTTCTGGAGATTTTCTCGGCATGTTATCTGCTTTATTCCACCGAGTTTGCTGGTAGCGGTCCAAGTCTTGGTATTCTTTGGACTTCTCCTCAGTGCTCTTGGTTGGTAGGCCATCCGGCTCATTCCACCTTACCGCGTTGTAGCGATGGCTGTCCTCGTATTCCGCACCAGCTGATTGTAGATTCGGTTGCTGATCAACGTCGTCGAATTTGGGTGTGAATGACGCTTTCGTGGGCTTGCTATTCCTTGCTGGTACACGGCGATTCGTGATCGGATCAATTTCTGCGTTATTGTGGTCGAACGAGGTAGTGGCATCGGGCGTGCGGTCAAGGGTTGGTTCTTTGGGCGATCGATTCGTAGACAGGTAATTGCGGATGCTTTTCAATGGTGTTTTCCACGGCTCGGAATCATGTTTTTGTTCCGCAGAGACCTGATCCCAATCATTGCGTGGCTTGCCCTGAGCTTTGCTGGCGCAACGAAACGGTGTCTCGATCCATGAAGCTATAACTTGTTCGGCGTCGGGTTTCATACCCTTGTGGCTGCCCTTATCGTTAGAGAGGTTGACGCTCTCCTTGTCATCGCGGGTCTTTGGCAGGTTGTCCCAGAGCCTGCGATTGAGTGACGCCATGTATCGATAGCGCATCTCATGTTTCTGTTTTCGGGCTTCGCGGAAAGCTTCAACGCTCTCTTCCCAATCGCCATTGCGGGATCCCCAAGGCCCAAAGCGAAACTCGCGCTTCTGTCGACATACCTCGCACAGTGAGACACTGGCACGTCGAGTCTGAATGGCTCTTGAGCTCATAGCTCTGCGCGAAGCAGCGGACATCATCGTGTTTTGAGATTGTGCACGACGAGAGGGCGATGACGCAATAAAAGAAGGCTGTCCCCTTGTGAGGTCAGCTTGCCGGTGTGAATAGTAGCTTGCGGCAGAGTCTCAGCAGAGGGCTCGCAATCGTGCAGGCTGAACAGCAGCCAGAGGCTCTCCTACGCTTTGAGAGAGGTCGCTCAGCTGAAGTGGGAGCTATTGGTTGGAAGAGACAGATTGGCTTTTGATACCTCTATCACACGTCCAAGACGTCTTCGCGATCAATGAGGGGCGCGGTCTGCCGGGATTCAAGAGCGGCTAATGCTACAGAGCAGTAATCGCGCCAGACGCTCGTGCAGAGTCTTTGGTATCAGGAAGCATCGAGGAGCGCAATATTGGGGGTTGTCCGAACGAGGAAGGGAAGAACAAGCTCCGAACAGTTGATAAGTAAGTAAATGTGCATCATGGCGGCGTCGACCTGGACGAAGACCCTCGGATCAGCTGGACAAGACTGCGGGGAGCGGACCCACAGGCAGCAATGCAAAAGCCAATTGGCGGCTTGAAGTTTCTGGACTAGCACCCGGGACCCTTCCGCTTTAGGGTGTGTGTCCCCACTATTGCGGCACTAAAGCTTCCAGTGCTCCACTGAAGACCTGGAAATGTAAGTTCAAATACGGCCCGCGGGCCCTTGTATATGGCCATATTATCCGCTGGACTTACACGTACAAAGAATATTGTTTGAACCCGTATTCTTCCGGGGGTTGGTAAAACAGCTCGGGAACAATGGACAGTCATCATTTAGGTGATTCAGATACCCAGCGAAGCCGCTCATGCCATCCCTACCTGGTAGGCAGTCACATGGAAGGAGCGATACCATTCAGTGACCGATTGGTCAAGGAGTCAGGGACTCAAGGCTGACATGCTCACACGCTCACAACCAGGTTGATCATACACACGCACAACAAGGTGGACTTCTCAAGTTCAGTGGCCATGACAAGCTCATCTTTTATACGGCGTGGTCGCGCTACGCAATCGCTCCAATAGTCAATTCACAAATCCACACAGAGGCCCTGAGTCCTGACTGCTGACGTATCATGGAAACACTGGCCAGAGCATGGAGCTACTTGTGGAACCTTGAGTGGACGGAAAGAGTACAGTCTGACTGCAAATTCTGGGATCACAGCAAATTAAAACCGATCTATCAGGTATGTGGTCTCTTTTGGCGCTGACCCGAGGACCCTGAATACTGACAAAGAGAAGCACGACCTCGTCATTGTCTTGGAGAACATCAGGTTGGGTGGGCGACATCACTGACTCATCGCCCCCGTCAAAAACATTCGCGACATCGAGGTTCTGGGCACAAAGGACCTGCCATTGTGTCAGTGACTACTCGTGACGCGAGTCGGCCAAGCTGCACTTACTGGTTCTCGTAGTGCTTCACGTCAACAAGGTGAAAAATCTCATCCTAGACCAACATTGCCCCGACCATAATGAATGGACGATTCATTCGGGCTACCATCGCGGCACGAGATGATATCCCTCCTGGATGGATTCTATTGGCCGGGCATCATCACTCATCATTCATCACCTTCACCTTCATGCCATCGTGCAGCCCTTCTGGACACTATGGCTGGTCAAATACCCAACCTGGCTCCCATCGACGTGGAAGTCGGATAGAGAGGTTGTCCAGCAAATTGAGAGGGCGAAGCTGAAAGGGGACTGAGGCTCGCGTAGAGTCCAGATGAAGTGGCTATGGCGCGGCCCTGAACAGTGGTCACTAGGGTCACGGCTCACGCAGTCTCATCGGCCGCTTGATGGCAAGCGACTGCGATAAGGAAGCACTGGAGCATCTCGCCGTCAGACATGGCTTCGTAGCTGATGGCACCTGCGTCCAGAAGTTTGCGAACGAAGGAAGAACTGTGGAGCAACGTTTCGATCGTTGTTCGCGACGCTGGGGAACCATGAGATCCTCCTGTTCTGGCGTGGCCTCTTCAGCACGAGGCGCCTATAGTTTTACGTGCTCCATACCAACAAGCAATAATGGTTCAATTCGGTGTTTGTCTCATCAATGGAAGTTATCGACATCTGATTTACTTCATGTGGAACAGGCCCTCGGTGTGAGTCAGACGGCGTACAGACAGAGAGATAGGCCTACTTGTACCAGCGCCTTAATATCGAGTGTATCTTCTGAATAGAGACAGTTGAGGAAGAGAAATCAATAAAAAGACAAAATCTGTCCAGGTAGTCCACGTCTTGAAAAGGCGATTCTCATCTCGCACCTCACTCATGGTGAGGAGAGTGAAGATTGAGAACCCCACCTTACCCTAGACTACCAGTAGATTTTAGGGTCCAGGTTTTGCGTGACATCACTGAATCCTTGACAGCATCATCCCACCAACCAACTTCACGCCCATACCGAACGCAGCTTGAACAAACTGACGAGCCACTTCAAATCCTGGCTTCTGATTAATAACGCGACATTGCACCCGCGCTACTACCTGCTGCCTGAGTGGATGGGCACAGGTGTCACGATTGCGCAAAGGCGCCAGCAACACCCCACTTGACAGTCGTACACATGATGAAGACAGCCAAAGGCAAGGGTAAGGGCAAGCCCATATCGCGCTCGACGAGCGGGTTCGGGAGCACTAGCGCAGCTGGATTTGGCGGCTTTGGCGACTCGGGCAGCGGAAGCTCCTTGTCGTACCTGGCGGAACCGCCTTCATTCAGCAATGTCACCGACCCTTACGTGGTGGTCTCGCTGAAGAACGTCCTCAAAAAGGATAGCACGACAAAGGCTAAGGCCCTTGAGGAACTTCTGGCCTATGTTCAGGATCATCCGTTTGAAAAGGATGGCGGTGTCGAAGAGGCAGTTCTGGATGTTTGGGTCCAGATGTATCCTCGGACGTCCATCGACAACGCTCGCCGAGTTCGCGAGCTGTCGCACAACTTGCAATTCGAGCTAATGAAGTCGGCTCGCAAACGCATGGAACGGCACATTCCTTCCATCGTCGGTGCGTGGCTCGCAGGGCTCTATGATCGAGATCGCGCCGTCGCGCGTGCGGCGAACGATGGCCTGGCTTCTTTCCTCAACACGACTGAAAAGGTACTGGGCTTGTGGAAGAAATGCCAAAGTCAGATACTCGATTACGCGATCGAGGCCATTCAAGAGACCCAAGATACTCTCAGTGACGAGCGATCCACCACGAAAGAGGATGCCGAGGCCAAATACTACCGGGTCATCACGGCAAGCCTGTCATTAGTGCTCGGCCTGCTGCAGAAGCTGGGCGATGATGACATCGCCAAAGCTCAGGAACAATACGACAAATTCTTTGAACAAGACGCTGTTTGGAAGGCTATAACTTACAATGACTCCTCAGTCAGGAAAACCGTGTGTCACTTGGTGTTTACTTGTCTCGACCGCAAGCTACCGTGCGCCGAGGAAACCAAAGTAAGACAAGCTATCGTAACTGGCGGTCTCAAAACGGATCAATCTGGATCAGCTCTGGAGTATGTTCGGGCCCTGACGAAGTTGACACAATCACAACCAGAAATATGGACAGCAGGGACGGAGAAAAAGTCTCCACTTGCCCGCCTGCAGGCCTTCATTGCCAAAGGATCACAGGGCAGCCCTCCAAAGTTCTGGGAGTACCTGGATCAGCTCCTCGCCTTGATACCATTAGAAGCCACATCACTTGACCTTGCTAATGGGATTCTGACGTCGCTCAAATCTGGGGTCACTCACCGTGATGAACCACGGACAAACACATCATACGCATGGAAGTGCTACATCGACGCCGCGCGACGCCTACTTCAGAGTCTGGCTCCCACCGAGCAGCACTCATTCGGACAAGCTCATCTATTCCCCCTTTTTGAACAATTCATCCTCTCCGTCTCTGAGAACCAGACGGCTATACCTCTTGGCCCCAATGCCATGGCCATCTTTGTTGATGCGTACATAGCAATTGCATCGGCTGAGGAGCCGTCGAGACTGGCTTTTGAAGAAGAATGGAAGCGTGTTGCATCCATTCTCTGTGCAAACATATCTGCTTCTCTACCAGAGGTTTCAAAGGAGTATCAAGCGTCCCAGGAGAAGATCAGCGAGGAAGGTCGCCGTTGGTTCGGACTCGTCGGACAGATTGTGGAAAAGATGGGCAAGATGGGCGGCTCGATTCCCGATTACACTACAAAGCCTTCAGCAGACATACTCGATCAAAGTCTCTCCATCCTTCAGACTCGCAACTTGAAGCCATATGGTGCAGCTCGGATATTGGAATTCGCTCTCAGCACTTCCCAACATCTTTTCAAAGGAGAAAGATGGATTGCCGTTGCGGATTTCTTGATGGCTGTGGCCAGGGAGGACATGGAGAAAGCTACCACTTCGTCTTCAGCACCGTACCTGCTTTCCTGTGTTCAGTTGCTTGGAGCTGTTTCCGGAAGAGACAGCGACTTCAGTACTCTATGGGCTACCTGGGCTGAAGGTACTGCTCAGCTACAGCCGGGAGAGACACAAGATTCTACGCTGACCTCTCTCGTGTCCGATGACAGGGGAGCAAGGCTTGCTCAGAAACATACCGAGCTGCAGCAAATCGTATTGCAACGATCTTTGGCAACGGTATCCGGCACTGCCGATGCTTGGGGACTTCTTGATGGTGCTGTTACGTACCAGGCCCTTGAGAATGGAGTCTACACAAAGTTGGCACAGGACCTACTGGACCTCTTCAATCAAGTACCGGAATCGTCAGGCAACATCTTGAGGGCTATGGAAATCTTGGTCAAAGGTCGACCGGCGCTTTTCTCCGCGAACGATGAGTTGAAAACAGCACTGCTTGCCCGACTTCTTAGTCTCTCCGAGATTGGCGACACAACCCTATCCATACAGACACAATCTATTCGGGCCCTGCTGGACAGCCAGTCGGAGGGGAAACTTCCAATTGTCGGTATCATACAATCCAACCTAGACCGCGCTGGGCCACAGTCCCTCGGGATCGCGACCGTTCTCAGCCAAGCCGAGGGCTCCGCGGAGGTTCCTCTGGGAGATGTTTTTCCGAACGTCAAAGTCTGGGCTCAAGAGCTTGGACCATTCCTCGAGCAGCCGATTGATCCGTCGCTGTCCATCACGAGCAACATTGGTGGGGCCGCTGCACTCATCAAGACATCTACCAGGAGTGTTCCACGCGTTCAAAGAGACCGCAAGGGCCGTTCAGTCCCTGCGCGCATGGCGCTATTCCTCGACCAGGCTCTGAGAAGCCGACTCGACTTTGCAGCGTTGCCGGTCGACACCCAAGCTGAGCTTCTTTGCCTTCATGGGGTAACCACTCAACTAGTTTCGGATCAGATCACCCTTGCAAGCGAAGATGGTATGTGGCTATCACTGCACCATGGGCAATCTGCTAGTGAGGCTGAGAACCTTGTGTCGTCGTCGAAAAACTTCATCAACAACCTCGCTGCATCAAGCGATTCATCGGAGACGCTATTGCTGCTGATTGATGCGCTCATCTCGAGATCACAGGAGCTGTCGTCACGAGGAGTATACAGCGCGAGAGCCTTAGCGGAACTGATAGCCGCGAGAATTGAGGTGCAAGGGCTGAGTCCGGACTTGGAAGAGAAGTTGATGAAAACTGAATACCTCAAGGCAACACCAGAGACTTCTCTACTAGCATCGGCTATTGTCGTTGGCGTGGGCGACTCGGGACGAATCTCTAAGCCGATCAGCAACTTCTGCAACCGTCTCGTTAGTGACGCAGCCAGTGCCTCTGCCGAAGGCGAGAAGGTTGATAAGTCGCATGCAGTTTTGGCGCTGCTTTCTCTCTGCGGGCAAACTTACGAGACTGGTGAGATGCCCATCGCCAACAACCGAATCGTCTTCGCGACTAGGCAAATAACATCGTGGTTGGACGAGCCCGAGAAGCTGGAGCCTTCCCTGTCAGCAGAGATCTGCCGATCTTTGACACAACTACTTCCCTGCATGAAGGATGTCTACGGACAATATTGGGAGAAGGCGTTAGGATTCTGCATCCACTTGTGGCAGCAAGCGGGAGGATCAAGATTCGGTGAAATGCTGTCGGCAACGCATGCTTCACTTCGATTATACAAGACGCTGTCATCCATCGCCGAGCCTAATGATGACTTGCAGGACGTGTTGAAAGAGTTTAGTGATGCGAAAGCCAGAGCCCTGCTAGAGTTGCTTCGGGCGCCACGCTTCGAATCCTCACAGCCAGTGGGTGTCGTGGACGGCATCATCTGCCGCGAGGTGGAAAAACTACCCATGAGGCATATCCCTGATGTCGCGGACATATTCCCCCTCGTTGCCTCGGATTCACGAGATATTCAGACAGCCGCGTACAGTCTTCTCCACAAGGCCATTCCTGCACAGCAAGAGCAAAAGTCTGTGGACATTTTGCTCGACAACACTGGTTCGTGGTTCTTTGATCCGTCTCGAATACATGCTAACCTCACCAGATGCACGATTGCCTGACGAGCTGTTGTCTCTGTTACTCGACGCGCCCACGCTCGAACAGTATCCTGACGAGATCTTGGCCCAATTCCCCACATCGATTCGCTGTTACTTACTGGCCTGGAAGTTGGTATTTGACGCCTATTCGACATCGTCTTTTAAAGTCCGGAACGATTTCACGGAACAACTCAGGGCGGAGAAATGTGCTATCCCTCTGCTCGACTTCATGTTCGACGTGCTCGGCCACTCGGCCGCCCACCCACTCAACTTGCCCAAGGCTAGCCTAGGTCCCGAACAAATCAAGGACTTTGACATTAAACTCGCCGATGCGGAAGTGGAGGAGAAAAGCATGCAGTGGTTATTGGTGCATCTGTTCTACCTTGCACTCAAGTACACCCCAGGCCTGTTCCGCACCTGGTACATTGACTGCCGCTCAAAGCAGACCAGAATCGCTGTGGAGGGCTGGACCACCAAGTTCTTCTCGCCTCTCATCATTGATGATGCGCTGGATGACGTGCAGACGTGGGCCGACTCCCAAGAAGCCCCATCCATGGACGAGAAGGAACTCAATGTCAAGGTGTCCCGCCCAGCTCGCGAGGTCACAGCGGGCTACGAGATTGACGAAGACGAAGCCGCCATTGCCATCAAAATCCCTTCGAGCTATCCCATTGACGGCGTCGCCGTCGAGGGGCTACGCCGAGTGGCTGTCGACGACAAGAAATGGCAGAGCTGGGTTAGGACCACCCGCGGTGTCATCACGTTCTCCAACGGCAACATCATCGATGGCCTGCAAGTCTTCCGCCGCAACATTGTCGGCGCCCTCAAGGGCCAGGGCGAATGTGCGATCTGTTACAGTATCATCTCCTCGGACAAGAAGACGCCGGACAAGCGATGCACCACGTGTAAGAACCTGTTCCACAGGGTTTGCTTGTACAAGTGGTTTAGCACCAGCAACCAGAACACGTGCCCTCTGTGCAGAAACCCCATCGACTATCTGGGAGCGGACACGCAAAAGAGGCGTCAAGGGTGAAAAGCGATTTTATAGAGAAAAGTTAGTTAGAGGGGCTACGAATGCTCATGGAAACAACCGAAGCTGAGTGCCTGCCAATATTAGCATTGTCCTCTCCGCAAGGGCATCGTTAGAAACCCACCCGATCAGCAGTAGCTCGTTTCCTGTCATATCTCACAAGCGCAGCCACAACTTCTGTCCATTCCTCGGCGACGTCCGGGAGTATATCGTGCCATCTCGTTCCTGGAAAGACAGTCCACATTTCAAAGGGGGTCACTTTGAAGTCCTTGGCCTCGGGCCAGGTATCCGCCGTTGGCGTGCCCAGGGTCTTGAAAATGCTTAGGATCAGGCCGAGTTGATTGCCATCCTCATGCGCAGGCCTCGATTCGAAAATGGGCCTTGGGGGGTTGGTGATGGCTTCGGATATCACAACGCCAAGAGACCACATATCTATTGCCGTCGAATACGCCGTGTTCCCAAAAAGAATCTCTGGTGCTCGATAAGGCCCTGTGCCGACGTCGAGAATCTTGCCATCAGGTGGCTCGTCTTTGGAGCGATGATCTGGTGACCATGCCGTTCCAAAATCTGAGATGTACGCAGGTCCTGAAGGTGACGCTAGCAGAATCGCAGAGGACTTGATGTCGCGATGGATGATGCCATTAGAGTGAATTTCCCTTAGCCCGAACAAGACGTCTTTGAAAATTCTGTTTCGCTGACCGTCATCGAGAGGACCCTTCTCGAGTAGGTGTCCCAGCGTGAAGGGCAGATAAGGGAATTCGAGAACGAAGCGCTGCTCCTGGTCACGGAATGTTGCTTCCAGCTGAATGATAGAGGGCCGTCCTTTTAGTGCTTCGAGTATGACCGCCTCGCGTTGAGGGTCATGTGGTGGTGTGTGGAACGTGATGACCTTCAGGGCCGTGTTTCTCGGCGTACAGTAGACTTCGGATGTAACACCCTCGGCAATGGGGCGACAATCGTCATATCGGCCTATCGTGATGCCATTTGTCCCTGATCCAGTTTGTGGAGGCTCATTCGGTGTGAAGGGGGGGGAGGCGGGACAGGCTGCAGTTGGCACAAGACATGCTGATAAGTATTGATCCTGGAGACACATGCATTAGTAGATGTTCGTGGGCTTGAATGAATTACATACTTTTGACGTGCTCTCGTTGTAAGCGGCGACTTCAAGTGGCAGCGCTTCGTTCATTGGAATGCCCTTCTGTGCCTGGCTGAAGTGGTCAGTAACCCTTAGAACAGGATGTTTGAGGCAGAACGGCAATGTAGCTCACATCCTCTGTATGGTTTCATAACGCTCCGATGCCGACAACGTCGACTTCCAGTCCGACATGGTGTGCCCAGTACGTAGTGCCCTCCAAGGTAGTGAGTGTAGTATGACTAGCAATGTGAGTGCGAAACCCGGCTTTGAGGGATCCGACCTGCCGTATGCCGTTCAGGTTAGGCCAAATCCGATCTTCAACAGGTACGTGCGTGCAGGTACGTACCGTGCCCAGCCAGACATTCGAACAATAGCAATGTTTCGATTCCAAACGGCCAATGCGAAAGACGCAGACAAAACGTCATTAGGATTTCGAAAGAGCACCATTCCCATAGACGAGAAGCAGCTAACGTCGAGTCAATTAGCTGCTAGCACGGCTGGGCAGTGTCGGCAGACGGCGGAAGCGGCGGGCTCCAGCCACATTTGGCGGACTGCTGTGGGGATTTGGGCTTCGCTGCCCAATCAAGCGATGCGCCTTACCTCATCCATATCCAACCTAGCAACTGTACAACCCAAAGGGCAGGAGCTCATCCAGCCTCCAGCTTCGTCATTTCATGGGTGGTACGTACAACGGCCATCTGTCCCATCACCGTCGCCCTCACGCCACGCCGCTCCGAGGTCTTCGTTCCGGTAAAATAGGCAACTATTGACCTTTCGATTCCGTAATTGGACTACAGGGACGCAGCTGAGGGACTTCTGCTTCCTTGACGATACTCTACTTGCCCTGGGCACAGATCATCGCCATGCGCATGTGCCTCATTTCGCTCGCCCAAAAACGCACCTAGAACCGGCAGGTTACGACAGCCGAATTGTACCGACCCACGCGCCCCCGCGAAGAACACCGGCAAGATGGAAGACACGGCGAGAAGCGAATACCCGGGCATGCTTGTAAGCTTCGCTACGCTTTCCAATGATCTACAGCGGCTGACACCCAACGCGACAGAGCTCGCTCCAGCCGAACCAAGCCGTCCAAGTACTCAACGACCGAGTGAAGCGAATCAGCAAGATCAACACCGAAATCGCCGACTGGCTTCAAGTATGGCTCCCTCGTTCCCTTACTGCATTGGCCGCCTCTAAGCGTGCATTTGCACTGCTCGGTGTTTGAGTGCGCTGGTGAACAAGGACTAACGGGTTAATTCCAGGAGCGCTGTCGAGTCGAGGAACAATACATCTTGGGGCTTCGCCGCTTGGGTCAGTCCAAGTTACCAGGGCCTTCATCTGAGCTTGGGTTCGTAGCATCACTACAAAGTAGGTTCATCGCTAATAAGACCAGTATCTTCAACGGGCCATGGCAAGCAATGGTAGACGCAGTCGGTACTCTTGCCCACTCGCACCAGCAGCTCTCCGATCGCATTGAACAAGATGTGGAACTACCATTGCGCAACTTCAGCCAGCGCAGCAGCTTTGGCGAAATGACGACAATGTCCTCCAATTTGACATCGATAGCCAAGTCCCTCGATGAGGCTCAGGCGGCTACAGAGAAGTTGGGCAGGAAGGGCGGCAAGGCCAGCACACAGAAAATCGATGCTGCCGCATCGAAGCTCGAATCAGCACGCCAGCAATGGGAATCTCAGGCACCGTACATCTTCGAATCGCTCCAAGCGCTCGACGAGTCCAGAATCAACCAGCTTCGCGATGTCTTAACACAGTACCAGACGCTCGAGTCGGACTGCGCTCAGCGCGCCCAAGATACGTCGGTTGCCACGCTTTCGCAAGTGATCGAAATCGCCACCGAGACGGAAATCTTGGCCTTTGTCAACAAGATGACGCACGGCAGGACGCCGCGAGCGCCCCCAACGCGCGCGTCAACAACGGCTTCCATTTCTACAGAGAACCAGCAAGGGCGCCCGAGCACTGCGTATAGCGCCAATGCCCCCCAGCCTTCAGCGCCTTCCGAGCAAACCCCCGTGGAGACGCCTTCAGAACCGGCGACCCCTGCGATAGTGGAACCAAAGGCTGAGCCATCAAAGCCCGAATCGAAGCTGCGTCGCCTAGGAACCATACTCAAAGGGCGCAGGCAGAGTGTTTACGGCGCCGCGGGACCCTCCCCCCAGAAGGGTGGCTCATCTGCATTTGGGCGACTTGGGGGCAAAGAGAAGCCCGGCATCTCGCCACGGGGATCATCAGGCAATCTGAGGGAATCCAACCATCTTGGGGCATTGGCCGAGCATCCATCACTCCCACGAACCCCTGAAGCGGGCGAAGACAGCCCCTCTAGGCCGGCCCATGAGGGTGCGAACGGAGACAATGCACAGGAGAATATCATGGACTCGCCAATTCCTGAGGGAGTCAATGGCTTCCGCGAGAACAGAGGGGTTACTCTTGCCGACGAACCGACCGCTCAGCCGCTTCAGCCGACAGCTGCTAGTGCAACGCCCACACCCGCTGGGAAAGATGCAGAAGGCTTTACGATACCCGCACCAGCCGATGACCCGATCACCGCAGCGCAGAAAGAGGCTGCTGCAACCGAGGAGGCTGACCAGCTCTTCAAGCTCAACATTCAGAACAAGCCCATAGAGGAGGAGGACCCCGAGGCAAAGCGAGCAGCACTATCGAGTGTGGCCAGCTCCTTGCGAGCCGGTCCTGCTGTACGCCGCTCAGGTACGACGCGCGGCCGCAGAGACGTTCGGAATACTATCTATGCTCCCGCCCCTATGGCGGGTGAGCCGGCGGAGGGTGGTTTTCTAGCGGGGATCGCAGGCTCGCCCTCATTTGCGAGCTCTTTCGGCTCCAGGACAGGCGCTCCAGCGCTCGCCCCCGAAGCTAGCATCGCTGCTACTTCCGATACCCAGTCTGTCCGTTCTGGCCACTCGCTCGGCAATTTGGCCCACGTAAAGCATCCCGAGATGACAGGCCCTGGTCTTCACGGTTCCATCATTGAGCATGTTTCTATTGTGTTCAAGACTGGCGGTGAGGTCGAGAGCGCTTCAATGGCAGGCGAGCTGGGATTTGTGAACAATACGACCGACGATGACACGTTCAAAAGTGAGTTTATGAGGACACCGTTGCCAACGTTGTACTAACGATTGCAGCCCACGAGACCATCAAAATCAACAATTATCCCAATCTGGAGCGCATCGGTCCTAATAGGATCTTTGTGCAAAACAGCACACCTGACCAGCCAGATCAATTCAGCCTCGACCTGTCGCACCTCAGCAAAATGGCGCCCGCCTTCTCATACCGCGTCTTCGCCCCCGAGTCGGATCCACTGTCGCTTGCACAGAATGCGCCGCTGCTATTGAATCCGGCATGGAAGCCTCAAGGTGACAAGCTGGGTCTTTTGCTACAATATCAACTTAACCCCTCGTGCACCTGGAAAGGCCCCGTCACTTTACAGAACGTTGTGTTCATTGCCACATATGAGGGTAAGGCCTCGGGTGCGCAGACGAAGCCGAGCGGCACGCATCTCAAGGACCGGCACATAGTGTATTGGCGCCTTGGCGAGGTGACGCTCACCCCTGAGCCGCAGAAGATCGTGTGCCGTATTGTCGGCAGCGAGGGAGCAGAGCCGATACCGGGCCATGTAGAGGCAAGGTGGGAGTACGTCGTGCCGGAGGGCGAGGTGGCAGGCAGTGGCATCTCTGTGTCGAGACTGCAAGAGACAAAAGGCAAGGGTAAGGAGGTCGAGTCGGATGATGATCCTTTTGCGGACGATGGCGTATCCCAGACCCACACTTGGGTCGATGTGCCCTTATCCAGAAAGCTCGTGAACGGGAAGTATGAGGGCAGGTAGCGTCATGTTGTGTGGCACTAGTGTGTTGGGAGAGTAGAGCCATTGGATTTTCATCAGCGGATCAGCGGGATATCACGGATATAAATGTGTACATAGAAACCATTTTGTTCAACGACCACCGATGTGCAAGTCAGTTTGGACATGTTTAAGGTGTTGTCTGTCAAAATGGTGAGTTTTGACAGAGCCTCAAAGGGCGGGCGAGCCACAAGTCTATTCCTTGTCCATAACACCTCGTATCCGCTGAATCAAAACACCGCTCCTGCCTCCCACCCCTTTCGCCATCTAACAAGATGCTGTCGAGGTGATGCCGTATATGCAAATTTATGCAATGAACAAACAGCCTCTTTTATTCCTTCTTCTCCTGGGGGGCCTCGGAGGTTTTGGTTTTCTCGCTCTCTTTAGACCCTTCCTGGGATTGGGCGGTCTTCTTTGCTGCCGCTTGCGCATCGGTCCCCTTTTTGTACTTTGCGTACTTTTCGCCGAGATAGCGGAACGTCCTCTTCCATCCGCTCATCACGGGGCCCTTGAGGCTTTGCACTGTGCTCGGCCAGTTGACAGTCTGCTTGATGACTTGCCTGACGGTCTTGGTCAGCGCGGCAGGGTCGTCTTCGGCGATACGCTTCTCGAACTCTCCGCCTTGCCGCTTGCCTTCGTCGTCCGAAGAGGCCTTCATCATCTTGCTGAAATCCTCCTTGGGCAAGCTGAGCTTTTTCTGGTACTGGAAGTAGAGCTTTGAGCGGAATGTAGTGGGTAGCCGGCGCACCATGTTGCCTCGTGGCGAGGGGTCCATATCTTGCTGTAGCCTGCTGTTCGCCTTGGGGTTGAGCACCCAGTTCTCGTCGTCAAGACGGCAGTTATCAAGGAACGTTACGTTAGGGAGCGTCTTGATCAATGGTGCGTAGAGACGACGGAAATGAACCATGTTGTTGGACACAATATTGTCCACCTTGGACCTGTTCTCAGTCGGCAGAGACATCCGTGGGTCGCCCAGGTAGCTGATACCAGAGATAGCGCTATACAGCTGCGCCTCTGTAAAGTCGGGTGGCAGGAGCAACAGCGCTGTCCGCAATGCCGCGATGAGGTTGTGCTGGTTGGCAAGGCGGACCTGAGGGTGATCACGCAGAATCTTGACTGGTTTCTGCAGCCGTCCGGCGAGATACAAGCTATCCCAGGTCGAAAGATCCGTGACCAAGTTGTCGATGCTCGTAACGCCGTACTTGATGAGCATGCCGTTTACCTCCACATACGGGTGGAAGTAGACGCCTGCGCCCCAATCCTGGACGCGCGACACGAACCCGGAACCCAGCGAGGCTACCCCTGAGTAATGACTGCGATGCTGCTTCATATTGACCGAATGCCAGTGTTGCGTGTGCGACACGCCAAAGATAAAGTCAATCATCTTGGGAGCGCCTTTTTGCGATTCGACCAATGCCTTGGGTGGCTTGGGGTGGACAGACCGAAAATCCGCCTCGCTGATGCTCCGAACCGCTTCCTCTTGCGGGAAGACTCCTGACCCGTATGCGAAGCAGTAGACAATAGGGGCGTTGAACTGACGAAGCATTATGCGCATAGCTTCCTTGAGGTCGTAGTTGATCAGCATGTGCTGATTGTGCCCAAACATCTCATGGGGCAGGTCGCTGAACGACTTGATGGCGAAATCAGCCGTGTCCTCCCAGTTGTCTCCATACAGGTTATATTTGCCCTTGGCCGTTTCGCGCTTGCCTGGCTTCGACGTGGTCGTGGCAGAGCTCGACGAGGAACGGGAGGAGGTGGAGCTCGCATCGCTTTTTCCGCTGGAGTCGGAGCTAGAGGAATATCGCATGTATCTGAAGGCTGGCAGGCGTTGGTAGGCATAGAGTCGACCGGTAAAGTATGAGGCTTGCGGTGATAGTGCGCGAGGAGCGACGCCGCGCGCGTTTACGATGGGCGTCGCCTGGGTGGGTTAGCGGGCAGTTCGGGGTCATCAGGCGGCAGCTGGACTTACCCATATCCTCGCGCTCGCCATAGTGAGTGAGACGGTTAACTTTGGCGTTGTTTCAATGCCTTTGGATCATCCAATGGCACCAAGTGATGCCGAGATCGAGGGAAAAGAGCCTGAAGAGGGTGCGCGTAGCTCGGTACTCGAGCGATTCACCAATGTTGTTTGTCCATAAAGAAACGAGAGTAAAGGTACTGAGAAGCGTGAGGGATAGCGCAATCAGTTTGCGTACGCTGGGTGTTAGATGGCAATCGTAAGTGTCCTGCTGCAGGGTCCACGTGAGGATTTATTGGTATCCAGGAACAGGACGACAAGCTCGGCAATGACATGATGCCATAATTAAGGTAGCTTCGGATCGCTGCGGACTGGAGGCCCACTTCCAGTCAATGGCGCCTCCGATCTGGCATATGCTTACCCCAGAGCTTCTATCCGCACTCTACAAAGCAAACTTTACATTGCTATTTCGGGTATAGAAATGAGTTCAAACACTGATCAAAAGACAAACTCTCACTTTCGAGATGGGAGTGCTTTGTATATATAGCTGAAAACCATCACGCCGAACAATGTGTGACGGGCAAACGTTTTCAGCCTGTCTCAACACAAGCGTCGTTGTATGCAGCCACAACAAGCTTTGAATGAATTATGAACTTTACCAAGTCAGATGCCTGGACTTTGAAGCAACATTGGTCAAGCTCTTCGACTATCGCCTGAAAATGACATCTTCAATTCCTGCATCAGGCAGCCCTTCACTCGCCCCGTTTGTCGTTATTTTGTATTGTGCACGTGACCTACCATCGAAGCGTGGCCGGGGTTGCCAAGCGCTAGCCCAACACGGCAATCCCCATAATATGGCCACTGGGTCAACGATTTGGTCTGAATGTCAACAAAGACAGCAACAAAGTCGTCAACGCCAACGCCACGATGCAAAGTCGTACACCGCAGCCTGGCGATGGCGCTCGCCAGAGAAAGGGCTCGGGATCATCGAAATTCAGGCAAAGCACCTCGGCGTTGCCCATGCCGCAAGCGTTTCAGCGCTCGAGGGTACAGTTCGCGACAACAACAAAGGAAGAGGAACAACGACTCTAACAACAGTACAGATTGCATCCTTTCGCGCATCGCAGCCGATGCACGCATTTCCACCCGTTAGCGAAAATGAATCGCGACCGTCATCACGAGCGAGCATGGCCGATTCTGGCAGACCCGAGTCGCGATCCAGTTTCAAGGAGAATATGGCGCCACCGGATGCCGACCAGTACGAGAAATACCGCAAAGAAATCGAGTCACTGAAAGCGGAGATTGGCACTCTCAAATATCGCATTCAGACCTCCGAATCAGAGCAAGCCATTGAGCAGTCAACCCAAGCTGGGCGTCTCGAACAGGCCACCCGGAGAGAGCAGGACGCAATCCAGGCCCGCGAAGCCTCGGAAAGAGAGCACGAGAAACTAGTGGAAGAATTCAGGGCGACGAAAAGAGAGCTCGAGGATGTCCAAGAGTCTATCGACGTCGACAAAAAGGCTTGGGAACGCAAGACTCGCGAGGCGCAGGACAACGTGCGTCTCCTCCAGGAGCAGGTGGACGACCTCACAGATGCCAAGGAAGAGGCGGCCAGGATAGCCGACAAGAAAACGAATGATCTACAGGCGCAAATTACGTCAATGCAAACTTCGCTGCAAGAAATCGAGCAAGACAGCAGCGCAAAGGACACCGCGCTGCAGGAGGCACAGGAAGAGCTCAATGCCCGCGATGGTCGCATCTCGGAACTTGAGGCCGATGTACTCCGACTGAAGGCGCACAGCGGCGACATGGAAACAATGCAGATCATCAGAAAGGAGCTATCCGAGCAAGTGGAATACATTCGAGATCTGGAGTCGAAGAACCGGCAGCAACTCTCCGAGCTGAAGCATCTGCGCGCAATGGCCAAGTCTGTTGAGGTAGTTGAAGAGGAGAAGAGGTCGCTGCAGCGCAAGGTCGAGTTTGCTCAGATGCTCGAGCAGGAGCTCTCCGAAGAGCGCATGCAACGTCAGAGGCTTGAGGACGAGAGGCTGGCTTGGACATCGTACCTCAAATCCGAGACTGGTGACGTCGAGTTCAAGTCGCCTGAGTCGTTGGCTCGCGCTTACACTGAAGAGCGTTTTACGTCTGCCTCGCACGTCGAACGGATCGGCGCCCTGCAAGCAGAGCTGAGCTCGCTACAGAACACGGTGCGCTCCCTTGAGGAAGACAGGTCAACGCTGCGGAACCAAGCGGAGGAGGCCAAGTCAGCAGCGACCTCACTCACCGCCGATAAGGGTCGCATGCGACTAGAGCGACAGCGAGCACTGGCCGTCAAGGAGGTGGAGTACCTCCGTGCCCAGCTCAAGACATACGATGTGGAGGATCAGACTTTGGAGACCGAAAATTTTGACCAAGCCCGCGTGGACCGAGTCAATGAGCTAGAAAGGATTGTCGACGAGTACAAGTCAGAGGTGCAGAACCTCCACAATGAACTGGCGATGGCGGAGGCTTCCAAAGGAGCCGAGCTCTCCCCCCAGCTCAGTACCGGCAGCAAAAGGCCACGCGAAGACGGCAGTGCGATGCAAGAACAGCTGGGACAGCTCACCAGGAAGAACCGCAAGCTTCAGGAAGAGATTGGCACAATGCAGACGCAGGTGGCTGTTCTCGAGAAGGATCTCTCCGCCAACCGCGAACAGTTGGCGGCGGCCAAGGAACACAACGCGACTCGTGTTCTGTCCCTGCGGTCAAACCCGACGTCCGACTACGAAGGTATCAAGCGCGCCACATTGTATGCCCTACAGAAAGAGAACAGAGAACTGTTGGCGACTCTGCAGTCGCGCAACGCCAACAAAGAAGCTGGCATCAAGTACATACCCAAGTCGGTGCTGGGATCTATGGAACGCGAGGTAGAAGCGGCAAAGGCCGAGACAGCATCGGCGCAAAAGTCTGCGCGTCGGCTGAAAGAGGTCTGGGGCTCCAAATCCCAGGAATTCAAGGAAGCTATCTTTTCCACCTTGGGTTGGACAGTTACGTTCATCCCGAACGGCAAGATGCGGGTGGAGAGCACATTCTTCCCGTCACAGTCAGACGAACACGAGAACTCTATTGTTTTTGACGGCGAGCGAGGGACAATGAAGGTTGGTGGCGGCCCAAAGAGTGCGTTCGCCAGGAGAATCAGCGACCAGATAGGCTTCTGGGTGCGCGAGAAGGGTTGTATCCCTGGGTTCCTGGCAGCGCTCACCTTGGAGTTCTACGAGGAGCACGCGAAGAAGTCGCAGGACTGAGTGACATGTACTGTATAACTTGCACATTGTGGTAATCGGGCCATGCAGCATTTCTGGGAGTTGCGTGCGATATTGTAGGCCTGCATTGGAGTTCACCGGCGATCATGGTCATTTGATGAATCAGAACTTTGAGGAAACATTCGCAACCGTATAGTAAGGGCACTTCGATGGCTTGACAAAGGCTTGGCTCGGCTTGTGTTGGAGGTACAGTGAAGAACACCACAAACCACAGCGTGACACAAATGTAGCGAACCAACTTTGATGCATTCAAACAGCTACAGTCACTGAACAGGCGTCTTCCTGGTGGAACATAACAAGCAACTGTCGAGGATGCCCGAATCAAAACCGAGGCTCCTCGCCCGCAAGAGCACCTATTCACAAACAACATGCAAGTTTATTACATATTGGACGCCTCCACCCATTGCCCACAGTCCGCAGAGAACCGTTCCTTACTTGGATTCCCGGTGCAGGCCATCGATCATGAGCAACGGGGACAGAAATCACGGACGGCGCCACGCGAAGAACGTGTTGAGACATGGAGTGATGCACATTGGAAAGTACCAGGTGGAAGCTAAACACGTCAACGGGCAGAAGCATTCTAACAAGACAAAGCAGCAGCAACACGGTGACGGTGGGAATAGAAGTGGGAACAGATGGACCATCACACCGAATACGAACGAGTACAGATGGAGAAAGATGGCAGCAAAGTATGGCTTTGGTCCGCTGTACAGTCCCTTTGGTACGTCCTGGGCCGGGCAGCCACAACACGAGTTCTACCTGCATGGGCCTCGCCCGTCGTATTCGCGAGGCAAGGACTACCGGCAGAAGAGAGCGACTAAATCCTGGCCCTTTGTGAGGTATTTCGAGGAGGACGAGACAATGGGCGATGTAGGAGATTTGGAGCCGGCTATTCCACTGTCCGACACGGTCGACCAGGAGATGGAAATGGCAGGGCATCACCCTGAAGACGATCTTGGATTCGACCCTCAACTTGTACCCACAAGCTTTTTCCTCGATCAAGAGATTCTCATGGCTATGGATGACCCTCATGGCGATCGGGAGCATCCAACGCCGTTTGACAGTGTCCATGGTGGGCAAGAGCTGAATTCGTTCTGGCATCAGGGGCTGTTAGTACCTACACCGCTACTTTTGGGCCAAGTCTCTGCACTAACACCGGGCCCGCAGACAATACCATCTTCGTCGAGTCCTTTGAGGGCAGAAGTACGTGCTTCCTTAACTGAAGACTCTGGAGAGTCCAATGGTGAAGACACGGAGGAGACTACGCCTACGAGTTCGCTCACCCAGCAGGACCCCCTTCTGTCCCGTCCAGCCATTCAAGTGCCGGATCATCTGGACGTCGAGGTAGCTTTAGGCCAGTTGTATGACCCGAAGTTTGTCGAATCGCTGGCTGTCCCGGGAAACCTGCCCGAGACACTGCGCCTCGAAGAAGTATGTGTCCAAACGGCCAAGATTGCAGAAGAGGCCGGGCTTGCTGCGCTGGCCGCCGCATATCGAAACAAGGTGGATGCTATTGCCCTCTCCAGGTCTGGTACCCTGCTGACGTGTGAGCAGTCCTCGTCACCAGATATCAACGGCAGCCATGGAAGTGGTGGCTATCACGGCGGTTTACAACAGAATCAGCTCCCAATGGGAGAATCATTTGGAGATGACGCCCGGGGCAACCACCATGACAAGGAACCTGCGGAGAAGAGAGATGACCACAAGAGTGGCAACATGCATCAGAAAAAAGGTACGCACGCGCAGGTTATAAGCCCCCAGTCGCACCGACATCCAGGTGGTAAAGACGGTAACAAGGGGATCGAGAATCACAAGAAAGACAAGAAAACCCCGAAACACCATATCAACAACAATGGCGGGAGGAAGAATGCCAAGGCAGGTTTAGAAGGGCACAAAGACCGGCGTAGGCATCGTAAGTAATACCACGGCCGATGGCCTCTCTGGAGCGCAGATGAAAGCTGACAGACTCCGCCAGGTAGAACTCGAATTGTATAGACTAGCATACCATAGTGTTTATGTCGCCCAAACCCCTCAACTGGCTCACAGCTCGTCCAACTCATCATTGTCCTCGACCACAAAGTAGTCAACAACCTTTGCCTTCCCCTTGGTGACCCTCTCCCAGGTCTCGGGCTGGCAACTCGACGGCTGCAAGACGTAGCACCTCTCCTCCGGCCAGCCGGGCCTCTCGTTCTTAATCCACCGATGGAAACCCTCACCATCGTTGATCAGGTCATCGCGCACGGGGATGGTGCCACTGCCAATGTCCTTGTTGAACATGGCCCGCATAAACACCTCGTAGGCGGCAACAGGTTGGTACGACGGGACCATGTGGCCGGCCTGGAAGACGCGGGTGAAAGAGAAGTTGCCGTACTGGCGGGTGATGCCGCTGAAGCCGTCCGGGGTCCAGAAGAGGCCGTACGGTGCGGCGTTGAACTCGGCCTGCCGCGAATAGGGCACGGCGAGAGAGGCGGCCTCGCCGCCGATCCAGTTGCACGCGTAGTCGCGGTCGCCGTACATCATGTGCACCTTGACGCCCGAGTCGAGGAGGTAGCCGACGGCGTCGAGAAACCCGCCGTGGATCTCGTCGTGCGAGGCGGCAAAGCCGCTGCTCACCGGCACGGCCAGCCAGCTGAAGTTGACGGGGGTGCCGAGGGCCTCGAGGACGTGAGCCTGAGAGAGGTAGCCGTGGATCATGGGGTCGGGGAAGGGGTCGGCGGCGGGATGGGCAATGTCGAACCAGGAGTGGCCGAGCTGGTTGTACTGGACAATGGCCTCCTCGGAGCATTGGGTCGCCGTGTCGCACATCTCCGCGACGGGGACGAGGCCGCGGTGGACGGTGATGGGGTCGTAGGAGCGCAGGCGGTCCTGGCAGGCGAGGAGCTGGTCTTTGCATCCGTCTGGCTTGGTCCAGTTGTGCATGAGCTCGCTGTAGAGATCATCAGAGAACACTTGCATGTCGTAGGTCTGCTCTTGTCAGCGTATGCGTGGTCTGGGTCACTGAAGGAGTTGAGGGGTTGCTCACGTTGTTGTAGGGGAATTCAATGTACGCCTGGCCTTGGACAACAGCGTCCAGGAGGCCATTCACGATACCCAGTGTGTCGAGGTGCATGTAGCGCCCATCCTCAAGGGTGCCGTTCTTGATCTTCTCGTTCTGCTCCCGGAAGAAGCGCATGAAGCCAGGGCCATAGTGGCCACCGTACGACTCGGCCCAGAGGCTGATGCGGTCGTCATGCGGCTTGTAGTGAGGGAACTCGTCGAACCAGGTCTGCGCAAAGTGCCAGAGCGCGTGCGCCGCCTGGGCAGTGGAGTTGGTCGTGTGGCTCTGTTTCTGGCTGGACATGGTGCCCACGCGGTGCGTGTAGTTGCTCTCTGGCACCTGGCCATCCGAGACGTTCAATGGCTTGACGTCCAACTCCATGCCTCCAAGGAGCTCCATGGTCACGTTGGTGGGCGTGTCGTACGAGAAGCCAACCTGGTTGGGCTCGTCAATGTACAGCATGTTGACAAAGGTGTTCCAGCTCCAGGGGTTGTCCTCGGTGTCGTGGGAGTCCCGCGTGATGCTGCATGGCCCGTTCTCGGTGAAGAGGCCCAGCATGGACGATGCACCGGGGCCTCCATTGAGCCAGATGGCGAGGGGGGCATCCTCGGGTGCGATGCGCGCCTCAAAGAAGTAAAAGAAGGTGTTGAGCGGGTAGTCCTGTGGCTCGCCGTCGATGTCATTCAGGAAGCCTGGTGGCAGGTGGACGTGACCCGCGTACGACTTGACGCCGTCATTTGTCTCGCAGATATTGGGCTAGCATTGTCATTCAATTACCGTCAAAGGAAGAAGGGTCCGTCACGCACCTCCTTGTATGTGATAGTCACGTTCTCGTGAAACTTGGATTGGAGCGTCTTGATGCCTTTGGGTGGCGGCGGGAATTGAGCAGTGACCAGGCTCGTCAGGGCGCTCAACGCCAACGTCGTCGAGACATACATGCTCGAACTGTCAGTTTGCTTTTTTCAATGGACGTTATGAGAGGTCAAGGTGGAGGTGGAGTCTCGGAGATGGAAGACGCACGTCGATCCTCCAGATTGATGGCGGCGGACTTGATCCTGCTTGACGGTTTCAGCACCGATATTGAGGATTTAACACGTTCGTAGGAAAGATGGTCTTTGAAGGGTGATCTCGTCAATGGAACCTTTTGTCGCCCTTTATGTGTCTGTAAGATAGGCTCCAATGTAGAGGAATGATAAGCACGCGCCCGACAGGCTGCAGGCTTGATCACACTTCGATACCCGTATGTGGACGGAACGTACATGTGTATCGACAAAGATCAAACATATGCACCTCTGTGAGTGGGTGAGAACATGGTGTCGCCTCTGAATGAGACTAGATGTATCTAGCACAGGTCTTCAGTCAGGCGAATGAACAGGAAAAGTCTAATGGCATTCAAGTTTTCGATAGTCTATACACGGCCGCCTTCTCAGCCCCAACGCCACTCATAGCTTGCTCTTTGCCCGATTGTCCTTTTTCAGAATGTTATTGTTGTCCGGGTACGGGTCAAAGACAACCTTGTTGAGCGGGTTCAGCTCGCTCGCGCGGTGGAACATGTCCTCGTAGACATTGCCATCGTAGCGACCGAGACTCGAGTCGAGCTGCCAGTCCGGGAAGCTCCAGGAGTCCGCGAGGCGGACGGCGTGGGGCCGGACGTCCTCGAGGAGCTTCATGACGGCCTTGCGCGAGAGCTGAATCTGGCGCACCGTCGTCGCGCTGCTCGAGAAGAACTCGGACGCCTCGCGCTCCAGGGTGTGCAGCGCAAAGAGGCGGAAGAGCTTGTGGAGGACGCCCGTGGTCTGGCGGTCGAGCGAGCCGGGCGCCGACTCGGCGGCGAGGGCGTCGTAGAAGGACTTGACCACCATGTACTGCGCGTGCGCCGTGCTCAGGCGGTGGAAGTCGACGAGGAGGCTGTTCCACGACTGCTTGTCCGCGTCGCGGTGCTGCAGCGCCTCAAAGGTGAGGTACGCCACGCGCCAGGCAAAGGCGTCGACGAGATCCTTGTCGGACGTGAGGATGTCAAAGGCGGCGCCCGTGTCCCGGCGCGCCAGGAAGGCCTTGAAGCTCCGCGAGGTGTCGTTGTCGCCCGCGGTGCCCTCGAGCACGGCGCGGGCGGTCTTGAGCAGGTAGCGGCAGACCTGCTGCGTCAGCATGTAGTTGTCGCCCTCCCAGGTGAGGGTGGGCAGGTAGTCGGCAAACCAGGTCCCGATGCCCGAGAAGGAGCTGTAGCCGTGGCCGCCACAGGCACGGCGGCAGACCTCGAGTCCCTCGCCCGCCACGGTGCTGCCGTAGGCCTTGAGGGCGCACGACGTGGCGTGCAGGTCGGCAAGCAGGTCGGTGCCCGGGTTGATCTCCTCGGGGCCCGGTCGTCGGTTGGCATCGCTCAGCTGCCCGGCATCCTGGCCGGCCGCCATCCTCTTCTGGGCCTCCTCGTACATGTTGATCATGCTGCGTCCTGTAAAGTGGAGCGCGAACGTGGCGGCGAGGAGGGGCAGCAGGCGGTATTGCACCATGGTGTAGTTGATGACCTGGTTCTCGCCCACGTTGCCCTTGGCGTCGAGATCCTGGAACTGGCGGCGCACGGCACAGTAGCGCGTGGCAATGGTGACGCCACGCGCCAGGACCGAGCCGGACTGCAGCACAATGTTGCTGCGGACCCAGGTGAGGGTGCCGTACACGGCCGAGGGGTTGGAGGGCCGCTGGTACCTCCCTGACTGCGGGTCGACGTGGGAGAACTTTGCGAGCATGTTGACGTGCGGCACCTTGACCTGGTTGAGGAGGAGGAAGCCATTGTCCATGGTGTTGTAGCCGAACTTGGGGCCAATGTCGCCCACGTGGACGTTCTCCAGGGGCTCGTGGGTCTGGAGATCTCTGATCTGGACGACAAAGGGGTGCGGGCCGAAGCGCTTGCCATCAATGACGAGCTGCGCCATGACGACGGCGTGGTTGGCGACCTTGCCGAGCGAGCCGATCCACCACTTGGACGAGGTGAGGTGCGGCGAGTGGAGGACAAACGTCTTGTCGCTCTGGTTCCAGGTGGCCGTCGTCTCCAGGCCGCGGACGTTGGAGCCGTGGCCGAGCTCGGTCTGGGCGTAGCACCCGATGATCTTGTACTGCTCGGCCTTGTCGAGGAAGAGCTTATGCTGCTCGGGCGTGCCCTGGTCGCGCAGGGTCTTGAGGAACATGGAGGCGTGCAGACCGTACGGGGTCGGCTCGCTCAGCAGGTCGTTGGCGATCATGTACTCGTCCTGGGACCAGTTGTGCTCGAGCTGCAGCTGGCGCAGGCGCTTGGCCTTGGCCAGGGAGGCCTCGATGCGCGCCTCGCGGCCCTGGAAGTAGTTTTGGGACTTGTCAAAGACGGGCTCGGCAGTGAGGATCTTGAGCACCCGCTCGCGCGTCTCGAGCTCATTCTTGCCAAACAGGTACTCGGCGAGCTGGTCGGTGTCGAGGTTGCTGCTCGCGCGTTCCGTGGCCAGCAGCTCGCTCCCTTGCGGCGAGGCCACGACCAGCTTCTTCACCCACTCTGGGTTGGGCGACATGGCGACTGTGGTGTTGGGGGGCGTGTTGTGAGGTAGACTTGATCGCGACGAACGAACAGACGGTGGCTCGAACTGTTCAGAAACGCGGTGGGAGAGCGAAGCGACTCCGGCTTTTTGAGACTCCAGGGCATCTGGCCCAATTTAATCCATCGTCGTCAATACCGAGCCGAGGCTGTCTGCTCGTTAGCCTCCAACAAGCCACGCCACGGAGGCTCCGCTTTGCCAATCCAGCCAACGTTACCGAGCCTAGGCCTGCCTCCATCCTTCCTGGCAGCCGGTCGAGGCATCATGGATTCCAGTGCATCGCTGGCATGAGCCTCAGCTCAGGCTATCTATCTATCGTACGCATATGCTCATGCCATCTGATCATCTGATAGCCGAGGAGCGCTGCTCACCACTGGACCCAATCGAACCACACGTGGCATATTCCATGTCGCTGTCACATTATATACTTGTATGTATGGAGGGAGTACTGATCATTTCCTACGCCCGCCCACCCTCGGCTGGCGTCACCTCCTCCGACATCGCCGGGGTCTCCTTGAGCAGAGTGGTTCGGTCCGTGATGCCCTCATGCCTCACCCCCAGAGACCCTTGACCACCACCTTCAGCTTTATCTTCCCCTTCGATACCCTCCTCGTCTAAAATGTCCCCCGTCGGCCCACTGCTCCTCACTTTGTCGATGGACTGCACGTCGCTATCCTGATCTACGTGTTCCACTCCCTTGGTGTGGCTCTCTCCTGGCGCGGCTGCACTCGCGCTCTTCACGCTGCTACCCTCACTGACATCTTTGCTGTCCGGGCTCTGCACCCTCAGGCCCAGGTCTCTCTCTTTATCCACCTCGCCGGTCCATGGAGCCGGTCGGTTCTGAGCAATGGGCGTTCCCAGCTCAGGCTCGACCACGGGCTCTCCGCCCTCGTCTGCTACCCGCCACACCACGGCCAGTCTATCCAGCGCGCGCGCGCCTTTCCTACTTGTTCCCTTTATGCCGTCCATGGCGTCCCAGTCTATTGAAAAGACGCCGTTCGTATCAGGTTTGTCGTCCTTTTCCGACCTTTGGCCCTCAAAGAATACATTGAACCAAACATGCCCCACAGCCGAGACCATGGTCAACCCCATGCTCTTGTTGGTTTTGTTTCGTCTCTCAACGGAAATATTCACGTCGCTCGTCGGTATGCGGACCGGTGTCTTCGGCTTGAGGATGACGGCCATGCCACCAGGTTCCGCTTCCTCCTCCTCGCTGTCGAGGCTTCTTTGGTCGGCAAACGTCATGCTCTTCAGCTTGCCAACCTGCCGGGCTGACGTGGACGATGCCATCTTGATGAGCTCCGCCGGTCGTTTCCTCCGCTTGTGTTCCTTGCTTTCGCTCGACGAGTCGTCGTCCCCAAGATTTGTCGCCTCAGATAGATCCGCCTCCTCGGGGGCCTTGTTCTGCTTCGTCTTGTCGGTGGCGTAGCCCGCCATCTCCCAGACCACGTCGCTCAATCCCGGACCAGGAGGCGCGTCGCCCTCTACGACAACCCTCTCGTCTTTTGTAAATGTGTGAAAGGTCGAGATCTTCTTCCCCTCGTCCTCAAAGCCCTCAATGTCCACCTTGACGCCGTTTCTCAGTCCCCAGACGTGCACCTCCACAATTTCGATCGGTCGGTCAATGTACTGTTTCCCGCTTTTGGTCCACTGATCGACGTATGCCACCCAGCGTAGCTGTGACGGGATGGACACGCCAGCCCCAAACTGTGGTCTCATTCTTCGCGCAGTGAACCTCGCCAACGCATCCTCTGCCGTCCAGCCCTCCTCGGATATGAGATAGCTGCAGCTCATGCTTCCACTTCTCCCCTTGCCTGCTTTGCAGTGCACCACCACGACCCTGTCCTTGTTCCGCTCTGACGTCACGTCCTTCTTCTTCATGAGGTCCTCGTCGCTGTGAGCATCCAGGTCCCCGCCGTGCAGCCAGTTGCGCATGCTCCCCATGATCATGGGCACCATCCTGAACGGAGGGGGGTGGTGGTCAGGCCACGGATAATGTCGTATCCGGTTGTAGACGAGCTCATCAGGGTATCCCGTGCCCTCGGCGCGAAACTCCCATATCGCCCAGTTGTCGCCATGCTTCTCGTCCAGGAACGCCACGAGGTGGTCGAGGGGGTTTCGGTAGGCGCGTTGCGGGTAGGTCTGTGAGGGGCCGGATGTGGCGACGATGTAGTCGGTGATGTACGAGAGGTCAAGGCCAGAGTCGGCATGTCGTGCGCGGGGCCCAGCCACGATTTGTCGAAGGATAGAGGCCATGTCTATTGCCGACCAGAGGCAATCAGAAGGCCGGGTGGCCCTGGCGGGAATAGACACGGTACTGTAGAGGCTGTAGAGCGCAGTAGAGACTGGTGATTGTCTGCCGATACTCGAAACTGGTCGCAAACCAGGAAAGAGGGCAGTAGGCTTCAGCTGATGAAGGAGAAGGTCTGGGTATCCAACTTTTAGAAGCTCGAGAAAGTTTCACAAGGAACTGACCGACTGTCATAAGTACCTTAGCAGTTGGGAACTGAAGTCCCGCCTCGATGAAGCTGGCCAGGGCAGCTGCGACGGGAGCGACCACTGGCGACGTCATTCCCTGAAGCTCAGGCTGGGCACGCATCTAGCCCCACCAAGCATCATAAGTAAGGTATGGCACTGGCACTGGGGCTTGAGACGAAAGACACCTGACAATCGCGTCTAGAGAGAAATTGTTCAGAACCCATCCTCGTGGAGGATAGTAACGAGGTAACATTTGTCGTTCATCATATCGCCAACAGTCAAGTCAACACCTGCGAATCACTAGCAGACCCCTTTTCCGAACCATAACTACCCCTCTACCCAACCCAAAAAGCAAATCAACTGCAGAGCAAACGTAGGGCAAACGCATCGCAAGCAAGAGAATCCCCCTCTCAGTCCCGTTCATCATCGCAAGACGGCCATTCATGGCACTACCACTGCAGCCCAGTGCCACCCGTCACATGGCTCACTCCACCCTCGCCCTGGGTATCGTATCACCATCATCTGTCATGTTTTCTTTCTTTTGCAGGCTCCATCCATCGATAGACCTCTGATGACTTCAGTCGCTCCTGTGGAAGCTAACCTTACGGGAAGCTTGCCCAATGTGCTTCAAGTGTCCGCACATCACCACCTGAAGCCCGCTAGGCTCCTATCGCGTCGGTAGATAAACTCCTTACGAGGTCTTCTTGGCGGGTCCGGCGCCACCAATGTACTTGCTGACATCCGTGATGTCGACAAACTGCCTAGAGGCGTTCTTCACGCCGTCCCAGACCTGGCGAGCGGCAGGGGGCGTCCCCTGCGCACCGACGAGCGCGTCAACGCGGGCGCCGAGCTGAGCAAACGAGTTCTTAATGTGCGTGCTCTGCGAGAAGCGGGCACGCAGAAAGGCAGTGTACAGGACGATCAGGATCCACGAGCGGCGCTGGAAAAGGATGGCGGAGAAGAGGACGCGGAACCAGAGGAGGATCTCGAGACCGGACACGACGGCCATGCTGGCGTCGTAGTACTCCTTCACAAAGGCGCCAATCTGGGCCGCGAGAGGGCTGTCCGTCTTCACCTTGGCCGCGGCAGACGCGCCGTCGCCGACATTCTTGGGCGGCGAGATGGTCGGGATCAAGTTGGCGCGGGTGTACGTCGCAAAGTGGAAGACGGAGTAGACACAGTACGGCAGGAGGGCGAGAGGGTACTGGGGCGAGAAGAGCCAGACAAGGGCGAGCACTGGCACACATTAGCGGGGTCGATTCGTACTGGCTGAACGCTTCGTCTACTCACACAGGTACTGGACATTCTCGTCAGACAGAAGTCCGAGGGCGCTGGGAGGAGCCTTGGCGCCACTCTTTGCCCTCGCGCGCTGGGTCTTGTAGACCACGATACCGTAGGTGAGCGCCGCGGCGACGAAGGAGGTTCGGTAGCAGAACTGGGCCATGCGGGTGTAGTAGTTCATGCGGATCCATGAAAGTGCATAGCGGAAGGTCGTGAAAAGGAGAGTGACGTGTCTGTTTGTGTTAGCTTTCCGTCCTGGCGTTGTTGGTTTTCGTAATGGTGTTGCAAGAAAGCCTCCCTCCTCGATGTGGTTGCTCGTTATTGGCATGTGCGGATGGCGGGGAAGCTCGGTGCGGGCAAGCAGGATGACAAGCGAACTTACCCAGCAAACCAAGCGACTGTTACTGTTAGCGATTGCTTTCGACAAACAAAAAAGGCGGAGTGAAGGCGACAGAAAGCTTGCTTGGGCAACAGAGAGCTTCCAGCGTCGCCCCGTCATCACACGACCAGAAAGACCACGTACACTGCAGGGTTTGGACCAGAGCGAGCACCCGCTCTTGAAGCGGGAGGTTAGGGTTCGGCGCAGGAGCCATGGTGAAAGTAGATGCGAAATGTACAAGGTGCTGTCTGCTATGTTGTCGGTAAATGAGGCGTGAGTCAAGCTGTCGGTGCGTTTGGGGATGAAGTAGTTGGTAGGAAAAGAGGAGAATCACCAGAGGTCCAGGTGGTGGAGGGATGGACCTTGAGGTAGTGGTGGGTGGGTGCGGCGAAGAACCAACCCCCCACTCGAAACACCAGCCTGCGTAACTAGGGCCGCCAAAGTGACGCAGAACATGCCTGTGCTGCCGGGCTGCAGTGCATCTCGAGTTCCAGTCCCGTTACTGACGATCATACAGCCCTATTCTGATCCGCTGCCATGGCTCCTAACTTGCCTGACCAAATTCACGACCATCGCTTCACCTTATCTCAGATCTGTCCTCCACCGGTACGAGGGCCCATTGCGTCATGACCAAAGCTGGTTTGCCTACCCGGTACAAAAATATGCTTTCTGTTCTTCATATCACCCTCACTGTCTCAAGGTATTTTGGCCTCAACTACTGGTAGCTTACCTAGTGTGTTGAATACATCGCTATCGGTTGAAACCCTGCTTCAATGCATCGGTTTGCCATATTCCGCAAGCCTTCTAAGCTCGTGTGCCCGGTGATGAAATCTAGACGCTACAGATCGCGCCCTCTCGTCATCGCCCGCCGCTAAAAGCCCCATTAGGTCCAGGTCCGACACTCGAGGGGCTGCTAGTCGGAATTTATGACGGCAGGGAGTTTTTGTATTTGTATGGTTTTCAGGGGCACTGTGACGCACTCTTCTGGATATGGATTTCATTTCTTGGCCAAAATTGTGGGCATTTGGGTTGATCTGCAATACATCACGTACGGCGCTGCCATAGACATGTCGATTTGTGCATACCAAGACGCGTCACACAGTGGCTTTCCCAAGTTAGGGTACTTGTGAACAATACTTGAATTACGATGCGTCTGGACGGGATATCTATCGTGTATGTCCGACCTTAAAACTAGAAGATGGCTTTCGTGTCTGGCTACGCACGCATCGTGGAAAAGGGAGGTTGAGCAATGACGGAGCCCCTCCAAAACCGCCACCTGAAATTCTGACTCGACCCAGGGACGAATTTCTAGGACAGCCTCAATTTCCCATCTTCAATAGACTACCGTCGGACTTGCTATCACTCATTCATAGCCTCAGGACCGTTCTCTGCCCGCTCATTCACTCCCTTCGCAATGCCTAAAAAGTTGACACGCCAACCCACGCTCCCTATCTCATCCACACAGCCTCCCGCCTCCCTTACAGAAGGCCCGCTGCCCAAACTCATAGTCTTCGACCTCGACTACACCCTCTGGCCATTCTGGGTCGACACGCACGTCACACCACCCCTCAAACCAAACAGCACACATTCTGCCGCGACAGATCGGTACGGCGAGGACTATGCATTTTACGAGGACGTGCCCAGCATCCTGCAGGCTCTGCCCACCCTGGGAGAGGGTGTGAAAATCGGCGTGGCGTCGAGGACGTCAGCGCCCAGCCTGGCGAGGGACCTTCTCAAGCTATTGCATCTGCCTCCCAGCACCGACGGCGAGAAGGTGAAAAAAGCAGGCGATGTGTTTGATGCGGGTATGGAGATTTACCCCAGCTGCAAGATCCGTCATTTCGAAGCGTTGCACAGAAGGACGGGTTTAAAGTACGAGGACATGCTGTTCTTCGACGATGAAGCACGGAATAGAGACACGGAAACTCTAGGAGTCACCATGTATCTGGTCAGGGATGGTGTCACGTGGACAGAGGTTGAGAAGGGCGTGGCCGAATGGCGCCGGAGACGAGGTTATAAAGCACAATAGAGCATATAGCGCCGATGTACACAGATCTATAAACAGAGACAATGATGATGATGATGATGGTGATGATGATGATGATTGGTGATATCCACAGTGCGTGTGTATGTTTCCAATCGCTGGTTTTCCTCCATGCCGTTCCCCGATGGTGTCGTGTGCCGGGTATCGTACGTAAAAGTAGTCGTCGTCTTCGGTTGAGCGAATGGCATCGTCTGCCCTTCCAAGCTCAAACAGCGGGTGCATCAGGCCCGCTCGCAGGCTGCTCTTCTTTATCTTTGATATCAAGTTTCTTCCACTCCTCCCCGTTGGCAATTGTGTCGTCGGACGAGTGCTTTTCCTCTATGGTTTTGAGAACCTCGGGATCAGGCACAACGCCGTTCATCTTCTGATGGGGGACTGGGGGCCACACTTTGGGAATCGTGCAAATACGTTCATGGACCTTCTTCCCGTCGCGCCGGCCGTGGAGCACACATGCCATCGTCTTGCCGCCGTCAATCTCTTCCCACAATAGAGGGCCGGTCGGGAACGAAGTGTAGCCGTTCTCCCACTCGAGGACGCCCTCGAATTCCGGGTCAGGCAGAGGAAGCTTCCCAAACTCAAAGTCCAGCTCGCCACCGTACTTCTTGGGGATGTTCTTAATGTCGATGAAGCTCTCGAGCGTGGGCTTGACCTCATTCTCGTTCAAGATGAAGATTTTGGACACAGTAATGGGATCAAACCACCTCTTGATCCACCCCCAAACGGTATTAAAGAACATGGGCGCGCCAATAATGAAGATCCGATCCAGTGTTTCTGGATAATATGCTGTTGCGAGCTGCGATGCAGACTGCATATGTGTCTTGAGATTCCAAAATTGCTTCAGTCCCACACCCGAGATGTCTACAACGTTGTTACACATGGTGATGGGCACTTCGGGGTACTCCCTGTTCTTGAGCTGTGTGCAGAGGGGCTGGTTGAAGCGCGTCAGGTTCTCGTAGAGGGAGAAGAGGCGAAGCATCCCAGAGGGTGTTTTGCCGTCCGTTTTCGCATCAGAGAAGGTCTGGTTGCCGAGGCGCTCATATTCAGAGACGGTTTTGGCGTCAAGGGGCTTGACCTCGTAGACGTAGACGGGGATGCCGCGGCGATCACGACGACCAATCCATTGAGGGTACTTTAAGGTTTGTTAGTACGCGTATACGGACGGCCAAGGCCTCGACGTCGGGATGGATGATTACCAAGCGCCTGCTTTGTTCGTAGGCATCAATTTCGATGGTGCGGTACAGAACATCAATGTCGTTAGCGACGCGCCAGTCCTCGGTATCTTTGAATTGCGTAAAGGCATCTTCGGGCACCCATCGGCGGGCACGGAGGAAGCGCCTGCACAGCGTCAGTCAACGTATTGGTCCTGCGCGCGCGCGCTCTCACGGGGTGGGCTACGTACAACAACGTGGGGTCGTCATGCGAGGCGGGAGGCCCGTGTTTCCAGTACCCTCTCTCCTCCAAGATTGCTCTGAATTTGTTGAGCGCCTCCTCTTCGCTTTGCGTCAAGTGACCCAGGTGGCCATTGGGGTAGGACTGCGCCTGCACGGCGGATGGGTCATCGGAGGGGTGCGCCGGGTCGGCGATGGCGTTGCTGTTCATATTGAGGGACGGGGGATGAGTGAGCTCGTCTTCTGGCGCGTTGTTCGTCGAGGATATGGGGAGAGAGGAAGGGAGGCGAGGCGATTGGGGGTAGACTGGATGGTCAGGAAAATCGGGAGGATTGACGTTGGTTCTGGTCTCACGGACTCGCGTTGTCAGCACGAGAGGAAACTTTAATCATTGTCGGGCTTCGGGGTTTTAGCTGAGAAGGCGAGACGAAACGGGAACTCGCTCTCTCGAGTGCTCCACTGATGTGCGCCTGCCAGTCCGCAATTGCTGATTCTTCAGGTCCGGGATTGTCGGCTCTATCTCCACACATTTGTTATCCTGCTGACCTCGTATTCTGTACTCATGACTCTATCAGACAACATGAAGCTTATTTTCTTTTCTTCTCTCCTCTTCTCCATGCTCTACTCGGTTGGACTCTACACTTAGCTTCCACAGCTCCCACCGCGAGTCGGTCTAGTGCACAGATGCATGGGAGGCTTGAGTCGTGACGTCGTCCATGCCGTGTCGGACAACGGACTTGGCACGTACTCCGTTCGATTTGCAGCGATGAGAGTCAAGATCATGCGGACGCCTACATTGGCAAGACAGAGTAAGCCCGAAAAGCAATGACTGATGTCAGGCGGGTATTGGATGCCCTTGCCATATTTCACTTGGCAGCGAGCAGCATATGGTGTTGAGTGCATGTTTCCGAGAGCAGCCAGCCTTCTACCGGTAGTCTATGACTAGGCTGGAAGTATTGGAGTCGCCCAGGGCTGATGCAGCGATACGTACCATTGCCCCTGGTGAGAGGTCCCCTATCCGTACTCACTCCGGACAATCATAAACACATGCATTCGATGATGATCAGATCCGCGCTACTGATGCAGGATCGCAAACCTTATCTATGCGTCTCGACTCTCGGACCTTGATAAGGTAAGGAATGATTATTCAACAACGAGGGGAGCGAAGAATTCTCACTTTGTCAATGATTCACAATGTGAGAAACAAATCTCCCGTTGGTCTGTTACAAAGGCGCTGTTGATTGTCAATTATAGTGATTTCACTGTACCGACCAAGCTCAAGCTCCGGCTGCAATGGCGCCCATCTTGCGGTGAGATCATTCAGTGCCCCGTGGCGCGAGCATCTCCCTTGGTTCCTTGGGTCACCCTGCGCCCATCTGAGGGTTCGAACAGCTCTTGTGCGATAATGAACAACTCATTTCTCACTGCTTACACGTGAGCTTGGCATCGACAAATGTTATACCCACGAAGTGTCGCTGCGCGAACCCACTGCCGGCCTCGCACTCTAAAGTCTGAACCGAGGTTACACTGGGCTCCACTCAATCCGACTGCATACTGCCGAGAGCAATGTGCAACCCTCCAGTCTTCTCCCGTTCTATTAAACGAATTCGAGTCATCTGTTCTCATTCATCACCCTCTTCGCCTTCGGCAAAGACACCGGAGACATGGCTCCATCACTGGTCGAACAGGTCTCTGTGGACAAATTGGGTCCTAATGAGTTCGTCTCCAAAGCACTGCCTATCCACATGGGCAACGCATCGCCCATGGCCTACGGTGGATGCGCCCTAGCGATTGCGATGAGCGCCGCGTATGCCACCGTGCCCGAGTCGCTTGTTCCGTACTCCATGATGGGCCACTTTCTCGGGCCCGCGTCCACAGATCGCAAGTTGTACGCTTCAGTCACGCAGACGCGGAACGCCAGGTCCTTTGCGACTCGGCGCGTGGAGATCAAGCAGAAGTTGGACAACGGCAACTTTCGAAGCTGTCTAGAGGCCATGATTGATTTTCAGATACGTGAGCCCTCGCTGTTTGAATACTCCACGCCTACCTGGGATCGATGGCCGAAGCCAGACGATTGTCCTTCCCTTCTGTCACACGCCGAGAGCCTCAGGGCGCGAGGTCTCGCCACACAACAGGAAGCCGACCACTTTGCCAAGACATTCAGCGCGAACGCTGAGCTGTTCGAATCGAGATACTGCACAAACGGCGTGTCTGGGCAGAACCTGGGAGGTGTCGCGAAACATGCCCCCACGATGCAAGACAACCTGCCCATCACGTACAGGACGTCGGCCGAGTGGCAGCGAGCCCTCTGCGAGCTCAAGACGCCGGCTGAGAATTTTGCCGCCTTGGCCTTCCTGATGGATGCGGCACTTTCGTTCTTGCCGCTCACATTCATGAACATGTTCCTCGACGACGTCGGTGCGTGCGCGAGTCTGGACTTTGCGTTGCGCATGTTCGTCGGGGACCTGAGACTGCAGGACTGGCTCTTGAAGGAGAGGTCCACCTCCAGGGGAGGTGAGGGCAGGACGTATAGCGAGGGGAGGTTGTTTGATGAGCGTGGGCAGATGGTCGCTTCAATGACACAGCAGAGCATCATGAGGGCGAAACCTGATTCGAGCAAGTCAAAGATCTAGGCGATAGGAAGGTGGTGGTAGTGATAGAGAGTCAAGCATGGACATATATTATAGACATGATCTGCGACCAATAGTCTTGCATATCACATTGACAGGTGCGACCATATAGTGCAGCGCGTCCAGCATTCCAGTGGCTCGAGCCAATGGCCACGATCACGTAGACGAGTAGGATAAGGGATGACTCGGTGTATTTGCAGAGAACCAATGTTCTATCCGAGTCGCGGGCTTCACATTCATTCATGCGATTTGCACCTGTCTCTGAGCAGCGGCCATGTGAACTTTATTAACAGAGAGGTGGACAGCCTCGATACGAACACTCGAGCCGTCACACACACGCAATGATTTGACTGAAACATCACTTGCAGTCTTTGGTACAGGCCCTTATCACGACCGCGGAAGTACGCAGTATAAAGGGCCGAGGCGCGAGGGTCGAAGGGCCCTGATGAAATGCCACGTGGGTGGACTGGAGTCATAGACCCCGGACCCCGGACGACAGTCCCACTGCTTCCGTCACGGCTCGGCCTCGGATCCCACCGTGGGTGTGTCCCTGGAGGCTGGAAGTAATCATGACAGGACCGACGAACAAGTGAGAACATCCGAGCACCCCCCTTGCGCAACGATGGTATGAAATTTGGCATCCAAAGGGTAAAGATTTGACCTAATGATGAGAATTGATAGCACCGGGAAGTATCCCCCGGGCCTCCAGTGTGGTTGGCGCTCCTGAAGCGAAGCGCGTACTCGCGATTCCCCGAATCCAGCCGTTGGCTTTTCTTGGCTTGGACCGCATCGGGAATACTGCAGGATTCGTAGTTACGAAACACAAGCAGGTAATTACATGTAGGATTCTGTGGTAGCATTGTTCCTATTGCTGACCTTGGAACTCTCACAGCCTGCCGATTTTCTGTTAACTACTCGATGGCTTCTGATTTGCACTCGGCCTGTTGGAATCTCAGGCTACATGCGCAGAGGGCGGGCCATCCCGAACTCGAACGCAATCAGGCGGATCGTGGACTGTCGAGACAACTCACAACCTGTAGGCATCGAGGCTGGGGAGAACGCCTCAAGGGTTTCTTACATTACCATACGATACACGGTGCTTGCCATGAGTGCCGATCACCACGAAGGCCAACTCCAACAAGTGACTTTCTGGTGATAATTTCGCAGATGCTCAGTCACAATTTAACTCGAGCGTCTGATACGCGCCAAAATATAGAAGTGATCATTGGAATCACTCCAAGTGGATTGCCGCATCGTGGGTTATAGGCACCATGTCAGATTGCCAACTCAAGTTCTATGAGCGCGGTTGCACGAGACTACCCTACAGCCACATGTCGGATTACCACCTTTGGCGACCAACATGCTCGCCCAGGTTCTTTCTTGAGCATCGCATTCAACGAAAAATACTTACCGAGTTTAAAAGTTTAATAAATTTACTAAGGCTTTACATAAGATGGGGGCGGTTGAAGGTATTCGCAGGCTGGGAATGCCGGCACGGTGGCTTGTGTGAACGAAATCCGTCGGTATGAAAATGTTCACTAAACACAGAACACAGGCTTCGCAGACGCATTTGCCCAATCTTGGACGCAAAAGATGCTCCAAGGTCGGTGCGGTGTTCATAATGGGACGCAAGTGTAGAGGGCGGCTGCAGATTGAAGCACAGCTTCCTCCTTCGCGTGCATCAATGGTTCGATCAATATCCAGGAATATGAATCGCCTGATCGACCAAAGGGAAGATGGGCGCACAGATCGAGGTACGTTTCTGGGTTATTAACAATGAGTAGCTTCGCCTGCCACCTGCAGGTGTGACTGCGTTTCGTAGATTGACCGCGACAGAAGACGAGGCTAGCGAGTGCCATCGCGTGTATTTCGAGGCTATCATGACGTCGTTGGAGCAGCTGCTTGCTCGAAGTTCGAAGGAGCATGCAATGCACCGTACCGGGTTAGCGCGGGATTGCGACCCCTGGGAACCGGGGCCCTGTGGGGGGCGGGGAATTTAGCATCTCAATCTCAGCGACTTAGGAATCTTGGACTCATCTGTCTGGCTGAAGAGTGCAGAAATTGACTTCAGTGACAAAAAACCACTGCTGAATCTGTGTTAGCCTGCCTCGCTTGATTCGAGGCTTCATGTAGTCGGCTCCACTACTCGGGTGAAGACCGTTGGGAGACGGGACTGACGCACTTGGCATCGACATGGAGTTCCCAGCCATCCACCTGGCTTCAAGCTGACCTGCCTTTTAGTTGATGACTACATTTTTCGGTACCGCGTTCAAGGAGAGATAGCGTGCCATCTATCTCGTAACCTCTGGTGCCATTTCGAATAAGTGCTATCTACGTGTACACAGTTGGAGATCCTCAGGCTCCGACTACAGTGGGGTCTCGAAACCAGCGAGTACCGGGGCTCTGCTACCAGGTAAGCAAGGTACGCGCAGCCAACCTCCCCCTTCAAACGCGCCTGACTGTACCATCGCACATCTTCAATCCTTCCGCGATACCGCGGCTAGTTGGTCAGCCTTACAACTTCAACAGCTTACCTCCACCCACACCCCCCCTTGCTTACTGCCAAAGTCCCCCCTGTCCAAAGCTGGCTGGAGCTCTCGACAATTATGCACATCGAGCCTTGATTGCCAATCCGCACTCGCGCCACGATGGTGCTCGCCGAAAGACCCTGGTTTCTCACGTTGAGCTTTGTGTCGGATCATGAATTCCCACCGTTGATCGAGATTCCTTCACACATGCACCATGGATGCACATGCTGATGTAGACGGACACGCCCTTCTGAGCGTGGCTATCGAGGATCTGTAATCCGCCATCGCGCGAGCTCGACAAACCTAGGATTTGCATGCGTAGATCTTGAAATCCTCAACCTCTCATCATCACCTTTTTCGATCTCACAGTACCCTTCCCAGTGGCAAGAGACGATACTGCTCGTCCCCTCGTTGTAACAACACGCAGCGAGTCTGCATACGGATACTCGACTTTGAGTTGCTTGGCGACCTACGACCATTATCACCAAGTTCGATTCAGTCGCCTCCATCCGATAGATACCCATTTTATGTACTTTACTTTACAACCTACGAATTCGAACGAAGAAACTGCAGTCATGGAGCGCAACATGAGGTCCGCGGAACCCGCCGACAGACTGCCAATTGACCCCGTCCAGCAGTGCCTCGAATGGAACAGCCAGTTTCCTGAGATTGTTGACACGACCATCCACCAATTGATCGAAGCCCAGGCAGAGGCTCGGCCAGAGGCTGTAGCTATCCGCGCTTGGGATCGCGAGCTTACCTACAGCGAGCTCGACCGCGCCGCCAACCGCCTAGCAAACTACTTGGTTAGCCAATTGAAGGTGAAGCTCGAGGAGATTGTTCACGTGTGCTTCGAGAAGACAGCATGGTACTTTGTGGCCATTCTGGCCATCAACAAGGCCGGTGCCGTTTGGGCCCCGCTCGATCCCTCACATCCTTCTCAGCGCTGTCAGCAAATCATATCGCAAACCAAGGCGCGGATTATCCTTTCATCACCGAGCAATGCTGAGCTGTGCGGCAGCCTTGTTGAGACCGTGGTTGAGGTCACGCCACGATTCGATGTTCAACTGAAGCGCGATGCAAGCGCCAGCGAGAAAGGACCGGACTCTGGAGTCGGGCCCAGGAACGCAGCGTACATTCTCTTCACAAGTGGCAGTACAGGAACGCCAAAGGGCTTTGTGATGGAACACGGGTCGGTGTGCACCAGTCAGACAGCCATTGGACGTCGCCTAGGTCTCTCGTCCGACGTACGGATACTTCAGTTTGCGACCTTTGTCTTTGATCTCTCTATCGGTGAGATCATTGGACCACTAATATTCGGTGCCACCTTGTGTGTGCCATCCGACGAGACCCGGATGAACGGGCTCCCTCAGTTCATCCACGACCAGAATATTAACTGGGCCTATCTGACCCCGGCGTTCACTCGCACGCTCAACCCCGATGACTTTCCTGGGCTTGAACTGTTGCTGCTTGCCGGCGAAGCTGTCGGAAGAGACGTCCTGGAGACGTGGTTCGGCAAGGTTCGCTTGATCAACGGTTGGGGACCAGCAGAGACCTGTGTGTTCTCAACGCTACATGAATGGAAGTCAGTCGCCGAGTCCCCATTGACCGTGGGCACGCCCATAGGTGGACTGTGCTGGATCGTTGACCCAGAGGACCCTTCGAAATTGTGCCCTATTGGTGCTGAGGGTGAGGTTATGATCCAGGGTCCTACTATTACACGTGAGTATCTCGCGGATCAGGAAAAGACCGAAAAGTCTATGGTCCGAATACTGCCTGCCTGGGCCCCCAAGCGCGACTCGCCGTACTACAACAGGCTCTACAAGTCCGGCGACTTGGCAACGTATAACGAGGATGGAACGATCAAATTCGCCAGCCGGAAGGATACACAGGTCAAGATCCGTGGCTTGCGCGTTGAGTTGGGCGAGGTTGAGCACCACGTGCGGACGAGATTGCAAGGCGCACGCCAGGTGATTGTGGACGTGCTCAAGTCCGACAGGAGCGTAACTCTGGTGGCCTACTTTTGTTTCAGCGAAGATACTCGACCCAGCGCCACCATGTATGATACGCCCAACAACGACGACAATACCGTTTTCCTACCGATCGATGCCGACCTCGAGAAACAAATAAACACCATGACCCACGAAATCAGCTCGATGCTCCCGAACTACATGATTCCCACTCTCTTCATTCCTTGCCGCTATATGCCTCTGATCACCTCAACCAAGGTTGATCGCAAGGGTCTCCAGGCCAAGACGGCCAGCCTCAGCCAGCAGGATCTGGCTGCTTATTCACTTCAAAACACTGACAAGACTCCGCCTCAAACACCAATGGAGTTCCGTCTCCAGAAGATCTGGGCACAAATCCTGATGCTGGATGCAGACACAATTGGGCGCGATGATAACTTTGTCCGGTTCGGTGGTGATTCGATTGCTGGTATACGCTTGGTGAACACGGCTCGGGCTGAAGGGATCCTTCTCCAGGTGAAAAAGATCTTTGACGATCCGCGCTTGTCCGCCATGGCGGCTACTGCCGTCGAGCTCGACGCCGCGAACTTGGCGGATGGTGAAATCGGCCCCTTTAGTCTCATCTCCCCTGGTCTTCGGGATAGTGTCACAAGCGAGGAAGTTTACAAGCAGTGCCGTCTCGACAAGGAGCACATCATTGAAGATGCTTATCCCTGCTCGCCGCTTCAGGAGGGACTTATGGCTTTGGCATTGAAGAATCCGGGCTCCTACATCGCCAAGTGGATCTACAGACTCCAGCCAGAAACCGATGTTGCCCGTTTCAAGCTCGCGTGGGAGAAGACGGTCGAATCATGTACCAATCTACGAACGCGTATTGTTCATCTACACGAAGCAACCACACAGATCGTCATCAAGAACGACTTTTCGTGGGAGCCCACCAACGGCATGAATCTCAAGGAGTTTGTAAAATCGACTGAAGCGATCACCATGGGATACGGCTCGCGCCTGAATCGTCACGCTCTCGTCCAAGGCCCTGGAGGAGCGACGTATTTCATCTGGATCGGCCACCACACCGTGTACGATGGTTGGACCATTCGTCTCATGCTGGGTACGATGCAGGATATGTACCAGGACACGTCGTCAGTGAGCCTCGCCCCTTACCCAGGCTTTGCTCAGTACGTTCACAATCTGGATGACGATGAAATGTCCGACTATTGGCGGTCCCAGCTTCAAGGCGCAAACAGGGCTGCTTTCCCCCCGAACCCTCGTGCCTCCGATGATGCCGATCCCAACGAGCTCACCAAATCATACAGCAAGAAGATTGCCTTTGCTGATCTGGAAGATATGTCTGTGACTAAGGCTACCATTCTGCGAGCCGCCTGGGCCATGCTCATCGGCCGCTACTCTGACTCCGACGACGTGTGCTTCGGTTCGACTGTATCTGGCAGACAGGCACCAGTCAATGGAATCGAGACCATGCCCGGTCCAGCTATTGCTACCGTACCTGTCCGCATCCGCTTTGATCAGGACGACTCCACACTCAACTTCCTTCTCAACGTACAGGAGCAGTCTCTGGATATGATCGCCTATGAGCAGTACGGTTTACAGAACATCGCGAAGGTCAGCGCTGATGCACGCGATGCCTGCAACTTCTCCAGTCTGCTCGTGCTCCAGCCCATGAAATATCTCACAGGTATGGCGGAAGACCTGGTGCAACAAAGCAGCGACGAGGGGGAGCCCATTGAGGAACTTCCAGAAGGTTATTTCAACTACCCTCTCGTTGCTCAGGCTTACGTCTACGATGATTACATCAATCTCGTCTTCACCTACAAGTCCGATGTTCTGACCGAGTCCGACCTGTACGCTCTCGCCAATCAGTATGATAATATCGTGCAGCAGCTGTCTGTTCAGCGCGATACCCCTCTGGCTGCAGTGGACATGGCCGGCCGCTTTGACCTTGAAAAGGCCCTCGTGTTCAACCCCGAAGCGCCCCAGGTTGTAGACTCGTGTGTCCACCTCCTGATCGAGGACCAGGCCCGAATGCGACCTGATGCGCCAGCCATTGTGGGCTGGGACCAAGAATTCACCTACGCTGAATTGAACGCGGCCGCCAACAGACTTGCCCATTACATTCAGAGAAGCTTCGGTGTGCAAACTGGCGACCTTGTGCACGTGTGCTTCGAGAAGTCTGCGTGGCATTTTGTGGCTATTCTAGCCATTAACAAGGCTGGCGCCGCTTGGGTGCCGCTCGATCCAGGCCATCCAGCCCAGCGTCAACAACAGGTTGTCTCTCAGACTCGTGCCAAGCTGGCCTTGGCGTCCAAGCTTCACGGCGTAGTATGTGAAGGCTTCCTTGAGTCGGTCCTCGAGGTCTCCCCTGAGCTGGACGCCAAATTGGACATGAAGTATCCCGACACCGCGATGAAGGCTCCCACAACCATGGTCACGCCTCGTGACGCGGCTTACGTGCTGTTTACCTCAGGCTCGACAGGCACACCCAAGGGTCTAGTTATGGAGCATGGGTCTGTTTGCAGCAGTCAAACCGCGATTGGCCGCAGGCTGCGTATCACACCCGAGGTCAGGATGTTGCAGTTCGCGGCCTTCGTTTTCGACTTGTCCATTGGAGAAATCTTCGGCCCATTGATCCACGGCGGTTCCGTCGTGATTCCCTCTGATGAAACTCGAATGAACGGAATCAAGGAATTTATCAACAAGAAGAAGGTTAACTGGTCATACCTGACGCCTTCATTCGCGCGTACCTTGTCTCCTCAGGATGTCCCATCGCTCGACCTGCTTCTCTTCGCCGGTGAAGCTGTTCCTCACGATGTCTTTCAGAAGTGGGTTGGTTCTGTTCGCTTGGTCAATGGCTGGGGGCCTGCAGAGACCTGCTGTTTTAGCACGCTTCACGAGTGGAAGAGCGCTAATGAGTCGCCATTGAATATTGGCCGGCCCGTTGGCGCGTTCTGCTGGATCGTGGACCCCAAAGACCCCCAGAAGATTGCTCCCTTCGGGACCTTAGGTGAGGTCATGCTGCAGGGCCCGACTCTTCTTCGCGAATATCTGGACGACCCTCAGAAGACCGACGCAGCTTCTGTCACCTCGTTGCCCGAATGGACGCCGCTGCGCAATCAGTTCCAGCGCTTCTTCAAGTCGGGCGATCTCTGCTCGTACAACGCCGACGGCACGATAGAGTTCTCTTCTCGCAAGGACACCCAAGTCAAAATCCGCGGTCTTCGTGTCGAACTCGGTGAAGTTGAACACCATATACGCGAGAAGCTTGCTGGTGCAAAGCAGGTTGCCGTGGATGTGTTCAGAACAGAAGCTGGTGCCAACTTGGTGACCTACTTCTCCTTCAACGACGACACGAAGACGGCGATCGGCTCGGAAGAGAGGGTCTTCTTGCCCTTGGAAAAGGACTTGCAGAACCAGCTTAGTAGCATGGTAAGCGAGTTGAGCGTCACGCTGCCCCGCTATATGATTCCGACCTTGTTTATCAACTGCGAGTTCATGCCATTCATCACCTCGACCAAGCTGGATAGGAAGGGTCTGCAACAGCGTCTCAATGGATTGAGCAAGGACGACTTGGCGTCTTATTCGCTTGTCAACAGCGAAAAGCGTGCCCCAGAGACGGAGATGGAGGTCCGCATGCAGCAGATGTGGGCAGAGAAGCTGAACCAAGCACCTGAAGGCATTGGCCGGGACGATAGCTTCTTGGCTATCGGCGGTGACTCAATCGCTGCCATCTACCTGGTCACTGCTCTTCGGGAGCAAGGTCTTTTGCTTACTGTCAAAGACATCTTCGACGACCCTCGCCTAGTCTCTGTGGCCGCCAAATGCCAGCTTGCCGATGAGGACACTCCTGACCTTACCAACGTGCCACCATTCAGTCTTCTGGAGCAGTTTATGGCTGAAAATGTAGCGGAAGCCGCCCACAAGCAATGTGGTCTTTCCAGCAACCAGCGGATTGAGGACGCGTACACATGTACAGCCCTGCAGGAAGGTCTCATGGCCTTGTCACTGAAGCAGCCCGGATCCTACATCGCCAAGTGGGTATACAAACTTGGCGAGAACACGGAAGTTGAGGCCTTCAAAAAGGCCTGGGAGCTCACCATCAAGGCTTGCCCCAATCTACGCACACGCATGATTCAGGTTCTCGGGACCACAGTGCAGGCCGTGGTTACTGATGATGTAGCCTGGGAGCCCACGGAGGGTATGGACCTGAATACTTTCCTCGCCAACGCTCAAGCTATGCAGATGACCTTTGGTGATCGTCTTAGCCGTTATGGAGTTGTTCAAGGGGACGATGGCGGTCATTACTTTGTCTGGATCGCCCACCACGCTATCTACGATGGCTGGACGATGCGTTTGATGCTGAGCACCCTTGCCGACTTCTATCAAGGGTTCGAGACATTGGCCTTGAAGCCTTACGCCAGTTTCATCAAATATGTCAAGTCCATGGATACGGACGCCGCCAAGAAGTACTGGTCACAGCAGCTTGATGATGCGAAGAAGGCTAGCTTTCCTCACACCTCCAAATCCGGCTCCAAGAAGGACAAGGTCACGCGCATCATGCGGACACACATCGAGTTCCCCGACACGACAGGCTCGTCGGTCACTAGAGCCACCCTCATTCGTGCCGCTTGGGCTGTCGTTCTAGGTAGGTATTGCAACATGGACGACATCACCTTCGGCACGACTGTGTCTGGCCGTCAAGCCCCTGTACCAGACATTGGCGAGATGCCTGGCCCAATGGTGGCCACGATTCCTGTTCGCGTTCGTCTCAACGCTAAGCAGCCTGTTTCCGACTTTTTGAAGAACATCCAAAGCCAAGCATCCGAAATGATTACGTACGAGCAGTTTGGCATGCAAAACATTGCCAAGATTAGCCCCGATGCACAGGACGCTTGCGACTTTAGCAGCCTGTTGGTCGTGCAGCCCTTCCAGCAGATGTCAGCAGTTGGCGCACATTCCCATGCCGTCCTCGAAATGGACTCATCCGTCAAGAATGGCACCGAGGACACTCTCGAGGGCTATTTTAGCTATCCGCTTGTAGTCCAAGGCGAGGTGTCTGACAGCCACGTCGACCTTGTGCTTACCTACGATTCCGAGATCCTTGAGGAGTCCCAGATGACCCGTCTCTCCCACCAGTTTGGTCACGTCGTCCAGGCCTTGTCTGCACAGGACGATCGCCCTCTCGGCGACGTATCTGTGGCATCAGGCGAAGACCTCGAACAAGCTCTGAAGTACAACCCTGAGATGCCGGAAATCGTGGACTCGACTTTGCATGAGCTTATTGCCCAGCAGGCAGAGATCCGCCCTGATGCCGTTGCCATTAGTGCCTGGGACTTGGAGTTGACATACAAAGACTTTGATGCGTCCGCCAATCGTCTAGCGCACCATCTGGTTGGCCTTGGCGTCAAGTCCGGCGATCTCGTGCACGTCTGTTTCGAGAAGTCTGCCTGGCACTTTGTCTCCATCCTCGCTACCATGAAAGCCGGCGCAGCTTGGGTGCCCTTGGACCCTGGTCACCCAGTGCAACGCCAGCAACAGGTTGTGAAGCAGACTGGCGCTACCTTGGCTCTTGCCAGTCCTTCTAATGTCGCCTTGTGCGAGGGCTTACTGGAAAAGGTCCTCGAGGTTACACCCGAGCTTGATGCTATTCTTTCAGAAAACCCCGATCTGAGCGGCAGTGCTCCCCAGACCGATGCCAACCATCGCAACGCTGCCTATGTATTGTTCACCTCAGGAAGTACCGGCACACCCAAGGGCCTTGTTATGGAGCATGGGTCCGTTTGCACGTCCGCTCGTGCTATTGGCAAGAGACTGAACCTTACCGCTGATGTGCGCATGCTTCAATTCGCAGCGTTCGTCTTTGATCTTTCGATCGGCGAGATTTTCGGTCCCTTGACGCACGGAGGAAGCCTCTGTATCCCTTCAAACCAGGACCGTCTAAATAACCTGTCTGGCTTCATTCGCGACAGAAAAGTCAACTGGGCCTATTTAACCCCTGCATTTGCCCGAACACTTAGCCCGAAGGACCTGCCGTCACTTGAATTGCTCCTCTTCGCCGGCGAAGCGGTGGGCCGTGACGTATTTGAGCAGTGGGTAGGCAAGGTCCGTCTTGTCAACGGTTGGGGCCCGGCCGAGACCTGCTGTTTCTCGACCTTGCACGAGTGGAAGTCTATCGACGAGTCACCCCTTACAGTCGGCCGTCCCGTTGGTGGTTACTGCTGGGTTGTTGATCCAGAAGACCCCAGCAAGCTAGCTCCGATCGGCACCAGCGGCGAAGTCGTGATCCAAGGACCAACACTCTTGAGGGAATACCTCGCAGACCCTGAAAAGACTAAGGCCGCGATTGTGCCCACGCTCCCGGAGTGGGCTCCTCGCCCAGACGAAGCACACTGGAGCCGCTTTTACAAGTCCGGTGACTTGTGTACCTATAATTCCGACGGAACCATTGAATTCGCTTCTCGCAAGGATACACAGGTCAAGATTCGTGGTCTCCGTGTCGAGCTTGGAGAAGTCGAATATCACGTGCGTAGCTCTCTTAAGGGCGTCAAGCAGACAGCGGTCGATGTTTTCAAGACCGATGCTGGTGCGACGCTTGTGGCCTATTTCTGTTACAACGAGGAAACGCGCCAGGCCGGAGCCACAAACGACGTATTTGCCCCGTTAACTAAGGAGATACAGGGCCAGGTGACGGAGATGATCGGACAGTTGAGCGTGTCACTTCCCCGTTACATGATTCCCACGCTTTTCATTCCTTGCTCTTATATGCCTGTTATTACATCGACCAAGTTGGATCGCAACAAGTTGAAGACTTTCACAGCTGCCCTCTCGGATGAGAAGCTCACTCAATATGCCCTTGACGATGCCGAGAAACGCGCCCCTGAAACAGCCATGGAGAAGCGGTTGGTCGAGCTGTGGGCAACGATCCTCAAGAAGCCCGTCTCAGCTATTGGTCGCGACGATAACTTCCTGCGCATCGGCGGAGACTCGATTGCTGCTATGCAACTTGTGGCTCAGGCTCGAGAGTCTGAACTTGGCCTAACGGTCAAGGACATCTTTGACGACGCTCGCTTGTCGGCTGTCGCTCTCAAAGCTGTGGAATTGGAAGACGAGGAAATTCACGGTCAAATCAAGCCGTTTAGCCTGCTGAGCGATGCTCAACGCACAGCCGTCATGGCTGAGGCCACTCGCGAGAAATGTGACTTGATTTCCTCGCAGAAGGTCGTGGATGCCTATCCTTGTACTGCCCTTCAGTCAGGCCTCATGGCCCTGACCATGCAGACACCCAGCGCCTATGTCGTCAAGCACGTGTATAAAATCGCCGAGCTGGCCGACATTTCGCAGTTCAAGGCTGCTTGGGAAGAGACCAGCCGCACCTGTGAAAACCTGCGTACCCGCATTGTTGATATTGACGATACGCCCCTCCAAATCGTTCTGAACGATGATATTGCTTGGGAAGACACCCACGGCATGGGCATCGATGAGTACATGTCATCTACCAAGACCATTACTATGACATACGGGTCCCGGCTTGCGCGGTTTGCTATTGTCAAGGACGGTGAAGAGCACTACTTTGTACAGATCTTCCACCACTCAGTCTTCGACGGCTGGTCGCGAGGTATCCTTCTTGATGTCCTACAGTCCCATTATCTCGAGGAACCACTCCCAAGCCTGATCCCTTACGTCAACTTCATCAAGCACGCCACCCAGCTAGACGAGATGGTTGCTGCCGATTATTGGAAGAACCATCTGGAGAACTCTAAAGCCTCCGTGTTCCCCGAACTGCCCACCGACGAAGCGCACAAGTACGTGACGCGCAGCTTCTCGAAGCGCGTGAGGATTCCAGACACCGCCACCGCTACAGTGACACGTGCTTCAGTCATCCGTGCCGCCTGGGCCTTCGTCCTTGCTCGTTACAGCGAGACGGAGGACATTGTGTTCGGTGCCACTGTGTCTGGCCGCAATGCACCTGTCCCTGGTCTCGAGTCTGCACCAGGACCCGCAATCGCAACGGTGCCTGTTCGTGTACGGATTGATGCCTCTCAGGCGATTCCAGACTTCCTCCAAGGAATCCAGAGCCAAGCGCTCGAGATGACCTCCTACGAGCAGTATGGACTCCGCAACATCACTCGACTCAGCCCAGACATCAAGGACAGCTGCAACTTCAGCAGTCTCATCGCTGTGCAGCCTGCTGATCAGGACATTATTGCCAACAATGAAATCCTTTCATTCGCCGAAGAGAAGATCGGTGATGCTATGGACAGCTACTTCAACTACCCGCTAGTTCTGGAGGCCTTCCTGGAAGAGGAGTCCATCAATCTCCACATGACATACGATGCTTCGGTTGTTAGCGAGCACAGGCTCGAGGCTCTCAGCAACCACATGGACCATGTCATTCAGCAGTTCTTCACACAGGACACACCCCTGGGCGACGTCACTCTGACTGGGCCATGGGACGTGCAGCTACTCAAGGAATGGAACTCGGAGTCGCATCCCATTATCGAATCAACTGTCCCCGAACTCATCGCCCGTAAGGCCGCTGAGGTTCCTGACGAGGAAGCCATCTTCTCTACAGAAGCATCCTTGTCGTATGCTCGTTTCGAGGAGCTCACCGCAAACTTCGCAGCGTATCTTGCTTCCCTTGGCGTTCGCAGGGGTACCTACGTGCCTTTCTGTATGGAGAAATCAGCCTGGGCTATCGTCGCGCTCATCGGCATCCTGAAAGCCGGTGGTTGCTACATTGCCCAGGATCCCGCGCACCCTCGAGCTCGTCGTCAGGAGATCATCGACCAGATCGATGCCAAGTATCTCGTCGTGTCGCCCGATATTGCCGCTGAGTGCACTGGCATGACACAGAACGTGATTGTCATCACTCGGGAGATGATCGACCAGCTGCCTGCCGGTACGCACGACAACCCCAAACCAGAGGATCCCGCCTACGTACTCTTCACATCTGGATCCACTGGGAAACCGAAAGGTATCGTCGTCGGTCACGGTGCTTGCTGCACCTCTATCGTTGGCCAGGTGAAGATTTGCGAGGTGGATGTCGATGGGCCGCCGCGTTTCTTGCAATTCGGAAGCTTCGTTTTCGACTCTTCCATCACCGAGATCTTCTTGACCTTGTCTTCGGGTGGTGCTGTGACTGTTCCTGTAGGGAACGAGCGCTTGCAGGGCGCCCCTGAGTTCATCAGGCGCTCTCGCACTACCGCAGCCATTCTAACACCTACTTTTGCCCGCACATTCGGACCCGAGGATGTGCCTGGGTTCAAAAGCTTGTTCCTTGGTGGCGAAGCTCCCGGCCGCGACAACCTCGAAACATGGTTTGGACACGTTAAGTTGATCAATGCCTACGGCCCTGCCGAGATCGTTGTGATGTGCGCTGGTCACACGTACCAGTCTGCCGAAGAGCCCGCCACAATTATCGGCCGACCGCGCGCGCACACAAACTGGATCGTCGAGCCTGATAACCACAACCGCCTAACCCCAGTTGGTTGCATTGGGGAGCTGGTAGTCCAAGGCCACGCGATTGCCAAGGGATACCTAAACAACCCCGAAAAGACCGACGAGGTGTTCCTCGATTCTCTGGAATGGATGTATGAGTCGCTCGATGTGTCGGGGGCCTCACAGCGCTTCTACAAGACTGGTGATCTCGTCAAGTACCTCCCCAATGGCGAGATGCAAATCCTAGGACGTCTTGATACTCAGGTCAAGGTTCGTGGCCAGCGTATCGAACTTGGAGAAATTGAGTCTCGCGTCAGGAAGGCAGCCCCCGAGGTCCAGCAAGTTGCTGGTGTTGTGGTCCGTTTCAAGTCGCGCCAAACTCTTGTCGTCGTCCTGAGCAAAGAAGGCGAGTCTTCCGACTCCGAATCTCGTTTCCTCCCGATGGACGAAGAGATGCAAAAGTTCCTTTCGAGCATTGGCGGTGATCTCAAGGCATCTCTCCCCGGCTACATGGTGCCATCCATGATTGTCCCGATCCGAAAAATGCCCGTCATGGGTGCCTCGCAGAAAACTGACAGGAAGGTACTCCAAGGCTTCATGGATGAGCTTTCACAGGAAGAGCTCAGCTCTTTCGCACTAGGTGGCCAGAAGAAAGTTGAGCCGACAACCGAGAATGAGTTCAAGTTACGCGATGTATGGTCCAAGATTCTTGATCTCGGCGTCGAGGAAATTGGCAAGGAAGATCAGTTCTTACAAATCGGTGGTGACTCCATTTCTGCTATTCAACTTGTCTCCATGGCTCAGCAAATCGGTCTTGGCTTGAGCATCAGCCAGATCTTCAAAGACTCGCGTCTCTCAACCCTGGCCGAAATTGCGACTCGTTCCGAACAGGCTGGGCCTACCGAGATAGCTCCCTTTGCCCTCGTCGCCGAGTCTCGCAAATCCGAAATTGAGAAGCTTGTCCACAGCCAGACGGGTCTGGAAGACGTCCAGATTGAAGATGCGTACCCATGCACCTCCCTACAGGAAGGTCTCATGGCCCTTTCGATGAAGCAGCCTGGATCCTACATTGGCAAGCACATCTTCCGCTTGTCGGACCATGTGGATGTAGACCGTTTCCGACAAGCCTGGAGCCAGACTCTTGAGCTTTGCGCCAACCTTCGCACTCGCATCGTATCCCAGGGCGATTTGACTGTGCAGACCATTCTCAAGACTGAAGCTGAATGGGAGGACTCCAAGGGATTGAGCTTGCGCAGCTTCATGGAAAACGTTGCGAGCCAAATTACCATGACCTACGGCTCCAAGTTGTGTCGCATGGCTCTCGTCGACGACAGCGACAAGTACTTCGTCTTCATCTGCCACCACGCCATTCATGATGGTTGGTCGCTGCGCCTCGTGTTCAGCACCCTGTTCTCCATTTACAACGATGTCGAGCTCCCCGCCTTGGAAAATTTCAACCGTTTCATTGAGTATATTGACTCGATTGATCAAAATGCTGCCCGCTCCTATTGGAAAGCTCAGCTAGAGGACGCTAAGCGAGCCACTTTCCCACCCCGTGCCCCCATGGACGACGCCAAGGTCCGCATCGTCACCAAGATGATTGATCTTCCCAAGACTGGCAACTCGACCATCACCAAGGCTACGGTTGTCCGTACTGCTTGGGCCATGGTACTCGCGAAGTACTGTGACACTGAGGATGTGACTTTTGGCAGTACCATCTCTGGTCGTCAAGCGCCACTTTCCGGCGTCGCGGATATGCCTGGCCCGATGGTCGCTACCGTGCCGGTCAGGGTTCAATTCAGCCAGCAGGAGAATGCTGGGGTCCTCTTGAACAATGTGCAGAACCAGGCTGCTGAAATGGTTCCATATGAGCAATTCGGTCTGCAAAATATCTCTAAAATCAGCACTGAGGTTCAAGAAGCCTGCGACTTCTCAAGCTTGCTTGTCATCCAGCCCCTGAGCCTCGGCGCCTCAGATGACGGTGAAGCAATTTGGGCCGAAGGCTCTGGCGAATTCGAAGATGAAGAATCAGTTGAAGGAACGTTCAACTACCCTCTCGTTGTCGAAGCCCACGTTGGCGAATCCCAAGTATTCATTGAGATGGCCTATAACCCTGCCAGTCTTCCCAAGTCACAGATGGAGATCCTCTGCAACCAGCTTGCTCACGTCGTCCAAAGCCTCGTTTCTCATGAGGATCAGATGCTTGAGAATATCGAGGTTGCTTCGGCCGAAGATTACCAGCTCGCCGCCCTGTGGAACGAGCAAATCATCCCAGACGTAATCGAGTCTACCATCAACGAGCTCTTTGAGACGCAAGCCCTATCGCGACCCGATGATGTTGCAGTGCGCGCGTGGGACGCCACCCTTTCGTACGGCGAGCTCTACAGCGCAGCCAACCGTCTAGCCCATTTCCTCGTCGCCGATCTCGACGTACAGGTCGATGACATTGTACACGTTTGCTTCGAAAAGTCAGCCTGGTACGTCGTAGCGGTCCTCGCCATCAACAAGGTCGGCGCTGCCTGGAGTCCGCTCGATCCCTCGCACCCCGAGAAACGTCACCGTCAGATTATTGACCAAACTCGCGCAACGGCTGTCCTCACATCCGCCTCCTCTCTCGATCACTGCACGAGAATGTTCCCCAAAGCTATTGCAGTTGGCCCCGAGTTGATGGTACAGCTAGCCAGCAAGGGCCTCGATGGTGAACGTGGCCCTGTCTGCAATGTCACTCCCCGACAGGCTGCCTACGTTCTGTTTACTTCTGGCAGTACTGGCGTGCCCAAGGGCGTTGTTCTTGAGCATGGCAGTGTCTGTACCTCGCAAGTTGATATTGGGAAACGTCTTGGTCTCAAAAAGAGCATTCACGTGCTTCAATTCTCGGCCTTCGTGTTCGATGTCTCTGTCGGCGAGATCATCGGATCGCTCATACACGGCGCCACGATTTGCATTCCTTCCGAGGAAGCCAGAATGAACAGTCTGCCCGATTTCATCCGCGAGGTGAAGGTTCAGTGGGCTTATCTGACCCCTGCCTTTGCCCGCACCCTCAAGCCGGAAGGACTGCCATCTCTCGAGCTTCTACTGTTGGCTGGTGAGGCTGTTGGGCAGGACGTCTTTGACACATGGTATGGTCGTGTGCGCCTTGTTAACGGTTGGGGCCCAGCCGAGACCTGCTGCTTCAGCGCTATCCACGAATGGCAGGCCAAGGAAGAGTCTCCCCTAACAATCGGCCGACCTGTGGGTGGTTCAGGGTGGATTGTTGACCCTGAAAACCACAATCGCCTTGCACCTGTTGGAACCTTAGGTGAAATTGTCATCCATGGGCCAACATTATTGCGCGAGTATTTGCGCTCCCCGAACAAGACCCAGGAGGCTGTTGTCGAGGACATCCCGGCCTGGTCTCGCCACCGGTCTGGCAAGTACTGGGGTCGCTTCTATAAGACAGGTGATCTGGCAGCTTATAACGCGGACGGTACTATCCTATTTTCTGGCCGTAAAGACACCCAGATCAAGATCCGCGGTCTTCGTGTGGAATTGGGCGAGGTTGAGCACCGTATTCTATCCAACCTTGAGGGCGTGCAGCATGTGGTCGTCGACGCCTTCAAGAGCGAAGTTGGCGCCAATCTCGTCGCATACTTCTCATTCAGTCATGAGTCACGGCCTGCGAAGGCCACCGAGACTGTCTTTGAGCCGCTCACTGAGGAGGTCCGCGAGAAGCTGAGCGCACTGCTCGGTGAGCTTGGCGTGTCCTTGCCTCGCTACATGGTGCCAACCGTGTTCATCATGTGCAAGTTCATGCCGGCGGTGTCGTCTAACAAGTTGGACCGCAAAAGTCTCCGCGAAAGGACTGCTGCCCTATCTAAGGACGATCTCAACGCGTACTCGCTGACCGACTCTGAGAAGCGCGTACCCGAAACTGAGATGGAATTCAAGCTACGCAAGACGTGGGCTAAGCTGCTCGGTGTCGCCGAGGACGCTATTGGGCGGGATGATAGCTTCCTTCGCATCGGCGGTGACTCCATTATTGCGATTCAGATGGTCACTGCCTTGCGCGACGAGAACATTCGCATCACGGTTAAGGATGTCTTTGATGACCCCCGTCTGATGGCTGTTGCACTCAAGGCACAGCAGATGGAAGGCTCCGTTGCCAAGCCCGCCAATGTCACACCTTTCAGCCTGATCAGTGGCTCGGAGAAAGAGCTTGTGACCGGTTCTTTGGTTCGAGAGCAGTGTGACATGTCACCTGCACAGGACGTCGAGGACGCTTACCCATGCACCCCTCTACAGGCTGGCTTCATGGCCTTGACCGTGAAGCAACCTCGTTCCTACATCGCAAAGTGGCTCTATCGTCTATCAGACGGTATCGACGTTGCCCGCTTCAAGTCGGCGTGGGAGCAGACTGTCGAACAGTGCCATAACTTACGTACCCGTATCGTCAATATCAAAGGTACCACGCTCCAGACTCTCCTCACCAACGATGTCCGCTGGGAAGATACACGTGGTCTGGACTTGCCGGCTTTCCAGGACAAGATCAAGTCATTTGAGATGACCTATGGCTCGCGCCTCATGCGCTATGGGCTTGTTGAACAACCTGACAACCAACGCTTCTTTGTTGTCGCCAGTCATCACGCTGCCTTTGACGGATGGAGCATGCGACTTCTGCTGAGCACATTGGCTGACGCATATCACGCAACCAACACGTTGACTCTGCAGCCCTTCGCCGGCTTTATCCAGTACATCAACGAACTCGACCAGGACGCAGCTGCCGCCTACTGGACTGAGCAGCTCGACAGTGCTAAGCGTGCTACTTTCCCTACGCCCAAGCCTGGCAGTCAGGGCAAGGCACGTATGCTGCGCAAGGAAATGGCTGTTGCTCCATCCTCCCACTCTTCGATCACCAAGGCATCGGTTGTGAGGGCAGCGTGGGCTATCGTCCTGGCTCGTTATTCGGAGACCGATGACATTACCTTCGGCACATCTGTTTCCGGCCGTCAAGCCCCCGTGCCCAACATTGGAGAGATGCCTGGACCCATGGTCGCAACTTATCCCGTGCGTCTTCGGTTGGAGAAGGAAAAGACAGTGTCTCAGTTCCTTGAAGACGTACAGACACAAGCCCTCGAAAACGTAGCCTACGAACAGTACGGTCTGCAGAACATCTCAAAGCTGAATGAAGATTCCAAGGACGCCTGTGACTTCTCGAGTCTCCTCGTCATCCAGCCGATTCAACAGATGGCGTCAATCGGAACACATATCGACTCCATTCTTTCCATTGACGAGGCCGAGGATTCGGATGACCAAGTCGACAACTATTTCAGCTATCCCCTCGTCGTACAAGGCGAAGTTTCCGAGACGCAGATCAACTTCATGATCACCTACGACTCGGGTGTGCTTGAAGAGACACAGGTCCAAGCACTGTCTCATCACCTTTCTCATGTCGTAGAGCAGTTGCTGTCATCCGGACAGAAGTCCGTCAGCGACATCTCTGTCGCTTCACCTTGGGACCTCCAGAGAGCCAAGGAACTGAACGATACCGCACCCGACATCGTGAATGTCTGTTTCCACGAGATGTTTGAGAAACAAGCTCGCCTGCGTCCCGATGCACCCGCGGTGCACGGGTGGGACAGACACTTTACCTACAGCCTTCTGAACGGAGCTGCCAACCGCCTATCTCACTATATCGTTCAAGAGTATGGCGTCAAGCGGCACGATCTTGTTCACGTCTGCTTCGAGAAATCGGCTTGGTATTACGTTTCTATTCTCGCCATCAACAAGGCTGGCGCCACCTGGGTCCCCCTTGACCCCGGCCACCCATCGCAACGACATCAGCAGGTTGCCAAGCAGACTGGCGCCAACCTCATTCTCACGTCTAGCCTGCATGCTGATCTTGTTTCTGGTCTTGTCGACAATGTGCTACAAGTCACTGCTGACCTCGATTGGGACTTGGCTCGCGACGTCGAATCGAGTAAGCAGGCTCCCGTCACAGAAGTCGACCCAAGCACCGCTTGTTATGTCTTGTTTACTTCCGGTTCGACGGGTGTACCAAAGGGCTTTGTTATTGAGCATAGGGCCTTGGTGACAAGCCAAATGACCTTGGGTGCACGTCTTCGCATGACGCCACAGGTCAGGGCGCTGCAATTCGCCTCGTACGTCTTTGACATGTCGATTGCCGAGACAGTGCCTGCCTTGATGTTTGGTGGCTGCCTGTGTGTTCCGTCCGAGGAGACACGTATGAATGGCCTCGCCGAATTCATCCGCGACATGCAAGTCAACTGGGTCTTCCTCACGCCAGCCTTTGCACGTACGCTGAAGCCCGACGACATCCCCAACGTCGAGCTTATGTTCTTAGCCGGCGAGGCTGTGGGTCAGGATGTTTTGAGCACTTGGTTCGGTCGTCTTCGCCTGATCAACGCCTGGGGCCCGGCTGAGACCGTCGTCTGCTCAACGTCGCACGAGTACACATCTGTCAACGAATCGCCCGCCAAGATTGGTACTCCAACCGGTGGCTTCTGCTGGATCGTCGACCCCGAGGATCCGACAAAGCTCGCCCCTATCGGGACGGTCGGCGAGGTCATGATACAAGGTCCCACACTGTTGCGAGAATACCTATCTGACCCGGATAACACAAGGAAATCCGTGGTCACGGAACTTCCTGACTGGGCACCTCGATCAACGGACCCCGACTACAGCCGCTTCTACAAATCCGGCGATCTTTGCTACTACAATGCGGACGGCACAATTGAGTTCTCGTCCAGGAAAGACACTCAAGTCAAGATTCGTGGCCTTCGTGTGGAGTTGGGCGAAGTTGAACATCATATCCTCGATGGCCTACAGCACGTTCGGCAGGTAGCTGTTGATGTGCTCAAAACCGATGCCGGCTCTAACCTAGTCGCGTACTTCTGCAACAGCGATGAGACAAGCACAACAGCTGGCCCCGAAACCTTCATGCCGTTGGATGACGGTATGAAGAAGAACGTGGCGGCTTTGATCGGCAAGATGTCGGTAGCTTTGCCTCGGTACATGGTGCCCACAATCTTCATTCCTTGCGCGCACATGCCCACGAGCTCTTCCACTAAGGTCGACCGGAAGAAGCTCAAGGCTTTGACCGCCGATCTCGCCCAGGAGCAGCTTGCCATTTACGCTTTGACTGATGACGAGAAACGGGCGCCCGAGACTGCGATGGAAAGACGTCTACAGAGAATCTGGAGCAGCATCCTATCGCTGCCTCAGGAAAAGATCGGTCGGGACGACAGCTTCCTACGCATCGGCGGTGACTCGATTTCCGCTATTCAATTCGTCAGTCTTGCCAGGGATGAGGGCATCGCAATAACCGTGAAGGACATCTTTGACGATGCTCGTCTCTGCGCTGTGGCCGAAAAAGCTATCGAGACCGACAACACCAACCCCAATGCGCTGGCTCCGTTCAGCTTGCTTGAAGGCCGTGTTGAGGTGGACGTTGTCAAGGACGCTGTTCGCGAGCAATGTGGATTTACTGGAGATTTTGTCATCGAGGATGCATACCCTCTTACCTCACTGCAAGAGGGTATGATCGCCCTGAGTGCCAAGAACCCTGGGTCATATGTGGTCAAGCACGTATACCGCATGTCTCAGCACGTGAACCTGGCTCGCTTCAGGGCTGCCTGGGAACGCACTCTGCACCAGCTCCCGAACCTGCGTACTCGAATCGTCAACGCCGGAGATTACGCAGTCCAGGTTCACATCAAGGACGAAATCTCCTGGGACGATCCCAAGGGCATTGATATCAAAGCCTTTCTCAAAAACGCCAAGTCCTATGAGATGACCTACGGAACCCGTCTTTCCCGGTACGCCTTGGTGGAAGAAGGTGATGATACCTATTTCCTATGGCTCTGCCACCACACCCTCTATGATGGATGGACGATCCGATTGATCCTCAGTAATCTGTTCGCCAACTACAACGACACCGAGGGTCTTCGCCTGCAGCCATACGCAGGGTTCATCCAGTACATCCTCAACATGGACCGCGTTGCTTCCAAGGAATATTGGCTGCAGCAGCTCCAGGACGCGAAGCGTGCCAACTACCCTCCAGCCGGCAAGAACGTGAAGAAGAGCAAGGGCACCAGGGTCTTGACACACTCTATCCATTTTGGTGATCCGCCGAGTCAAGCCGTGACCAGGGCCACTATCGTCAGGGCCGCTTGGGCGATGGTCCTTGCACGCTACTGTGAGGACACCGATGTGACCTTTGGCACCGCTATCTCCGGTCGCCAAGCTCCTGTGCATGGCGCTGCCGATATGCCTGGTCCTATGATCGCCACTGTGCCTGTGCGTGTTAAGGTCGACAAGGGCCAAGACGTGTCGTCCTTCTTACGAGGGATTCAAAGCCAGGCCACTGACATGATTGCACACGAGCAATTCGGCCTGCAGAACATCGCCAAGTTGAGCCCTGCCGCGGCTGATGCTTGCGACTTCACTAGCTTGCTTGTCGTTCAGCCGTTTCAAAAGATGTTCTCCACCCATAGCGACAGCGAAGGCGACATCTGGACTGATGCTGTGGATGCGATCATGGGCGAGGGCCAGTCTCTCGAAGACTACTTCAGTTTCCCTCTCGTCGTTGAGGGTCTGGTCTCAGATGAGCTTGTTGAGCTCAAGATCATCTACAACGCCGACGTACTCCAAGAACAGCAAATGGAGGCTATTTCGCAGCAACTCAGCCATGTGATAAATCAGCTCACAGCATCAGCCGAGAAGACCCAGCCTTTAGGTGATGTTACCGTCGCCGGGCCCTGGGACGTGTCCAAGGTCTATGAATGGAACTCGAAAACGCCCCAAGTTGTGAACCACACTTGGTTCAACTTGATTGAGGAACAGGCCAGAACCCGTCCTGACGCTGTCGCGATCAAGGCCTGGGATGGGCAGATGACGTACAGCCAGTTGATCGAGGCCGCTAATCGTCTGGCAATGCATCTCATCGACGCCCACCATGTACAGGTCGGAGAATTTATCCACCTGTGCTTTGAGAAGAGCTTGTGGTACGTTGTGTCCATGCTCGCCGTGAACAAGTCCGGTGCTGCATTCGCTCCGCTCGACCCGTCACACCCTGAGCATAGGCACCGACTCGTTGTGCAGCAGACCAAGGCCAAGCTCGCCCTCGTTAGTCCTTCGGCAGCCGCTCTTTGCAACGCGCTGGTGGATGATGTTCTCCAAGTCACCGATCAACTCAATGGTGATTTGTGCCGGGCCTACCTTACCCCACAAGCACCCAAAGTCAATGTTGGCCCCAGCGATTTGGCCTACGTGATCTTCACTTCCGGTTCCACCGGCGTGCCCAAGGGTGTCATGGTCGAGCATAAGTCACTCTGTACAAGCATGCACGCTAATGCTGAGCGGATGAACATCACACACGAAGCAAACTTCTTGCAATTCGCTGCTCACGTCTTCGACATGTCCATTGGGGAGATCATCATGCCACTCGTGCGTGGTGCCATTACCAGCATCCCATCGGAGGCTGAGAGGATGAACAACACCGCCGACTTCATCAACAAGTATGGCGTCACCTGGTTGTTCCTGACTCCTAGCTTCGCTCGCACCCTCGATCCCAAGACTATCCCGAACGTCAAGGTTCTGATCGTTGGTGGCGAGGCTGTCAATCGTGAAATTGCTGAACAATGGCTGGATCACGTTACGATCTACTGCGCTTGGGGCCCGACCGAGACCGTTATGGTGTCTTGTATTCACACGGTTGATACTGTCCCTGATACTACCCTCACAATCGGTCGCCCTGTGGGTTGTTTCATGTGGCTTGTTGACCCCGACGATCCTCGCCGCCTGGCGCCTACCGGCACAGTCGGTGAAATTGTCGTGCAAGGCCCGACACTCCTCCGTGAATACATCGAGAACCCCGAGAAAACCAAGGAGGCTATCGTGGAAGACCTCCCCGAGTGGGCTCTAGAGAAGAGCGGTGGCCGCTGGAACCGCTTCTACAGGACAGGTGATCTGGCCTACTACAACCCGGACGGCACGATTCAGTTCTACAGCCGCAAGGATAATCAAGTCAAGATCCGTGGACTGCGTGTTGAGCTGGGTGAAATTGAGCATCACATTACGAACCGTCTTGAAGGAACCCGCCAAGTTGCAGTTGACGTTTTCAAGAGCGAACGTGGAACAGAGCTTGTCACCTACTTCTCCTTCAACGACGAGTCTCGCGTCGGCGGTTCAGTCCGTCATGATGGAGCCGCTGATCTTCTTATGGAGATCGATTCCGATCTTCAGGAGACCTTGAAATCTATGGTTGCGGCCCTCAGCGTCGACCTGCCTCGTTACATGATCCCGACATTATTCTTCCCCTGCCGCTACATGCCTGTCACCTCTTCAGCCAAATTGGACCGCAAGAATCTACGTGAGAGAGTGAAGAGGCTTCCTTCTGACGATTTGGCTGCCTACGCCTTGGCCGAGGGCGAGAAGCAGCCTCCAGAGACTGAAATGGAGTTCCGCATTCAGGCACTGTGGTCGAAGATCCTTGGCGTACCTGCTGAGAATATTGGCCGCGACGAGTCTTTCCTGCAAATCGGCGGCGATTCGATTGGTGCTATCCAGTTTGCCACCAAGAGTCGCGAGGCTGGGCTGCTCATCACCGTAAAGGATGTTTTCAACGATCCCCGTCTTTTAGCTGTTGCAGAAGCTGCCATTGAGCTCGACTCCACTAAGGCTGATCAAAACGTGGAAGCGTTTGAGCTCATCGATGACGAGACGCGCTCGTCTTTGGTTGAAAATGGCATCCCTCGTCAGCTCAATCTTGTTGACGGCCAGGAAATCATCGACGCCTACCCTTGCACTCCCCTGCAAGCTGGCCTCATGGCCTTGGCTATGAAGGTTCCGGGCTCTTACATGGCACGCTTTGTGTACAAGCTGTCTGCAGATGTTGATATACCCAGGTTCAAGACTGCGTGGGAACGCATGACTCAACTCTGCGTCAACCTTCGGACTCGTATCGTTGAGGTCGGTGGCGAAGCCGTGCAAGTTGTTGTCGACCCTGACCTCCGCTGGGAGAACACGGAGGGCATGGGTATGAAGGATATCATGGCCCATATCAACACCATCAAAATGGGATACGGCACCCCACTCAGTCACTACGCCCTGGTCAAGGAGGGTAGCGATCGGTATTTGGTCTGGGTTATGCATCACGCTATTTCTGACGGCTTCTCCAACGTCATCAACGTTTCCACCCTGCAGCAGCTCTATGCTGGCAACGATGTGCTCCCTCTGAGACCCTACTCTGGTTTCATCAAGTACACGCAGGAGATTGATGAGGAAGCGGCCGCTGAGTTCTGGAAGGGACAGCTGACTGGCGCAAAGCATGCCAGCTTTCCACCCACGACGACAACTGGCTCCAATGCAAAGACTACACGGGTTCTGGAAAAGGCCATTACTCTGCCAGCCCAAGGAGATAACTCGATCACCAAGGCCTCGATTTTCCGCGCGGCTTGGGCGATTTGCCTCGCTCGCTATGCCGATACGGACGACATCTGCTTCGGCGCCACAGTTTCTGGTAGGCAAGCACCCGTCGCGGGCCTCGAGACCATGGCCGGACCGGCGGTTGCAACGGTTCCTGTTCGCGTTCGCATCGACAAGAACCTCAGCGTCCACGACTTCCTGCACGGAGTTCAGAAGCAGTCTTCTGCTGCCATTCCCTATGAGCAGTACGGCATGCGCAAAATCATGCAACTCGGTACCGATATCAAGGCGGCGTGTGACTTCTCGAGCTTGCTCGTCATTCAGCCGATGAGTAAGATGAACTCAATGGACCCCGGCCAGAACGACATCATGTCGGGCGTCTCTGGCGAGTTCTCCCAAGACGAGTCGATGGACGGCTACTTTACCTACCCTTTGGTTACAGACTGCCTGGTTTACGACGACAAGGTCGAGATCATGTTCACATACCGATCCGACATCTTGAACGAGGCACAATTGACAAGCATGTGTCATCAACTCGAGCACGTCATGGGTCAATTGATCACCAGTCCTTCCAGCAGTCTCGCCGACGTGTCCGTGTCCGGTCCCAAGGATGTGCAACAGGCCATGCAATGGAACCAGGAGCAGCACCCTCTCGCCAACTACACCGTACACGGCCTGATATCCGAGCAGGCGGCTCGGAACCCCAACCAGGAAGCTATCTACGCCTCTGACGGCACACTCACCTATGCTCAGCTTGATGACTTATCTTCACGCCTTGCGACGCACCTGATCAACCTCGGCGTTGTCCCTGAGAGCATGATCTGCTATTGCTTCGAGAAGTCAATGTGGACTCCTGTCGCTATGCTAGGTATCGTCAAGGCTGGCGGTGTGTTCATTCCTTTGGATCCGTCTCACCCTGCTGGCCGACGTAGAGGCACTGTCCAGGAAGCTGACGCCCAGTTCATCATCGTGTCACCCAAGACCGCTCCCGAGTGCACGGGCATGGCTCCTAACTTGGTTGAGCTGACACCATCCTTGCTTCGGACTGTTCAGCCTGAGACACCTGCTGGGATTGAGAAGCGATCACACCCACGCCAAGCTGCGTACGTTCTATTTACTTCGGGCTCTACTGGCAAACCCAAGGCTATTGTCGTTGAACACGCCGCTCTTTGCGGTAGTCTGCTGGGTTATGGTCGATCTTACCAAATGGACAGCAGCAACCGAGTCCTCCAATTTTCCAGCTATGTGTTCGACGTCAGTCTGTCCGAGATCCTGGAGACTCTTGTTCTCGGTGGCACGATCTGTGTACCCTCGGATCAAGAACGCCTGGAAGACATTGTGGACTTTATTCAACGCGCTCGCGTCAACACAGCCATGTTGACGTCGTCCTTCCTCAAGACTCTAGACGCCGATCAACTCAAGAGCTTGAAGACATTGATGCTTGTTGGCGAACCTCCCACCAAAGATGCTATTCAGACCTGGCAGCCTCGCGTTGACGAACTAGTCAACGCTTACGGTCCCTCCGAAGTATCCGTCTTCATCGGCTCCCACACGTATACCGATCCCCAAGAACAGTCGACCAACGTTGGTCGCGCATTCAGTGGTAACATGTGGATTGTCGAGACGGATAACTACAACAAGCTCGCCCCCATCGGCTGTATCGGCGAGATCTTGATCCAGCGCTACATGGCCCGCGGCTACCTGAACGACGAGGAACGCACCAATGCCTCGTTCTTCCGCGAAGTTGCATTCCTTCCGCCACCGGCCGCTGATGACCCAAGGAAATTCCACAAGTCGGGCGATTTGGCAAGGTATAATTCCGATGGGACAATCAACTACCTCGGCCGACGTGATACTCAAGTCAAGCTACGTGGATACCGCATTGAGCTTGGCGAGATCGAGTACAATATCCAAAGGGCTATGCCTAACGTTGAGCACGTGGGCGTCGATGTTGTCACTGCCGCTGACCGCGAGACTCTGGTTGCTTTTGTCAGCTTTGTCGATGACCAAGCCCTACCCGCGGGCCAGCTTCCCGAACCTATCTCAAACATGACCGACGACTTGAAGGCCAGATTCGCCAAGGTATCTGATGAGATCAGCCAGTACCTGCCCTCGTACATGGTGCCCACACTCTACTTGCCTCTCACTGACATGCTCTTCAACACCTCTCTCAAGATGGACAGGAAGAGGCTCCGTGACCTTGCCGGTGCCTTGTCTCAGGACGACGTCAGCAAGCTGTCGCTGGGCACGGAAGACAAGGTCGAGCCTACCACACCCATGGAGCTCAAGCTACGTGAGCTGTGGTCTGAGGTTCTAAAACTGGAGGTTGAGTCCATCGGCAAGAACGACAACTTCCTCCAGATTGGTGGCGATTCAATGTCAGCCATCAAGCTCGTCTCTACCGCGCAGAAGCATGGCCATGGACTGACAGTCGCCAATATCTTCAGCAACCCAAGGCTGTCCACCATGGCTACTATCGTCGGCAAGCTGCAGAAGTCATACGAGGCTAGTCCCTTCAGTCTTGTCCCCTTTGACTTTGGCGGCACCGCTGAAGCCATCCGCGGTGTTTGCCAACTGCCTGAGGATCAGGTCATTGAGGATGCCTACCCATGCACGTCTCTGCAAGAGGGTCTGATGGCCCTCGCTGTGAAGACTCCTGGCTCATACCAGGCCAAGCTGTCCTTCCGCCTGGGCGAAAACGTAAACATTCCGCGCTTCCAGGCCGCTTGGGAAGAGACGGTCAGGTTATGTACCAACCTCCGCACTCGCATTATGCCCGTGCACGGCAAAGCGATGCAGATTGTTGTCAAGGACGATATCGAGTGGGCGCTCAACGAGGACAACAACGCAGGCTCCTTCCTCTCCTCCATTCACGACTCACCCATGGCTTACGGGTCTCGTTTGTGCCGATATGGTATCTGGCACGAGAACGGCAAGTCGTATTTCTTCTGGGGTGTTCATCACGCTGTGTATGATGGTTGGACAATGGGCTTGATCATGCGTACCCTATACAGCACCTACCGCGGCACTGAGATGCAGCCACTGCAGCCATACTCGGGCTTCATCAAATATACCGAGGAGATGAGCGAGACAGAAGCTCAAGAGTATTGGAAGGATCAGTTGAAGGGGGCTAATCGGGCCACTTTCCCTCCTGCGGCCCGCGCGCAAGCAACCAAGTCTGGCAACGTCACTCGCAGCCTGACACAGCAGATCGACTTCCCCTCTACAACTGACGGCTCAATCACCAAGGCTACCATTGTCCGCGGTGCCTGGGCTGTCATCCTTGCCAGGTACTGCGACACGAACGATGTCACGTTCGGCACCACCATCAGCGGGCGCCAAGCGCCAGTGCCTGGTCTTGGTGATATGCCTGGCCCAGCTATTGCCACTGTACCTGTTCGCGTGAAGCTTGATCGCGATCAGTTAGTCGCTGATTACTTGCACAACATCCAGTCCCAGGCTTCCGAGATGGTAGCCTTTGAGCAGTACGGTCTGCAAAAGATCTCCAAGCTGACGGCTGAGACCCGAGAGGCTTGCAACTTCACCAGTCTTATGGTGATTCAACCTTTCTCTCCTGTGGCTGCCATGAACAGCGAAGGCGAGCCAATCTTGAAGACCAACGAGGAGCGTCTCGCCGACGAGCTGCTGGAAGGTTACTTCAGTTACCCTCTTGTCATCCAATGCGCTGTCTCGGAAACCGAGGTCAGCCTGGACATGACCTACGACTCATCGGTCTTGGCTGAATCGCAGATTCGTGGCCTTTGCCATCACTTCAACCAGGCTGTCAAGGAGCTACTCCCTGAACGCAAGGATCCACTCAGCGCCGTCAACATTGCCGGAGAGTGGGATGTGCAAGAAGCGTACCGCCTCAACGGAACTGGCCCCGAGCTTATCGACTCTTGCTGGCATCACATCTTTGAGCAAAATGCTAGAGAGCAGCCCAACGCTCCCGCCGTCATTGCGTGGGATGGTCAACTGACATATGCCGAACTTGACCATGCTGCTAATCGTTTGTCTCATCACCTGATGAAGACTTATGACATCAAGAACGACGAACTAATTCATGTCTGCTTCGAGAAGTCGGTTTGGTATTTCGTGTCCATACTGGCCATCAACAAGGCGGGTGCCACTTTCGTGCCTCTGGATCCCTCGCACCCCGAAGCTCGTTTGCAACAGGTTGTCAACCAGACCGGTGCTCGACTTGGTCTTGCTTCGACCAAACAATGGTCCCGCTGCGCCGAGCTCTTACCCAACATTGTTGAGGTCCATGGTGACCTCGACGAGAAGCTCAGGGCTGAAGCTCCCGAGACTTCCCATCGTGGTCCAGTCGATAACGTCTCACCGCGCAACGCTGCCTACATTCTGTTCACGTCAGGCAGTACTGGTGTGCCCAAGGGCTTCGTGATCGAGCACCGCTCCCTGAGCACGTCGCAGATCAATATGTGGCGCCGATTGCGCATGGCCCCGAACGTCCGTATGTTGCAATTTGCCTCGTACGTGTTCGACATGTCGATTGGAGAGACGATTCCTTCCTTCCTTTTCGGCGCTTGTGTCTGCGTACCGTCGGAAGAGACTCGTATGAACGGCTTGGTGGAGTTTATCAACAAGAACCAGATCACTTGGCTCTTCCTCACCCCGGCCTTTGCGCGTACTCTTCGCCCTGCCGATATTCCTTCCGTGGAATTCATTATCCTCGCCGGTGAAGCGGTCGGACAAGACATCCTCGATACCTGGTTCGGCAAGATCCGTCTTGTGAATGGCTGGGGTCCGGCTGAGACCACCGTTTGCTCAACGATCCACGAATATGCCACCCCTCACGACTCTCCCGGAACTATTGGAAGATCTGTGGGAGGATACACCTGGATCGTCGACCCCGAAGACCCTCACCGCCTAGCACCCATTGGCACTATTGGTGAGGTTATGATTCAAGGACCAACCCTCCTCCGCGAGTATCTCGCCGATCCTGCCAAGACGGCTGCCGCCACCATAGATACGCTACCGTCCTGGGCACCAAATACAGATGATGAAGCTTATGGTCGGTTCTACAAGTCGGGTGACTTGGCCTACTACAACCCGGACGGGACCATGGAGTTCAGCTCACGCAAGGACACGCAGATCAAGATCCGCGGTTTGCGTGTCGAACTCGGCGAGGTCGAGCATCATATCCTCAAGTCGCTGACTGGGGTGGTCCAAGTCGCTGTGGATGTGCTCAAGACAGAAAATGCCACGAACCTTGTGGCGTACTTCTGCTACAACGATGACCCCAGTCTGGCTGATATGGTGGAGGACCTCTTCATGCCCATGACGACCGACATGCAGAGTCAAATCACGGAGATGGTCGCTGAAATCTCTATCGCCCTGCCGTCATACATGGTGCCGACGCTCTTCGTGCCATGTCACTACATGCCTTTCATCACCTCGACCAAGTTGGATCGTAAGAAGCTGAAAGCTGAAATCAGTTCCTTGAGTGCCGAAGCTCTTGGGCAGTATTCCCTTTCCGACACCGACAAGAGACCCCCCGAGACGGAAATGGAAGAGAAGATCCAGCAGCTGTGGGCGACAATTCTCAACCGGCCGCTCAACACCATTGGCCGTGATGATAGCTTCCTACGTATTGGCGGTGATTCGATCTCTGCCATCTATCTTGTCACGGCTGCCCGTGATGCCGGAATCAACCTCACAGTCAAGATCATCTTCGATGACCCCAGGCTTTCAGCGATAGCCTCAAAGGCTGCTGTTATGGAGGCTGACAGTCATGCAGAAGACATCAAGCCCTTCAACCTCCTCAATACACAGTTGTATGAAGCTATCTTCACACAACAACCTCGGGACCAGTGCGAGCTGAGCGACAACCAAGTCATCGAAAACGCCCTGCCTTGCACTCCCCTCCAATCAGGACTAATGGCTCTCTCGGCCACCAAGCCTCGCTCATACATTGCCTCTTGGTTCTACAGGCTTCCTGAACACGTTGACCCTCAACAAGTCAAAGATGCATGGGAGCAGACGGTCCGTGTCTGCACCAACTTGCGTACGCGCATCGTCCACATGATGGGCGCCCCTATTCAAGTCTTCATCCAGGACGACATTCACTGGGAAGACACTGAGGGCATGAGCTTGGCCGGCTGGATGGAAGAGGCCAATCGTACCGAAATGACATTCGGCAACCGGCTCTGTCGCTACGCTCTTCTGCAAGACACCGACGGGCAGTGGTACTTTTCATTTGTTGCCCACCACGCCATTTACGATGGCTGGTCCATGCGTGTGATCCTTAGCGCATTCGCCGACGCCTACAATGGTTCCAACGACATTGTTCTGCAGCCATTCGACAATTTCATCAAGTACATTCTGAGCATGGATCAGACAGCTGCCAGCAGCTTCTGGAAGGGCCAACTCCAGGACGCCGAGCGCGCCGTGTGGCCTGCCGCGCCCGCCAAGAACGTCAAAGCTAACACGCGCAACATGCATAGTGTCCTTGAGCTCCCGCCTACGGTGGACCCGTCCATCACCAAGGCCACGATTGTGCGTGCTGCTTGGGCGTTGGTCTTGGCCAGGTACTGCAACGCCAACGATGTCTGCTTCGGTAGTGCCGTCTCCGGCCGCAATGCACCTGTCCCTGGCATCGGCGAGATGGCCGCTCCTGTCGTCGCTACAGTGCCCATCCGAGTGATTGTGGACAAGGAGCAGACTGTCACTAGCTTCCTACAGGGCGTCCAGTCTCAAGCCTCCGAGATGATTGCTTACGAGCAGTTTGGACCTCAGAACATTGCAAAGCTCGGCCCTGAAATGCAGGAAGCCCTCAACTTCAGCTCACTGCTGGTCGTGCAGCCTTTCCAGAGCATGTCCAGCATGGGTAGCGACGCTGAACAAGTGCTGATTCCCGTGGAAACCGACGAGAAGCAGGTGAACGCCAGTCTCGAGAATTATACTGTCTTCCCATTGGTTCTACAGTGCTTTGTTTCGGACGAGGTGGTGGAAGTCAACATCAGCTACGACTCCAACACTGTCTCCGAGATACAGATAACGAACTTGACAAACCACTTGCAGCAGACTATCAAGGAGCTCCTCACCAAAGTTGACGAGCCGGTCAACAAGATTGATATTTCGAGCCAATGGGACATTGACCAGGCTCACAGCTTTAACGCTGAAGAGCCCGAGATCATTGACTCGACCTTCAACGACATCTTTGCCAAGCAAGTGGAGGCTAACCCTGGCGCCCTCGCGATCGAAGCTTGGGATGGCCAACTCACGTACCGCGAGTTTGATAGGGCCACAAACCGCCTCGCGCATTTCCTCATCCAAGAGTACGGTGTACAGCCCCATGACTTCGTCCACGTCTGCTTTGAGAAGTCTCTTTGGCATTTCGTGGCGTGTCTCGCTATCAATAAGGCTGGCGCAGCTTTTGTGCCCTTGGACCCTACGCATCCGCCTCAGCGCCATGCGCAAGTTGTTGAGACTAGCAGGTCCAAGCTTGTGCTTACCTCGTCCCAGTACGCTGGGAGGATGGCGCCTTTGCTCGACAACGTCTTGGAGGTCACCCTGGAGCTGAACACGCAACTCTCCCAAGACGAGCCCAAGAGCGCAAATTCCCCTGATGTCACGGTTTCCCCAGACGCCGCCATGTACGTCGTCTTCACGTCGGGGTCAACAGGTACGCCAAAGGGTATTGTCACTGAGCACCGCGCCTGTTGCGTCTCACAGGCTGCTCTCGGCAAGCGCCTACGGATTGGACCAAATGTCAGGATTCTCCAATTCGCCGCCTTTGTCTTCGACTTCTCCATCGGCGAGATCATTTGCACCTGGATGAACGGGGCGACTGTTTGTGTTCCCTCGGACGAAATTCGCATGAACAGCTTGGTCGAGTACATTGCCGAGAAAGATATCAACACGCTCTTCTTGACGCCAGCTATTGCCAGGACCATCCGCCCTGCCGATGTACCCAAGGTCAACCTACTCTGCGTCGGCGGCGAGGCTGTTAGTCGCGACGTCCTTGAGCAGTGGCACGGCCACAGCCGCATTGTCATCGCCTGGGGTCCTACCGAAACCTGCGTCATTGCCTGTACTCACGAGATACAGAAAGAGGGCGAATCGCCGCTTACAATCGGAAGACCTGTGGGTGGCTACTTGTGGATTGTCGACCCCGAGGATCCGACCAAGTTGGCCCCTGTGGGCACAGCTGGTGAGCTGGTCGTCCAGTCGCCCACGATTATGCGCGAGTACCTTGACGACCCGGAGAAGACAGCAGCGGCGGTCGTCTTCGCTGACGGCCTGCCCGAGTGGGCGCCGAAGAGATCCAACCCCTTGTGGTCGAGGTTCTACAGGTCCGGTGACCTCTGCCACTACAATGCTGATGGTACCATCGAGTTCGCATCTCGGAAGGACTCCCAGGTCAAGATCAGAGGTCTGCGCGTGGAGTTGGGCGACATTGAGTACCACGTCCGCACCAACCTGCCTCGCGTGGAACAGATCGCTGTCGACGTTTTCAAGACCGACTCTGGAGCCAGTCTTGCCGCCTTCTTCTCCTATACCACCAAGACGGACGCCACTGACACCACCAACGAGGTCTTCGACACCTTTACCAACGAGCTCCAGGCTGAGGTCTCCACTATGGTCAATGACCTTAGCAAGTCATTGCCTCCATACATGATTCCGACCTTCTACATCCCTTGTCACTTCATGCCGACAAGCACAGCTGGCAAGCTGGATCGCAAGAAGCTGATCAAGCTCATGGGCGATCTTGATGACAAGCAATTGGCGGCCTACTCGCTTGACGATGCTGAGAAGAGGGCTCTGGAGACCGTGATGGAAATCCGACTTGCCCAGATCTGGGCTACCTTGCTGGGCAAGTCCACCGAGGCCATTGGTCGGGACGACAATTTCTTGCGTATCGGTGGTGACTCCATTGCTGCTATGCAGCTCGTCACCCAAGCCCGTGACGCCGGCATATCCATCACGGTCAAGGAGGTGTTTGACGACCCCAGCCTCATAGGGATGGCCTCTAATGCGACGGAACTGAAGGAGGGCGCCTCATCAGGCCGACCCAAGCGTTTCAGTCTCCTGACACCTTTCCAGAGACAGGCCATCCAGGGCCAGGGTATCCGCGACCAGTGTGGCCTGTCCCGTGACGATGTCATTGAGGATGCCTATCCCTGCACTGCGCTCCAAAGCAGTCTGATGACCTTGACCATCAAGCAGCCTGGAGCGTACATCATCAAGCACATCTACAAGCTGTCTACCCAAGTGGACGTCGACCGCTTCAGGAACGCTTGGAGCAGGACAGTCGAGATGTGCGACGCGCTTCGCACCAGAATCGTCGACATTGAGGACTCGTTCGCCCAGGTGGTCATCGAGAACGATGTCCACTGGGAAGAGGTGTCCGACACTATGGATCTTGGCTCATTCATGAACTACACCAAGACCATCACGATGGGATACGGGTCACGCCTCACCCGCTACGCCATCGTGAAGGATACAGATGGCGCCCATTACTTTTTACAGATCATCCACCACTCGGTGTTTGATGGCTGGAGTCGTGGCCTGCTGATGGCGACACTTTACAGCAACTACAAGAACGAGGAGCCGTCCCCTGTCCAGCCCTACTCTGGGTTTATCCAGTACGTCAGCGAGATGGATCTCGAGGCGGCCGGCGATTTCTGGAGGCTACAACTAGAGGGCGCCAAGCCTGCCACGTTCCCTCAGCTTCCTGGTCCTGAAGCCGCCAACAAGCCTCGCGCCACCGAGCGGGTTACCAAGAGCATCCAATTTGGACCCTCGCTCAACAAAACAATCACCAAGGCATCCATCTTACGTGCCGCATGGGCCTTGGTGCTGGGCCGCTATGGCGAGACCGACGATATCACATTTGGTGCCACCATCTCAGGTCGTAATGCCCCTGTTCCTGGGCTTGAAATGATGGCTGGACCTGCTATTGCTACGGTTCCCGTCCGTGTGCAACTGAACCCGGAGCAGACCGTAGCCGAATTCCTCCAGGCCATACAATCTCAGGCCATGGAGATGACCGCCTACGAGCAATTCGGTCTTCCCAAGATCACGCGCATCAGCCAGGACGCCAAGGAAGCCTGCGACTTTACAAGCCTGATCACCATCCAGCCTGGTCAAAGCAGCCACTCCAACAGCGCGGCTGACGAGGAAGCCTTGTTGAATTTTGACGCCTCCAAGATTGGCGACGCGATGAACGAGTATTTCAACTACCCCCTCGTCGTCGAAGCTGCCCTTCTCGACACCCACGTCGAGCTGGTCTTGACGTTTGACGCAAACCATATGAGCAGGGACAAGCTCACTGCCCTGTCAAATCACTTTGACCACTTTGTCCAGCAGCTTCTGGTATCGGAAGACGAGCCAGTCGGGTCGCTGACGGCTGCTGGTCCGTGGGATCTCGAGCAAATCATCAAGTGGAACGACTATGTCCCCGAGGCCGTCGACTCTACCCTGCCTGATCTGATCAGCGAGCAGGCCAGGACTGCGCCGGACCACGAAGCGCTTTACTCATCTGCGCTGTCTCTCACCTTTGGCCAGCTGGAGGCTCTGTCCACCCAGCTGGCTGATTATCTCGCTGAACTTGGCGTGAAGCCTGAGACGCTTGTTCCCTTCTGCATGGAGAAATCCCCCTGGGCTATTGTTGCCATGGTCGGCATCATGAAGGCTGGCGGTGTCTTCATTCCTCTTGACCCCGAGCACCCTGTCAGTCGTAGGCAGGGTCTCATCAACCAGGTTGGTGCCGAATACCTGGTTGTTTCCCCCTCAACACGCGCTTCGTGCGACGGCTTGGCTCCCAATGTGGTCGAGCTATCGGCTGCTCTGCTTGAGGGGCTGTCGCAACCCACTCAGCGGCGCTTCAAGCCTGAGCCCACCAACGGTGCCTATGTCCTCTTCACCTCTGGCTCCACGGGTACACCCAAGGGTGTTCTCGTGGCCCACAAGGGCATCGCCAGCTCCATTGCTGGCCAACGCAAGATGTTCGACTTTAGAGGCTACAGGCCACGCTTCCTACAGTTCGCCAGCTTCATCTTCGATGGTAGCATTTTTGAGATATTCACGACGCTCACGGCTGGTGGCACCGTCTGCTTGCCAACAGACAGCGAGCGCATGCAGCACACTGCTGGCTTCATGGAGCGTGCTCGTGTCGACTGCGCCATTCTTACACCGTCTTTTGCCCGAACCGTCCGTCCTTCCGATGTTCCCACCCTCGAGAAGCTCATGGTGGCCGGAGAGGCGCCCGGCAAGGATACAATGGAGACCTGGTTCGGTCGTGTGAAGCTCATCAACGGATACGGCCCCTCGGAGACTTGTATCTGCTGTGCGGCTCATACTTATGAGAGCGCGGACACGCCTCCCACCACGATTGGTCGTGGTGTGGCCCATGTCAACTGGATCGTGGAGCCAAACAATCACAACAAGCTCACTCCCATGGGCTGCATCGGTGAGCTCCTGGTACAGGGACACGCTCTTGCACGCGGGTACATCAATGACCCCGAAAAGTCAGCGGCCGCGTTCGTCACGGACGTCGACTGGATGCCGGCTGCCTTGGCAGGCAAGTTGCCGCAAACATTTTACAGAACTGGTGATCTGGTGCGGTACAACTCGGACGGTACACTGGAGTATCATGGACGTCGGGACACGCAGGTCAAGGTCCGTGGTCAGCGCATGGAATTGGGTGAGGTCGAGGATAGGATCAAGAAGGCTTCGGATGCTATTGAGCATGTGGCGGGGCTAGTTATTCGACACAACAATCGTCAGACTCTGGTTGCAGTGGTCACCTTCAAGGAGGCCGAGGCATCGTCTGACGATGGCTCTCGCTTCCTGCCGATGGATGACGAGATGAAGAAGTACCTCTCTACGCTCACAGAGGCTCTTCGCAACTCTTTGCCAGGATACATGGTCCCGGCCATGCTCCTGCCGATCAAGCAGATGCCTTTCTTCGGCGCTTCGATGAAGCTCGACCGCAAGACGCTTCAGCGTGTCGCGGACAGCCTGACCCAGGACGAGCTGGCAACATTCTCTTCGGCTAGTCACGTCAAGACACCGCCCACTACCGAGGTGGAGTTCAAGCTCCGTGAGCTCTTTGCTCGCATTCTGGATTTGAGTCCCGAGGAGATTGGCAAACACGACCAATTCCTGCAGATTGGCGGTGACTCCATTCTGGCCATTCAACTATCATCCCTTGCGCAACAGAATGGCATGGGCCTCACGGTGTCTCAGATCTTCAAGGACTCCCGGCTGTCTGCCCTCGCCGAGGGCTCATCGAGCGACAACAACTACGGCAGCTACCCCACGGAGCCCTTTGAGCTGATGCCAGACGACAGCGTACTCGATGTTCTCCGTCGCGAGTGCAACCTTGCCGATGACGCACAGTTTGACGATGTCTACCCTGCCACCAGTGTCCAAGAGGCCTTTATGGTTGGCTCCAAGAAGATCCCTGGCACGCTCCTGGCCACCCGTCTCTGGCGCCTGGGCTCTCACGTCGACATTCCCACCTTCAAGGCCGCGTGGGAGCAACTGTTCCAGTACTTCCCCAACATGCGCACTCGCTATGTGATGCACACGACAGGCGAGACGATTGGTGCTGTGCTACAGGAGGAGCTGACCTGGGAGGACACCACTGGCTTCAGCGTCCACTCGTACATGGACTACGCGGCATGCAACATGAAGATGTGCTACGGCACCAGCCTGTCGCGCAATGCCATCATCGAGGAGGATGGCGAGTATTTCTTCGCTTGGTTCCAGCACCACGCCATCCTGGACGGATGGACCATGGGTCTCGTCATCGACAACCTCTTCTCCACCTACCACGGCATGGAGCTGCGCCCGCTCAAGAACATTGCCAGCTTCGTCAAGTACTGCAAGTCACTGGACGAAGAAGCCATGGCTGACTACTGGCGCGACGAGCTCTCTGGCTGCCAGCGAACCACATTTCCACCAGAGCGTACCCCAACCACGCGCCTCCGCCACGTCACCAAGCACCACCCGAACATCATCAGGCTGCCCGGTGCTTTCAAGAACTACGACATCACTTCCAGCACCATCATGACGGTGGCCTGCGCTGCCATGCTTGCCCACTTTAGCAAGCAGGACGACGTGACCACCATGACTGTGTCGTCCGGTCGCCACGCCCCCGTCGAGGGCCTCGAGAAGATTCCCGGCTGTATCACAGCACGTATGCCCCTCCGCGTGCGCTTCGATCACAACCAGACAGTACAGGAGCTCCTCAAGAAGATCCAAGACGACGCCACCGACCGTGTCGCCTACGAGCAGTACGGCGTGCAGAACATGTCCAAGCTCGGCACCGAGATTGCCAATGCCATCAACGACACAACGAGCGTCTTCTCGATGCAGCCCTGGCATCAAAAGACGGCTGCCAAGGAAGGGCTCGAGGTGGACGAGGAGGACGAGGACGACATCAAGCCGCTCCTCCAGACGGCGCACGACAAGTACTCGCTCGCCGAGACGTCTGACGGCTTCTTCACGCAGTCGCTCATTGTGCAGTGCTGGACGGCCGAGGAGGACATTGACATTGAGACGTACTGGAACTCGGAGGTGCTCACGGATCTGCAAGCCGTCGCTGCGAGTGACTACATTGGCAAGGTGGCGTGCGCGTTTGTCGAGAATATGGACAGCCCTGTTCTTGAGGTGCTGCGGAAGATGGGTTAGGTGTTTTTTTTTTTTTTTCTGGTTTTTTTTTTCCTGCTTTTCTTTCTTTTGTTGTTATTTGGATGACGGCCTTTGGTTAGCTAGATGAATCATATTTTCTGTTCGAATCTCACTTTGAAAATTAGAGGTTGTCACACTTGGCCATCCAGCCCCGTTCGGAGCCTGTTCCTAGCAGCTCTTGTGAGTGTGCCCCTTTTCGGGCTGTCTACATCACATCATGACTCCTGAGCTACCCGGGACCGCGTAGCCGTCTTCCACAGCAGCATCCCAATGTATGCGATCAGACTATGCTCTTCCCGATTTTGAACTCAAGTGCCAAATGTAGGGCACAGCTACTATGATCAATTCTTGAATGCCGAGCCACTTCACCACGTACGCAACTTGGTCAGAGCCGAAAAGTCATGTCGTGTCTCCGACGTGCAGCTGTGGTATCCCACGATACTTGTGTGAGGTTGGCTCCTCAGCATTTCCATTGCTTCTGCCTCTTCGACCAAGCCCTTCTGAAGGAGGTGGTTGACTTTGTGCTCTCGAAAGATATCGTACAGTGCTAGCTTGGGCCGCTTGATGAAAATGTCCGATGGGAGCGAACATGGTGTATTTGAAGTCTCCGGTGTCCTCGTCAGTTTCTTCAGACACCCAGAGCAGCCCCTACCAGCTGGTCGCCTGTGGCGCCATAACGCAGGGATAGTGAGGGTGTGTCCTGCCTGGACAGCTCCTGAGATACTCGAGTCGCGTTCGTTCCGGCTACCGAGTGTCAATGAACATGAAGTTTGAGTCCGCGCACGAGCTTGTACGTAGTATAATGAAAAGGGGACGGTGAAAGGATTGGTCAGATCCAATGATGTGCGGGGCTTGTCTAGATCCTGAACAGGGGAGGAATGGCAAGTAGTCATTGGTCAGATTGACACCATCTGGACCCATTCCTTCGCTCCTGGCTACCCGAGACCACGTCCGCGTGGCTATTGTGATTCTCTGTATTTCTTCACATTCCAATATGAATTTGAGTATGAAATAATAAGCGGGAAACAACGAACTACAATATTCATAGTTCCAATATCATATCATACACTGCATCAGCTTTTGGTTTTTAGTGTGGTCGCGCAACGCAAGGACCAAAGTTAGACTGAAGAACGATGCCGAGGCGCCGACTCTATCCGATTTGTGCCTCTGGAACTTATCCGCCGCTCGTTTCTATCCGACGCTACCAGACGTAGACATTGTTACCTTCGGCTCACTTGTGCATCACGGTTCCCATAACATCTGCTCCGGCTCACAAGAATAGCGCACAATGTCTGGCCAAACCATTGACGTGCCCCTCGAGCGGGGCATCCCTGCCCACCTCCTCCCTCCCAGCTGGAAAACGTCTGTGACAGCGTGGCTAGCCGAGGACACACCCTCGTTCGACTACGGTGGCTTCGTCGTCGGGGATGCACCGCGCGAAGCCACGCTCTGGGGCAAATCAGCCGGTATTATCGCCGGGCGGCCCTTCTTTGACGAGGTCTTTACGCAGTGCGGCTGCACCGTGGAGTGGTACGCGGAGGAAGGCTCCCGGCTCGACCTCAGCAGCAATGGCAAGCAGAAAGTCGCCACTGTCCGAGGACCCGTGCGAGGCATCCTCCTCGGCGAGCGCGTCGCGCTCAACACCCTCGCGCGATGCTCGGGTATCGCCTCGCAGAGCAAACTCCTCGTCGACAAGCTGCGGGACGCCGGCTACAAGGGCATCCTGGCCGGCACGCGCAAGACAACGCCCGGCTTCCGGCTCGTCGAAAAGTACGGCATGCTCGTCGGCGGCGCGGACGCGCACAGGATGGATCTGAGCACCATGGTCATGCTCAAGGACAACCACGTCTGGAGCCGGGGGAGCATCACCGATGCCGTCCGCGCCGCCAAGGCGGTCGCCGGCTTCAGTGTCAAAATTGAGGTCGAGGTGCAGAGCGAGGAGGAGGCGGACGAGGCCATCACTGCGGGCGCAGATGTCGTCATGCTGGACAACTTCACGGGCGACGGTGTCAAGGTTGCCGCCAAGAGTCTGAGGCAGAAGTGGCAAGGGAAGAAGAGCTTCCTGCTCGAGGTGTCGGGCGGGTTGAGGGAGGACAATGTGGGCGCCTACGTCTGCCATGGTAAGACTTCCCATCTTTGCGTGCGTTGGGATTGATGCTAACATGGTTCCACAGATATCGACATTATCTCGACGAGCTCGATTCATCAAGGTGTTGGCTATGTAGACTTTTCTCTCAAGATTGAGCACTGAGTGCTGGAATGTAAGAGTAATGATGCATCATGGACTGACTCATGTTACCGGGCAAACGAACATCTTCATCGTGAAACATGTTAAATGGCGCTGTCGGGGTATCTCGAAAACGAAAAACAAAACGCTCTAATATAACAAACCAAAACAAATACAGGGCATGCTACTCCGCAGCCGTGATCCGTACCATGGGCGCTTCCACCACAGCAGGAGCCTCCTCTTCATCCTCGCTCTCCCTCTGCTTGTCGTTCTTCGACAGCCTCCGGAACAACCTTCCAAACGGGGACCACATGGCCCTGCACATCCTCCCCAGGAAGTGGTAGGCGATCACAAAGGGGTATCCGACAATCCTCGCAATCGCGGCGAACCACGCGTCGGGGAACAGTCGGATGAGCACACCGCACGGCAAGCTGAAGAAGCCGAGGACGAGCGAGATGGCCCACTGCGTGCCGTCCAGACCATCCTCGTGAATCTCAAAGGCACGACCACCGACGAAGATGATGAGCACCTGCAGGCCGACCATGAGGATGACGATGCCGATGAAGAAGTAGTTGCGGTGGATCCCCTCAAAGATATTGAGATTGTTATCCAGACGACGGTTATTGAACAATTTGAAGATCTGCATCCAGACAAACGTATTGAAGATGACGGTGTTGAGCTGCAGCCTCTGGTCGGGATCGCTCATGTCGTAGTTGAGAATGCTGCCACCGGCAAAATACAGGACGAGCGTGACGGTGAGCTGGAAGATGGCCTGGCCGACAATCATTTTCCACATCTGGGTACGTTAGCGTGATGAGTTTTATCCCATCGTAGTGGAAAAATTCACTTACATTGTTCGTGATCAAGGGCTTGTCCTTGCCTTGCGGCCGTCTGTTAAGGATCTTCTCCGTGGGCGGATCCGTGGCCAGGGCCAAGGCAGCAAACGTATCCATGATGAGGTTGATCCAGAGCAGCTGGACAGCGTTGAGCACAGACTCCATCCTGGGCGAATAGACGGCCGAGATGAAGGCGAGCAAGACGGCCGTGATGTTGACCGTGATTTGGAACTACAACCGTTAGGAAAGTCACAATCGAACTGCCAAAGTCACGTACCTGGAGGAACTTTTGGACGGCGTCGTTGACAGCGCGTCCCCACTTCAACGCGGTGATGATGGACGCAAAGTTATCATCCATCAGGACGATCGAGGAAGCCTCCTTGGCAACCTCCGTACCCGAGATGCCCATCGAGAAGCCCACGTCCGCTGCCTTGAGCGCTGGCGCATCGTTGGTCCCGTCGCCGGTCACGGCGACAGTCTCGCCCAGCTTCTTCAGCCTCGTCACGAGAATCCGCTTGTCCTCGGGCGAGGACCGGGCGAGGACCTGCAACTTGGGCAGGGTGGCATCCATCTGCTCCTCCGAGAGCGCCCTGAAGATGGGGCCCTCCATGACGATGCCGCCCTCTTGGAAGATGCCACACTCCGTCGCAATGGCACGCGCTGTCGTCATGTTGTCGCCGGTGACCATGCGCACGACAACGCCCGCATGCTGCGCCTTGCGTACGGCTTCGGGCACGCCTGGACGCACGGGGTCCTGGATGCCGACGACACCAAGGAAGACGAGGTCCTCGAGGAGGGATGCAAACTCGACAGAGCCCGTCTCGGTCAGCCGCGCCGTCTTGGGGGGCCACTGCTCATAGTCGCGGTACACGAGACCAATCGTTCGCAGCGACTTGGCGGCATAGTTCTCAATCTGGGTGCGGAGAGAGTCCTTGTCGCTCGCCGTCAGGTCGTCCTCCTGCAGCGTCTCGAAGTTTGCCATGGATGAGCAGTACCGCAGGAGAATCTCCGAGGCACCCTTGACGAGGAGTCGGTACCCTTTGCCCTGGCGAAGCTTGATGACGGCGCCCATGCACTTCTTGCCCGAGTCAAAGGGCATCATCTGGATGACTTCCTCGTTGTTGCGGACTTGCCCGAGGGCCGCGAGGCCGAGGTGGTCTTTGGCGAGTTGGAGCAGCGCCGTCTCCGTTTTGGAGCCGACAAAGGTAACGACGCCCTCCTGCTCGCCCTCGAAAGCGGTGGCGTTAATGGCGACCGACTGGATCAACAGGTCCTTGGTGGCTTCGGGTATGTCCCTGGCCCAGGAGGCGATGCTCTCGTTCTTGCCAGCGTCGGCTGCCGAGAAGCTCGTTGATCCAAATGTGCCAGCAACCACGGTCATTTTGTTAGTTGTCTAGGCTTATCAGTGTCTGTTTCTTACACCGAACAAGTTAAAGACTCTTACCAGTGTACCTGTCTTGTCGGAGCAGATTGTGGTCGCATTGCCCATGGTCTCGCAGGCGCGGAGCACGCGGACCAGGTTCTTCTCTTTCAGCATCCTCTTCGTTGCAAAGGCCAACGCCAGGGTCACGGCCAGCGGTAGACCCTCGGGAACGGCGACCACGATGATGGTGATGGCCACAATCAGAATGTCCATGAAGCTGGATGCCTTCTTCTCCGGGGATCGAGAGTCCCCCGGCAACGAGGCACCAAAGCGAATGAGGAGGATGACAAAGAGCAGGCCCGCGGCGGCGGTGCCCAGGTAGCCTATGGCCAATGCGAGCTTACCAAGCTTCTTCTGGAGAGGTGTGGTGTCAATCTCGGTGCGGACCGACATCATAATCTTGCCAAAGCTGCTGTTGACGCCCACCGAGGTGCACACAAACGTGCCCATTCCTGTGGGGCCCTGTTAGTTTGCGGACTGTGATCTCAAAGCTTCTTGACTCACCTTCTAGCACTTTGGCACCCGATATAATGAAGGGGTCCAGGCCGTGGCCGCTATGACCTTCGTTCAAAGCCTTCATCACAGCCTCACCGCCCGTCTTCTTGAGGGCGTCCGACTCGCCCGTTGCGGACGACTCGTCGCACCGAATCTCGTGTCCTTCGATGAGGACGCCATCCACGGGCACGAGATCGCCGGGCTCGAGATGGATCACGTCACCCACGAGTACGTCGTTGACGTTAATCATGGCTGATCGGCCCGATCGGATGACCTTGATCTCTCGCTCTTCCTTCTTGGCGTTGAGCTTGACAAAGGCACGTTCCTTTTGCCAGTCGTTAAACGAGCCGACGCCGACGACAATGACAATGGCGACGACAATGGCCACGCCCTCCACCCAGTCGAGCGCGGGGGGGGCTCCCTCCTGGTGGTCGACGCCCAGGGTCTCGTATAGCCCGAGCGCCAGCGAGATGACCGCCGCAACGGTCAACACGATGAGGACCATGTCGTTGTAGGCCGCCCACATGAGTTTCCAGAACGGCGTTGCCTTTTTGGCCGGCAGGGCGTTGCGGTCAAAGACCCGTATGCGTTCCGCAAAGCTTTCGCCTGCCGTGTTCCCTCCGTGGTCAATCTTCTTGGGGATGACAGACTCCGAAACGTGGACTGCCTGCTCAAACGTGACCGTGCTAGTGGCGCCCTTTTCATCCACGCTCAGGCCACTGGTCAGATCTGTCTGGAGACCTTTCTCGAGTCCTCGCAGGCCACCGAGCGCGCGAAGCGCCGATAACGACTTGGGGTTGAGAAGCTTGTTCAGCTGTCCCGGTGAGAAGGCGTATGGGTTGTTGTCGACCGCAAAGTCGGCTTCTGTGCCTGGGTCGGGCCGCAGGGCCACGTCCGGGTCGTCGAAGCAGGTCGAGCTCGACGACATGCCACCGGAAGACGCCAACGTCCCCGCGGTGGAGGAGGGCGTGAGAAGGCCGCCTTTGGTGGAGGAGGAGCGGCGACATGATGTGTCGAGCGTGAGCTGGGGAGGCGCCAATGAATCGCCCGCCATGATCGCAGCTTCTGAGAGATGGGGATATGCTGGAGCTGGCTGGGCAGGGAATGTCGTCTCAGAGAGGTTGAGGTCGACGGAAGATCGCAGGCAAGCTGGGGGTGTGTCGTGGCGCCGATGGACGAAGGACTATAAGTCTGTACCCAGGGCTCCGTGGTGGCTGTGCACAAAGTCTAAAGCTTCCAATCCATCAAGTTGCATACAGCCTACGCAACGCTAGAACCGGGTTTGCTCGAGGACCTTGGGGAGCACGAGGCAGAATACCGAGCATGTGCAAGACAGTGAGTGAGGGTCCTGACTCCTGTTGAGTTGAGAGCTTGGTCATTGATGAGCTGAGCTGCACTGCCCAATCTGACACAACAGCGTCAGATTGAGCAGCAGACAATCAGACATGGAATCAATCGGTCGTGCTTCGCCCATCTTTCCGGCAGTGGCGGCTTGTGGGGGGATCCCGAGTCGAATCAGGATGGCATCCAACAGTGAAGGCGGAGGTTTGGTGGCCACATTCAAGGGGGCAGTGCAAAAGAAGCGAAAACGTTGAGAGATGGCCACGTGACTAGACGGCAGCGTCGTGCCTTGCACCCGCGAGCCATCCATCGTGAGATGGGCACCATAAGAGTTCTAGCCCAATCTAGAGGACACTGGGAGCTTGATTTCAGCTCATGGCAATGGGCACTGCCCTTCTCTTCTGCTGATTCACGTCACGTTGAGACAAAGATCAAGGCGCAATGGAGCGGCGGATCTCGATGGTGATGGGCAGTGCTGGCTGTGGAATGCGGGTTAGGGAAGTTTCCGACGGAGTTTGCGGCATAATACATGTGGAATACTTGCAGTACTTTACGCAATATGACAGCATCATATGTTTCATGGGAGACACCAACCCTACCACACGCATTTCACGTCGAGATGTTCTGCTCATTCCACCTGCAGGGTAGTCATGAACCTCACGAGATGACCAAACATTGAATAATGTGCTCCGTGTTCAACGGAAACCTCGTCAAGGCGGAACATGTGCTCTGTGATTAATGCAATAAAAGCACTGCCTCAACTGGCAATATTGCGGTCATCAAAAGCCCAAGGCTTTGTTTACATGATTTCCCGCATCCATGCTCTTGTTCAGCGCCACGCAATGAAAAGGGGCTGTTCTGGACTTCTGACCTCTGACCCACGACATTGAGTCATTGACCACGTCAGCTATTCAGTCCGCTCAGCATATGTGTTACATTTCATAATGCAGTGTCTCAAAGGCAGCCCTCAGAGCCGAAATACACTAAAGTCCGTGATCCTCTCCTCGAGGGGCAGCGCGAACTCCACCACGAAGCGCAGCATCCAGTTGTCAAACCCATGCGTCGGGTGGTTTCTGGCGCTTGCTGGCAGGCACATTTCTTGGAATGAAGTCAGACGATGGATCTAGGGGTTGAGACGAGTCAGCAAGGACATGGAGAGTACAGCATCCACTACAAGCTTGGACGCAAATATTGACAGACAAAGGGAGAGAAGAAGGGAGAAAAGAGGATCTTACCATCTGTGCTATGAGCTCCGGCCAGTACCGCTCAAAGTCGACGAGGACCTCAAAGTTGGAGTTGAGCGCGCCGCGCGCGGACGCCACCTCCCACTCGTCCCCGAAGAGCAGCGTGTGCAGCAGGACCGAAGACGAGACGACAGTCATGTGGCTCACGGTCGGGAAGAGGGCCTCGCAGCCTGCGTGGTCGCGGCTCATCTTGACGAGGTAGATGTAGGCCCTCGCGCACTGCTTGCAGCGCTGCACATAGGTCTGCACGGTCTGGGCCTGCGGCTGCCGATGGGCTAGGTACAGAAAGTAGAGGAGAAGCGAGTAGTAGTTGTACGCCAGGTGCAGAGACACAAAGGGCCCGCCCGTACCCCTCTGGCGATGGAGGTGGAAGTTCTCATCGGTCATCTTGTCCCCCAAAGGTACCATGTCCTCCCAAGCCGCCAGCCTTCCGGCAATGTCCATGACAGTCGCCTCCCGCTTGTGGCTGGGCATGTTTCCCTGGGCGCAGCGTCTGTTTAGATCCAGCACGGGGCCAAACAGCTGATGCAGGCCGACCATGTGCGCCCAGAGACCGGGCTTCCAGGGTACGGAGAGCGCCATGTCGGTGGGATCTAGAGCGTGGAAAATGTCCTCGTCCATGGGGAGCTCGATGCTCTTTTGAAAGTCCTCGAGCTGTCGCGAGAGACGCAGGCCAGAGGAGAACCACCGGTCGGCGGCAAAGAGAGTCCACCACACGCGACGCTTCATCTCGCGCTCCGCAATGGGGCTCTCCGTGTCGGGGGCAGAGAGGTCCATGATTTCCGCCATGCCAAGGGCGAGGCACCAGCTGGTCCAAGGCTCAAAATCGAAGCAACGAGGGCGAGTGCCCATTTACTTGCTGCCACGAAGCACTCGCGGCTTCCATGACTGTCCTAGTTTTTTGTGACGATTAATTCGCATCAAGAGACTCAAGACTCAGCAGACTGTGATTATTGATGGACAACGGCAAGTTTTCGGCAGCAAAGAAAAGTTAATTGACTATCGAACTAGGACTCTAGGACCATAAATCTCAGCTCCCACTGCTTAACACCCCAATCACACCGTCAGGATGACAATCTCAAAAGGCTTGGTAAAGGCCACCTCAAAGACGCCCCTCTTGCCCGTGATCCTCCGCGTCGTGATGCTGTGCTCGTCCCCCCCCATACGACGATAGCTTGTTGCTGCTCATCTCGCTCTACGCCGTAAAGGCTGTCAGCTCAGTCGTGCAGGCGCGCGAGCCCTTGACCTGAACCTTCACCGAATTCTCCGCGCCCGTCCCACCATTGTAGTTGACCATCTTGAGGACAGTCCGCCGACCCGCCTTGGTGGCTGACCACCAGACAGGGCCCAGCCCACCCTCTGTCGCCTTGGCGGGCAGCGTATCGGTGCCAACGTGCGCGGCAGACAGCTGCTGCAGGTAGTAGCTCATGGAGCGCAGGATCTCGTTGGCCGTGTGCTTGATGACGGCGACGGTGTTGGGATTCTCGTCGTACTGCTTGATGAGCGCGCCGTACACGAACTCGAGGATAATGTACGAGTTTCTCTCGATGCCAAGCAGCATGATGGCCTCCCTGGAGGGCATGCCAAATGTCTGCGCCCCAGTCTCGGGTCCCGTGGCGCTGCCCTCGCGGATGGACGCGTACTCGCCCACAAAGACGGGGTACTTGCGGCTGCCTGGTCAAAGGTGTTGTACAGGCTGGCAAAGTGGTTCTAGTTGTCGTAGATGTGCAGGTCGACCATGCCCCCGCTGCCCGTGTCCGGTGAGGGCGACGGGTTGATTTTTGAGACCACGTTCATGTCTGGTGCTTTGCGCGGATGGCGTTGTAGAATATGTCGAAGCGGTATGCGTAGTATGAGGCTTGCCCGCCGTTGAGGTAGTGCTCGTTACCAATCTCGACCTAATCAACCTGGAAGGGCTCCTCGTATCCGAGCTGGACGCGTTTGGCCCCCATTGGCGTCGAAGCGTCGCCCTATTTCGCTACTTAACTTATGTGACTCTCCAGGGGGGGACCTTACTGTCAAAAACTCGAGCGAGTCCATGGCCGAGTCCATGTACGGCTGCAGCTCATCCTCGGGAATCAAGTCGCCGTTGAAATAGAGACCGTTGAAAATACCCAGGACAACGGTCAGGTCCATGTACCTGGCCATACGCATCTGCTCGACAAGTCCGAAGCCTTGCGTCTCAATGTTGCCCCAGACACCGAGCTTGCCAACGCGCTCCTCCAGGGGCCCAATGGTCTCGTTCCACTTGAACTCGTTCCGCGTAACAGTCCCTCCATGTTGTTGCCTCCAGACACACAGATCCAGCTGGCCTTGAGGTCGGCCAAGGTCTGGGCGAGATCCTCCCTCAGCCCGTTGTCGCGGTTCTGGCAGGTCTTCTTGAAAAGGCTGAGCAGGTTGACGTATACGCTCTGGCCCACCAGCCGGCTTCCATCAAAGACAAAGGAGAAGGTGTTGTTGGGCGTGCTGGCGCTGGTTAGGGGCTGGAACGTGGGGAGGTGGTGCTGGACCCATTCCTGGGAGGCGTCTTGGCTGGCCTCCGTCTTGGCGGACGACAGCTTCTCGCCCGTGAGCGTGTTGGTGAAGAAGCACTCGACGCCGCCGCCATAGTCGCATCGCAGATAGAAGCTCGCCGCATACTCCTTGGACGCGTCCACGTGGAACCCCCAGAACCCGTCGTTGTAGAAACCAACGGGGCCTGTAGTGCCCTCGGGTACGTCCATGCGCATCTGGTACATGAGGCTGTCGGAGAGAGCCGTTGCCGTGATGTCGATGCTCAACTCCACGTCGCCTACCGGATGCCAGAACTCCCTGTTTCTCTCGAAGCAGGCCCGCCGTCCAGGACCAGACGGCCCTGGAACGCACGGTTGCGGATCATCTCGCCGTAGAGTCCGCCATCGCCCGAGTGATAGATTTCCTGCGGCAATTGTTAGACTGGGACTATAAAAATAGGGGCGAGTCAGGGCGTGGCGAACCTCGTAGAGAAGACCGTACAGCAGCGGGCTGGACGCGTTGCCTCCGTTGGGTGCAACTTGAAGACGCAGAGACGAAGCAAGCTTGCAGAGGAGCGGGAGGGCAGCAAAGAAACGCAGCGCGGCAATAATGTGAGCGGCAGAAAAGGACGTGTCGTCTGAATCGTTGTTCCTGGCAGCTGAACTTGAGGCTGTCTCACTCCCCGTACTTATAAAAGAGGCCAATGGGAACCTGTACTCGAGTATCTGCCGGACACCGCTGCTGAATCGCCTAAAGAAGAAGCTCACAACCACTTTTCGGGTCCTGATGTACCCAAGAGGCACGTTCTCGTCGTAAACGAGCCACAAGCTCACCGTCTATAGTCTGCGCCCTCTAGTCTTAGACTGCCGGCCTCGTCCACAAAATCAGCTCCCTGGATCGATCCCCCACACATCTGTCAAGCGGTCCGCAACGAGTCAGCGGGGATTCGGAGGCGTACCCCGGGTCTGTGTCCTCATGGCGTGGACGTGCATTGGTGCGTGTGTGAGGCCGCGAGTTCGCACTGGGCTCGAGTCCAATCTGGGCGAGAGACTCGAGATGGCTTCATCACTGGCCCTCTCCCAGTCCCAGTTCCAGACTAGACTCCCTGGGCAGAGTCACCCTCGGTCTAGCTCTGGCCGTGCACCAGCGTGCCAACCTCTAAAGCTCGCGTCGACACCTTCGGCAGCGTCTGATCCGGGCGCGCATTTAATAAGCCCCAGAGCGCGTCTCAACTCTCGAGAGCCAAGGCTCAGGCTCAGCACACTCCGATCCATTTGATCTTGACCACCCTCGCCAAGTCTAGAGTTCTACTGCTGTATCTGCTCGCCTAACGTCAAAAAAGAAAAAAGCACACAGTCGCCATGGCCCTGCCGTCCAAAGTCTACCAGGTCCTAGTCGGCGTCTTCGCTGCCCTGAGCTCGTTCCTCTACGGCTACGACTTGACCATTGTCGCAGAGGGTTCGTTCAATTCTCTCTACCATCTCCCCATTCCCCCCTCTGACCAGTCTCAGTTGTCGTTAGCCAGTCCTTCAATCGCAAATTCCACCCCAGCGTCGACGAGATCGGCCTCGTCGCCTCCCTCCTCACCGCTGGTCCCTTTGTCGGAGCCGCCCTGGCCGCCACTACCAGCGACTTCCTTGGTCGCCGCGTCATCATCGGTACGGGCGATGTCATCTTCTGCCTCGGCGGTGCCCTGCAGACAGGCGCGGAGAACTATAGCTATGTCATTGGCGGCAGGTCCATCAGTGGCTGCGAGTACGTCTCGAGAAGGACAGACATGGGCTGTGCGTGCAGTGGCTGACTCCTCCAGTGTCGGCATCCTCGCCATGATCATCCCCTTGTACCAAGCAGAGCTGGCACACCCGGATATCCGAGGCCTCGTCACGGGCTTGCAGCAGTTCATGCTCGGCGTTGGTGGCGTCTGCGGTGCCTGGATCAGCTACGGCACCTACATCGGCTTCACGAACGACCGCCAGTGGCGCATCCCCTTTGGTCTCCAGATCGTCCCTGCCGCGCTCCTCGCGGGTCTCATCGTCTTCTTCCCCGAGTCGCCTCGCTGGCTGATCAAGAAGGGCAGGTCCGAGGACGGTCTGCGGACGCTGGCCAGACTCCACTCGGCCGGCGACACCGAGGATGTTTGGGTCATCATCGAGCACCAGCAGATCCAGGACTCGGTGGCGCACGAGTCTGAAATCGAGGCCAAGTCGTACACAGAGCTCTTCCGCGACCGCGCCAACTTCCGCCGGGTGGTCATCGCCTGTGCCATCCAGGCGGCCACGCAGATGACGGGCATCTCGACCATCCAGTACTACTCTGTCACCATCTTTGTAAGTCCAAATCCCTGCCGCGTCAAGTTTATACGTGTCGCTTATACCTGACCCCGACCAACAGGCCCAAGGCGGCATCAAGGGTGAAGACACCCTTCGATACCAGGCCATCAACTCCGTCATTGACCTCATCAGCGAGGACCTGATCATGCTCTTCAGTCGACAAGACGGGTCGTCGCACCATCATCATTGCCGGCAGCCTGCTCATGTTTCTTACTTCTTACCTACATTGTTAGCACCGTCCTCATGGCCATGTTCCCAGCCTCCGCGAACAGCACCGGGGCCTATTGGGGCTTCATCATCATGACCTGGCTCTTCAACTTCTGCTTCTCTAGCATGGGTTCTCTCTGTGCGTATCCCCCTCCACTTGGTAAGCCCATCGGATCACTTACCGACGAACTAGCCTGGGTCATCCCCGCCGAAATGTACGACAACCAGACACGCGCCAAAGAAGTTGCCCTGGCCACCATGGCCTCTTTTGCATTCAAGTAAGTCCACTGCGTCGGCGAAGTTCCAGGCCGAACTCTTGCTGACGCTGCGCAGTACCATGATCGGACAGGCTACGCCCCTCGGGATGGCCAACGTGGGCTGGCGCTTCTACATTCTCTTTGTGGTATGTGCTCCTCGATGTCTCTCTGTTTTCACCTCTTTCTGACACGTCTGCCTGTAGGTGACCAATATCACCGACGCCCTCTTCTTCTGGTCATTTCTCCCGGAGACCGGCAAGGTGCCGCTCGAGGAGATGAGGCGTCTCTTTTCCGAGTCGCCCCTCTTTGTCGGCAGCAGGGAGACGAGCCAGTATTTCACCCCCAATGCTTCGCAGCTGGCCCACGAGCTCGACGAGAAGCACCAGGTCACGACTGTGGAGTAAGCGAGTACTGTTGTGAGGAAATTTCGGGTGACGATGCCCCAGTGAGGCGGAACGAAGCATGTCGTGGTGCTTTTTGTTGCTAGGAAGATGTAGCTGTAATGTCCATGTACTATTCAACTCACCCATCGCCACATGCAATCACCGCGCAAAAGGGCATGTCTCGTATCCAACGTACCACAAACACACCCTCTTCATAATGACGCCTACGACGTCACCCCACCGAGCTTGACAATCTCCGCCTCGATGGCCTTGCCAAACCCCTCGGTCTTGCCTTGGCCACCCATGTCCGGCGTCACGACGCTGCTCTCAGCTCGCGCCAACACATTCTCAATAGCCTTGAGCATCGTCGACGCCGCCTCCTTGTATCCAAAGTGCTCCAGCATCATCTGCCCGGCCCAGATCATGCCGACCGGGTTCGCCACGCCCTGGCCGTAAATGTCCGGGGCAGTGCCGTGGACGGGCTCGAACAGGGAGGGGAACATGCTAGTCGGGTTGATGTTGGCAGACGGGGCGATGCCGATGGTGCCGGTGCAGGCAGGCCCCAGGTCCGAGAGGATGTCGCCAAACAGGTTGCTCGCCACGACGACGTCGAAGATCTGGGGTCGCTGCACAAAGTGCGCCGTCAGGATGTCAATGTGGTACTTTTCCACGCTCACGTCGGCAAAGTTTTTGGACATGGCCGCCACGCGCGAGTCCCACCAGGGCATGGTGATGCTGATCCCGTTGCTCTTGGTGGCGCTGGTGAGCTTCTTCCTCGGCCGGCTCTGCGCCAGCTCAAACGCGTACCGGAGGACGCGGTCCACGCCCACCCTCGTCATCACCGTGTCCTGAATCACCGTCTCCCGTTCGGTCCCCTCAAACATTGTGCCGCCGACGCTGCTGTACTCGCCCTCGGTGTTCTCCCGCACGATCCAAAAGTCAATGTCGCCGGGCTTCCGCCCAGCGAGCGGGCAGGGGACGCCCGGCATGAGGCGACACGGGCGCAGGTTGACGTACTGGTCAAATTCGCGGCGGAACTTGAGGAGACTGCCCCAGAGGGAGACATTGTCCGGTACGCGGTCTGGCATGCCCACGGCGCCAAAGTAGAGAGCGTCGAAGCCCTCGAGTTGCGCTTTCCAGTCATCGGGCATCATGGTGCCGTGCTTGTCGTAGTAGTCACACGAAGCAAAGTCAAAGGTCTTCATCTCCATCGGGATGCTGTGCGCCCGGGCGGCGGCTTCGAGGCAGGCCACACCGTGTGGCATGACTTCTTGGCCGATGCCATCGCCGGGGATGACTGCGATGCGAAGCGTTTTTGGCATGCTGGGGTCGAAAGTTACGCTATGCTAATATGAAAAGATGAGACGCGTACACTTAGTTTATATGTACATGTCCAGCGGGACCGGACTTGATCATGCCGCAGTCTGGAGTGAGCGTGGGGTGGGTTACGGGCAACTGAACCGTGGGCTGCGGGGAAGAAAAGGCCGCGGACTTGTGCATGGCCGAACACAGGTTATACGTGATTGCGCCCATCTCATCTTGAAAGAAGGGGCGCAAACAATGTCTTGCTACATGGCATATCAGACTCGGTCTGTCGTGTCCCGAATTCGAACGACGCAGAAGATGATGTCTCATCGTCACATGCTTCACTTGAGCTCGAAAAGGGGAGCTAAGCTGACTAAGCCAGCTGTCTTGCTGAAATGCGGGGTATCTAGTCCACCAGCCACAGGGGCATGCGCCACAGGATGGGTGTGGCTGAGCTCGATCTCCTTGCAAGGGTCCAGGGCCCAGGCGGTCGCCTAGCAACGAGGAAGATCAGCAAAGGGATGCCAACGCACCAAGCGACTCTCGTCAGCGTCACACGAGCTCGCGCTGGGCTTGCTTCGTTTTCGTGCGGCATAATCTCCTGCCGACCTGACGATCGTTTGAATTTGCACCATCTGGAATCGAACGACGAGCACGCAGCAAACATACGGAAAGACTACACTGACCGCTGTCTTCGAACCCCGTCTAGCCCCGCTGCCGACATTCCTCCCCAAACAATCGCCCACATACCGACAGTCTACAACACCGACATTCCTCCCACTGCGGCTGCGAAGCCACCAAGTACGCACGCAAGCCTCGCACGGGAAGCGCCGGCTGCTCCAGCTGTTGGAGAGCCCTCAGCATCGTCGTCGCCGTCATGGCGCCGACAGGAGACGAGTTCTCGTCGCCTGGGTCCGTCACGTACGACTCCGAGACCATGGTCGTGGGCGACGGTACCTGGGACTTTTCCAAGAACACATTTCTCCTACCCAACTTGGAGGGGTTCAATTTTGATACCATGCGCTACAACGGTATGTGACTGTTTCACGCCGTCCCGCGGTAGTCGACTGACGAGCTATAGGCATGGGCAACCGCTTCTCTACCTTGACCCAATACCACAGCATCATACTGGCGCACGGCATCCTCGCGGCCCTCGTGTTTCTTCTCTTTGTCCCGACCGCCATTTTCGTGGTGCGGTTTCACACGGGCCGCCCCGGCTTCGCTGTTCGTTTCCACGCGCGTCTGCAGATCGTCTCAAGCCTCCTACTCATTGTCGTCTTCATTCTCGGATTTCTAGCTGTGGGTCCCAGCAGAGCCTTGTCCAATCCCCACCATGGCATAGGCGTCGCCATCTTCGTGGTCTTTGTCCTTCAGTTTGTGGGTGGCCGCATCATCTACCGCATCCAAAAGGCGCACTCGCTGCGCGTCACGCTCCACCAATGGGGAGGCCGCACCATCGCGCTGCTCGGCATGATACAGATTCCGCTGGGGCTGACCTTGTATGGCGCTCCCAAGTATCTGTTCATCATGTACGCGGTGTGGATGGCCTTCCTGCTCCTCGTATACTTTATCCTCAACTTCAGAGCCGGCAGCCGCAGAGAGCTTCTGATCGAGCCGACCAGGTCAGAAATTGGGCGCTCGGAAATCGGTGGTGCTCGCTCTGAAGCTCGGACGCGCGTTACCGACTCGGAATACTTCTCTGAGCATCGCGACGACGGGCACAACAAGTGGAAGTGGCTTGGACCGCTGGCTGCGGGCGGTGCTGCCTGGTGGTGGAAAAAGGGGAGGGACAAAGGCTCGAGAGGCCGCAGTCGGACGCCCTCGCCATCCGGACGAAGCCGTGGCCCCGAGGTGGTCCCGTCGCGCAGAGGGTCGGCCAGCTACTACGAATCTGACAAGTACACCGATGTGTCTCCCCAGCGCAAGAGTGGTGGGGGCGGCGGTGGCATGATGCGGGCATTGGGCGGAGCGGCAGCGTTGTTTGGTGCGGGCAAGCTGTTCAACAACCACATGGACAAGCGCAGGGGTGGCTATGACGATGAGTACTCGGCGGTGTCGACAGAAACCCCGCGACGATACCCGCCTGGCCGAGGAATACCTCCGAGCGACCTGAGCTCTGAATTCACAGAAGATATTCGAGGTGACCCGACGGCAACATCTCTTCTCTCGCCCCCGCCAGGTGAGCGCGCCGCAATGGCGGGTGCCCTCGGCGCTGCAGACTCGCGAGTGGGCTCGCAACGACATGGTCATCCTCGAGGCCCGCCGCCAGCTCGCCGCTCGGGGGGGAGACGCAGCTTTGACGATTCCGAATACTCATCGTATGTGAGCCCATCGCGTCGTCCTGTAGACGCAGAAGGGTCTCGAGGTGGTGGCACGGGTAAGGGCATTCTTGGTGGCATCGGGCTGGGGTGGATCGGCAAGAAGATGGCGGATAGGAAGGCGAGAAAGGAAGAGCAGCGCCGCCTGGACGAGGAAGACGACATGCGCTCTGGGCTGACGGATTCGAGGTACACGGGCGACGGCTACCCATCCCCGACACGCAAACCCGCTCGGAGACCGACAGTGCGGCGGCCAACAGGCTACCCGCCCCCGTCTGCGCCGACTGAGATGACGGAGTCGTCCATCCTCACCGAGGAGCCATCGACAGTCGCCCCGATGCCTCCTCGCGCGAGCGGCCCGAGCAGCCACGCAAGATCACGCTCGAGATCACAACGAAACATTGCGCCAGTAGCGATGCCGGCCATGCCGCCAGATCACTCAGAGACCGAGAGCTCGTACGTATCAGACGCCCGCCCTCGACGTCGCGAGTCCTCCAAGAGACGGAAAGAGGGTGAGAGGGCATCAGCCGCCGCGGCAGCTCGCGCATCCGAACTGGCGGCAGAGCAAGACGTCGAGCGCGAGCGGTACGGCTCACCCCACAGCAACCCAGTGAGCGTCAAGCTCAAGATGCACGACGACAGGGACAGGAACGTGACGTTACGGCGCCTCACAGAGGAGGAGGCACGCGCAGCCCGGGGCCGCAGTCGCGCCGACTCGGAGAGCAACCTGTCCGAGTACGACTCGCCCAGCCAGGGGCGCACGCGATACAGACGGGACTCGAGCCACCGGCGCGCCGAGTCTGCTGCGGAGCGAAGGGTCGAGTCTGACCGAGACACGCTCGCGCCCCTGTCGCCGCCCAACCCAGCGTTTGCCAAGGGGAGACGGAACAAGGATTCTGCGTACTACTCGGGCGCACAGCCTGGACCATCGGGGACGTCGGCCGCTGCAGGACAGACGGTCTCCAGCCTGGGGAGCCTCGCTAGTCCCGAGAGCCACGGGACGTGGAGCCAGATGAGTCCCTCCCCGAGCGGACCTCCTGCTGTGGAGAAGCCGGGGCCGGGCTCAGCGGCCGACAACAGGAGGAGACGGAGGCAGGAGAGGAGGAGGGGGAGCAGTACGCAGCCGTCAGCGGCCGACATGTTTGACTAGAGTGGGTGACAATGTTGGCGTTCAGGGTCGGGGAAACGTCGAGTAATGTTGCCTAGACTTTCCATTTACGATTAGATATGAGCTATGTCGATTAAACCTGACCAAAAATTCTCCTTATTACGATCAATGTTCTTATTACGATCAATGTTTCTGCAGATAGTTGGTGCTTTGCATTGTCGAGGCTGTGCAGTAGTTTTGGAGTACAGGGTAGCCATGTGTCCGGATCCAGAGCCTCGGCCCAGGCTGTGACCCCGGGCTAAAGAGCCGAGCGACGTGGAGACTGACCTGCCTGACCCCAAAGCGGCTGGCGATCGCGACACCACATGCCTTGATGCAACACTACACTCTCGCTGCCACCAGCAAGCGCCCATATACGACCCAGGATCCCTTCCTCCTAATGGCGTGAGAGACTGTGGTGCCATCAAGCAACCGAGACACGAGCGACCGAGGATCAATTGCAGCAAACCACCACTGATCACATCCATGGCCACCACAGCTTCCGACAGGAAGCGTAGGCGGCGCACCAGGCGTCGCCAGGACAAGCCGCCCATATCCGCGCGTCTAGTCCTCGATGACCAGATCAAGGGCGACGTTGGCGTGCTCTCGCCCGATCTGTTTCACGAGCTGTTCCCCAACCGTGAGTCTGCTCTGCCCGCCACTGTTAGCCCTACATGACCAAGCTGACGACTCCTAGACACAGAAGAGGTCGCTCACATTGCCCTCGCGCCCTGGACGCCTCTGGCTACGCCCTCCGATGTCCCGTGGTCCGTGGTCCCCGTCCGCCCAGCCTCAAACTCTCTCCATCCGACGACCGTCCACTTCTCGCCGTCCTCGTCCTCCCTGCAGCGCTTTGCCGTCGCCCTCCAGCGTCTCGCGCCCTCCAAGCTTGCCGGCCACAGGAGCGGAATCGACGTCCTCATCCTCGACGCGGCACCCATCCCCCTCGACACCGTATACGTCAGCCTCGAGGGCGAGCTGTCGCGCAGGCTCGAGGCGGGCGAGGGCACCTTCTACAGAGACCACCCCATCGCTGGGCACCGAGGCAAGGGTCTCACGGAGGACGACAAGCTCGCGGGCGCCTTGCGCTATGCGCTGAGCAGCCTCAGCGTTGTCCACACAGAGGACTTGTTTCCCCTGCCTCTGCCACCTCATCCGGTGACGCACATTCCGGCCAACCCTGGCAAGATTGTGCTCTGCGAGCCGGTGGCGCAGGGCGTCCTGACCGACGCGACCAAGATCATCCTCATGCGCGGACGCGGTCACGGGAAGAGGGCGCGACTGGCGGCCCCAGCGATGCCGGCAAGTCGCAAGGCAATCAATGGCATCCGCGAGGAGGAAGATGACGACGGCGCGACGACGGACCAGTTCTACTCGGCGGCCGAAGAGCGGGATCGATCCGAGACGCCGAGCGCGGCGGAAACGGAGACGGCCACGGAGACGGAGACGGAGACGGAAATGTCAGAGCTGGATCGTGACGAGGGAGACGCCGACGAGCTCTCGGATGATTCCATGGACGACTTGATCTCCCTGCAGGCGCCGACGTTGCCTGCTTCGTCGGCCAGCGGCGTGTCCACCATGCAGCCTGGCTCGCCCATGACAGTGGGAACCATCCGTGGGAGGCGAACGAACGGCGTCGCGACGCCTGGCTCCGTCTTCTCCAACATGACGTCCATGACGGCCCGCCCGGACCGCCCCAGGGGTCGTCTCTTCAAGGCACAGGGGCTGATGCGTGGGATGCCGGCAGATCTGCTCCATCCCAAGCCGGCCCCCGAAGATGACGACGAGGCACGCGTCTATGTGCACGTGTCGTCGCTGCCCAAGATTGGCTGCTTCTCGGGCGACTGGGTCCGTCTGGAGGCTGCGTCTGAGCCGCCCGTCAACGGCTTCGGTGCGTTTGGTCTGGGGAGCTTTGGTCAGCAGGAGGCGGAGTCAGCCAACTGGCGACCCGTGAGGGTCTATGGCCTGCCTGAGGGATACGCGCCGCGGCCGATGACGAGGATACCGAGCGCCAGGCACGGCGAGCGCAAGCTGTCCTTTTTCGAGTCGCAGGTGCAACCGACCCAGAGTCCGACGGCTTATGCCTCGCCCATTCTGCTAGCGAACCTGGAAGACGCGAGCTACCTGCGCATTGCGCCGCTCAAGAGGTCTGCGTATCAGGGAAAAGGGACCCTGCCTCGGTTCACGAGTGCCTCCCGCCCGCCATACGCTCGCGATATCACGGTGCATCATGTGCGGACACCCGTGTCGGCGGAACGCGCCTATCAGACCGCGGTCCTCGGTGGTCTGAAGCACTACTTTGCGTCCAAGACGCGGCTCGTCCGTCCAGGGGACCTGATAGCCGTGCCTGTCGACGCTCAGCTTGGTCGAGCCCTGCAGGAGATGCCTGGCGCACCCGGCGGCGGGTCCGAGGTGGACGATGTCATGGCCCTGACGACCGGTGGACAGAACCACGCCGCCGCGCACATTGACGGTGTCGCTTGGTTCAAGATTGGGCACATTCGGATCCAAAAGGCCGACGAGGACGAAGACAGCTCCGCTGAAGCCTTTTGGGGGAACGTGGCCTGCATCGACAGCTCGTCCGTGGGCATGCATGGCTCCGGGTTCCAGACGAGTCGTATCCCAGGCACCAGCAAGAGCACATGGCAATACTATCTAGGACTGCGGAAGCTACCACTACGCGACCCCGACGGCCCGCCCGCGGCACTGCCGCCTCCTGAGCGCGACCAGCAGCAGCAGAGCTACGTCTCGCCGTTGCGGCACCAGCTCAGACAGCTGCTGGCGGCCGCGACAAGCAAGAGGGCGATCGCGCTCAAGATGCCCCCCGTCGCCATCCTACTGACCTCGACACATCGAAACATTGGCAAGAGCACCCTCGCCGCCGGGGCCTGTGGCGACATTGGCCTGCACACCTTCACCATTGACGCGTTCGACATCTTGAGCGAGGGCGGCAACGGAGGCGGCGGCAGCGATGTCAAGACGGAGGGATTCCTTCGCACGCGTGCCGAGCGTGCCATGAGCTGCGGGCCCGACTGCTGCGGGCTGCTGATACGGCACGTCGAAGCACTCACAGCGGACAGGATCGAGGTCACGCTCAAGGAGATCCTAGACGACACGAGGGTGCTCATCGCCACGACCAACGAGGTCGACAAGGTCCCCGACGGCGTGCGAGCCCTCTTCACCCATGAGCTCGAGATGGGCGCGCCCGACGAAAAGGAGCGCGAGGCTATCCTGCGCAACATCCTGGACGATCGCGGCCTCGGTCTCGAGCCCAGCATCGATCTCAACAGCGTCGCGTTGAAGACGGCCGCGCTCGTCGCGGGTGACCTGGTCGACGTGGTCGACCGCGCCTCGGCAGCGCAGCAGAACCGCCTGGAAACCCTGGTCGCCGACACGCCCCTGACCCTCCGGGACGTGCAGGTTGCCGGCGGGACCATGGCGCGGTGCCTGACGCGGGCCGACCTCGACGCGGCGGTCGAGGCGGCGCGCAAGACATTCTCCGACTCCATCGGCGCCCCCAAGATCCCCAACGTCACCTGGGACGACGTCGGCGGCCTGTCCAACGTCAAGGACGCCATCACCGAGACCATCCAGCTGCCGCTCGAGCGGCCCGAGCTGTTTGCGCGCGGCATGAAGAAGCGCTCCGGCATCCTCTTTTACGGCCCGCCCGGCACGGGAAAGACGCTGCTCGCCAAGGCCATTGCGACCGAGTACAGCCTCAACTTCTTCTCCGTCAAGGGCCCGGAGCTGCTCAACATGTACATTGGCGAGTCCGAGGCCAACGTGCGCCGCGTCTTTCAGCGCGCCCGCGACGCCCGGCCCTGCGTCGTCTTCTTTGACGAGCTCGACTCGGTCGCCCCCAAGCGCGGCAACCAGGGCGACAGCGGCGGCGTCATGGACCGCATCGTGTCGCAGCTGCTCGCCGAGCTGGACGGCATGTCCTCGGGCGACAGCACGGGGTCCGGGGGTGTCTTTGTCATTGGCGCCACCAACAGGCCCGATCTGCTGGATCCGGCGCTGCTGCGACCGGGCCGGTTCGACAAGATGCTCTATCTGGGGGTGTCGGATACGCACGAGAAGCAGCTCACCATTCTGCAGGCTCTGACGCGCAAGTATGTCATCATCTCCCCCCGCCTCCCCTTCTGGCAACTCTTCTAACCCTCACAGGTTCACGCTCGATCCGACGCTCTCGCTGCGCAGTGTCGCCAACCAGCTCCCCCTGACGTACACAGGCGCCGACTTCTACGCCCTGTGCTCCGACGCCATGCTCAAGGCCGTCACGCGCCAGGCCCAGATGGTCGACAGAAAGATCCAGCACCTGCGCGCCGACATGTCCACCGCGTACTTCTTTGATCACCACGCCACACCCGAGGACCTGGCGGTCGTGGTCACCGAGCGCGACTTTCTGGCCGCGCAGCAGGAGCTCGTGCCCAGCGTTAGCCAGGGGGAGCTGCAGCACTACGAAAAGGTCAGGGCTACCTTTGAGGGCAGCGGCGAGAAGAAGCCCGACAAGGGCAAGGGCAAGGGCAAGGGCAAGGCGATAGAGTACGCCGTCCAGGACAAGGGCAAGGGGAAGGCAGCCGAGTATAGCTACGACGACGGAGAGGCCAACGGCACCGTGAGGAGGAAGAGAGACAAGGGCAAGGGCAAGGCTATCGCGGGTTTCGAGGATGGCACGGCAAGCGATGATGACGGGTTATATTAGTGAGTTGAAGTACAGACAGAGGCTTGCGTGTACATATAAAGGGCGGACTGTGTTTTTGTATAACACCTTGGAATCATGACCATTATGGCTCCTTCTTTGCGGTGGCAGGCTCGGCAGCAGGCTCGGCAGCAGCTGGTGTCTCTCGTGTCGTCGTTGCGGCGGCTGCAGGCTTGGCGGCCCTCTTCTTGTCGTCTTCTGATGACTCTTCGTCGGAGTCTTCCTCGTCATCCTCGGAATCATCCTCCTCTGAACTCTCTTCTTCTTCGTCTTCATCATCGTCGTCGGAGTCGTCCTCATCGTCCTCGTCACTGGATTCCGCAGCATCCCGCTTTGGGGCCGGTTTCGCAGCCGGTGTCGTCGCTGTCGCCGTTAGCTTGGCAGCTTCCGTCGCGGGGTTTTTCACGTCCTTGCTCAATGTCGGTATGGCTCCCAGTGGCGCAGGCTTCCAGGTCGCGCTCGTGGGGCTTTGCACGTTGGCTGCAGATTGCGCCGTAGGGTCTTGCTTCCACTTGCCGCTCGTGGGAGACTGCAAGCCAGGCGTCGCGATGCCAGCTGGCTTGGGGGCTGGCGTCGCTGGCTGTTTCTCCTCCTGTTCTGACTCTTCCTCTGAGCTCTCGTCCTCGTCCTTGTCCTCGTCCTCGTCTTCGTCTGACTCTTCCTCGGAGGAAGACTCCTCATCGTCGTCTTCGTCGGCATCCTCCCCACTCTCCTTCTTGTCCACAGCGGCTTTCTTGACCTCCCCCTCCTTTTCCTCGTCCGGTTTCCCCTCCTCTTCGGCCTTCTCTTCTTTTCCTGACGACGCCACGCTCGCCTTTTCCTCGTCGTTTTTCTTCTCCATGGCGGCGGCACCGTCTTTACCGTGCACCTTCTCTCGCAGGCTCTTCAACCGAAGTTCCTTAGCCTTCTGGGCTGCTTCGTCCGCGAAGGACCGTACGGGCAGCGCCTCTTCCTTCTTTTCCGTCTTCTTCGCGGGGATGGCCGCGGGGGTCGACTTTTTGGGTTCTGGCGCTGGAGGGGGATTCGCTGGGGCCGGTGTGCCCGTAGAGACCTCCGTCTTGTCGCTTGTGGACGTCGTGGTCGGTGTGGAGGTGGTCTTTGACGCGCTAGCCGGGCCGGCCGCCGTGCCAGCTGCTGCTGCTGTAGACGCCTTCTGGACGGGCCGTCGGAGCTTGGGGACGGGGTATTTGTAGTGGATGTTGGGTATGGTGTTCTCATCGTAGTAGATTTTGACATGCTGCTTGAGCTCCCTGTACTCGTTCCACTCTTCAATTTCCACAATGTCCTGGGAGGTTAGTGCCGTCGCGCAGGCATACGCATCAAGGACGGTGGCTTCGACATACCCCAATCACGAGACCCTCCTGCACGAGGCCAGGGAGCTTGCGCACCCGGCCGCTTGGGTCTTTGCCGGCTCGTCGACCCCATAGCATACGCGCTTTTTGATCAGTCGCAATGTCGAGGGCTTTGAACGGGATGCGATTGGCGCGGAGGATGGTCTCGAGGCGGGAGGTGGCTGTGACGATGTGGGAGGAGCCGGCCGTGAGGGATGTGAAGATGTAAAGAGCTGGGTCGTCGGTAAGCGTGCTCATGTTGACGGATTTCGTATGCGAAGATGCACGATGCAAGGACGATGGGGACGCTTCAATGCTGGGACAGTGGGAGAGATGCTGAGGTTGGATGGTCGGAAAGGGGGAGGACAAGGAGCCACAGCAGTGAGCGCACGTTCCTCAGGCTGGTCTGTAACAGCTATAGCGGGGGCGGGGTTCGGGGTTGGGCTGCTTCAGCTGATTTTGGGTTTCATTGCGTCAGACTCCAGGGTAGGTACTCTACTTATGGCACGTGAAAGTGGTTCAGGGTAGTTGAGTGCTGGTCTAAGGCAGGACTGAAATGGACTGGAAGCAACGCGAGGTCTCGATCTCATGTTCGTTCCATCCTGATGATTGTTGCCACAATATCACTGTGGAGTTTTCATGCGAAAATAACGAGTTTTGTATTTCTGGCAGTTGTATCACCAGAAACCGACTGACAGCTAATAGTCTCGCGATGCCGAAGCAGTAGCCTCAACAGCCATCGCACGTCCACCTCAAAGTCCTTGTCGATTTGTTTCTGAAGCTCCGCCCACTGGCCCTTGACCTTGCAGGCTGAGGTCCAGTAATTGCCCTTGCTATCCTGGCCGAGGACGAAGAAGCCGTCCACGGGCTTGATGGGGCCGTGGTTCTCCTAGACATAGCAAGGGCGGCATAGCGCGTCACCCTCTTCGGCGTGCCTTCGCGCGGGGGCAAAGTCCAGGTCGAAAAGGCCTGTCTTTGACCAGTTGGAGAAGCCAATCTGCGCCATCCGTCTGTTCCCAATGATGGCGATGGGCAGGCCGGTGCTCGATGCGCGTACCATGGCGTAGTAGGCTTCATGCCGTGCCCGCGTGCCCTGCTCGTTGATGGCCTTTCGTACCTGGTGCGCGAGCCAGCTCCGTGGGTTCAAGGAGACGTCGACGGCACTGACGAGCGCATTTGCCCACCCGAAGGCGTTGCCGACGTAAGGTTGCTCGGACGACACAGGGATCAGGTCGCCCTCGAATGCCTTTGCGAAGCGACATGGCGATGGACCCGGCAACCTAATCGCAGGATGTGTTATTCCGACTGCTTCTTGACAATGAAGGCAGGACCCGTCTGTCCGCCAAGATGTGCTGCTCCGTGGCAGGTCGCGTGCCCTTTCCGATGGCTTCGAAAGGATCCGAGTCGGCATCGCACGGCGTTGGAATGTCTGCTTCCTTCCCCAGAGCATGTTGCTCCACCCCTCGACGACGTACTACATTCCAAGAGCATGCAAGGCGACGTGCTGCCACTGTAGCACGACAACCGTCTTGTCCGTGAAGGAGTTGACGCGCTGGCCCAGGACCGGGCGATCGGAGTTGAGGTAGTCGTTGATGCCTCCAGGTCCATATCCGGGCTCCCACGCAAGATCGGCCAGGTCATCCGGGTCGCTGACCAGGGCAGGGTCGGGCCGAAGGCTGTGGGATCTTGGAGGCCGCCGGGTGAGAAGCGGCGCGCATGCCGTGGTCTACGTGGGAGAAGCCGATGGCGGGCCGCTCGGGCGTGAACTCTCTTGGGATGTGCCATTCGATCTTGCCAGCAGCCTGCACAGCGAGACAGACGACGACTTAGCATCTTCGTCTGGTCATTGGAGCCTTGGCTACGAGTTTGCTCTCACATTTGTCCTCAGCCGTCCTCCCAGCTTTTGCCAGCCTGGTCTCTTGGCCAGGGCCTCCAAAGCCAGCCGCAGCTTCTCCGGGTCAAGAACAGAGTCGACGACGAGCGAGACGGCCATGTTATTTCCCTGGACCAGTGGGCTATTCTCGAAGAAGTGAAGCGGCATGACTCGGTCCGTGGGGTCGACCTGTACGGCAGGCTTGCGGCCAAAGAGGTAGTCCATCATGTTGGCTGTTGGCGATACGGGGGCTCGAGAGACAACAGACGGACTGAGACAAGCGGAAGGCGCACTTGTATCGATTTTTCGTCAGCCTCGCGCAGCAACTCGTTTTGGTTCTTGGGTGCGTTGGTGGTGCGGACTTGACATGGGTCCGGATGACATGTCATATGCTGGCTTGTCAGGTCCAGGGACCAGGAGTCAGGAGTCAGGACTCGGACTCTCAGTCCAGCTGAATCCCCCAGTGCCAAACTTCGAGATGCCTGTCTATGTGTGCATATTAGAGTACAGTACGGCCCTAGAATGTTTGTACGTACGGATACAAAAGACTGAAGAGAGACGGTCGCGTAGCTGCTTAGCAGACTCACGGGGAGTACCCACCCGTTGAAGAAAAGCAAGGGTTTCGGCTTCGTGGTCGTCGAGCCCAAGAAGCCCTGTGTATTAATCTGTCCAGACGAGACCCCGAATCCCCCAAACAGCCGGAGACTGACCGGACCATGTGCCACATAGTGATTATTACGCTATCCTCCGGACTCTCACTGACATACTTTATCGCCATGATTAATCGTGAGTAGCATGACGGGTCTCCGCCGGGCCTGCGCACCGCTGACTTGGACAGTGATGGATTCGGGCTGGGGAAAACACCTGGGGAAAACATCTCTGGGATGTGTCACTGGCATCTTTGATAGAAATGAACAAGGTACAATGTCGCCCGCCCTGGCCAGTCCGGACCATGCTTCGGACCAACATGGACCTTACACACCCACTAACACGGCATAGGCCTTGCTTCCCAACACGCTGGCGTATTTGATATGTCCATCGGTCACCAAGCTCGCCATTCTAGCTGTGCTGTACCAGATCAACCCCTCCATCCCCTACCGCATCGTTGTCACCCTCGTCGCCGTCGCCATCTTCATATACACCTTGGCATGCTGCGTCATCACGGGCGGCCCGTGCAATCCCCTCAAGGAGGGCGCTCTCAAGTGCCTGGAGAACGTTGCGCTCTCGCACGCGGTGCTCAACATTTCCTCTGACGTGGCCGTGATTGTCATCCCGATACCGACCATTCACAAGCTCCAGCTTTCGCTGAAGCAGAAGATTTCGAATGGGTGTATCCTGGCCATTGGATCGCTGTACGTACCACCCTTCCCCTTCCCCTAACGCAAGAAGCAGACGTTGGCTGCCTGTTGTGGCAGGGGGACCGTGTGCTCCATAGCCCGCCTGCCGCATGCCATCGTCCTTCCTCACACCGAGGACTCGACGTATACGCAGGCCATCCTTGGCATCTGGTCCATCGCTGAGATCAATCTCGGCACTATCTGCGCCTGTGCCATGCGATTCAAGTCGCTGATCCGGACGTAGCTCCCCCAGTTCCATATCTTCAGCTCCAGCTCACGGAGCGGGAAGAAACAGTCCAAAGGACTATCGACGGAAGGATTGCGGTTGGACTCAATAGACGCACAGGATTCATGCCAAGTCCACAGCTTTCACAAGAGGACGAGTCTGGCACTTCACGACAAGGACAGCAAGAAGTATCAATCTGTACAAAACGGACAAGGGCAGCAGGAGTGTCGACGGCGAGAGCGCTGACGAGATGTTGGGTTGACTTCCAGCTCGTTGCGGGGTATTCGTCGGGGAAATACACTCTGTCTGAGAAATGTCGGTATTTGGGTTGTCGTTTACATTATTCACCATTCGCCGCGCTGTGAACCAGCGTCCGATTTGATCTGCCTGAACCCGGGACGGGCCCGCAGACGACGCTGCAGCCCGGCCTCGAGCTGTTCCACAGCGTGGTGCTCCCCCTCTTCAAACTTCTCCCACGCGGAATGCAGGGCATAGCTCTCCCTCTGGACGAAGCCCTTGAAGCTGTAGTGATGTCGCTCGGGGTGCTCGCGATTCCCCGGCCAGGCTTGCATCCAGACGGCCACGCCCATCTGATACGTCGGTATGGCCAGTCCGTGGACCACCTATGTGCAGTGTCAGTCATCTGCTCTGTGCAATGACAGGGGCAAAAAAAAAAAAAGGGGGGGGGGGGGGGGGAGGGCGTACAATACTGCATGTTACGATGAACCACACAATCGTCTCCGCCGCCCTCGGCAGGTATTGGACGTCGGGCCTCAGGGTGCCATCGTCTCCGGACAGGTCTTTCCTGCAGAAGCGGAGAATCTCGTGGACGTAGAAGATGGAGGAGACGCCCATGGGACCAAAGAAGCCCATAAAGGCGGCCTGCCGCATGGTTTTGACATGGGGCTCCAGCAAACCAAGTTTGTGAAAGGCGAGAAGGACAGGGAGTCGTCGCAGAGCCAGAATCGCGAGAGCAAGGCAGACCAACCGCCACAGCGGAAGCACCGCCTCGGCGGCCATTGTCGGCGAGCCGGACGCTGCAACGTACTGGAACGAGCCCCAGGGACACACGGCACCTAGGTAGATGAACAAGGCCACGTTGAGAAACATGTCGACGGTAGTCCCAAACGAGTCGTTGGCCGTCTCGTGGCGGAACCAGTCCGTCCAGGAGAGGGCATTGCCGGCGACAAAGGCGGCGAGGATGTCATCGGACCCTGCGAGTCCGCAGGTCCCGATGAGGAAGATGGCCAGCAGGACGGGAAAGGCAAAAAAGCTCTCTTGGTCGACGTAGTGCAGGCGCCGCGCCATCCTCAGCACCTTTGCGCACACGTAGCCGGCGAGTCCACCCCAAACGGCGCCGAGAAGAACGACAAAGGCGACGGTATTGCCGAAGAAGTGGGCCATGGCCGTGGACGCGCCCCCCTCGGTGGCGGCGTACTGCCCGTCGCCGCCGACATATGCGATGAGGTACAGGGCCAGGAAGAGAAAAGGGTACCCCAGGCCGTCGTTGGCGCCACTTTCGCCCGAGATGATCTGGGCGAGGGGCGCCGGCACGTGCTCGTCCGCCCAGCGGCCCTTGATAATGGTCGAGGCGAGTATCGGGTCCGTGGGCGCGAGGCACGAGCCAATGGCCAGGGCATGGAGGAATGGCATCCTACGCACGGTGGTGGTGCTCGAATCCTCGCCGCTCTGTGGGAGCACGCAGATGGCCCAGACGAGGAGGCTGCTGATGAGCCACATGCACACCATGCCGGGCAGCAGCATGGTGAGCATGGACCGCCACGCGTGCTTAGCGAACCGGGGCGGCAGTTGGATGCCGGCCAGGATGACCTGGATGCACAGCGAGAGGCGGGTGAACTCGAGCGTGACCGACTCGAGCTCCGCCGCGCTGCTCGTCCAAGCGTGGACATTGAAAAGGCCTGTGGCGGCGGGACCGACGACGACGCCGACGAGATATGACAAGACTGCGCGCGCGATCGACAAGAGAGGTTAGCGGGAACGGGCCTGGATGGTGCATGTGCTCTGCTCAAGAGGTCGACTCACGCGAGTCCGAGATGAAGAACCGCTCCTTGACGAGGAACGACACAAAGGTCAGCAGGGTGGTGAAGATGCCAAAGACGGCACACAGGTAGTGAAAGGGCGTGAGCTGCGGCTCCAACATGGCGCGCGAGGGCGTGCAGCTTGCTCGCTGCGTAGGACACGATTGAACGCAATAGATCTGGCGGATGGATGAAGTCGGGGCGAGGCCAAGCACGAGAAATGACGAAACTACTACGGATACATATGTAGGTACCTGTAGGGTAGGGCGCATGGCGTCCCCGATTATTTATACCTTCAAACGCGGGACCACCCAGAGTCCATGTCCCAGATGTTCTTTCAATCCAAGGCGGTGTACTGTGGGTCGAACAAGAGTTATGAGCAAAGCCAAGAGCGCCTTCTGCCTATCTGCTGGCCGGCCAGCTTTTGCATCGACTTGCTTTAATAAATCTTGGCTTGTCTGCGCGCGCATCGCCGATCAAGTTCCAACGACGACGACGACTATCATGATTCCATCCAAGCATCCATGTCCTGGGGCGTCGTCAATTCTTCCTTGGACGCCGTAAAAAAGTAATAGATAACAACATCATCGTCGGACAGCGAAGCTCCACCAGCAAATATTGGCCTTCATCAGATCCTGGACGCAGTCGTTTCTCCATGCCGTTTGTCACCTTACCAATGGCCGCTTTTTTGAACAAGGCACGCGAGACTTTGTTTGCGGAAATGTCCTCCTCGGCCCACAAGTCGACGAGTAGTCGATGAGTAGTTGGGTCGCGGTCTTGTACAGCCTGTTGCCACATCCTCTCCGGGTTGATGGTTGAGTACTGGCATGTATCACGAATGCGAACCGTGGCAGGATGCAGCCCAGGAGGTGGCGGTGCTCCAGGAAAGGATACCTGGTCTAGAGACCACATATCTGGTTCGAGGATGCCCAGCGCCAGCCAAGTTCCCGATCTTTGTCGCTCGTGTATGTTGTCTATACGTTTATTTACAAAGAATGGTCACATACACTCTTGTCTGCGGAGACGAGCGGCGTTGCGCACCCTCTTGGTGCCGTGTTCGGCGCTTCCATGTGACCCATTACTGACGACTGTCAATCGTAGCATACAACATAGAGCGTAGGAACAGTTAGATTTGAGAAAAGACACGTCAGATCCTCAGGTGAATAATTCAAGGCGCCTCAATCTCTTGTGACCTGTGTTTGCTGCTGATGACTATGGACTTCCCCTGCCAACACGTAGGTGTATAACTACCCATCCTTCGATGTTTGGTTCCTCCAGAATTCTTGAATCTCGCTGTCCAAATCCCGGGCTGGTGTGTTGTTCCGTTCCCCCCAGTCACCACTTTCCGCCAGGTCCAGCCACGGGCGCATGGCGTCTCCTCGGTGCGGCACACCGGCAAAATGGACCAGAAAGTCGCCCCGGCGCGCATGGTACTCCTTCGTATCGCCCTTATTCTCTGTGTCGTCGGGCTTTTGCGGGCCAGGATAGGCATTGAACCACCACTGCGGCACCCAGGTCACAGCCTCGTGGTACCGCTCGTCCGCCAGGAGAAGCTCCATGGCGGTCTGCTCCGTGAACTTGAGCTCGATGTCTGGATTGTAGTGCCTGTACGCGATGATGTCGCTGAACAGATCGAGGCTCCACCGTCCGACGCGGACCAGAAAGATGCCGTTGTTTAAGCCGTTCCAGTCGCTGGTGACAAGCATGTTCACCCCTTCTGTCCCCGTCTTCGGCTCGTCATCGCGTGATGCGAGAGCTGCGGATGGAGGAAGAAACGCGGCGGGCGTGCGGCACTTGTCGAGGACCACCACGTCGCGGTCGACCCAGAGCAACCACTCGAGGCGTTCATCCTCGGGCTTGGCCATCTCATCCAGCAAGATGGAGAGTATGTGGGCAGGCTTGTTCCACAAGACGTCTGTGATCTTGCTGCGGAGCACGAGCAGGCGAAAGTTGTGTACTTTGCTGAGCATCATTTGCGTGCGCAGAGCCTCCTCGTAGTACTGCTTCGCAGCACCAAATTGCGCAGTCACAACAGCCAGCCGAGGAGAGCGGGAATTTTCTTCCTGTCGGGGCTCATCTGGCTTTCCGTGACATTCGTCGTCCAGGTCCCGGTACGGTGGTATCGAGTCGACAAGAGCGTCAAAGCATGTGTCATCTCCTTGATCGCCAGTACAGGTGAGGAAGTTCGAGCTTGCTTCATCTTGTTGGGGAACTTGGGGGGCTGCTTGATCCTGAACAGGAGCCGCCTGATGCCGGCCTTGGTATATGGTGAACAATTGGAATGTCAGGAGGGCGGCGATGGTTGCGAGAAGAACTCTGGTGAGAGCGCTGGTCGGTCCCACTGTCATGGTGTTTTCGAGGCCGATGGAAAGCAGCTGGTTCCCAGAAGTTCTTCCTGTTGTTTAGGCGAAGCAAAGCAGTCAAGTGCGTGGTGCTCAATGTGCAATTGTAGCCTTCATCCACCTTTCAATGGTTGCCGCACCCCCTGGACTTTATTTCATCTGCTGGGCGATCAATAGCCAAGCAACGGCACATTTGCCAGTCTCCGCGTCAGTCGTCGTTTGGGACGGCCTTGGCGAAGAAAAGGGGAGAGACATCTTGCGGCTGTGCCCAGAGTTCGTCGGCCGTGCCCATTCCCACTCGTCGATAGATGTTGCCCAAAGTCTTGGTGTGGGAACGCTAGTCAGTGCTGTGAATATAGTCTGAGCTGATACGCAGAGGACCGTCACAGGTGGCTTTCCACACGCGCGGCCGCTTCATCAGCAAACGTCACTCGTGTCCAGTCTGGGGTTGATCAGGATACGAAGCATCCCAAGACATGTGCTTATTCTTAGTGCCCCCGTCAATGCCCCACGTACTGATTTAACCTTATTTGGTCTTGGCTTCCGGCAGGATCCCGTGTTTCAGGAAAGTTCTGATCGCCAAGCTACCAATGGCGACGTCGCTGGAAATTCTGCTCGGGCAGAAGTATCGAGTGCTAAAATGAAGACCCGGCCGACGATGGACATATTCGTGTACCTTATCTTTGGCACGCGGTACGAGACCAGTGCGGCAGGAGCACTGCCACACGGTCAGTTAGAGAGACTCGAGTTGATAGATCATAATTAAACCCAACAGAGGCTCGGGTCCGCGACGTAGCAAGGGGATTCACAACAACCAATAGAACAAGATCAATCGCTCGGAAAAGAGCCACACCATATTGGGAGCTGTTGATTACTGTTCTCCAACTGGGCCCTTTGAGCCGTAGCTAATTCAAAGCAAGTTCGAGTTCAACACAATTCCAGAGGCAATACCTGCGAATGATTGATATCGCGCCAATATGTCCATTCTCCGTTGGGGCCGCCGCCTGCTTTGTCGAATTCAGCAGTGAGCTCCTCGACACGACAATGCTCTGGTAACTAAGCGGCAGCGATTGAATCATACTTGCAGCCAAGTCATCCCGTGGTACTGTCAGCGCCAAGGCAGTGGTCTCCTTGTCCAAGACGAGCTTTTCCTGTTCATTCAGAATGACCCAGGCCTCGTACCTGTCGCGGCTGGGGTATCGTGTTAACAAGAAGAATGAATAGCAACACAATGTGATTTTTGGTTCTGTAACTCACCTGAACTCGAGAAGGTGATTTACTTCTGGCTCCGAAAGGAAATGGTTGATATAAATGACCATGGGGTCGATCGACAATATCTCAACTGTGTATTCTTGGGTGCAAAAGTACGAGTCCAGATTGGTTCTGAGCGGACCCGGCACCGCAGAAGTCCACAGTCTCGCAATGTCGCCTCCCGAGAGAGATTAGTTGATACGCAATGCCCCAAGCCAAAGAATGCTCAAAGGCATGAGCAAGAAAGCAACGGTGTTTCGCCCGGCCTATGTCCCATCGCCGTCAAGCTATGTAGCGACGCAGTGCTATGGGGGGTTTTGATTACGTACCCTTTCGAGTGTTAATCCGAGTGTTTCTGGTTGCCTGAACAACGGTTCATCATAGTTGAGGAGCAAGTTTTATCTCATTTGCCTACTTTGAGCATATATGACGGGTCAAGCACAGTCCCCAAATCAGTTGACTGTAACACAAAGCTTTCTCTTGATCCCCCATACGTATTCAAAGCCACCTCACCTTGCACGGTTTTTTGTTTTGGTTTTTTGAGTACAGCACTTCCAATCTTGACCGAAAATGTGCACGACCGGAAGAAATTCAATCCTACCGCAGGCGTTGCCTCGCATCATGGCAGCCGAAGAGATCGTGTCTACCACGGAAAAGATCATGCAAAAAAAAGTTGAAGTCTATAACAGTGTGGGCACCATTCGCCTCTGCGATGCCCGTTTCGAGAATGTGGCTCGCCCTCTCATTTGCGTGGAAAATGAAATTCAGACTCAGATGGCTGTTATCGCTATGCTGCGCTACGCTTCCCCGGACCGGGCATCTCGCGAAGCATAGGATGAGGCTGTCCGGCTCATGCGCGAGGCCGAGTCCGATATTACAAAGAGAAGAGACCTTTACTTACTCGCTGAAGCGGTCAAAACAAAGGCAGAGAACCTCCATTTTAAAGTTGCCAAGTACTTGGAAAGCCTCCTCAGTCATTCACGAGAAGTGGGCACGGTAGGTTAAGCGAAGACTAGATCCAGCCTTATCTGGAGAAAAGGAATCAAATTGATCATCTACGTCTCCAGTACAAACAGAACCTAAGGAATGATGATGGAGGACTGTGGCTTTCGCTCAACGAGCTCGACGGAGTGTCTGCCCAGGATCTTGCCCGTTTTGTACTAGCGAAAGAGGAAGCCGACAAAGAAGAAATGAGATTTGTTCGCTTCATACGAGCGGATGGCAATGCTGTCATGCAATACGCAAAGAATCCGGCCACGCGGAAGAAGATGTGCGTTGCCAACGAGAAAAAGCTACCCTAGAATGTGGACTTGTTCAAGCAGATTCTTCTGTCGTGAGGAGAAAGCGCGCCTACTCGGCTGTAGCAGTCACGCGGCATTTCGTTTGGAAACCCGCGTAGCAAAGTCCGCAGAGTGGGTGAATACGTTTCTGAATGGGCTTGAACAAGTCCTCCTCCCACAGGGGGAAAAGGAGATGCAGGCACTGCTTGCCAAGAGGAACCTGGACCTCTCGGAAAGCAGTGATCACATGCCGCCATGGGACTATGACTATTACCGCTGCCTTGTCCTCGGAGACCTCAAGGTCAATCAGAAATAGATTGCGGAATATTTTCCGCTGCAGACAACAGTAGCCACCATGCTCAACATATTTGCCTCTTGTCTTCAACTTCGGTTCGAATCGCTCGAATCTGAACACACAGCCATCGCAGTTCGGCACGACGACGTTCAGATATGCGCTGTCTGGGACGCAAGAGAGGCCTTTCATGGTGAATTTGTTGGCTATCTCTACACGGACTTGCTGTGGAGACCGAACAAGCATAAAGGTTCGCAAAATGTCAGTCTTTAATGTGGCTATGTCAAAGAGGACGGCAGCAGGGTATACCCTGCTGGTCTTCTCATGTGCCACTTTCCTCGTCCGACAGCCTCTGATTGTGCTTTGCTCAAGCACAGTGAGATGACGTCTCTCTTCCACGAACTAGGACACGGCATGCACGACCTCGTAACGAGAACGTTGACGGTACGTTTCCATGGACATAGGATGCCCCCGGATTTCTTCGAAGTGCCGAGATTCATGCTCGAGAATTGGTGTTGGACGAAGAATGAGCTACAACAGATGAGCTGTCACTATTCCTCAGCAAGCCCGGCCCACCTGTCGGAGTGGCATCGTAAGAACCCCGGACAAGAAGTTCCGTCTGAAACATTACCCGATGAATTGCTAGATCCTTTCGTGCAAATTCGGAGTAAAAAGAGGGCTTTGTGGCTTCTACGGCAACTGTACGTCTGCTGTATCTATGCACCTGTCTATGCCAACCTTTCCTAACATGACCTTCCACAGTGCCTTTGCTCGCTTCATTTTGGCTGTCCACAATGTCTCTTCACACGAGAAGTGTCTGAATCTAGACACCGGGACCATCTTCAATGATATTATGGAGAGGTTGCAATTATTACCCAATCCCGACCAAGAGAATCGAGGACATCCCCAGCCCGCCTTCCACCATCTAGTCTCCAGCATGGATGCTGGCTATTATTCATAACTCTATTATGTCAGCTGAAGGCCAGTTCTTCTACAGTACTGATACTCAATGCGCATAGCGCTGCTGTCTTCGCTGCGGATATTTACCAGAATACATTTGTCCGGTATCCGCGGAGCCAACCCGCATGGGAAAGATATCGTAGCGGTATACTAGAGTATGGCGGAAGCAGAGACGAGATGGAGATGTTGGAGGAACTTCTCGGCCATCATCCTAGCTCTGACTATCTTCTTCGCAGCTTGTGATACCAATTGATCATGGTAGGCCCCTCTCATCCTCTCAATCTCCTCCCTAATCTTGAGCCAAGTCGATGGCAGCAGAATTCCATTGAGCCAGTAATTCCCGCCGCGGTCTTTTCCCAAGACAACAACCACACTTCTCATTGCAGGGCTCGATCGCATCGAGTCCGCATGGTGATACACAGTCGTCCCACAGGGGTTGTTTCTCGACGGCCCCGTCTCACCTGCATGCACAACCGCAGGGCTAAAGTCCTTCGCGTTGAAGATGTTGGCCCGCTCCCAGTTAGTAAAGGGCAGCAGCACGGCATCGGAAGGACCGCACAAGATATTGGGGTCGCCGCCTGTCTTTGTGTTCTGTTGGAGCTCGCGAGCGAAGGCGAGGACCTGGCCTTCAGTCGCTTGCTCCATTAGATGCTGCCGATTCTCCAAGGCGACGTGCCCCAGAAGCTTCGTATGACTATCCTCAGGTAGGAATGCAGAGGCTGCCACTGCCATGTTCTGAATGTAGACACCGGCAGAATTGACCAGCGATGATAGTCTGAATCGAGCGTTGAGGGCATGGAGGACAGTCACCGGCCGAGGTTGTGGCAACGACGATGTCAATGCACGCGCCACCCATGCTGCGGGCAGATCTCCATTGTTGACAAAGGGCTTTTCGTCGTCTGCCCCTAGTACGAGGTCGTTCTCCGCCTGACGACGCAATTCGGCGACAGTCCTGCTAGGCAGGAAAATGGTGCGCGACTCAGGGACGGGGTCACGCATCATGTCCCAGGCAAATCGCAGCCCAAATGCGGCGAAACCGCATCCTTTCAAAGCTTTCTGTCCGACCTTGAAGTTCTCCTTGGCCTCCACTGGTGCATCTACAGCTGCACGGATGGCGTCCTCTCGAGCACCTAGAACAGGCGGTACATCGGACACCCGGCCGGCCAACACCATGGACCAGCCGCGCAACAGGCCCTGTTGGCCCATGACGTCCATGAGCGTATGGGGCCATGAGAGGGGGACGAGAGTCGCGTCGTTGAATAGGGTGATGTGCAGCGACAGCTGCGGGACGTCGTGGTAGATGAAATCGTCTAGAGTCTCCGGCGAGCCGCAAAGGACCGAAAGTCTCCGGATCCCGGCTGGACAGAGGCACTGTCGGTAGCTTTTGGGAGTGCCCTCGCCAGCTCGTGTTTTTCGATATTAACTGCGAGGGTTTCCTGACTGTATGCCACCGCAGGACGTTCGGCAGTGAACGACCGCGGAGCGTGGATCTCCAGGGCACCGCTCTCCTATGCATAGGAAGCAGCTTTTGACCGTCAAATTCAGGGAGTATAGATGCCGTCACCCACATTCATCCTCATGCGACCCCCCATCTTCCTCCAATCCCCAATCTCCAAAAGCTCCGAGAGCGAGCTGTGGAGCTTGTCCGCATCCAGCACATCGTTGAAGCGCAGCGTCCAAGTCACGACAATGCCCCGGAGCGTCTTGGTATCGTCTAACATGTGGAGAGGGTAGATCTCGTCCGTCTCGACACGCGGGGGGTGCAGTCTTGGCAGGGGACATGCCGAGGGCACGCCATACTTTGTTCATGTTGTCGAAATACTTGAAGAATGAGGTTGATATTTGGTCATTGCACAGGGAAATGCGAGGACATGATATATATTAAAGTATTCATCGACTGTTGCCACTTTTACTTATCAACATGAAGTGGATGAGCTTAGCAGGGTATGCAGTTGCTAGGCGGTAGTAGGCTCAGGGGCAAATTATCAACCGAGTAATTGAAGTTTGTCGGCACTAGGTACACGGATTACACGTGTAGAGACCGTCACGGACTCCGATGTCATGCCGGGAGCCCGAGATAAGCTCGAGACGGGGTGGAGCTCAAAATAATCAGGCTACTGCATCTAGCTCACGGCACTTAGGCAGATTAGATACTCCCAAGTAACTATATGGAGGAAAGTCAAAATAAAAGGTCTGTTCGAGCACAGCTCACAACATTAAAAGGGAGAGTGGAAGGTGGCATCGCAGTGCGGTGCGTGCAACGCTCTGTGACGATCAATTGACCCAGTCGAGGATTACACCAGCTTTCTGTGATCTGGGATGCTACGCGTTGCGGGAAGGGTTCGGCCAATAATACTCATCACTAGTAAGTTTTGGAAGATACTGCCACTGCTCAAAATGCATCCTCTTTTGAACTTCTCCTGGTGCCACCAACAGGGGCAGCTGCAATCCTGATTATAGTGAGGAACACCACACTTTATACAACCTAGAGGAAAAGGCAGGGGTTTCGCCACATCTATTTTCATCCATTTCAAATCATCAAACTCGAGTCTTAATCAATTTGAGGGAGTTGCTGCCGCCACGATCAAACCAACGCGAACGTCGACTAAGCGGATCACACTACAGGGTAGGTAGATATACATCCAACCAGGCACACGGAAGCGGGAAAGACCCCGCTCGAAACTCAACTAGTACGTCGCCGATTGTCTGTATGTCGAAGCACGTATATACAATGTCCACTTGTTGGCTGCCTTATCAATCTATGAGACGCTACGACTTGGAAGCCATCCTTACGCCCAGTCAAAAGCTGAAGCTATGTACTGTGCTTCTCGAAACACACCATACCAGTCTAGCTGTCATTTCCTTCACATTGTTGATATCCGACTCATCAACCCCTTTTCCCTCCACATCCTGTCTTTAAAATGTCAAATGAGACGCACAGGTTGAAGATAACCGGCACTGCACTACCGACGCTCCTCGGATGGCCTAGTGCGGGCGGTGTCTGGGTTTTCAAGCCCGACCAGGCGCAAATGAACCAATACAACGATCTTCCGCCCACGACCGACATGGACGAACACTGCCGGTGCTTAGAACGACTCGGGGCTACGTTTTACAGTGATCCCGACAGCTGCGAAGAGGTCAAGGCGACGTTGGCTTGTCTGCCTCCAGGTAGGCAACAATAAGGAGGCCTCAATACTCAAACTCATGTTTGGTCTTGTTGGATGCTTGTCACATCGGCACCTGGAAAGTGTGCACCATAGCAAATCCAAAATTGGAATTGTTTTGCTTTGCGCCGCTCTGATGCTGTTTATCCCCACCTCGACCTCGTAGGCAATTTTGATGCCCTCGTGGTTTCAATTGGCAAGCTAGACAAGCAGCGTTAATGAGCGGATCACCAGGGGCGGGGATCTGATGCAAGCCTGCCCTGCTTGGGGAAGCGGCCGTCCGTCTCTCCCTTTCTCAACAAACAGTTCAGAGACGCGAGAGCACATTTTCTGTACGCCCAGCCCGATTGCGCCCGGTTGCGCTGGGAATCCGAGAAGGCATGCTTCGGCTGCCGAGGATGACGGTTCGCGACTTGCATTCTCTCAGCACGTCCACCTCGGAATGTCCTCACTATCGTGGACGTTGCAAACTATGCGATTAGAAATGCGTCCCGCGCTATCGTTACAGCCCGCTTATGTATGGGTCCGCCAGGGCAAGGCCAAGCTAGCGACGGGTCACGGCCGCGATTCGGGCGGCTCCAATACCTTATTGTCAATTCTCCGAGGGACCAGAAAAGGGCGGTGATGAGCTGGCAGTGAGTGAACCTGCGAGTGGAGGTGGTCTGCCGAGTGTGTTGTTCATCCATCCGTTGGGCTGCGTATGTAGAGGGAGAGGGAGCCAATGATTGACACAATTTGCGACGCAGCGTAGCACAGAGGGAGGCATCCGTCTGCCGCGTGCCGCCTCCAGTCCTCCAATGTTGCGTGTACTGTGCGTGCCTGATCAGAGACTGTGCTCCGGAACGCTGCCCGCTTGCCGAGATGTTAGTGTTGCCACGACACGCCCACTTAGATTCCATCTGCGACGCCAGTCCACGCTTGGCGCGCCCCTGGGCCTGGATGCCGGTGCCTGCAGCAAGCACTGTGCGTCTACTGTCCCTTGTTCGGTTGTGCCTGACGCTATACTCTTCTCGTCCCCCTGTCAATGCGTCTGGGGCGCATGATGGATGGATCGACAGAGTTTTAATATCGCGCTCTCTCGTCCTCCCTCTCACTCGTTGCGATCTCTGCACAGTCTCTTCTTTTCTTCGCCCCTCACGACGCACCGACATTCTTTTTTTTTTTTTTTTCAATCTCGTCTACAAGCTCATTCTCGACGCAGGCATCGCTCCAGTTGTACCTTTGCTCTCTGATACCCCCTCTTCCAACTTCAAAGCGAAGCATACCGTCGCCGGTCGCGTATCTCACTTCTACCACTCGAGACAACTTTTGCAAACCACCATTCACCATGCGCTTCACCACGGGAATCGCCGCTGTCGCTGCCGCCGCTGGCGCGCATGCTCAGATTGAGGGCACCACCACCATGACCTCGACCACCACCATGACCAGGACCATCACCCAGTGCAACCCTACCGCCACTGACTGCCCTCTGTGGCACACGACCTCGAGCGTGGTCGCTGAGACCACCTCCGTCGTTCCCGAGACTACCACCTCGACTCCCGAGCCCGAGCCCGTGCCCGAGCCCGAGCCTGAGCCCGAGACCACGATGGAGACCCCCATCATCGAGACCACCATTGCCGTCGTCAGCGTCAACACCCCTGCACCCAGCACCAGCAGCAGCTCCAAGACTACCATGGTCTGGTCCGTCTCGCACAACTCGACCTCCCACGGCCCTACAGAGTACCCCGGCGCCACCAGCAGCGGCGTCCTGCCCACTGACGTCCCCGAGGGTCCCTCGGACACTGCCTCCGCTCCTTCGACCCTGCCCACCGACGACACCCCCGGCGCCGGTGTTACCTCTGTTGCCCAGACTGGCTTCATGGCCATGGCTTTTGCCGCTGTCGTTGCCGCCATCTTCTAAGCACAGCAGCCTAGGGGTCCCCAGTGGCTGTCTCCTCGAACCCTGGTGGTTCCACGACAAAATGTTGTCGCGTCATGCGCCACTCCTTCTACTTTTACTTCAATCTGCTTGATAGACTTTTCTTCGCAGGGGACGGACGTTTGGAGACCACTTTTTACATATGACATCTTCCGCCTTAGAGAGACCAGGCGGCGCTTGGTCCTGTCTATAGATTCTTTGATACCAACAGTTACATATGAGCAATCTTCACCAACGAAGCTTATCTCTGCTAGCCTGCCATGCATGTACAAAGGACAAAGCCGCCTCATTGCATTCCCATCAGCGCGTCTGGCTCGCAGACGCGATGCACGTCATTGCGCTGATGCCGAAACTTGTCTCAGCGCGGTGTCGCAAGCGCCCAATGTGGCAAAAGCCCCATAAGAAAATGACGCATCTCATCGTGATTAAATGCTGCATCAGTGGATAGCTGCAACGCATCATCGCAGCCATCACTTGTTAGAGAGGCGGATGGGAGATGCAGCGACGCAGCTGCTCAAATCGATTCAGAAGAGACGACACATGGGCAACTCCCCTCTGATGCGCTTCACTGAAACCGTGCAATCCCGGAACAAGTCAGACATGCCTCGCGTTTCAAGTGTCAACGCAGCCTCGTCCACTATATTGCATTTCATTCCGAAGCAGGAGAAAGACATGGACCTCTCAACGGGGCCGGACCACCGCTTGATCTCCACCCCAGGTCCGCTCCGGAGGTCGGTCCCGGTCGCGGCTCCAGTGATCCAGTCCGTGAGCCGTGTCCGGTGTTCCCGTTGGCCACCATACCACATCCGTACACGGTCAGTAAACGGTCATGTTGTCTTGTCTAGAACTAGCCCTAATCAAATTTGTATTTCAAGTCACAAATATGTGCACGTGTTTGCAACTGAAAAATCTGTTAAGTTTCAACCGCTCGCAGCGACTCGAATTTAATGAAAAAAAAAGGAAGAAAAGAGAAGGAAAAAGAAGAAAAAAAGGGAAAAGACTATCAGTTACTATCCCATCAAGTATTTGAACTCAGCACAGGCAGCATCTTCAAAAACTATAGCAAAAGTCGTCATGGGTAATATCCTCTCCCGGCTCGTTCGGCACCTTCGTGTCCAGGACTAGCCTATCCAGGACCACCCTCCTCCGACCATCCTTCAGCTGCCGGTGGAAATTCTGCTCGAGATCACTGCTTATCTTGAATCGCACGTAGTATCATTGGGATCCCTTACCTTGACCTGCGGAGCCTTCTACAGGTTCCTCCAGCAATGCCTCCACGAAAGGCACGACGAAATCACGCAGGGGCTGCTCACTCTACTGGAAAAGGACCTGGAACACCAATACTACCATTGCCTGGGTTGTCAGAAGTCGCATGCTTTTGACCCGTGTTTGACTGATGGGCTCTCCGCGTGGCGATATAAGCAGCGCTGCCGCCACCCTCGGCCGTTCACGCTTGACTTTATTGATGGGCAAACTCTGTAAGAAGCAAAATTGCCTGACCGTCTGTAGCAAGCTAATCTTCTTATACAGTGAACGTGTCATCGCGCGTCTCGGCACGAATCGATATCTGTACGGGGCACCACGGGGCTTACTTTTGTGCATTCTCAGGACCCCTAGGTGGGTCTGGAGCTGGGTTGGTGGCCCGTTGTGGCTACAGAGCCCAGACGCAAGGATAGTCAACGGCGAACTGATTCTGCAGGTGAGCCACGAGTTACAAGGTGGGGGCTATAGTGTACGAGAAGCAATTAACGAGGGCCGATATCGACTGTGCCACCACGTGATGACAGACCCTTTGGATCTGATCAGCCCATGGAGAAACAGTCGGCAACATGTCCCCGGGCTTGCGGGTATTGATGTTCTCAGGACATGCGAGAATGGCTCGGGCTCTTGCAACGTTTGCTTGATGGACTATACAATTACAATACGACAAGCCGATGCGCGAGAGCCAATTTATTCAACAACTGCCCCGGGAGGTGTAAGAGTCACATTCTATCCCTCCACTACCTCTTCACCCTCTGAACAACTGTCGCAGGTGTACTACGAAGTTGTTCCGGCTGGTTGGCGAGTGACCATGGTGTCCTACCACCTCCTCGGAGCATGTCGTGATGAGGACGACTGGAAGTGGGAAGCATCTGTGGGAAGAGGCAAGTATTACAACCCACTTTGCAAAGGCAATGAAAACGATCTGAATGTTTTTCCATCGGGCGAAGTCAAGAGAATGTGGGACAGTCTGAACCAAACGGCTTGATGATAGTCAAGCGCCCACAGCATTGGGTAACTAAGCGCAATACCAAGCGTCACTTCAAAAGGGGATGGTATTTTCCTTGATGCTTGGATCCTTCACAGGCTCCAACAGCTCTTTAGCAAAGATCAGGCACTGCCAAACAGTCACCCTTAGCAGCGAACGACGTGACGCACTGCTGCCGATTCCCATGACACCAACCTTGACATCGCTCTACGATGGAGGCGTCCTACTTGAACAAACATAACATCTCGCTGTACATGACGCGACGCAGGTGTCGCTAGCCAATAAATACTTGGTGTCCTGTCTTCTCCTGTGTAGCGTGTCAGCGGTGTCGCGCCCGACACGGTGGAGTGACAAACCTGAGGCTCCCCCTTGTTGCCAATTATGTGATGGAGTCAGCGATTCTGGGACTCTTGACGAAAAGCCCCGAAGGGTCTCGAAGTACAACCTCGTGAACTCATAGCGAGTCGCGTCCGTGTTGTTGTAAGATGGTAGTCGACGGGAGTGTGCCCGGCCTATGGAGTTTGTAATCTTCTGGAAGAGCGGATCGATTGCATTGGCGTTGGTCATACGGCTGACTGGAGTTTTGCTTCGAAATCTTGGGCGCGAAACCAAGAAACTGTGGATTTTCAGCGAGGAAGAATACCGATAGGGGCTGTACTGGTGGTCTCAGCCATTGTCATGCAGCTCGCGTTGGATTCACCCGCGCTGCTGGAGCGCAGGTTACTAGACCCCAGCACCACGATGAGGTCGCGAGCGCTTGCTGGGGGGGCACCATTGTGAATGATGTCCCACGACCCTGGTCGGTCAGGCCGTGCCGTGCGTCGGCGTCAGACGGCTTCAGATTGCTACATCTGGTGTCCACTCCCGTGCTCACCACTGTCTGCACTGCCAGCGGGTCGGGAACGGATCTCTAGAGCCCAATGCCCTATAGGTACCCAAAAGGGTCACAGAGAATCCGTCATCGAGGACGGCTGACGCAATGCCTCAGCCAGGTCCTGCACGCTATCTGTTAGAGTCTGAAACGCTTCAGCCAGTCGTGTACTGGCCTCGGAAATTTGCAGACACATCTGCATGCTCACCCATGGCCTTGGTCTGCGCTTGGATCGCCTCTAGGATATTTTCAAGCAGGGAGTCGCTTAAGGACGCAGGCTGAGACGAGGGAGGTGGTGGTGGAGGAGGAGGAGGAAAGTAACGGTCTGGGATGGCAACCCCGAGCCGGTCAAGAAGACGAACGAGATAATGTGCCACAAGGTTTCCTACTAGGAAAACCCAGACGTCGTTCCAGCTATCAAAGAAAGCCATTTTGACACGATACAGAAATTAGTGGAACGGCGATTTAGGGAGAGAAGAGAACGGAAGGGAGAGCATCGGGGCCATCTTGACCTTAAGCACTAGGTACCTCAATAAACAACTGAATCGAGAGTGACGGTTGCAGCTGCCACTTGAGTTGAGATGAATCTTACCTAAGGTAGGTAGATACGAACCTTACTAGTCAGGACTGGCTGAGATTGGAAAGCGCTACCTTTCAGCCCTAGGCCATGCTAAGCAGAGAAGGTATGATCATACTACGCGCAGGTCAATATTTGTCGCTTGCTTCTAGATAATAACTAACAGTACTTGGCTGACTAGGGGCATTTTTGACGAATTCTTCGTGGTTCTCTGGCCCTATATCGGCGTAGACACCTCGTACCGGCATTAAAAACTCATAGAGGGGTGAGACAAGTATGCTTCGGGGTGATTCACTATCTTCCCGCTTTGGTAGTAGGAAGAGCCACCAATACCTAAAGCCGGCATGGGATGAATACTCCTCGGTGCTCAGTGCATTGTACAAACGCATAGTCCGTGGTGCAATGGGATCCCATGTGATGTTGCTGATCCGTCAATTAAGGGGCGTGCATGCGGATGGCTCTCTAGCCAGGCCAGGATGTATTCATGTTGCGTATGTACATGGAACTTCATACCACATACACCCCCTACTGAATCAAGTGAAACTACTAAAAAGTAGACTTTCATCGCCCAGTGCCTGTTCAGGCATGCCCAATAGCCGCAATGTGTCGGGGTGCGTCAGTCGCGGACTCCATTCACGCAACTCCTTGCCATATACGCAATTTAGCAGATTGTACCGGACGAACGATCCCATCTTCTCCATGGACGCGAAACCTCCCACAGAATGGACTATCTGAACGACGCCCATGGCATGCTGCGCTGCTGTTGCAAAGTCTCCTATCGAGATCTGTCTTGTTATTAGCCTCAGCTTTAGCGTGGTCTGGGCGGAATCCTCTGCAAAACATGTACACATACGTCGTCAAAGACGAGGACCATCGCAAGCGTAGCCGTAGCGGCAGATATAAGACCGTGGCCCACAGCCAACTCTTGCTGAAGAGCCCGGATGTATCTCCATTTGTACTGCTGAGCAACGTTCTCGTACCCTGCCTCCGGATATGCCATGGCCAGATGCCGACAAGCGGACAGCAGGAACCCTCTCAGAAAATGGAAGCTTGTAGACGAGAACAGTAGCCAATTCTCAGCTAGACTCCGCGCTCCAGAGGATACCTGCGTCAGTACAGGGCAGGTGGCGTTGAGACCAGGAAAGACTATGGTGATGTCTACACGGGCGCGACAATTGGTCAGCTTTCCATCATCTTGATTTTCGGACCCAAAGAGATTTTCTTACAGTGATGGAAGAGTTTGTGCTCACTGTGGGTCAAGGTCTGCAAGAAATCGCGGAGTGGCTCATGCTCAAAGGCGCCTGTGATAACGGCGGGAACATGTACTGATGAACCAGGTCGCCCACCGACGGCGTGACAGTTGCGACTCAAGCTCTCGTCATCACTGGCTTCATTGAAAGTTCTTACCCGCTGCTGAGTGTACCTTTTGACCTCGAGCCTGCGGGCTCGAGCGTGCGCAGCCCGAGCCGCATGGGAGTGCGCCTTGCGCTTTGTTTTGGCCGAGGCAGGTTGGCCTGGGTGCGAGATCACGACAAAGTCAGTCATGTCTGGAGATCGAATGGTTCGTTTTGGAAAGAAATTAGTCCTGATTCAATTTCTGGCAGACGACTCTTAATCATGATGGCATAGCCTCAATCCTTTGCATCCCCTGCCAAGCTAGTCCCCCATCCCTCCATTCCCAATTTGTCAGCCTCGCGGGCCCCTGGGAGGATCAAGACCTCAGGACAGGACCCAGGCATGTCGCATGATGTCTCAGCCCTGCCAAGATGTGCTCCTACTATAAATGGCTAGCGGCCGGTCAGGCCACCATCCTCGCTTATAAGTGGTAAGAAATGACTTCGTCCCCCTCCACAGTGGCCTTGTAAATGGCACCAAATGCCGTCATCACGTCCTCTGGCAGCGGACCTGCCTCAATTGCATCAATGTTTGAATGCAGCTGCTCCATGCTGGAGACGCCGATGATGACAGAGTCCCCATGAGCCCTGGACAGGGCACTATGATGCGCCGTCCAGCGCAGCGATGCCGCATGTCCGCTGATCCCGTACTTGGACGCCATCGACACAGCTTCCTCGACCGCATTCAAGATACAAGGGTTCAAATAAAATCCCGCATAGAGAGCCCCGGGGCCATGCTAAGCAAAGAGATGATCAGCAGGTGAGCCACGTCTCCCGTGATTCGATGCGAAGTGAGCGTCGGACTTACCGATGGGTCAAAGCGACTGCCTGGCCGAACGTTTCGATGATTGCCGGCAAACAATCCACCAGCCGCCGGACTAAACGCATAAAATGCCATGCCGTGCTTTCGTAGCACCGGAAAGAGCTTCTCCTCGTTGCTTCGGACAACCGCGTTGTAATGTCCCTGGTATACGCTAGGCTTCACGTAGCCATGCTTCTCGCACAACCTCACAAAGTCCTCCACCTCGTCCGCGGTGTAGTTTGATAGTCCCCATTGCTTGATCTTGCCTTCCCTGAAGGCCTTGTTCACCGCCTCGCATGCTTCTAAAGGATCTGTGTCCCGATCAGGGACGTGGAGGTACTCAGTGTTGATCGTGCGGATCTTGAGGCTCTCCAGCGAGGCGTCGATCTCCCGGAGGACCTTGTCGCGGGTGTGCGCACCGGGTATCAAGGATGTGACCTTTGTATCAATAGTGAACCGATCACCCGCTGATACCGCGCCCATACGGTCCTCGGACGCGCCGTACATGCGTGACGTGTCGAGATGGTCGTATCCCCTGGCTGCAAACGCGTCGAGGAGGTCCTTGACTTTTTCGGGCTTGTCGAATCGAACTGTGGCCATGGTAGATAAATCTCCAACCTGAGTACATAATTTGATCAGTTTCATTGAAAGATGGGCGCTTGGTGTCTGATCAAATTGTTCTCATGACTTACACAAAACATGCCAAGCACGAGGTTGGGTGTGGTGGTAGCCATGGTACCTGACGGTGGAATGCAACGCTGACTGCAATGGAGAGGTTCGATAATTGATGAGAGTAAACGACCGAGAACTGTGCAGCTCATCTTCCCAGAGGAGTAACCTCGTGGCTTCTTATATAGTCGCTATGCTGCCCTAGACCTGAAGCTTTGATAGCAATGCCCTGTCGGCGCCAAGATCTGCTCCTACCAGAACAGGCAATTGCACCACCACCGCGTGAATGGCCAAGGACGGTAATGAGGGAGTGAGGACTCTTGTACGGAGTCCGATGCTCGTCAATGACTTCAAGGCACAAGCTAACGCCCACGCGCGCAGGAGTCGATCATGCGTTGATTTGTAACAAAATACTCTGTCGCTTAACGGGAGCCTGGTGGGATCTCGGCATGATGACCTTTGTCATTTGACATGCGAGTCAAGTCGTTCAAGACCATCATCATAAGCCAATGCTGGATATCGCACTTCATGAAACTAACCAGGATCCAGGACGTCTCTGTACAAGAGCCTTCTCCGAGCCAAAGCCAGAGCCCTGACTGTGGGCAGACCCTTGTCAACCGTCTTGCCGTGCCTCAGCAACATGAACACTAGAGCCACGGTCTTTGGACACCTTCCCACTTGTCACAGTCTTCCAGCGGGTATATGACCCCTTCATCGAGCCGTTCATATCGTTCGCGTTTCTTCTGGTGTCTTGTAGGTACCTCTCCGATAGTAGGCGGGGCGTTTGGGTTAGAGAAACAGAGCCACCGTGACTATTCGACGATGGTCGTGCCCAAAATCCGAGGTGGAATGTGCTTGATAAAGGGCTTGATCGCGGAGAGGCTGGCACATACTATGGAGAGACCGGCCTCGGCGAAGCTAGCCATGAATTAGAGACGATTGCGGGTTGGGCACGTAGTTAGACTGGACTCTTACATCCAGAGAAGGACCGGGCCGCCGCCCCAAGATTGGTCCTTCATCACCAATGGAGTTGAGTAACGCCACAAGTCTCATGACAGACGTAAGGACAGTCCCAGCAGGCCCGAGTCAGCTTCCCATCGTCCGAGAGACAACGAAGTTGACTTACATTCCACTAATCCCAAAGAAAGCTAGCAGCCCAATCTTTTGCCGCATCGAGATCTGCAAGGGTATCACGACCGGGATAGGCACTGCGAGTACCATCGTATCTGTGATGGTGCCAAGAGCTGCCGTAGCCTTGTAGACAGCGTTTCGATCAATGCATTCCGAGTCCGTGATGGTCATGTCCCACGCCGCTCGAGTTGGTCGACAGGGGAAGTTGGTGACAAATGTGATGGCGACAGACGATCCGACGACCACAAATGCCGTGAACCAGACCGCAACATGGAACCATTTCTGCGGCGTAAATCGTCTACAGACAAGGAGCACTGACATTTTGGCGCCACACTGTACGGGACTGTAGAGGATCGGGAGCAGGTACAGCGCTCGCTCGTATAAATAGGGCGAATTTTGAATTCGGCATCTCCCAGCCATGTGTGCCCATGCCACCGCGAGCGAAATCATCTCTAGAGCGGTTAGTCCTGGAACAAAGCTTGCTCGATGATGGCACTCACGGATGATGAGCGTTTGAAGAACGACCGAAAACACCTGTGCCAGGTTAGCATCCGAGCAACCGCCGCGTGCAGTCCGAGCGCTGTATTCCACACACATAGGAAACGCCTAAGCAGATCTTGTCATGTCAGTGATACTCGGGTTGAAGCCAACATCCAGGAGGTCCAGCGAGTTTCCAACGCCAGACAGCCAGTACGCTTCGATTTTGCTATTGCGTTGAGGGTTATCGAAGTCGATTTCATATTCTTTGGGTGGCGGAATGGCGACTGGGATGCCGTTGACTATAGTACCCATGGCGATTTCCGCTGCGGAAAGGGCTTAAGGTGTAATTATGGAAGTGCAGATGAGCGCGAATAGCTGTTCAAAAGAACAGAACGGCTGATGAGTACCTTAGGTAGAAAGGGGTCCCTGCTAAGTTGAGATGATGCGAGGAAAAGGCATCTCCCTCTACTCCGCGGAAACCATGACTGTTGGTTGCTTGCGAAGATGCTTGCAGATGGCCTGACAGGTTCATCGCGTCTCAACTCCCAAAGGGCTCAACAGCTTCTTCATGATCCCAGTGAGCCCCCATAGTACCGAATTGCGGTCCCGAGTCCTGGCTAATTGACCTGTCGACTTCTCCAAGACAGGTCTGTGACATGGATGAGGGATTAGTGATCATTCACACGGGGTGTCACTGTTGACACGGGCAGTCTTGTCGGCTTTTTGAATCCAGCAATGGCATCTCTTGTCGGTTTCCGCTGTCGTCCTTGTTGGTCTTGGGCGCTGTCAACTTGTTGGTTGTTAATTGTGTTGGTTGAGGGGGCGAAAGTTGAAATACTCAGAACATGAACCCTGGCAGCTCGCGAAGAACGCAAGCGCAGGCACCGGGGGTCAATACAGGCCGTAATCTGTATGCACTATCCATGCATGCATGTGACAATGCAGTCCTGTCTCCAACATGGAAGCTGGCTGGCGGAAGCAAAGCCGCCAACAAGGGGCATGGACAAGTTGTTCGGAGGTGGATGGCCATCATGTCGGCATATATACTGACCGTGGGCCCCAAAATTTAACGTGTCGGTCGACCGAAGGACTGACGATCACATCGGAGCGAAACTTGATACCTGCAGTCGTCCTCTGTTGTGATCGCCTTCTTCTTAACCTAGGCGGGAACTGTGCACTTGCATTTGACCATGGCCATTCTCACACTTCAACCGGCAATCCCTCAGGCCCAAGGCCTCATCTCTGCAGGCCTCCAGTCGCGTATACTGTCTCCCACAGACGCCGACTTCACGGCCCGACAAGAATCGTACTGGTCAAACAGCGCCAAGATTACGCCCGCGTGTACCGTACAGCCACAATCGGCGGAAGAAGTCGCAATTTCCGTCAAAGCCCCTGTTGCTGCTGGTCAAAAGTTCGGCGTCCGGAGTGGCGGGCACACCAACTGGGCGGGATCAAAAAACATCCAAGACGGAGTGACGAGTGACCTCGTTCGCCTGAACAAGACAGTGTACAATTTCGACACCGAGACGACCAGCATTGGCCCTGGCTGCCGATAGCGCGAGGTCTATGCCGAGCTCGACAAGCATAGGCGCGCGGTCACTGGTGGTCGTGGGGGCAATGTTGGAGCCGCTGGTCTCTTGCTCGGTGGCGGAAACACTTTCTTCACCGCACGTCAGGGATTCGCATGCGATAATATCGTTTCGTACCGGGTCGTCCTCGCTAACGGCACCGTGGTGAACGCGGACGAGCAGACCAATACAGACCTCTTTCACGCCCTCAAGGGCGGCTCAATCAACTTTGGCGTCGCTACCGGGTTCACCATGACGGACATTCGATATGACAAGGTGTGGGGTGGCATGACATTCTTCCCGAAGCAGGCGATTTCTGGTGCCATTGAGGTCTTATCGTCATTCACTGACAATGTGCCCAAATACATCAACAGCAACCTGGTTACCATTTTCACCCATATGCCAGACTTCAAGGATATCGTCGTTGCCACCCTCTATGCGAACTTGGCCGGCATTAAGAAGCCTCCAGCATATAAAAAGTAGTTGGCCCTGCCAGAGATCATAAACACTATCAAGGTGACCACCGTCTCAGAGATAGCCTTTGAGTACAACGTACCTACCAACTAGTCTACTAGTAAGATTCAATGCCCATGCCCGGGCTCAACGCGTGCTAACACATGTCTCTGTAGTGATACATGGTTCACGTGCTGCTTCAAAAACAACACCCGGATCATCTCCAAAGCGTCGGATCTGCATCACCAGCTCGTGGAAGGGCTAACGGCGTTCATCCCGGATGGCGACTTTATCACTCAATGCTTGTTCCAGCCCTTGCCTGCAGTTTTCGGACAGCGCTGCGTTGAAGCTAGGGCAACGTGATGGGCATGAAGCGGCAGAAGGACAATGGTATACTGTTCCTCCCCGTCGTGATGGCAAAGACCCTGGAGCAGGACGCTTTTGCGCGACCCAAGTTTCACGCTTGTATCCAGCAGATTCGCGAAATTGCAGCAACTCTCCAGGGGGTTAACCTCGACTGGGTATATCTGAATCATGCGGACAGCAGCCAGTATCCACTCGGAAGCTATGGTGCCGACAACATCAAGAAGATGAAGGCGGCGGCGGCCAAGTATGATCCGCACGAGGTCTTCCAGAAGCTGTGCCCCGGGGGCTTCAAGATCTCCAATTTCGAAGCCTGATGATGGGTTCTTGGCGATATCATCCTACAGATGTCCAAGTGCGCGTCGAGTCTTCATGCTATAGGCTTCTCGACAAATCTGGGTATAATTTGCACCATGAGGCTCCCAACTCAGATATAAGCAATGTTTCCTCGGAGAATAGTATACATATAGTCTTGGAACTTACCCAGGCTCTACTCAGTACCAGAGGTTGGGGTAGCTTTGGCCCCAGTCTGGGGGCCACCTCCAATGGAGATGACAGCGAATGAGGCCGCACTGAACTGGTTCAGCCAGTTGCGCGAACGCCATCGACACAAGATGGAGTGCTGATATCTGGAAAAATCCAGGTGGAAGCTGGCTTTTGGACTACCTCTTGTTCGAAGTGTCTAGGTCACCAGCATCTTGACATAGAATGCGCTGGCCAAATATATTGTAGTAGCGGCCTGATCCAGCTCACATCTGCATGTATCCAGCTTGAGCAGTTTGAATGATAAAATTTTCCAAAGCCTACTGCGTAGACAGCATAACCGTTGGACCGAGCCTAAGAGCGGGTGTTCTGCAAACGGCAGCCAACGTCGCGGGACAACGTTCATGAACTCGGCGGTGCACCTCAAGACAGCAAGATAGCGCGGAAGGCAGGGAAAACGGCGGCATCGATCTATACGTCCATCCTCGACGTTCCAGCCACAGAGGCAGCGCTTGACATGCCTGGAAGCATACTTCGATTGCGTGTGGGGATGTCGATTGTTCGATTTCCTGGGCGAAAAATCCAGCTAAGAAAGGTGGGTGGCAAGGCAGGTGTCCGCATGTTTCCTCGGTGTGGGTACAGCAGGTGAGCACGAGAGACCTAGGTTTCGTAAGTAGCTTTGGTTCAATCGACGCACACACTAAGGTGTCTGTAGCTTCCTTGATGCACAGGTGCGCTGAGTGAGCTGTGACCCAGACCCTAGTCGTCTTCAATACCTACAGTAGTTCCGGCCGCCTGTAACAAACCAGACCTGTTGATCTGGAATACTTCTGTTCTGTTTGGTGGAAGACCAATATTGGCCAATAGATTGTGAAGCCACCAACCGGTGCAGAAGTGCAATTCACATGCCAAGTGCCACTTGATGGGCTACCTGCAGCCGAGACATCCCATCCAGTTGGCTGGTCGATAAGTGCGTGCCATGCAGCGACGCATGGTCGTCCAGGCTGGCCAGGAAGATACAGCCGCCAGGAAAATTCCGTTTTAAGTGGACTTGCTATTGGTATATCTCGAAGTCTTTCTGATTTTTGTTGGCTCGTCAGGCGGCAGAGGGTGCTGCATATGGACACACTATGGGCGAGTTCCAGTGTGTTGTGGACTTGTGGTTGCTTTTGCGGGAAGCCTCGCCTGGACCACCACTGCACGCCCATCGTAATTTAGAGGGCTACGAAACAGCGTAGCCGTGCAGCAACAAGATTCCAGATGCAATTTGATGCGGCACACCGACAGCCTCGACATTTGCATCGGCAGTCTGCTCCCTATGCATTCCTGTGGCGTCGAGACCGTGAGAGAACAAGTGCGGAAGGGTCTCGGATGTCTCACGAGGACCCCAGGCTAGTTTCTCATCCACAAAGAATAGCGACACGAGTAGACGAGCTGATCACTCCGAGATCTGCGCGTTCCTGAAATGACATCTTTTCAGCTCGCACATTTAAGGAGGTTTCCAGAATGTTCGTGTAAGTTACCAAGCGAGGCGCTGTGCGTCTGAGGGAGTGTGGCGTTGATGTCTCATTGGTCACCACTTTGTCGGGACCATTGGAGGTTGGACGACCAATAGCCAGTGGCCGAATATTGATTGTCGCAGATTATGAGTTGCGTGTACTCGACAAGCTGACTCGCCTCGTGGCAGTGAGAGCGCACCATCCTACCCGAGTCTGTTCTGCTGACCGGCGACTGCGCGCACTCACGCAACGGTAGCGACAGATGACTCGTCACTGTCCACCGCGACGCCTTCTGTGTCTCGCTCTTGAGCTAGCTCGGTTGTCGTAAGGGAGGGAGAATTGGACATTCCATCCTACAAAGCACGGCCCCGGCATGGATATCAGGAAACCCGTAAGAGTGCCTCGTCGACGCTTTAAGCCGTACCTTGCGATGCATGACTTCTAGCCGAGACCTCTTCAGCCCTATATTTGTCATGCACTGGATGGTGAAGTACGTATAAAGGGCGGTTGGCCTGGCCTGGCAAGGTCAAAAACCCGCCAACAATTCGAAACCACCTTTGAACCCAGCAACTGCCGCGCAGCATAACCTAAGAAGCGGCGAGATCCCAGCATTTTCCATGATCATACCTGTACCGAGCAGCAACGCAGATACTTGTGCCCAACATGAGCAATCGATTGCCCGCCTTGCTCTCAGACCTTTGGGCGACAACAGAGGCCACTGGCGACATACTCCATGTGCAGCCTAGCACACTGCATCTGCGCATCAACTCTCGCGCCAACGGCCTCTGCAGGCATCACAACGAGCACGGCTGCACAATGAGTGTGCCTTCCTACGCGCCAGGTTCTCTGTGTGCGCAGTGCGCCGCCAACGAGGCGAACGGCTTGCCATGCGCATGAACATGCGCGAGCAGTTGGAGATTCTCGGCAATTCTCGGTCATGGCAACAGTCGAGCTCTTTCAAACATCATGGAGGTGCATTCCGCAAGGATTACTGGGTGGCGTCCTGTGCAACACTGTGTCGAGTCTTGGGCGAGTGTTGGGGGTGGAAACGGCGCCATATATGACTACCGCTTGGCGGACCTAGAAGTCGTTTGCTTGTATTCTCGGGAATAGAGAATTTCAACTTCCGTCCACGTAGCATTGTTCCCCAGCAGAAGCGAATCGAATGTCGAACGAGAGCGTTCTGCCGTCCAAAACTGATTCCAAGTTCCAAGGCATGGAATGTCGTCGTTTTCCATGTGTCAACAAGTCAAGGGTGAGGGGGGTTAACTTAACGGGTGAGCGTATACGTAGTGTCGTGTAGTTCCACCGGTGCCGAACCAGGTTTGTGGCAGGAAGTTTGTTGCCGAGATCTGAGGATGCGCCTGGCATCTGCAATACAAAAAAGAGTACATGGTAGATGTGATAGACGATCAGGACCACCCGGCGTTCGAACCGAGAGCTGGTATCCCATGCCCTCACGTCAGCCAAATTGGGGACTCGTGAGTTACGCGTTGCCGGCGGTGGCAATCTCACGATCATGCATGATTTCTTCATCAAATTCTGTGAGTCTGGGATTACGACGATGTGGCTCGGGATGGCCGTGCTTTCTCTGAGCGAGATGACTGGCAGTTGGAGGAGGACGATTGAGAAAGTGGGGGGATCCAGTTGGTCGTAAATCGCGATTTCGTGATGGACCGCAGCCGGGGTGCCACAGGGTAGGTAGGCGGAGTAACTTGGCATATCAGTGCACGTGACCTGGTCGTCTTCATCACTTCGTCAACTTCATGTTGTCCGACGACTGACCAGCATCCATCCAATTTAGCCTGTGAAGAACACACAATCGTCCTGACCTGAGACAAAGTGGCGCGCTTGGCATCTCGGCGTATCCTGCAGCGGCTCATCAAGGTAACTTGAAGATCGTCTCCAAACACCTCGAGTCTTCTATCTCATTACCAGACTGTACAGAAATCTGACGAGATCCAGACTAAGCCGCCCTGCAACAATCAAGGCTCGCCAACTCGATTGCGCCACATATTGCGTTGGACGCGCCGTGCCGTTCCGCTCCGCTCCCGACCTTCTCAATTGAGAACTTCATCTCATCCAGTTCTGCACCGACGTCGATGCCTAGTGCCAAGACTAAGAGCACACGTCAGCCGCTCGCCGCCAAGCTACTCTTGTACGCTGATCGTCGTCTTGGCTCGACCAGATCCTACGTACCCCATTAGGCGGCCGATAATGGTGGATTAAGGTTGGACTATAGTCTGTAATCCACAGTCTTCTCCGGCCGAACACCAAGAGCTCCACAAAGACTTCTAAAATCATCATTCAACACGGGAATAGGCAGCCGTCACTCCAGCAATGGGCTATGAGTTTATGAGAAACTGCAAAAATGCCGCAGACTGTTTGAATTGACGGCCAAAGTTCTCCAGCGCACAGATTCGCCTGTTGCGACGATTGTCCCGGGAAAGTTCATCTGCGGCTGGAATGTTTTGTATCATCAAAGTCAGCTACCTCAACTCACTACTTCTCGGTGCTCTCAAACATGCGAACAAACATCTGAGCACGGATTGCGTAATACATTTTGGGAAACAGGACGTGAGGCACAGTCAGCACGAAAAAGCCAACAACCCAAGCATAGCCAAGCATCCTGCTGAGCAACTGGACGGAAGGGTCCCTGTTGAATCCTTTGCCAAGTTTCGATAGTGCGATTTCAATGCCGATCGCGAAAAAGTTTGCCCAGAAGAAGAACAGGTCTCTTTCTAGGGCCTTGTCGCCGAGCCTCCATCCGACCAGCACGTGCGCCAGCCCAGAAGTGGTGAAAACGAAGAATGCGGTAAATAGCTTCGCCAGTATTGGGTGGCTCCTCAGGAGCGGCAGTCGGCTCGCAATGCTGCGCGCCCAGGCGGCAGCCGACGGTGTGATTAGACGATGCCAGAAAACGCCCCAAAAACGCCGAAGAGTGAAGGCCTCCAGTGGAGATCGGAACAAAGGAGGCCACTCCTCAGGCTCGTCGATCTGCAAGATGACGACAAACACAAAGGCCAGCGCTATATGGCACAATGTGAGTTGGGAGTAGGTCTCGATGATCCACGACAGGGCCACATATGTTCGAATGAAGACGTCGCTCGCCGAGATTTCGCCAGACAGCAACCGACGGACCATCCACTCCTTCGCGGGTGAGAAGTCGTGGATGGTGAATGTAGCCAGGTGAGGTGCCAACATGTGGTCAAAGACCGCTCGTGAGGCCAGGATAAGTATCACTTTCACAACGCCGGACGCCACGAACTGTAACCGACGGCGAAGCGGTGCCACTGGCTGGTCCAAGGATACTGTTGGCAGTCCGCGAGGGTTGTTGAAACGCCGGTACGCCACCGGCAGATCCCAGCGGGGCTGACTGATGTCCAAGGTCTTGGCTGAGGATGCGAGTAGTATCGGACAGTAAAGGAGGGTAATGATGATGAGCATGCCAAGCTGCACGTTCAGCCCCAAGAAGGACGGTATGTGGGCAATGTCCTTGAAGGCGAGGCCGAGCGACGCCCACACCGGTACGAGCAGGACAACGCGCTGGTGTCGCTCGATGTATTGCGATCCCATCATTAGAGCCATCGCCTGTCCGTACAGCAACAGCGCTCGCGCGGCGGCCATGATGAGCAAAGATTGGTAACGGTTTTGGTGAATGAAGAAGTTGTTTTCGAAATGGACCAGCTTCGTCTGGGATGAGCACAAGAGGCAGTCGGCCGCTTCTTAGTCTTCGTGATGACGAGAGTTGAAGTTGCTTTAAGCGCTGAGTAAGGCATGCGGACATCCACACCTCTCGCTTGCCACAAGCCTCCCGAATGGTATAATTCCTCCTTTCGGCAGGTAGTGGTGTTGAATGGGCCGAAGGATTCGGGTTAGAAGCAATAGCTGAACTAACTACCGCACTGCATCCCACTCACAAATGCAACTGCTTTTTACTGCTTGACAAATGACGTTCTGCCGCAGGACGAAGGTCCGTTTGAGGAAATGCCAACCTCCAAGGCAGACGATGCCGCTGCTGATCAGTCGTCTACACAATGTGGACTGAATGTTCATTGCCTGGCCATTTCCTTCGCCACGTCGGCCAGTTTTGAAGAACGTCAACAGTATATAAGCTTTGCTGTCTCGCCAGCTATTTGACCTTAGATCACCACCAGCTCTCTCAAACATCAATCCACAAGCACTCTTACATCCCTCTCTGCCTCACAGTGAACATAACACGCACCACCAAATCAACCATCAAGATGCCTGTCTGGGCTGCTGTTCCTATCATCGCCGGCGTCGTTGCCAAGGGCCTCCAAGTCGGTCTTGATGCCTGGGAGAGCCGTGACCTCGGTGACAAGGGCTTCGAGATCGTTGCCCGCGTGGCCGAGTTCAACGTTGAGGACCGCCAGTCGTCCTGCTTCAGCAACGTCAAGGAGGGTGTGCCGCAGCATATTGTCGACAGCTGCTGCAACGGCCTCTCGGGTGCATGGGTCACTGTTAGCGGTAGCCCCAGCAATGGTATGTTCAATTCTCACATTTCCAAGGAATTTTTGTACGAATAGTACGCTTACACAAACTCCTAGGTGTCAGCATCGCTGGTCTGCCTTACGACTGCATCCCTCTGGCACCTTGGATTGATGGGACTGGCTCCGTTCCTTATGCTTGTGGTGACGACTGCATCAAGTATGATGGGTTGACTCAGGACGAGTACAACGCGCTGAAGAACGCTTTCGAGTCAAAGGTCTAAGAGTCCATTTTCAGATAGACACAATGGGGAATTTGGCATAGTTCACTTCCGCGGCCAATATTACTTATTCAAACCAAAGACACTATCCCCTCATTTTTCGACATGTGGTTATCCACGATAATGGCAATTCTTTTGCCATTTTGCTTGTGTGCACGTATTTTGCGTTGTTGGCTCGCATGAAATTTATGCAGTTTCCATACTTGATTTTTTATTGTTTCACCACAACCAATGATGTCCCACGAACGTATCACTAACTTGAACTAAAAAGTTGCCTATGAAGTTGTGACCCATATACATGCGTATTTCATGCTTAAGAATTGAATGTGGTACAGGGTAGTGCAGGGAGAGGTCGTCGGTGAACCTGCCACGAGCACTATGAGCCCCGGACACATCTGTTTACAAGACAGACGGGATAACAAAAACACTCTTGTTGAAAATTTGCGCATCATGGGAGTGTATTTCAATAGCGTCAAGGTCGCCGGGTCCTTATGTTCCATATCGTCCACAAGGCGTCGCTGTAAGGCAGTTGTTTTTGAGGCACGCCAAGTGGAGAGAGTACCAAATCGCAGCCATCTTGTTCAATAATCAGCTCATCAGTTGAGCTCTCGAGCATCGCTTCTTCAGGAGTTCAGATGTAATCAACAAAACGCAATGAATTATCACATGGACCTAGATCGTTGGGTGGCACCATGATTTAGATGCCAGTGGATACGCAAGGTCTTATCCCGAAAGGCTGATTGGCGAATAGAGCCCAAGCTCCGGCCGACGCGAGCTGCGTTTACTGACAGAAATAGATAAGCATATTTACCCGATCCAGCAGCTAAATCAACGGAGACTATTGTATCATCCAGAAGCCAAGCTCCAGTTGCTCAGGGGTAGGTTCGGTTTGTGGGACTGGAGTCGAGGAGGGGCAGACCCTTCTCTGGAGGACCAGCTGCAGATTCCACACCGCCCTGACACTGTCCAGACAGGGAGGGGAAATTCTGGCTGTGGCCTCTTCACTCGCTTCGTCCGTCTCCTTTTCTGGTCCCCCCTTTTTCCAACACCATACACGGACTGCACAAGCTTCAGTCAGTCCCTCTGCTGCTTCTAAGAGCAGCTGTCACCGAATTTTACACCACTGGCTTCGGTTTGGCTTGCCTATAGCCGCCAGCATTGACCATGTCCAAGCCCAACGACGTGGACTTTCAGTTCATCGAGACGCCCAAGGCAGCGGCCCCGGGCTCTGATAAGCGCGAAGACTGTGGTGTTCGCACGACTGAGGTTCGTAAATAAGCTCCAGCGAACTCAACCCACCCAATTGGCACTTGGGAGCTCTTGGAGAGCTCATCAAGACGCCGCCCTGGGTGCCCCTCCAAGCCCAACTGGCACGAGGACCGTGTTCCGAAACCTGTACTGACACCATTACAGCGTCCTGCGATCAAGAATGCCCCCCTCCCTGCCGACGGTCCCGGTTCCGACCATTTCAACAACTATGTGCTCGCGGGTGTCATGATCCTTGTGCCCTACTACATGAAGTACAAGGTTGGCGGTGGCTTGAAGACCTTCATCTTCTTTGCTCTGGTCGTCGACCTCCCTCTCCTTGCTGGCTGGTGGCTGCTCGTGTCTTCCATCAGCCCTCGCAAGACCGACAAGGCTGCCCTGCCCAACCGTGGCGTTGAGCACTACCTCGAGTTCAAGAAGGAGTCCGACCGTGCCAAGTTCCGTGGTCAGAACAAGGTCCCCATGGGCGACTTTTACGAGATGTACTTTGACGGCGAGGTGGACTTCAAGGGCGACGCCCTTGAGATCCTCGAATACCGCCACGACTGGGCCAGCTTCCGCTTCACCATTGGTCTCATCAAGTTCTTCCTCACCGGTACCCTCCCCGACGTGATCTGGCGCCACCAGCGATCCGACGACGAGACCCAGGTTCGCGACCACTACGACCGTGGTGATGACTTTTACGGATGGTTCCTCGGCCCGCGCATGATCTACACTTGCGGTATCATTTCCGACCCCGACGTGGAGGAGACTCTTGAGGAGCTCCAGGACAACAAGCTTGCTGTTGTCTGCGAGAAGCTCGGTCTGCAAAAGGGCGACAAGATGCTCGACATTGGCTGTGGCTGGGGCGCCCTGGTCCGCTACGCCAGCGAGAACTACGGAGCCTCTGCCACCGGTGTCACCCTGGGTCGCAACCAGACTGCCTGGGGCAACTCTGCGCTCAAGAAGGCCGGCATCCCTGAGGACCAGAGCAAGATTGTCTGCATGGACTATCGCGATATCGAGGTGCCCGAGGGCGGTTTCAACAAGATCACCGCTCTCGAGATGTCGGAGCACGTTGGTGTTCGCCACTTCCACAAGTTCCTCAAGGGTATTTACGACATGCTCGACGACGATGGTGTCTTCTTCATGCAGTACGCTGGTATCCGTAAGCCATGGCAATACGAAGATCTCATCTGGGGTCTTTTCATGAACAAGTACGTCTTCCCCGGTGCCGACGCCTCTACTCCTCTCGGATGGACCATCGACAAGCTGGAGGGCGCCGGTTTCGAGGTCAAGGCTGTGGACACCATCGGCGTGCACTACTCGGCCACTCTTTGGAGGTGGTACCGCAACTGGCTCGGCAACCGCGACAATGTCGAGGCCAAGTACGGCAAGCGCTGGTTCCGCGTAAGTTCTCTCTCCCTGTCTATACAAGTCGAGTGATACTGACCCTCTCCTAGATCTGGGAATACTTCCTCGCCTCTTCCGTCATTGCTTCCCGCCAGGGCAGCGCCACTTGCTTCCAGATTACTCTGGTCAAGAACATCAACTCGACTCACCGCGTGGATGGCATTGAGACTCAATTCGGACTGGAGGGCGCTCTGAACAACGCCAGGTCCAAGGGCAAGCAGGACACTTGGGCTACCAAGAACAACGTGAAGACTCCTGCGGAGCTCTTCGCTTAGATCACCAGACTGAGAGCCGATAACGATGGATTCTGCATACTGAGACGCGCCTTCGATTGACAAAACAATCTGGACTTGCTTCAATGGGGGTTTTTCAGATGCTTGTCCCCCCGCGGCAACGCAGGGCGTCGTCGGGTTTATGAGCCTTGGAGGCGCATGGATTGTTACAGACCGGAACTCATATAGATAGAGTAATGGACGGGGAGGTTGCCCTGACATGGCTTGAAGTGATGGATGGACATGAAAAGCACTGCTTAGACGGATAATGGGAAGAGAAACCTTCATGTTCAATCTGTTCGCTGTACTAATGCTGAGGCGATGCTTCGCGGGACAACCCCGGAATTAATCAGTGCCACCACGCTTCATCTCCAACTGTCATCCGGCAGCGACATGACCATCACCATCCTCCAAGAAAGCGTTTTCCAAAATACTTCCGTCGCGATGCAGTGAAATTTTTTTTCTGCGAGTGTCCTCTACCACATCATGGCGACGGTACGCTCGACAGTCTCACGCGCACTACAGGCTCCCCTACGCCGCCATATGTCCTGGCAGCAGCAGTCTGCGCCTTTACGATGCTTCTCATCCAAACCCGACGACGTCCGCGCTCTCATGCTCCCACGGCCAGACAAGCACATAGACGACTACCTGTACCCACAGAACTCGCATCTGCTCACCACGCTGCTCAACGACCTTATGCCAAGCACAATTGAGTCATCTTCATCGCTCGTCACCAGCCCTGCAGCTGGCAAACTACCGCCCGGAGCTCATAATGTTTATTTCCCTCTGCAGACCCGTACATCTCTACTCGCATGTGACGGCGCAGACGCAGACCATGTTCCGCCCGCGTTCAAGCTGGCTACGCCCGAGGATCCCATGGGTGGGAGACGGCTCTGGGGCGGAGGAAGGGTCGACTTCTTGAGAGACGACATGCACCTCGATGGGGAGAGGGCGTCGTGCATGGAACGCATAGCGGATGTCAGAGTCAAGGACGGGGGTAATGTCTGGGTCGATTTAGAGAGAAGATATGGGCATCACGAACACGGTCAGCGGGAACCTAGCATCTTGGAGCGGAGAACGTTGATCTTTGTTGACAAGGTGGATGAGACGCCCAGACGGAAGATGAAAGGTAAGTGATGCGTGTCTTGGTGAGATGGCATCCCCTTCTTGTTAATGTTGCTACACTCCTCTCAGAAGTCGACCCTGACTTTGTCATTTACCCAGGTCCAACTCAGCCAACAGCGACATACCAGTTTACACCTACCGCCACCCACCTCTTCACATTTTCTGCCCTGACACAGAACGCACATTTCATACACCTCGACAGAAAGAATGCGCTGGTTCACGGTCCGTTAATGCAGTGCATCATGCTACGCGCACTAAGCCGCCACGGAGACGTGGCGTCGCTGGAGTACAGGAACCTCGCGCCATTGATGGTGGGCGAGGTAGATGCTGCGGTTTGCGTGAAGAAGGGCAAGGACACCTGGGACGTTTGGATAGAGGACGGTCAAGGAGGGATGGTCGCGCGAGGAAAAGCTCAAATGAAATCAGCAAAAGTTTAATTGAAACATAATGTAATGAGGACATGTGAATGCCCCGGGGATATCGAGGTATATATGGTAAGAATGATTGCGTATAGGCAACATGCCATTACTCCGCCCAGCCAAACACTTCGCCTACAGCCAGCGTGTTACTCCGCAGACCCAGCATCGCGATACCGATGCCGAGAATGTCAATCACCAAAAGTGCCGTCGTAGCCATCATGAAGCGGGGGCTGAAGACGCGGTAGAGCATGAGGTGTCTACGCAGGTGACCAGCCCAGCTCATGGTGGCAAGGGCCTCGACAGCGTAGTATGCGACAAAGAGGCCCAGCCCACGAGAGGCCGTCTCCAGGACACCCTTCTGCTTGGGGCCGACTTTCCACAAGCAGGTGACGAGGGGCACGCATGCCGCCGCCAGGATCTGCGCGCCATAGGTGTTCAGGGTCACGGCGAGCGGGCTCCAAGGGTAGCGCAGGGTGCGTAGCGCGACAAAGGCGCTGTCCCACTGGATGCTAGCCAAGGTGGCCTGGTGGCCGGTGCGGAAGAAGTAAAAGTTGCCCAGCATGGCGAGCACGACGGGAGCAATGGCCTCGCTTTTTATACCCAGTATATCCACAACTTCCGCCAAGGACATAATCTGCCACAGCATGAGGCCGAGAGCGCCGGTGCCCATGGGCTTCGTGAGGATGCAGAGGCCAATGAGAATGTTGAGAGGCAGCATTAGGTACCGCGCGCCAAGAGCGTTACCGTAGCCGAGGATGGTCACGCGAGCTTGTGGTTGCTGGCTAGCAGGCGGGTTAGTATACGCTGTAGACACGACGTTGACGCTCGGAGGTGCCCAGATGAATGCGGTGGAGCCAGCAATAAATGCCAACGCCAGACCCAGCTGCGCGACGTAGATGCCAATTGCCTTCAGGTGCTCGGCACCAGGTCGACCAGCAACCCAGTCGCCGTTGTCCGCGGCATCGATCACCCAGTACACAGCAGCGACCATGAGCCCAGCTCGGAACATGGTCTGGACCCATACAGGTGAGAGTCCTTCCCATGAGCGTGTGGGCAAGATGAAGGACTTAATAATAGACGGGAGGACAAGCCCCGTGACGACGGGTATGACAAGCTGCCATGGGGCAGATGTGGACGAAGCTGTCGAAGCGTAGTAGGTGGAAGTGCAGTATGGCATCTGCTCCTCCCTGCAGAGCTTGGAATAGCTGGCAAGGCGCGCGAGCAGCACGAAGACGACGGAATGATAGATACCCAGGGTGCGCTCGCGTCGCGACTCGACTCGGAATGAGCTGATGGCGGCGAGCACACCAAAAGTCGTGATAAAAAATTGCAGAATCGTGTCTTCCCACACAGTATATGAGTTCGAGGCAAAGCCAATGGACTGGCTGACGGTGAATACCAAAGCCATCCAACCCCACAGGCTTTGCGGCAGCGTGTTGAAGATTGTACGGCCCGTCTGCTGCAAAGTCATTGCAGAGTGCGTCACCGAGACGAGAACGGCGATGAGTAGAGTCGTCGTCGCAGTCATCATGGCGGCGTCCTTGGGCTCTCTCCTGATGAACGATACTCCACCCGCAATGAGCAGGACGAAAATCACACGGCGATCCCAAAGACCGCGCAGGAGCTCCATGTGGTAATCCTTTACGGGCTCAACCTCTTCGTCTTTGCCTTTTGTTTGGTAGCTCAACAACTCGAGACGCTTCTCAGCGTAGTCCAACTCAATGTCATTGGTGACGACAAAGTCATCATCCGCATCCTTGGCGGAATACATAACGAGGACGACGACCCCGACGGCGGCAAGCAGCACACCAGCAACCATGCGAGGAAGGTCAAAACGGGCCCAGAGGCTTTTGCACACGCTCAAGGTTTCCTGCTGGAAGCTACTAAAGGCATTGTACGCGTCCTGATGGGAGGACTGTGTCACCTCAAGAGCCTTGGCCCATAGATCAGAAGGCGAGCCAGCTCCATTGCCCGGTGCGATGCCCCGAGCCTTGAAGTAAGAGTCCTGGTACCGCTGGACGCCAGCGGCCGCAATGCGCGAAACGGCGTGCAAATTCTGCCAATCGTTGCCTTTGAGGCCGGCAAAGGCCTCCTCGATGGGCTTACCCAGATTGTTGTAGGGAATAGGGATGCCCAGGAGTAACGCCAGCGTCGGCACCAGGTCGATCTGGTTGACAGGCCTGACCTTTGCCGTAGGAGGCGGGGAGACAAAGTCCTTCTGGGTGCGTCCAAAGACTGGCTTCTTGGAGTACATCCACAGCGCAGCCTCGACCTCGTCATCGCTCTCGCCGCCGTGGTCGCCCTTTGCATCCATGCCGTGGTCACCCATAACTACCAGGAGTGTCTCGTCATCAATGGCCTCGGTCAATTGCCTGACAAACTCGTCCATTTGCTGCAATTTGCCCGTCATGGCCGCGTGGTCGGGTCCGTAGCGGTGCCCAGCATGATCGACACCGAGGCAGTGCCCAATAAGCAGATCCCAGCCTTTACCAATGTTTGCGCCCAGGAGGGGAAAGATGTTGTCAATGACGCCATTGTCAACAGTGTGCAGGTCCCACACGTTGAAGCTGTCGTACGCCTTGCTGATGTTTGGCTCAAAATACCCAGGGAACAGGGACCACCAGGTATCGTCGCCAACCTGCGCAATCTTCTTGCCCGCGTCCCTCAGCTGCATGAGGAGGTTGTCCTCCTCGATAGCCGTACCCGCAAAGTTGCTTCCCAGATCCACAAATGTAGGTAGGGTACCGGTCGTAAGGCCCTTGAGACGTTGCAGGGTGGCGGTGGGCGGGTCGGCGATGAAGGGTCGCAAGAATGCGTTATGTGGTGAGTCGCGCGCGGATTCGTAGAGGAAAGGCATTGCGTCGTGGAAGGCATGGCGAGGCTGACCCTCGAGGTGAGGCACCGTAAAGTCGTATCGCAAGGCGTCGATGATGACCACAACCGCGCGGTCAAAGGTCTTGGGATGCCAGCAGCCCTTGTCTGGATTGCCAGGCGCCTTCACAACGCTGGCGATGGGCGGCGCGTCGCACGTTGACTTATCCTCCAAAACCAGACGCGTTAGCAAGAAGCCGCTTGTGAACAGGTATATCGCGATAGAATGGATGACGAGAACCCAGACCCAGAATCCGCAAGTCCATTTCCACTTGCTCTCGTAGGCGCGCTTCCGTGAACTGTCAATCTCAGACTGCTGTTTCTCTAGCTTCTCCAGTCTTTGTCTTTCCGTGACGCCGGGAGGACCGTCGGGAATTCCTGTCGGTATAGGCAAGATTCCATCGTTTTTGGACTCGGTTGCGCGCTTGGCCTTTTCCCACTGTTGCTTGATAGCTTGGTACTCGCTCTTCTGGGAGCCGGACGGGGAGGCTTTTGCCTTGTTCGGACTACGCGGCGACATTTTTCGGGATCTCGAACGAACAGTAGGCCATTGACTGGTCAATTAGCTTGAAAGAGTGACAAGAATGGAAGTGGAAGGGTTGGGCGCGTGAACATTTGAAGGTATGACGGAAATTTGAAGCTTGTCCAGCAAGGTCCCCCATGACGAGACCCGGGCAGGCTAGCTCAGCCACTCAGCTAAGTGGTTGGTGGACCTCCATGTCGGTGTCCGACTCCGTGTGTCCTCAGACCAAAAACAAAAAACCCTTTCTCGGGTCAGTCAGGGGCTTCCAGTTGAGAATCACGAACGCGGACGTGTCTGACGTCCAGAATTTCTCATGTAGTTCAATGCGCTCCCGGCGCCCAGCACTCAGTCATTTTTTGTGCTCTCGTCGGTATTGAAAAAGGCGCACACTTCCTCGTGTGCCTTTGCGGCACGAGTGGAATCTCCTTCAGCACCGGTCTTCAATGTGAATGACCATTAGGTTGTCGCTCCGGATGGACGTTGACACTCAATCTTGGAAGCTTATTGCCGATGGACTGTAGGAAAAGCCATGGTTGCCGTGGTATTGTAGCATGCTACGCGATCAGGCCGCAACTTGAGATAATGTGTTTAGTCGCGACATGGGTAGCATCCAGTGGCCTAGAAGTTGAAAGATCAGGTAGTCAACAGTCTTAGAATTCAGTGGGCCAATAATTTCAATGTTCGTTACGTATGCTACTTGCCATCTCTCGTACTCATGGTCCAAATAGCAAGCGAGCATGCAGAGTGACACCAGTTGCCCTGCAGATGTTACAGGCAAGACCAGACCCGTGCGTCCTACCAAATATCTACAAGAAAAGACAATATCCAAGATCGCGCTGAAGAGAGGCTGGGGTATCCGTGAGCAAAAGAAAAAAACAGTCCGTGCTTTTTGCGTGTCAGTCATCATCCTCCCAACCACTGCCTTCGACTTCCACCTTTGTTGCCAGTGCCATCTGGCCTTGCCGGATGAGATCCTCCACAGTCTTGTTGAGGCCTGTTACTCGGAAGTCGTTGAATTGTTCCTCGCGCTGTCGGCGAGCAGCCAGTTTCTTCGCCTCAGGGTCTAGTCGAGGACTGCTGTCTACCAAGCTAGACTTGGACGGTCGACTTGTAGCTATCGATGCCGATGAGTTGGTACGACGGTGGGCGGACCGCGAATCTGAGCCTGAGGTGGAGGGTCGATGTCGACGTGACAGTCGCTGCTTCGCCGGTGATGACGATAACGGTGTGTCCGCAGTGATCTGCTTCGTTGGGCTTGGCGATCTCGGAGAAGCATACGACGCTGAAGATGTTGGCCGGTCTTTGCTGAAAAATGGCGCTGACGCCAGTGATGGCCTGGGAGGGCCGATAGATCGTCTTGGGGCTGGCGTACTAATGCGCCGTCCTGTCGCGACAGCCGGAGCCTGGTTGCGATTTCTTGGGGATGGTATCATCGTCGCTCGGCGGTTGCAGTCAGGCGTGCCGGCTCGACTGACTGCAGCGCCATTCTCATTCACCATGACCCAGTTCTTGCCCAGCTCGTCGGGGACGCTTGTTTGTCTCCGCTTCGCTGCTGGTCGGGTAGGTGTCGAGGCCCTGCTGTTGGCGGTGGCATCCTCCTGTTCCTCTCCAAGATTATAATAAGTATACTGCTCCGGTATTTGGGCGCTGCCATTCATAGCCATGTCATGGTCGTCTTCCGTGTTCCCATCCTGGTCATACCCGCGACCACCGCCGGCGTGGAATCCAGTGAATGACCCAGCGCGGCAGAACTGCCACAGTTTACCGACGACGCCGCCCAACGTCGAGACAGCAAACGCGCCCCAGCTTTGTTGTGGTTGAGCAGGCGCCGTCAGGGGGTACCTTCCAAAGACCGGCTCTTCCACTTGCCCAGCGGGCAGCTTTGTTCCAAGCATCCGTCGGTAATCTGCGTCGGAGAACATGCTCTCGCCCAAGAAGTCCGCGCGCTCACCACCAGGGGTATCGAGCTGCCCAGCGATGTTGTATCGGGTTGTCGTGGCAGGGGCACGCGATCGTGCAAAAGGATCCGGTTCGCGGTCATGGTTTCGTTTGCGTTTGATGCTACCATAATGATTATTGGGGTTGATGTCGCGTGGAGGCAGGTAACCCGAGCTGGCAGCTGATGCGGTGTTCGGTGTTGTAGTAGTTGGTGGGCGGAAGATCCCTGGATGAACGCCGTCCGGGCAGAAGGCGCCGGGCACGTGAATCTCGGTATGAAGCGACATTGTTAGAAATGTTGAAGTGGCTACCAGTTGATGTGGAGGAATGCAGCTAGCTCATGACAGGGCAACGTTGACAACGGAAACAGATAAGGCGCAATGGTCCTGTTTCATGCACTGATGAATCTTTTGTCGGTAGATGTCTCGGGATTTCGTCGCGTGACGGCTCGATGAGGGGATAATTGGCCTTCAGCGTGATGATGATGATGGAGGGTGGTGTGGCAGCTGAGCTCCAACTGCGACAGCGCGGTTGGAGACCGCAAGGCATCCAGCGTCTGTTTGCTTCCTGGTCTGTTTGTCGCAAACACCAATTTCCAGCAGTCCACAATGGGGTGCCGGTAGAAAGCGCAATCCTACAATTAGTACTCAACAATCCAACGGCAGCCAAATCTTGTCAAGTTGGACAATGAAAGGGTCGTCGAGTTGCGACTTGCAATGGCTGTTGGGGATCAATTAGTTGCCCCAGGCAACGGTCGCGCACGCGTGGGGTCCAAATAAAATTACCTAAGGTATGCAGCGCATCTTCTCAAGACTCAGGGTCCGCGGGTCCTGCATGAAGCCCGATACCCGTGAGTCCGGATATTCTTCTACAAAATCCCCCCCCGAAAGTGACAAGTGGGAAGACATGAAATTTTACATACTTAAATAGCATGCCGCCGGAAGCGTTTCATATCTTCTCCTTTGCTGTCAGGATGCCTTCCAAAACGACGCGCTTTGTATCGAATTTCTCCTCCAAGTAGATACATCTACCATGGAGAGTGTGCATGGACCCATACTTGCAATGCCTTCTTAAATCGACTCAAATCCTTGTCATCTGCCGACTGGAAGCCCTGAACGATGGTAAGTCTCCCATGCAGCCTAAGATCTCTGGTAATAGTCCTCCTGCTGCGCTCTTCTCTCTTCGTGCACACCGCCCTCGACGCCCTTCTCGCCATGTATGTGGTTAACACCTCCCCAGAATTCCTCACGCTCCCTAATAATCTCCTCACCCCACGCTTTCATCTCCGGCAACGTCATCTTCCTCGAAACGTATGCGAACTCGCCCAGATCGAGCTTCCCATCTCCCTTTTTCTCATATTCAACCATTTGCAATAGCAGCTCGAGCTTGTCCACATCGTGCACAAAGTGGCTGTCCAGGGTCTGTGAGTCTTCGTATTCCTGCCATATCGACCGAATCTCGTCGCCAACGTCTGGGCCGCCGGGGACGCCCCGCAGCAGGTTCTTGGTGAGATAGTCCATTGTCGCGGCCTCACGACGGTTCTTCTCGAGCTTGGGGACGCCATCGACCGGAGTGATATCGCCGACCAGAAGTTCAGCCATGTCGTGTATCAAGCACATGCGCATGCACTTGTAGAGATCGAGCTTTGGTCGGAGTGAGACGGGCGCGAACATGGAGATGAGCGACATGCGGTACATGTGGTCGGAAATGCTCTCGCCCCTATCTCCATTAGCGCACGGTACTTTCTCCAGCAAGACCGTTCTCACCTTTGAATGCCAAACCGACGCCAGCCTTCGCGTTTGGTGGTCTTGAGTCGCCCGAGCATGTGCAAGAAGGGCAGGGCTGATTTGGAATCCTCTTTCGGCTTCTCGTCGATTTCTTCAAGCACCTTCTCGACGGTCCAAGGCTCGGAGACCTTCACAATGGGCGAATACCCCAGGTGTGAAAGGTCTGGGGCCCCGTTCGTGGGCTGTTGGCCGGTCGAGCCCATGATCCGGTACGTGGGCGGGAGTTTCAGGATATTTGTGACACGGAAGGATAGAGAAAACAGCGCAGCCTTTATATTCCTTGATTTAGTCGACTCGCGTTTGTTCGGCAGACTATTTGCGACTGAATTTGTTGTTGTTTGGGGAGGATTTGGCTCAACTGTCACTGGCTAGCGCGGCTTGCTTTTGGCGGGACCTGCGCACACTACGGAGTAGTCCATGTCTTTACCACAAGGTACCTCCGGAGGTGGCCGGTGTCAGACGGTAATAGCCATCCTTCTGATCTCTCAGGCAGGTGGCGCGTACAATAACTACATGCGTAATAAGATGCAGCCAGTTCAACCCAAGGCTTCTAGGTCTTCACAAATGACCCCAACTCCAGAGTGGCGACAATTGTCTACTTGCTGATGGTACAGAGTACTTGTGTTCGTGTTGCGGCATCTGCCCCGCGATGCTGACTGCTAGTGGAGCTCGGCCATCACCCCTCCATTGCTGTCAAGCCAGGGGACAGTAATCAGGTTTCGGAACAGTTGAAAGCTTATCCATTGTAGTTGAAGTTCACAAATAGCCGCTAGCTAATTAAGAAACTCTAGACAAAGTTCTATTAGAGGAACATATCATAAGCGCAGTGTGTGAAAGCAGTCGACGAGTCTTTCTAAGTCTGTCTAGGTAGGGTAGTCGGATGGAAATGTTACAACGCTTTTTGTGCTGAGGAGGCCGGGGATCTAGACTCTTGAACCATCTTCTCAGCCGCTCAATCTTGTGAGCCGACCAAGGCGACGTCTGGAGCTTTGGCGCAGCGGTAGCGCGTGTGATTCCAGCTCGGAACTTCCACAAGGTCATCGGTTCAAATCCGATAAGCTTCATTTTTGTCTTTCGTAGATACTGATAACGGCTCTTGCCTCTGCGCTGTGCTCTCTACTGTACTTTTGCCAAGTGGCTTTAAAGTACCAATGGGCTCTGGTGGTAGACTCAACGGCCTGGGGCGAGGTCATTTCAGGTCTCGTTGTAGATTTTCGAGTGGTTGCATTGTGGCTCTCAAACCAACATATTGTCGCTTTCATACAAACGTGCAAACAGCGCCAACAGCAGCTTAGGGTGACGCATCATTAGTCCTGGCCCCAGAGCTCCTTTCTATACCCTTCCGTCAGCCTCTCGTCCTCGCCAAACAATTCCTGCCACCTAGAGAAGCCTAGGTTGAGGACGAAAACCTCCTGCTCCTCAACGGCCTTGAGTCCAAGGGTCTTGAGCACCTCATCTCTCTCTCGCAAGTACTTCAAGGCAGCCGAGGGACCACGCTGCTGGCTGAGCATGCAGTGAAACACGACAGTCTTCTTGTCCGCCAGACGACGCGCTAGTGTGGGCATTGCCGCATCGAGCGTGCGGGATGGGACATTCAACGAAGACTTGATGTGGCCGCCGAGATAGTCTAGTAAAGGCAGTTAGATCTTGTGAGACAGGATGCAAGTGTTGCTTTGCAATGACGTAGACATACCATCCTCACGCACGTCGACGACGACGAATGTAGGGTCTTGAGCTTCTCGCTCTTCTAGAATCTTCTGGCTTAGCGTCTGCGCATTCATGCGCTTCAACGACGCAATTGAGGCCGTAGCAGGTTGTATGTTGATCGCTGTAGCCATAGTAGATCATATGTTGGTCGCTGAGAAAGAGCGTAGGATTTCTGTTTGCATTCATCCAAAGAAACGGGTGTTGATATCTGAGATGGGATTTGGCTAGCAAGGCGTGAGTGCTGCAACATCAACTTTGTCACAGGCTGTAAGCGAGGGGGACGTATCACGCCGTACAAGATGTGTGTGGCGTCACTGTTTTGCTTGTCACAAACTTGAATACTGACGAGTGGGTCTGCCTTGGCTAGTGCCAGTCCGGTTACAACAGTCTGTCAGAATGCAGGCTGAGCAGTACCTAACAAGCTACATTTGGAGGGTGAACAAGTCATTGATTATAGTCTCATTAGGTTCTCTGCGAGATTCATTCATTCATCATGCGCCTATTGGTATATCGCTTCACCAGTCCGCAAGTCCTTCCATAACGCCAAAATACCGCTGCCACAAGGGTATCCAGAACACATTTCCTCCATTCATACGATACGGCCATCGCAGACATAGCCATCTATGCCTTACCCAACCAGCCTGCGGTGACCAGAAAGTCAAATATGCGCCCACCTTTTTGGGAGTCGAGCCGGCAGATTTCCCTTGCTTGTTTCTTCTTCATTGTTCCGTTCCCTTTGATAGCCTCTGCCAGAATCTGCTGCTTGATCATGATGTACGGCTTGGGAGCTAAGCGCACGATTTCGCAAAGCTTGATCTCTTCCGGCGTCAGGAGGTGAATGTCGGCATTATTGTCCGCATTGAAGGACAAAGGCTGGACGCCAGGTATGGGCTGAGGAAGCTGCTTAGGTCGCGGCGAGCCAACACCGTTTGTGTCACCGTTCGCGCCATTCGCAGCGGGTTTGCTTTCCCCGTTGACCTCGCCGTTCGTTTGGTTCGCAGCTCGTATCGGTAGCTCGGGTGCCACCAGAAGCGCCGCTCCATTAGGCGGATCAGGTGGTGGCGCGTTCTTACTGCGTTGAGCGGTGGTTAGTCGATCTCGGTCCATTGACCCCATAGGTGTGGTCTTTTGTATACGCGCCGCCTTCTCGGTTTCGTACTTCTCTCCGCTCCGAAGATCTCCGATTTTCACACTGCGCCATTCGTGAAGTTGAGCGATGGCTTGGCGCAAGTTCAACTCATCAATCAGTCCTTGATTGAAGTCCTCAAAGTCTTTTCGGTTCATGACGCGCGCAAAGGGCTTTGCTTTTTGCAACAGGTCTCTCTCGTCCTTGGACCGTCTTTTGTCGATCTTTGTGTTCTCTCGATAATCGAGCAGGTTATGCTCAAATATGACCTTCTTGCGATCCACACGCTGGGTCAGTCGACAGTTGTATATCTCCATGACCGTCAGCTTGAGCTCCATCTCCGGCTCGAGCTCTCCTGTCCTCGGATTTACGCCGTCCCCGGGTTCAAACTGCATATGTTGGACAGCTTCCTCCGCGTCGTTCGCATACTCTGTTTCGAATTCAAGACGTCCAGGCATGTACCCTTGAATCTCATGACAGCTAGGTACACTGGCTGTGGGCTTTGTCTTCGGTTGCAATGTTGGCGCGTTCTTAGCTGCCTCTCTGCGCTCTTCTATCCTTCGCTTCTTGCGCGCTTGGAATTCGTCACGAGATATCGCGTCGGCCAGCTCGGAATCGTGGGGGCTGCATCGTTTCGGTAGAGGGAAGGCTGGGGAGCCCACATAGCAGCTCAAATAGTGATCGCGAACTTCATCTTTTTCTCGGAAGCCTCCAATGTGATCCGCAATATCTGCCCATGAGCCCAAACCGTAGGTTTCGGCGCCTTCGATCAACATCAGCTCCTCGTCCGCGCCCCATTCTGGGTCAAATATTGGGAACGAGTTTTGTTCAATGACCCGATACGCATGTGTTTCGGGCACGTGTGAATTCCGCGCCTCGCCTTTGGAGAAGCAAGTGACGCACAGGTCGAAATCGTTGCAGGCAGGGTCGGCGCATCGTATGCGAACCTAAAAGCAATTAGTCTCGTTGGCCGACGGGTCTGTGAAGCGGAACTTACCGTTGAAGTGATATCGGAGGAGCACACATCGCAAACATACTTGACGCCACCTTCACCACCCCTAGTCGCTGTCTTCTTGCGTATCACGCCCATCCTGGAATGCGTCAGCGACAGGCGCCGTGTGGCCCAGCCGCTGGTGGAACAAGCGAAGCAGAGAGCGGCGGTATGCTGATAAAGGAGCGCGAAGTGATCAAAGATAGTATTTCGCTGGGCACATAGTACAATGCAACAAATTTTCGATGATTGCGACTCAGATACGGTTACAAGTCGATGGATGTCGATGACCTGTCGTCGGCTTAGCATCAGATCGTGGAGGTCGCGATGGAGTCGCGAGCTGGGGTTTGTATGCGCTAAGCCGCATTCGATGCTCCCACCAAGCTCGGACCGAGTTGATGACATAATAGGTACAGTCACGTGTTCATTGGTGCCTCGTACTCCAAAGTCCCGCTCGGGAGCCGTGAAGTAGTATTGTAGGAAGGCTGATAGACTTTGGCAATTTCCTTTGCACTTCTGTTGCACGGGTTATTAAAATTATTCGCCTGTTGTTGAGTCAATGAAATCATGTACGTAGTCAAGAACTGGGCACTCTGGCAATGATTGTAAACCCCGCTGGACCACGCAGCGAGGGAAGTTAGGGAAGTCACCGTACGTAGATAGACATCATAGCACTCGCAGGAATCAACAACCAGGTGGACATTGTTTAGCGACCCTATAGTTGGCGCCTGTTGATCGCTTAGAGCGGTCCTAGCAATCCACGGAGCTCAGCATGCGCTGTTTTCCCATAGCGGAAAACGGAAAACGGAAAACGTCTCGAGCCGCCGAACTTGTATCCCCACGGGCACTAGACTATTTGCGCGCTTTCGTCTCCTCGTCTTCGTCGCTGTATTGTGGGCGAAGCTAGGCCGGACAGTCACCAGCTGCTAGTTGCAAAATGGCCACGTCGGGTGCTAAGTAGTCGTAAATTGAAATATCTGGAGTTCCAGGATAGCCGCTCGTGTTGTGGTGATGACTTTGGAGGGGCTGGCTTGATATACCCCTCATGACCCACGACCTGCAACGAACATAAACTCCATCTCGCTCTCGTCTCTGAATTCTCCCAAAGTGATTTCAACGCGAAGATGTCTGCAAAAATTCTGGATGAAATCTCTCACAGGAGGTTCAATCCTCTGACGAACAGTTGGTTACTCGTTTCACCTCACAGAACCAAGCGTCCCTGGCAGTGAGTTCGTTCGACATGTCGAGACCGTCCTGGAGTGCCTAACATCGCCAAAGGGGCCAGCAAGAGGCTGCTGTCGCAAACAAGCTGCCCGATTATGATCCCAAGGTGAGTCATAACCGTCATCGGCTTGCGCCATAGCTAATGTCCCAGTGCTACCTATGCCCTGGCAACCCTCGAGCTGCCGGCGACACCAATCCCAAGTACGAGAACACGTTCGCGTTTGTGAACGATTATAGCGCCGTCAAGGAGCAACAGCCCGAATATGAGCGTACAGAAGGGTCTACTGAAGGTTAGCAGATCACATCATCCAGCTCGGACAGGAAAATGACCCTCCAGATCTCGAGGCCTCACTTCTGAAGGCAGAGGGTGTCAAGGGTGTCTGCTATGTCCTGACATTTTCACCAAAGCATCATCTTACCCTCGCCGACATGTCTGCCAATGAAACACTGCCCGTCATTGACCATTGGACGCGCATTTACGCCAACCATTTGGCTGCGTCCAACCCCCTGAAGGAGCTCGTTGTCAAGGTCAACCTCTCCGTCTCAAAGGAAGATGCGCCTACTCCGAAGGACGAGTATCGGTATATGCAGATCTTCGAAAACAAGGGTGCAGCGATGGGATGCTCCAACCCGCATCCTCACTGCCAAGTTTGGACCACTTCAAGCATGCCGGAAGAACCTGGGAAGGAGATGGTTGCCATGGCCACGTATCGAAAGGAACACGGCGGACGTCACCTTCTGGCCGACTATGTCAAGCTTGAGCTTGCCAAGGCAGAGCGCGTCGTATGGGAGAACGAGACCTTTGTTGTGATCTGCCCTTGGTGGGCTGTCTGGCCGTTCGAAGTCATCATCATCCCGAAGCGTCACGTCCGCTGTCTACTTGATTTCACCGATGCTGAGCGCTTGCATTTCGCTGAGGCGATTCAGGAAGTAACGCGACGATATGACAACCTCTTTGAGTGCAGCTTCCCCTACAGCTCCGGCATCCACCAAGCTCCGCTGAAGGGGACGCAGGAGGAAATTGACAACTCGTATCTCCACATGCACTTCTACCCACCACTGCTGCGTTCCGCAACAGTGAGAAAGTTCTTGGTGGGTTATGAACTGATGGCCGAGCCACAGAGAGATATCACCCCCGAGCAGGCAACGGTGCGGCTTCGCAACTGTGGAGGGGAGCTGTACCGGAAATCCTTATCGTAGGGTGCGATATCAATGTACAGATTTTCCCCCCCTTATCTATACTAATTGAATTGAACATAAGAGTCCCTGACCATGGGCATCCAGATGCAACCCAGAGTCGCGAAGAAGAATGGGAAGAACTGCGGCAGACCAAACGTCATAGTCTTGTAGACAAACATCTCGCTGGAGAAGTGAAGCAACGCGACGGCGTAGGTTGACATGGCGATATTGTAGATTGGTCCGTTGTGCAGGTTGTAGGCTGCGTAGACCCTGATCATACTAGTGAGGAGCGTCCAGATTCCGAAAAGGCGTCCAGCAAGGGGCGTTAGCTGGTCGTTGGCTTTGGAATTTTTGTGGTCAGGGACAAGCTTGTTTGTGGAGTCTTCGGGGTTATAGGTCGAAGATTTCGCGGGAAGATTGGTGTTCCTGACGAATCGGCCGTTGTAAACGCGCCGGGAGAAGTGAAGTGTCGTAAACGCCTGGATCGAATTCCCAATGGAGATGGACCCTAGCTGTAGGACTGTGAGCGGCTGGCAGGGGATTCATGCGCGGTAACTGCCACTTACAAGGATCATGTAATAGGGCAGAACGCCTTCAGCGGCGGGGAGGAAAGCGGCGAGGGACTCCATGCTGCTGCTTGATCGCCTTGGTATTCTCAGTAAAGGTGTGAACGAAAAGGGGAAAGAAATGTACTCTGTAAATCGTCACGGAAGCCAAGCGGGCGGCTCGTGCCTGCACTTGACCAAACTGGGCAATTCGGAGGTGCCAGTTCGCTGACATAATAACCTTAACAATAAACCAAAATGCCAAGGAACTGCTGTGTGGCGCAAAGAAATTGTTGGGACTCTGCTCCAGCTCATTCGCCCGAGACGCAACACCAACCTGGAACATCAACATCCGCCATCTTTCCAAGATCACCATGGACTCTGTGTGTGAACTTCTTCACCGCGTGCCTCAGCCCGTTCAGTGGGGTCTGGCGGGCGTAGGTGTCCTCGCCATCGGCGTGAAGCTTCTCAGCTACCTGCAACTGCTGGCCAATGTATTCATCCTCAGCGGGACCAGTGTATGCTTTCCGAAAGTCCTCCTACCGCTGTCAAATCTCTAATAGCTTGTAGCTTGGAAAGTATGGAAAGCCTGGTACTTGGGCTGTTATCACCGGTGCATCTGATGGACTGGGCAAAGAGTACGCCTACCAGCTAGCTCAGAAAGGGTTCAACCTCATCCTCGTATCGCGAACCCAATCCAAGCTTGAGACGCTTGCGAAGGAGATCGAAGCCAAACACGCCGACAAGAAGGTCCAAACCAAGATCCACGCCATGGACTTTTCTCAAAGTAACAACGCGGACTACGAAGCCTTGGCCAGTCAGATTGAGGGGCTTGACGTCGGCATTTTGATCAACAATGTCGGCCAGAGCCACAGCATCCCTGTGTCTTTCCTGGACACCACACAGGAGGAGATGGAAAGCATCATTAGGATCAACTGTGAAGGAACCCTCAAGGTCACCAAGGTCGTTGCCCCGATCTTGCAGAAGCGTCGCAAGGGTCTTATCCTGACCATGGGATCCACGGCCGGCTGGAGTCCAACTCCCCTCCTTGCCACGTACTCTGGAAGTAAGGCATTCCTTCAATATTGGAGCAGCGCCCTCGCTGCTGAACTTCGCCCTGACAACGTCGATGTTTACCTTGTGGTCAGCCATCTTGTCACGACCGCAATGAGTAAGATCCGCCGTCCTAGCCTGATGATTCCCACAGCGCCCAAATTTGTCCGTTCAGCGCTATCAAAGATCGGGAACGGAGGGTTCCAGAATGCGTCAAACACCTACACCCCTTGGTGGACCCATTCTCTCATGATCTGGACTGTCGAGACGGTTCTAGGCGTCTTCCACCCCACTGTCATCGGCATCAACAGGAAGATGCACGTGGATATCCGCAAGAGAGCCTTGCGCAAACGCGAGCGGGAGGCTAAAAAGCAGTAAAAGCAGCAGTAAGACGTGCTGGCCACGACATGCGTGAGGAGACGGGTGTCCACTACCTAGAATAAATAGATTAGCAAATTGTTTGAACATTGAGTGCCTCACGCAAAGCACCAATTGGCAGATGATACGACCGCTGTGGTTGAAAAGTGAGCTATTGAGCTTTGTATGATGGATGATGATCCAGGTGTGGTTTAGCGCACGCCCAGGCCTGTGTGATGCGCGACGTTGTCCGACCCGCTAAAAAACCAGACCGTGTTGCAAGCACCAGTCAACAACGTCTGGTTCTCTCCAGCCTCTCGAACAGCACGAGCACAACAACGCTCTCCATTCTACGTGCATCACTCATCCACGAGCTTCCGATTAGCTCATCCCCGGCGACACTACGCCAAAGCTGCGAGAATCAGCAGGAGCATCTGCGAATTCTCGTCAACGCAGGCATTCCTCTCGTGCGCGCAAGCTCTCACCTCATCAGCTCTCCGATCCTCATGGGCTCGCTGGGCAGCCATTGCTATACTTGCTGAGAAGCCCGTCACCTTGGAGGAGAGACACGAGGTGTCGAGCAGCTACAATGAGCTTCCAGACGCCCATGCGGCCGGTCCCCGGCGCGTACCTCAACACTCCCGCCCTCGCCTCTCGATTCCAGCCGGGCCCCGATCCCACGCGTCGACAATTGTTCCAGCCCTCGAGGCCCACGATCGACTCTTCTGGGAATTCAGGCGCATCCGCGTCGCCCGGAGCACATATTGGGGCCTCTACTTCAGGTGCTGTCGGTACACCTGTGACTCCATTGGCTCCAAGGCAAGATGCGGTGGCACCTGTTGTCAAGGCAGCTAATGCTGTCGCGGATGCTCTACGATCCGATGAGAACTTCCCAGATTTGGACAACTATATCAGGCAGGGTGTATCATCCGATTACGAACTCTCTGATCCGGACTCCAGCACCAGTCCTTTCCACAAAACCAACATGTACCCGATTCCAGACCAAATCTTCGAGCACTTGAATCGCGGGCAATTGCAAACAACCATGGGCTTGTTCGCCGACATTAACCATGCATGGGTAGTCATCGATAATTCGCTGTTTCTCTGGGACTATACGATACCCAACCCAGAACTCGTTGGCTACGAGGAGCAGTCTCATTCCATCGACGCCGTGGCTCTGGTCGCACCGAAGCCCGGCATTTTCCTCGATTCGATCACACATATTTTGGCAGTTGCAACATCAGCAGACTTGATCCTTCTCGGCGCTTCCGTGTCTGCTACCCCCTCCGGCAACAAATCCGTAGCGCTCTATCAGACAAAGATGAACCTGCCGCTTCGAGGAACGCGCGTGAGCGTCATATCAGGCACGGCAGACGGACGAATCTTCTTCGGTGGAAGTAGCGACGTTGATCTGAACGAGCTTTACTACCAATCGGAGGAGAGGTGGTTTTCGAATCGAGTTGGTAGAATCAACCATACGAACCCCGGATGGTCGTCAGTCGTGTCTTTGAACTCGTCATTGTGGTCGCAAAAGAGCCCAGAAAGCTTGATGGATATTGTCGTCGATGACTCGAGAAAATTGGTGTACACCCTCTCCAGCACCTCGACGATACGAACCTATCACATGGACTCGACCCACAGCTTGAAGAAAGTCATTGAGAAAGAAAGACTCAGTTGTGTGCGCGATATCACACATATGACAAACGATCCCAAGCTGTTCTCCAACAGCATGCAGATTGTTTCAATCAGTCCAATATCAAGGCAAGAGGCTTCGAAACTACATTTGACTGCGCTCACAAACACTGGGTGCCGCCTTTTCCTCAGTGCCACCAATGCCTCCGCATTCTACAGCACTTCGACGAACCTAGCGCCTCAGAGTATGCAAGTCCAGTTCATCAAACTGCCGTGTGAATCGAATGCGAGGTTCACCAACTTGGGCGGTCAGCAGGGCATCGTCCTCAAGCCGAGCAGGAAGGGATCACGTTTCCCACCAGGCTACTTCTTGGACTTTGTCGATAACAACCCGGATCAGAACGATTTGCTGTTCCTCTCTACCCCTGAAACGGGCAAAATCAAGAACCCAGTCTCAGCTGCTTCCACAGTGAAGTACCCTGAGGCTGCCAACTGGTTAGAAATCGGCAGTCGTGTCGAGGCAGTGGGTTTGATCACGAAACCCTTCGCCGCTGCACCACAGCCGCTTGGCTTTGGAAACGAGCTGGCTGTTCAGTTCGACGAAGCTCCAACCGAGTTAGCGGTTCTGACCAACACTGGTATACACATCATCCGCCGCCGGCGATTCGTTGATACATTTGCCGCCAGCATCAGATATGCATCTGGAGAAGAAGGATTCGACAAGATTGCGCGAGGGTTTATCCAGAGCTATGGTCGTGTTGAGACCGTTTCAGCTGCGCTTGCAGTCGCATGCGGTCACGGAGGAGATTCGAGACCAGGCGCGCCACGCACGAGCGATCCAGCCACGGAGGACCGTGCGAAGACCGTTTTTGTCGACTACGGCGGTGGTCCTACTATTACCGAGACAGATGGAGCAACCCTCACGACCGAGTCTGTCAAGCTATCGTCGCGCCACGATGCTCTCGCTCTGTATCTCTCTCGGCTTGTTCGCAAGCTTTGGAGGACTCCTGTCATCACACTCGGGGCCGCAACTACTGGTGGCATTGCTGTCGTCTCCACAATCCCCGTAACCAAGTTGGCCGAGGTGCAAAGCAACATCAACAGACTTCGCACATTCCTACATGAAAACCGTACCTTGATACGGGGACTCTCTGGGCCAGCCGATTTGCAGCGGGTGACTTCACGTCAGGAAGAGGTCGCCCTTCAGGCGGAGCATCAAGCCCTACATGCGCTCCAAAAACTGATGGAGAGCATCTCAGAAGGCATATCCTTTGTTCTTATGCTGTTCGACGAGCGCGTATCCGATATTTACCTCCGTCTGGATGCAACGGCACAAGAGCAATTCAAGGCTTTGACCTTTTCAAAATTGTTTGCCGAAGCTGATGGCAAGGAGTTGGCCAAGATGGTGGTCAAAGCGATCGTCAATCGCAACATTGAGAGCGGCTCAAACGTGGAGACGGTTGCCGATGCTCTGCGTAGAAGGTGCGGCAGCTTCTGCAGCCCAGATGATGTTGTCATCTTCAAGGCACAGGAGCAGCTCAAGCGCGCTTCTGAGCAATCCCTAAGCAACAGTCAGCGAACATTACTGCACGACAGTTTAAGATTCTTTGAGAAGGTCGCCGGCAGTCTCACCTTCACGAACTTGCAAGCAGCTGTCGCGCAATTTGTAGAGCTCAAGTACTACGCTGGGGCTGTTCGGCTCTGCTTATCTGTGGCACGAGAAAAGGATCGCGGCAACATCGCTCTCTCCTGGCTCAACGATGGCAAGCCGCCCAATGATCCTCGCGAGGAGGCTTACAATGAGCGCAAGCGCTGCTATAACACTATCCATGAAGTACTGACCAATCTCGATACCGCGGCCAGTTCTGAGCCGGAAACAGTCGACGGCAAGCTCACGCTGATAGCGACCAAGCGACACGAGGCGTACGGCGTGGTGAATGAATCCGACGATGAAGTCTTTCATTTCGACCTCTACGATTGGTACCTCAGGCAAGGATGGACGCAGCGGATTCTGGACATTGACTCGCCGCATGTTGTCACGTTTTTGCAGCGCCTTGCAAATGAAGATGTGCAGCATGCCGAACTCCTCTGCCGCTTCTACACCAACCGCACGCGCTACTATGAAGCCGCGCGGGTGCAGGTCGGTTTGGCAAATTCTGACTTGGAACTGGGTATCAAAGAACGTATCAGGCTTCTCAGTCTTGCAAAGTCCAATGCTATGGTGTCCACTGTCGGTATTGCTCGCCAGGAGCAGCAACTGCTGACCCACCGAGTCTCAGACCTCCTTGAGGTTGCGAATGTGCAAGACGACCTGCTCGAGCGGATAAAGTCGGATGCGAGAGGCACTGATGAGGTGAGGGCGCAGCTGGCGGCGAGCCTTGACGGCAAGATCCTAGATCTTTCAGATGTAAGCTTTGAGTATAACACTTGAGAATGACGGACCCGAGACTAATAATCCCAGCTTTTCAACGGCTTCGCCGATCCCGGCAACTACTACGACATCTGCCTGCTCATCTACCACCATGCAGATTATCGAAACGGCACAACTATCAACAAAACATGGAGCGACCTGATCGATCAACTGCACACTGAAGTCCTCGAGGCTGAAGAAGCAATCGAAAGCGCCAGAAACGAAGCGACGATGAGTGGCACTGCACCGCCAAATCTACCTCAACCCCCGAAGCCCTATGAGTCCATCTCAGCAAAGATCCAGAACATTGCCCATCATACTTCGCTAGACAGCTTCGTCTTCCCCTTCCACATGCTTCTCCCAAAGCTCGTGCAGTACTCCGTCGCGGAGGGGCAAGACAACCGCATCGGGGCGCACGCCTGCTGGCCGGCCCAGCTGTTCATCAGTCTTGATGTTTCCCACAATAACATTGTTAAAGCCCTTGAGGCTGCGCTCGAGACCCCTGGGGGCAACTACAACCACCAAGGCAGCATCCGCGTTCGTCTTGTCGAACTCATCGTTTACGCAGTAGACGACTGGGTCGCAGATCTCCGACGCCGCGGCGGCTCTAAGCAAGCCGGTACGATAACACAGTCGGTCACGGAACTCCTACAACGGTGCGAGGGACAGCTTACACCGCGGACCAACAACCCAGGTGGCGCAGATATTGCAGATCTCAGGGGCACGTTGAGGACGCTGCTCAGAGAGGTTGGCGCATTGGCGGACAGAGCACCAATGAGCAGCCTGCGGTATTTGTAAGAGCTAGGAGTTGACTCGGCTATTTGGTTTTACATACACACGTTCAGATAGCCTTCATGCGTGTAAGAGCACTGTGGTGGGCATAGGGATTGCAGGCGCCAACGGCAAGATTTACGGATTTCAATATGACTTTTTCGTAATACTGCAGCACTATCCATGCAAAAAGGGAATAAATTGGCTCCAGGAAGTTGGGCATATTGACCTTTTATGTATGTGCCTATGAGAACAGAACTGACGGATGATCAAGAACGGCAATTGGCGTTGACCGCCCTGGTGCCAAGCCTGGCAGAATTGTAGCAGGACCAAGGGGCCACGGACACTCATAGCTTCGCTGGCACAACGCGCCGGTGGGGATGGCTTCCGACTGACTATCGACAATGGCCTGAAATTGATTGTTCTCCGAGAGCGACAGTTCAAACACGATGCTGCAGCCAAGCTTTCTTCTCTTGGGCTCAATAGCGGCAGGGGTTTTGGCGGCCACGCCCCATCCCGACTCCCTACCATCGTACCACTATGGCGCGCCCATCGCCGTGGAATGCATGAACAGAAGCTCGTGAGTCATTGTTCATCCGAGAGTTGCAGAGACGAGAAGCTGAGATGCCAGGGAAACCGGTGAACACCTAGAGGGCGCCGACCACGAGCTTCAATGGATCCCTTTTCCAGTTTGCAAAGAGACCAGCAAACCCCTCGAGTTCCGATACGGCACTGAAGGCGAAGTGAACTGTACGATACCCTTTATTGACGATCCTTTTTTCCATACTCTCGAATTCTATGTGCACAACGACGCGCCACTATCCTGCCGACTCCCCTCGCGACCACCAGCGCACGTCGAGGTCGTAGGCGCAAAGGCTCCCGAGACCGAATACATACCCTTAACCTTCGCCTTGGCCGGGACGCTCCAATCTAGCCACATGCACATCAGCACGCACTTGAATGTCTTGCTACACAGCATGCCGAAACACCATACACACCGCCACGACAGTGGGGTTCTCGACTCTGGTATCGCATACAGCACCAGCCCGCTGAGCCACATGGGAGGCTCGTTTACGCGCAAACTGATCATCGGCGATCCGCTTCCTCTGAGTTTCTCTGTGAGGTGGTTCCCGACGCCGGCGCTGCCAAAGACGGAGGGAAAAGTCGAGTGGCAGGGATTAGGCGGGCACATCTATGCCAGTACGTTCTTCTACAGCCTCGTCTCCTTCATCGCCGGATCTTTAGCAGCTGGCATGTACACACTTGGAGTTGTCCTGCCCAGGCGTCTCAAAGGACGATCAATGGGCGGGGCCACGCCACTGGGCTACGGTATCAGCACCGGGGTAGGCAATGGCTGGGGATATCAGAAACCTCGCACAGACTAGCTAGTCGGTATGCGCATTGTATGGATTTTCGCAGTCCTAGCGGTTACCTCAAAAAGATTTGTACAAGTCGCCCATCTCATTGGTTCTTGGTTCTAGCTTCGGCAACAGCAATTCTGTTCAGAAGTCTCTGGTGCATGTCAAAGGCCATGATGACAGCTAGCCAATGTTAGTTGGGTTGCCTCAACAGAGGATAGAGCACATACGAATGACGGCATATGGGAGGTACTCGCCCCAAAACAGCATGGTTTTCTGGGCTGGAGTGACCATCTCATCACCCAGGGTCAACAGGTAGTAACAGCACGTTGTGCTCCCCATGCCAGTCACACATCCAAACATGAGCCCAGCCAGCTCTTTGGCAGCTTCTGAGGTAGCTCTCCCTCCAGAAAGCTTGTAGACGAGGTACACTGCGAGGGGCAGCTGCACAAGAGCTTCAATGTACAGGAAGGCTTGGAACCAGGGCTCATGAATGTCGTGAGCGAAGAATGGATCGCCAGTAAACGAGATATACGTCGATCGTATAAAGGTAATTGGATGAAGTGGTGCTGTAGGGGCTTCCCAGAGTGACTTGGGGTAAAATGGTACCAGGTCCATTGCTGGCGGGCTTGTTAGTAGTGTGTTTTCCAATAGTGAATTTGTAACTAACCTATCATCCCGAAGAGCTGAGCGCCCACAATAAGGAGATAGGCGCCATCGCACACGGCTGATGATATCACCATTGTTGTTGTTGTGTTGTTTGTGTGCTTGGGATTACGATTCGGCGTGTGATTTGATTCAGTTATTCAGACATGAGAGTCGAAGACGAGCCCCTTTGCCAGCATTTAGACTAGCTACCCTATACCCATGCTACTCCATAATTGCTTTATGAAGCTACCTTCATTTGCGCTGCAGTCTGCACTGTAGCTGCAGTAGGATGAATATTTAGTATATTTACTGTTTCGAGGCGAATAAACAAGCTTTGTCTGTAATTAGTTCAATGTTCATTTACGTCACTGCTCACGCATTGACGTCTGGTACTTCGCCCATGGTTTGTAATCTCCTTCAACATAGAAGACTTGGAAGCCTTTCGTGTAGGTTTTCTACAACGTAAATGTCGAATACCTCGTTCGACATGAATTTACTGTCTGTGTTCTTACCATTCTGCTTCTTGGTCTCAAAATGCTGCATTGCGTTGGAGCTTGGCGAAATAATGTCAAACGCTGGATACCTGTGCCAGGTAGTCGAATCCACGGCAATGGCGTCACATGCCACAGGTCGATCCTCGATGGCAAGCCCCCTGTGTAGCACGCAAGCTGTGAGTGATGGTCAGTTCTATACTTTGGTGAACCTGCTGAAGCCAAACGCAACGTTCGTCCTCGATGAGATAATAGCTAATGCATTGGCTTTAGTAGAGTGCCAACGATCGAGCAACGAGTGGTTCCACGTCTTTGCCCAATCTTAAGCGAATGGATCTCAGCCGGGAACGATAGCCTCCATGACAGCGTGTCTGTACGCGACATCATCCCTTGGCGGACTATCTGTCGCTCCGGGTAGCATCTGGCAGCTGTAATTGGTCTATGCAGCTATTGAGTGAGTCGCTCCTACCCACTCCCCCAAAACGCACGGGCCATGCGAACCGTCAGTGGGCAGGTACATGCTGGCTCCAGGCACCACTTGCGCTGAACTACAGTGGGTTGCGCTTGTTGTGCCTGGCCTGCTACCTTACCACAGCTTTCCACTTTCTTCAACCCGACATCATCACCACCTCTCCTTAATCTCACCATTCACGACCCATCACGACGACGCATTGACTTCCGCGGCCTGCCACCCCGTAGGAACGTCCTCGCTACGATAATATCGACGCGTACTGTCTGTTCTCCCTATTGCTCTTCGTCTAATCTTCGTATTCGATCCTTTGGCCTACTTCTCCTGTCCTCGAGCGGCCGCGGAGTGCCATCGTGTTCTTGCCGCGCGGCGCATGGAAGCTCCCAACAGCTTCAATCACGAGCAACATAACAACGGCGCTGCGCTAGGGCGTAATAGCTTTCATTGAACGAAGCCTGTTGTCTTTTCAGTCAAGGTGACGTTCTAGCTTCTCGTCGCCAGGAGCTTCGGGACCAACACACACACCCTGTGACACCTGACCATCAACACGAGTGCGACATGGCGCCGATGCCAATCAAGTTCCAGGAGCTGGTGCAGCTCACCAGCTCCGGCGTCGAAACTTCGTCCATCACCTTCAATAGCTGCGTGAGTTTCCCTGCTCGTACCCTGATCCGCCCGTACTGTCCGTGCGCTGCGGAGAACCGACGAGATAATGCTGTCAAGGTAGTTGCTAACATTTGTCCCTACCTAGACACTTGAATCCGATCACTACATTTGCATTCGAGAAAAGAAAAGCGAAGATGCTTCCCCCGAGGTGGTCATCGTCGAACTCAAGAATGGCAACAACGTGATGCGACGACCTATCAAGGCTGACAGTGCCATCATGCACTGGGACCGACAAGTCATCGCACTGAAGGCTCAGTCTCGCACACTGCAGATCTTTGACCTGGACAAAAAGCAGAAGCTCAAGTCGAACACCATGAACGAAGACGTCGTGTTCTGGAAATGGATCAGCGAGACCACTCTTGGTCTGATCACGGGCTCAGCCGTGTATCACTGGGACATATACGAACCTGGTCAGGACGCCCCAGTCAAGGTTTTTGAACGCAACCAGAATCTCAATGTTTGTATTCCCCAGTGCGCTAATTGCTGTGGTCGATGAAACTGACCTCCGCCAGGGATGCCAAATTATCAACTACCGGGTCAACACTGACGGGAAGTGGATGGTAGTTGTTGGCATTTCCCAGCAACAAGGCCGCATTGTTGGTGCCATGCAACTTTACTCGAAGGATCGCGGTATTAGCCAGGCTATCGAGGGCCACGCCGCGGCTTTCGGCACCCTGCGACTTGAAGGTGCACCCCAGGACACCAAGCTTTTCACATTTGCTGCACGGACTGCCACCGGCGCCAAGCTCCACATTGTCGAGGTCGATCACCCCGAGTCGAATCCTGTATTCCAGAAGAAGGCGGTCGATATCTTCTTCCCTCAGGAAGCGAACAGCGATTTCCCCGTCGCTTTGCAGGTGTCGCAAAAATACGGTGTGATCTTCATGATCACCAAGTATGGTTTTATTCACATGTACGACTTGGAGACCGGCAGCTGCATCTTCATGAACCGCATCTCCAGCGAGACTATCTTCACTACATGCGCTGACAATGAATCGACTGGTATTGTGGCGATCAACCGCAAGGGCCAAGTTTTGTTCGTCACTGTTGACGAGACAACTGCCATTCCATACTTGCTGCAGAACCCTGCGAATACCGAGATGGCCATCAAGCTGGCGTCGCGCGCAGGTCTCCCGGGCGCCGACGATCTGTACGCCAAGCAATTCGACAACCTGTTCAACGCGGGCAATTATGCTGAGGCTGCCAAGATTGCGGCGAACTCGCCTCGCGGCTTCCTGCGCACTGCCGAAACGATCGAGAAGTTCAAGCGTCTTCCTGTCCAGCCTGGCCAGATGGCATATACTTTGCAATACTTCGGTATGCTTCTGGACAAGGGTTCCCTCAACAAACATGAGACGCTCGAGCTCGCCCAGCCCGTACTTTCGCAGAATCGCAAACATCTGTTGGAGAAATGGCTCAAAGAGGACAAGCTGGACTGCTCCGAGCAGCTCGGTGATTTGGCCCGCCCTTATGACGTGAACATGGCTTTGACAATCTACCTCAAGGCTAACGTTCCCCACAAGGTTGTTGCTGGCTTCGCTGAGACGGGCCAGTTTGACAAGATCCTACCCTACTCTGCCCAAACCGGCTACCAGCCCGACTATGTCCAGCTTTTGCAGCACATTATCCGCGTCAACCCCGAGAAGGGAGCGGAATTCGCAACGGCTCTCGCCAACAGCGAGCAGGGTCCCCTCGTCGACTTTGAGCGCGTTTGCGATATCTTCCAATCTCAGGGCATGATCCAACAGGCGACTGCTTTCTTGCTCGATGCACTCAAGGACAACAAGCCCGAACACGCTCGTCTCCAGACACGCCTGCTGGAGATGAACTTGATGCACGCTCCTCAAGTTGCTGAGGCTATCCTTGGCAATGAGATGTTCACCCATTTCGACAAGGCCCGCATCGCTCACCTGTGCGAGCAAGCCGGTCTTGCGCAGAAGGCTTTGGAGCTTTATGAGGACCCCGAAGCTATCAAGCGTGTAGTGGTTAACATTCCTGGCAATGCCAACTTCAATCCTGAGTGGCTCACCAACTTCTTCGGAAAGCTGTCCGTCGAGCAGTCTTTCGACTGCCTCGATGCGATGATGAAGCACAACATCCGCCAGAACCTCCAGTCGGTGGTGACCATCGCCACCAAGTATTCTGACCTTCTGGGCCCCACCCGCATCATTGACCTGTTCGAGAAGTACAAGACCAGCGAAGGACTGTTCTACTACCTTGGCAGTGTCGTCAACGTTTCAGAGGACCCGGATGTGCACTTCAAGTACATCGAGGCAGCCACCAAGATGGGCCAGTTCAACGAAGTTGAACGTATCTGCCGTGACAGCACCTCCTACAACCCCGAGAAGGTCAAGAATTTCTTGAAGGAAGCCCGCCTCCCTGAACAGCTGCCTCTTATCATTGTCTGCGACCGTTTCAACTTTGTCCATGACCTGATCTTGTTCCTCTACCAGAACCAGCAGTTCCAGGCCATCGAGTCCTATGTCCAGCGCGTCAACCCTGGCAGGACCCCAGCCGTTGTTGGTGGCCTTCTCGACGTCGACTGCGATGAGAACATCATCAAGCAGCTTTTGACCACGGTCAACGCCGCTTCGATTAGCATTGATGACCTTGTTGCCGAGGTAGAGTCTCGCAACCGTTTGAAGCTTCTTCTACCATTCCTCGAGGCAACTCTACAAGCCGGCAACCAGCAGCAGGCAGTCTACAACGCTCTCGCCAAGATTTACATTGACTCCAACAACAACCCCGAGATGTTCTTGAAGGAGAATGATCAGTACGATACCCTGACTGTGGGTAAATACTGCGAGAAGCGGGACCCCAACCTCGCGTACATTGCCTACTCGAAAGGCCAGAATGACCTGGAACTCGTCAACATTACCAACGAGAACTCCATGTACCGCGCACAGGCTCGTTACTTGCTCGAGCGCTCTGATGCTGAGCTCTGGCGTTTTGTTCTCAGCGAGAACAACATTCATCGCCGCTCTGTGGTTGACCAGGTCACTGTGACTGCCGTCCCTGAGTCGACTGACCCTGCCAAGGTCTCTGTTGCCGTATCCGCCCTGCTTGAGAACGACATGCCACTGGAGCTCATCGAACTGCTGGAGAAGATCGTCTTGGAGCCATCTCCATTCAGCGACAACCAGAACTTGCAGAACCTGCTCATGTTCACGGCAGCCAAGGCTGACAAGGCCCGGGTCATGGACTACATCCACAAGCTGGATGGATACAATGCTGACGACATCGCTACCTCGTGTATCGAAGTGGGGTTGCATGAGGAGGCATTTGAAATTTACAAGAAGGCCGATAACAAGGCCGCTGCTGTTGATGTTTTGGTTGAGCACGTGGTCAGCATTGACCGTGCTCAGGCTTTTGCTGAAGAGGTTGACTTGCCTGAAGTATGGAGCAAGGTCGCCAAGGCTCAGCTCGACGGCCTCCGCGTTTCCGACGCCATTGAATCGTACATCAAGGCGGAGGACCCTAAGAACTACGAAGAGGTCATCGAGATTGCCACCCATGCAGGCAAGAATGAAGACCTCGTCAAGTACTTGCGAATGGCTCGCAAAACCCTGAGGGAACCCGCGATCGATACCGCCCTCGCCTTCTGCTTCGCTCGCCTTGACCAACTTCCTGAGCTTGAGGACTTCCTGCGTGCGACCAACGTTGCTAACGTCGAGGAGTCTGGTGACAAGGCGTACGAGGAAGGCTTCTATGAGGCTTCCAAGATCTTCTTCACGAGCATTTCGAACTGGGCTAAACTTGCTACCACTCTTGTGCAATTGGGCGACCACCAGGCTGCGGTTGACTGCGCACGCAAAGCCAACAACATCAAGGTTTGGAAGCAGGTCCACGAGGCTTGCTTAGAAAAGAAGGAGTTCCGCCTGGCGCAGATCTGCGGTCTCAACCTCATCGTGGACGCTGAGCAATTGCAAGAACTCGTCAAGCAGTATGAGCGCAATGGCTACTTTGACGAGCTGATTAGCTTGTTGGAGCAGGGCCTTGGTCTCGGTAAGTGCTAATAATGTCTCTTTACTCTTTTTATTTTGGTTACTACCGGCGGTCCTACTTCCGATTGGATAGCGAGTTGCATCCATCCCCATCACCCATCATGGCAAGCAAGAAGGAGCGAGCTGCTCCCCAAGGCTTGCTCATTTGATTGACGATCAGAGTTGATCAGCTCTTTTTCTCTCTATGTCTGCCTCGTTGCTTCGATCACAGATTTCAAAGAATTGCTGCCTCTCTTATCTGTGTTGTCTGCACCTATCTCGCAATCACCACCGCCACCATCACATCATCTCGGCATCATGGAGAACGTCCATGAGTTCTGGCTCTGTGCGTGCTGGTCCCTGCTGTCCCTGGCAGTAAGCGGCTGCGTCAATCCGTCACTGGAGCTCATATTCCCCTCTGATGAAGCCATGACCTCCCTCCTCTCCTTGATCACCTTCGCGCCTGGCATTCGAGAGGCTCTTCAGGCAGTGAACCCTCCCGGAACAGCTGCATTTAGGGCTCTTCCGACAGTGTCCGGAAGTGATGAGAAGATCTAGGCGATGTATCTCATTCTTCTCGAGAAATCCGGATCTCGGCCCAGGATTTACATCGGCTCTGGCACCAATGCGGCCTTAGGAGTTTGGTCTCGGCTTCGCGATTACATCAGCGGACACTGCGTTCCACAAAGGATCATTGCTGCTCAAGCTGAGGGCTTCACGATCAGGCATCAGGGGCTGCTTTGCTCGACTCCAATTCCGCCTCCAGCAAGTCGATTAGCGATGCGGGGTCTATTGATCATCCTCGAGACAGTCTTCGCTTTTGCACTCTGGGCAATGAGCAGTAAACCAAAAGCTAGCCTAACATCATGGCTTGGGCGGTTGAGGACTTGGAGTACGACGGCCTTTGCACCCATTCTCCTCTGATTGATGGGATCGCTGGCGAGGAGGACGGACTGAGCCCTGAGCAGCTCGCCCTGAAGCAGGTGGAAATGGAGGCGCGACGTGACGCTTCAGAAGCCGCTTCACAGCAAAAGTACTCGGCCAAGACGTTATCAACCAAGTGGATGCGCGATCGCAAGTACGCCTGGCGACCAGCAAGCGCTCTCGTCAGAACACGATCGCAGCAAGGATGTTCTGGTGTGCAACGTGCCAGCAGGGCTTTGCCTCCAAAAGTGCGCTCGAAACGCACAATGCTCGCGACATCCACCTCTCGAAGCTCCCTGGCTATATCAAGCCAGCAAAGATCCTGAAGCATCCCGCTCAAAAGGCCCGCGATGATGCCATGAAGGCATCAAAAAAGTACCATTGTGCTACATGCAATGCCAGCTTCCCTACTCCCTCCGGCCTTGCCACGTATAACAATGGTCGGAACCACAAGCTTGCGCTGGTTCGGGCGTCGTCCTTGGACGACGTCTAAATTACCCCATCGCCGTCTTTTCGGTGCTTTTTGAGGCTCAGTTCACTAACTAATACCATCAGAAACCGCCCACATGGGTTTATTCACATCCTTAGGCGTTGCTCTTTCGAAATATCACCCTGAGAAGCTCATGGAGCACATCAAGATTTTCTGGTCGCGCATGAACATGCCCAAGATGATTCGTGCCTGCGAGGAAGCCAACCTGTGGCCCGAGTTGGTCTTCTGCTACTATCACTACGACGAGTTTGACAATGCTGCTCTTGCGGTTATTGAGCGCCCGGAGAATTCCTGGGATCATCAGCAATTCAAGGAAATCGTGGTGAAAGTGGCCAATTTGGAGATCTACTACCGCGCCATCAAGTTTTACGTGGAGCAGCACCCCTCGCTACTCACTGACTTGCTTGCTGCTTTGACGGCTCGCATTGACGTCAACCGTGTCGTCAAGATCTTCCAGAAGAACGACGACCTACCGCTCATCAAGTCTTTCCTGTTGAACGTTCAGTCGCAGAACAAGCGGGTGGTCAATGAGGCTGTCAACGATCTTCTCATCGAAGAGGAGGACTACAAGACCCTCCGTGACTCGGTACAGAACTTTGACAATTACGATGCCGTAGCTCTTGCTGGTCGCTTGGAGAAGCATGACCTCATTTTCTTCCGCCAGATTGCGGCGAACATCTATCGCAAGAACAAGCGCTGGGAGAAGTCGATCGCTCTTTCGAAGCAGGACAAGTTGTATAAGGATGCAATTGAGACTGCCGCAATGTCGAGCAAGAACGACGTTGTGGACGACCTGTTGCGCTACGTGAGTGAATATCTACTATCTTCAAAGTCAACCACTAACCTTCGCAGTTCGTTGACATTGGTCACCGCGAGTGCTACACTGGCATGCTATACGCTTGCAATGAGCTTATCCGCCCGGATCTTGTTCTGGAGCTGTCCTGGCGCCATGGGTTGAACGACTTTTCCATGCCGTACATGATCAACATGCTAGCCCAGCAAACCAAGGAGCTTGCCCTGCTCAAGGCTGACAACGAGGCCCGCAAAAACAAAGAGAAGGAGCAAGAGAAGACCGAGGACAACACCCCCATCCTGGGTGGTGGTCGCCTCATGATCACAGCTGGCCCGGGCGGCGCGCCGTCACCTGCACCCTACGGTCAACAGCCCAACGGATTTGCACCGCAGCCTACAGGCTACGGCTACTAGATCACGTGGAAGAGGGGTTGGCACGATCACTCAGCGTGATGCCTTGAAGAGTCGATACGGCTTCCTGTTTGTACCATATCTGCGCTGCTCGGCAGTAGGCCGACGCGAGACGGGCATGGCGTGGTCAAACTGGCCTTGGTGCACTAGAATACACGAGTGTCTGGCGCCAGGTGGTGGACGACGCCGGCGTCTTTTGGATCTGGTGGGGAAAATGGTTTCATTTGTCCTTTGTCTTACGAGCGTTCGAGGAAAGACGAGACCTTCGAGACGGGTACAGTTTCGAATGGGAGGTGGAAGCGTGTGCGCGAGGCGGTCAATCGTTATCCTGTATGTATGTGTATTATAAGGTAGTACATCGGTTCGTATCCAAAGAGGCCCATTGGGTGCACCAAGTTACAGCAAGTGATCAGATGCCATACTCCATTCCTTGCTCCAGAAAAGTCGCGCCTTGCAGATGATGTAACGTGCTTACTCGACAAAGTCGCTAGCGCTAGACTAGTGTGTCTAGCTAGACAATAACCCTGTTAGGAGTGGCGCCAATATTCAGTAAGAATTGTAGCCTGTGAGCGGTGTAAAGCCCAATGGCCGCATATGGCCGTCAAGATGTTCGCACCTTATAAGGTATAGGGCGTATATCCAGCATGAAACCATAGGCGGCTAGATTTTGTTCACCCACGGTAGCGACTTTGTCGAGTGAGTACGGTATGTTTGTGTTATTTATCAATGGGCTTGGGATTCTTGATGGTCAACCATTCACCGTTGAATGCATTGATGAGCCAGTTTGTGATTTCTAGGGGGGGCGGTTTGGTTAATTCAGTGCAAAACAGCGTGGGATGGGACAATTACTCACTATCGAACACAATCCTGTTGGCCTGATGGAAGTAAATGCCGTGATCACTATCAGGGAAGACATGCACGTCGTAGTTCTCTACGCCCGCGAGATCGAGGGCGTCCAGGAGGGTCAGACTGTTCTGGAAGTGGACGTTGTCGTCGGCGACGCCGTGCATCAAGAGGAAGCGAACATTCTCCCCCAGAGCAGTGGCGTTGTGGACACTTGATTCGTCGTAGCCGTCCTTATTGTCCTTGGGGAGGCGCATGTATCGCTCCGCGTACACGCTGTCGTAGAATCGCCAGTCTGTGACGGGAGCGACGGCGACGCCGTACGCGTACGTCTGTCCGGCGTCCTGCTCGAGGGTCTTGAGGGTGGTGAAGCCGCCGTAGGACCAGCCCCAGATGGCCAGACGGGTCTCGTCGACGTGGGGGAGCGACGCGAAGTGTTGGGCGGCTGCGATGTGGTCCTCGGCTTCCAGCACGCCTAGCTGGCCGCGGACCCCGACGCGGTGATCACGGCCCTTGAAGCCTGTGCCGCGAGGGTCGACAGTGACGACAATGTAGCCGAGAGAGGAGGCGACGTAGGATTGAAAGTCGACGCGGAATTTTTTGGTCACCTGCTGCGACCCGGGACCGGAGTACTGCTGGAAGAGGATGGGGTAGGATTTGGAAGGGTTGAAGTGCGGTGGGCGACGTTCGAGGTAGTTGACACTGATGCCGTGCGGCAAATCCAGCGTGCCGTAGGAGAGGACCGGGAGGGCGTGGCGGCGGGCTTGGTCGGCGAGATTTCTGTTCTCTTCAATTGTGCGCTCGTAGGGCCCCTGATCTTTTGGCAATGACGGGGTGGTGATGATCTTCTGGTAGGGCGTTTTCGGACCGTGGTACGTCAGCAGTGTGTAGCCCGACTCTGTTGAAAAGTATGCGTCGTAGTAGGCCTCAGTCTTGGGGTCGGTGAGACACTCGAGGTTGGACCCATCGAGCAGGGAGACGGAGTATACGTGTCGCTGAATGGAAGACTCCTTGGCGGCCTTGAAGTAGACGAGGTTGTTAACCAGGTCGACGGAAGATGGCGCGTCTTCCACCTCCCATTGGCCAGACGTGAGCATGATGGGATCAGGGTTGTTAAGGGGTGTGAAGTACGCAATGTGATCGTATCCGTCGTGGATGACAGAGTCCACGTAGCCATCGTGCTCACGCCCATTCTTGCCATCGGCAGGCACGTACGCTAGATGATGCGATAGCTCGAACCAGCCACCATCCTCCTTGCCAACATCACGCTCGCGAACAATGTGCGCTTTCCGCTCCCCAACATCCACCAAGACGACCTTTAGAACGTCACTGATGCGATTCGTCTGCTTGATGATGGCCTTGTCGTTCCCGGCCCAGACGAGGTGGTTGACTACGCGGTCATCATCGGGAAATTGCTTGTCAGCGTCGACGCTGAAGACCTCGTCCTTGTCGACGTTGTAGTAGCGGACTTGGACAACGGGGTTGTGCGCACCAGCCTTGGGGTACTTGATCTGGCGAACCTCGGGATAGCGCTCCTCGCCCTCCGGGGGCTCAGTGCCACTGGGTCGCGACAGGAAGTACTGCACGGGATACTCGGGGACGCCCGTCTCGTTTGTCTGGAGAAAGGCGAGGTGGCCTCCGTCGGCAGACCACCAGGTGGCGATGCGCTCATGAAGCACCTCCTCCTCGTACACCCAGTCCGGCACACCGTTGAAGTATTCCGCACCGCCGTTGTGGGTGACCTGTGTGACCTTGTTCTCCTTCCTACCGTCCTGGAGATGACGGATGTACAGATTGTTGTCATCGCGGGTGAAGGCAATGGCATCGCTCTGTGGGTTCCACTGCGCGAGCTGAACGCGCGCCTGGGCGTCGAGGGGCACCAGAGGTTCGACCTTCTGCGACGCGACATCGAGGATGAAGTACGTCGCCATGAATGAATGGCGCCAGTTCTTCTCCTTGTTCACGCCCAGAAGGACTCTTTTCAAATCGGGACTAGGCTTGGTCCAGGCAGGACGGAATGTCTCGTCGCCGAACTGGAAAGACGCCTCTTTCATGAGTGTCCGAGATGCAGGAATATCCTCCCCGCGCTTGTCCTTGTCTTCGTCTTGGGAGCGCACATGCTCAACGACAAGAAAGTCCTTGCCGGCAGTGCCCTGCTCCACGTATAGACCGTCCTGGCCCTCGGGGTTGGCGATCCAGCTGATGCTGTGCTGTTTCGCGTTCCAGAAGCCTCCCAGCACCTGATCCAAAGTCACCGACTTGCCCGACCCACGGGAACTCGCGTCGGGGTCGTGGTCCACGTCGCTCAAGTGTTTGTAGGACCCTTTCGCGACAAAGACAGCTAGAGAGACGAACCAGCCCAGACAGAAGACGACGAAAGCCGCGATGAGGATGCGTCGCATCTTCTTGTCCATGGGCTGGCGCCGGGCCCTCTGCAGCTGAGACGCACCATTACCGTCGTCTCCCAGGAAGGGGCCTGTTTCGAGGTCCTCGGCCGGCTCCCTCAGCGGATCTTGATCGTCGAGGTCATCGTAGCCAGCGTCATGGCCATGGCCTTTCTCATCCTTCTCGGGGTGTGCCTGCTTCTCGTTGCGTTCTTGTATCCGTTCGAAGACGAGACTGGTGGTCGACGCGGAGGACAGGGATTCGTGCGACGCGCGAGGCTTCGCGGTATCGACGTCTGCGACAGGCGGCATCGTTGGAGATGCGATGTTTGCTGCTGCTGCGTACCGGATTCGATGGGCTGCGTTTCGCGATTTAATTAGGGACAAGATCAGCGGGGCGTCAGTAAAGGCATCTTGAACAGAACATTAGACTAGGTCGATTGTCCAATTCAGCTTGGAGATGGCTCTGTTAACCTTCGAAGCTTTGACGACTTATTGAGGCAGTCGATAGCTTGGTGTGGCGCCCATTGACGTGCGAGCAACCGAAGGCGTCACGTTGAGCCAAGGCTCGGCTGGGCTGGGCCTTTTGGTTTGTCCCCTCCGTGTCCGGGATTGTCACCTGCGTACCCTACAGTAAGTACTCTCAAGACCACCACAGGACTGACCCACCGGTGTGCCTGGGCGTACTTGAGCCGGGCAACTGGAGGGCTGGACGCTAATCACCGGGAGATCGCCGCACTGTAGGGGTTTCACTGGAGCCTGCGCCCACTAGTCCAAGGAAGGTCTATGGGGCGTAGCAGGCTCAGCTAGGCCCACTCGTGATGTCGCGCCGGGCGAATGCGAGGAATACGACGTCCAGTCCTCGACTCTTCGCGTTATTCGCTTGTATCTCTGGCCACGAGACCTCGGAGGGACGAGGTGCTGCGACTGTACTACTTGGTAACTCCGGGTATAAGTAGAAGATGAGGTTCCCCGTTTTCGTAGTCGATCATCAATGTTCAAGCGACTTGTACTTCTGATACGCGCAAGATGGGCCCCACCAAGAACCAGCAACCGCAGGAACATGTGGACGTTCCTCCCACCATTTCTGACCTACACTGCGTGAGCACCCCCAGTGCGCAATATGTACACAAGACGCGTGCGTGCGTGCAGCGCGATACTGATTCCCGACAGTTCACAGAGACCGAGGGCATCGTCACGACGACCATGATGGACCTGCCCGGCTATCGCGTCGTCCGGGTCCTCGGTGCCGTCTATGGCCTCACGGTGCGCTCTCGCAACATTGCGGCTGGCATCGGCATGGTGATCAAGTCCCTGGCGGGCGGCGAGCTTACCTGGTTCACGTCGATGCTGTACAACTGCCGCAACGACTCGCTCAGTCGCTGCGTGGCCGAGACAAAGGCACGTGGCGGCAATGCCATCATCTGCCTGCGCTTCGACACGGCCGATCTGGGCGGCTTCGCACAGTCCTGTGCATACGGCACTGCGTGCATCGTGGAGAAGCTCGAGGGGGGAGATGAGGTGGCTATGCAGCTGCAGAATCACAACCACAGCGCGAGTGCTACTGCATCAGCTGCTCGATAGATGGGTATCTGGATTCTGGAGACGGCTCGATGGGTTTTATTGGGAACGGTCGGGTTTACAACTGATACGTCGATACCACCACCTGCTTGCTTGTAAGCTGTGGCTGCATCAGTGAATCCCTCTGCTGGGGGTTCCCTGGGAGCCTTATTCCGGTCAGGATTAAAAGTTCAGGGACATACCTTGTCAAAGCTGTCACTAAACCCCGGCCTCAAGGCCCAAAGACAAACATCATGTTCGTCGCATCTGTCATTCATGTCCGACACACAAGCAATCTCTTTCATCTATGAGGACCGGGTGACCTGTCTCCCCACGAGGGGCATCAGCACCAACCAAGTGTACTTTCAGTCCGAATCAAGCAGCTTTTGGTCTGGAGAGCAAAGACCACTGGCCCCCAACTGCATGACGGCCCAACTTGACATAGAGACGCAGCCGGGGGTTTCCGCTCTGCCAGCCCTCAAGCTCCGTTGATGATACTGCCGTGCGGCTCGTTCAATCAAATCGTGGACACGCTGTCGTGGCACTCTCCCACGGGTCAGCATGGCAGCGACTCGATATTGCCTGTTTTTGCCTTGGGCAGCAGTGAAGGTGCCAACGCGCACAATATCCTGGTCCCTACATGAAGAGGGCTGTCACACTGCTCGTCGGCTCTCATTCCCCCCAGTGAGAGAGCCAGAGAGGCCACCCATCAGACGCTCTCATTGAAGTAGGAACCACATCCGTCCACCCCAATGGCCCTGACCGCTAAGTAACGGCAGACACCCTTCAGCAAACATCCCGAGGCTTGGGTGCTAGATCGCGACTACACCGATTCTTCACCGCCTCTTATAGCTATTGAGAAGGCGACGAGATTCCATGTCCTGGAGACGGAAAGGAGCATGACGAGTGTGGTCACTGGGTGGTGCTGCATGTCCCCCAGAGCCTTGTAGTGAAAAAGTAGGTATTATATCAGGGCACTCATACTCCCTCTGTGAAAACAAACTGGTCGAGGTTCCCGTTGTCCACGATGCCTCCCCCAATGTATCCTGACAACGACCTCGAGATGGCGTCCGGCCACAGGGGATATCCCCAGAATTCCCGACGCAGACCCCTCATCATCCAACACGACGCATCCGAGAGGCCGCGGCCCACGCCAGTTGTTTATGGAGTGGCCACCTGGGCGCAGGGCTTGCGCCGCTCCGGCTCGCACCAGAGCTATGCTAGGATGAGTCTGGCACCACCTCGCCAATCGAGAAGACCTCGCGGGAGGTCACTGTAAGTAAATTGCCATAGCCGGTCAAGAACCGCTCGTCAAGCGCCCAGGACGTCCACGCTAATGCTCCATGAGCGGTTCTCTCGCTCCAGGGAGACCCCAATACCAACGCCAATACGCGAACCAGGAATCGGCTACCGCAAGTCACGACCCAAATGGAAGTATCCAGGGATTTCAAGGTCCTGGACCCCAGGGCGCCTTCTCGGCTGAGCTGCAACACCAGGCTCTCGGTCTCTGGAACTTCACCGGACTCTTGAATCAAGAGCAGACTGCATCGCTGGGACCCCAGCAAGGGATATGGGACACGCCCCCTCCTGCGTTCAAGAATAGTATCGAGCAGTCCTTTCAGCTTCGGCCACCGAGTCAGTGGCCCGGACCGGGGCCATTCTCCTTCTCCTCGGACAATAGCGCTCATCAATACCCCTTTTTGATGAGCGATACCTGTCCAACCACACTCATTTCATGTGATGACCCCATCCAAGACGCTCAACAGGCTCCGCTGGACATGTTTGGATTTCAGAGCCCGTCCTACCTGGCCAGTGACATGTCTAGCTCAGGTGCTGACCGCCCTGAAATGGGAGATACGCGTATGCTCGGAGTTGGTGATGATGGGGCCCAGTTTCCCATGGACCCTTCCCATCGAAGCCGCCAGGATCCCAGCGTGTCTCCGAAGGACACTCAGAGCCGGAACGTATCCGTGTACACGGGGAAAGCAACATGTGCCCCGAGAGCTTTGGATCCATTGAGCAGCCACCATGATACTGGGCATGTATATTCAGCGGAGTACCAAGGGTTTTCCACCGACGGCCTTGAATATGCAGGACTAGGGAGTAGTTTCGAGATTGGGGCGCACCATGTGTCAGAGACCCAGGTTCCCCGGACCAACCAAGGATATGTTGGATTTCAACAGGACACTCCAAGTGGACAAGGACAGCCCTTCGGACAAGGACAGGGTGACACTGTGGCCTCGGAATATACCGCTAGCCCCTCGTCAGGAGTGCCAGTGGATCATCCCCCCGAGGAGCCTGGGAAGCAGCAGACTACCAGAGCAGTGAGATCTGGCGGCCGTAATGGTCCGTTGGGGACGCCAGAAAGAGAAGCGGCTAGACAAGTCAGAGTCAACCGTACAGCCTGCATCAGGTGTAGGGTCAAGAAGATCAAGGTGAGCTGGCCGTCTGTGATAGCAAAGCCGTTGAATGTGCTAACTGTACCTTTAGTGTTCCTTCAAGAACGACCCCAATGTCTGCGACAATTGCCGCCCGCCGTTGGAAAGGCGGGGGCGTAACCAGAAGCCTTGCGTCCCGGCCGATGTAGTACAGCTCGTCAAGCAGGGCGGACTCAATTTGGAGGGCAAGTTGGATCCAATGGCGGTTATGAAACCAAGCTCACACATGGCAGCACTCTACGCCTCGCACCGCACCGACGGAGTGGACGCCAACACAGGCGTCTCTCGTTTGCACATTGACCCTGTGCCGGACACGATCCATCTACCGACCCTTTGCCGCGGTATACAGCGCCGCATCTCCGAGGGCCACCACAGGTTACATGTTTGCATACAGCCCAGAGCAAATGCCCCCGACGAGACTCTGTACAAGATCGACCTAAAAGGTTGCCTCGCATGGATCCAACAGCTGGAACTGGGTTCAACAGCTCGGTCCTTTCGAGACCTGATCGACCATGACGTACCCAAGTTCCGGAACTGGCGAGACTGGGTCTCCTTCAGTGATGGATGCAAGAATATCAACATTAAGAGGGTCGACGTCGTCCACCTCGTCGAGGGACTCTTACGATGCAACGAGATCTCGCAGTTTCAGCACTTCAAAATCGACGGCGTTTCTTCAGGCCTGGACGACATTGGCATCCCTCTATCGCGCATCGTCGCCCGAGGGCTCGAGTTGGTTGTCTTTGAACGCGTCCAGACCACACTCAACACCCAGAATGGAGACACCTTTACGCCAGAACTCCTGCGGGCGATCGGAAAGCTCACCATGTTCGTCATGCGACGTCTTTCTTGGCCCAGCGTGTTCGCCGGCTGCAGGACGGATGCCAAGGCCGAGGAAGAATTCGAAACTCGTCTGAACGAGATTTGTCGACGGCTGCACTACCATTACGGCTACATCGTGCAGGACAGGGGTGTACAGCCGGACAGCGACGTCGACTCAGCTCTCGTCGCTGGAGTGGAGGTGCGAGCGAAATTCCCTTGCCAATGGTCAGGGGCGTGGTTGTTGCCGTGCGCGAAGTGGACTGATGAAGGGTATCGAGCCTGGCTGAATGAGTGCCGAACGAGCCCGTGGAAGGCTTTATGGTTAGACGGACGTGGTGGCCATGACAACAGATAGTGGTGGCCATGACGACAGAGAGTGGCCACGGTGACTCGGTACAACAGCAACGAGTGTAAAGATAGGGGTTGAGCTTGGACACATACGACACCAAGCACACTACAGCAGGATACATGACAACAACAAGACGATACTGAGAAGAAAGCAAAGGAAATGACGGAACAGAAAAAGGGAAAAACACACTCGGTTGGGACTTTTTCAACAACTGCTCTTACGGGGTCAATGCTCGACTTCTGCTCGCGCCTGGGAGAATGCATTAGAATAGAGGGCTCACAGTACACGGTCGCAAGATGCTATCACAAGAGCCGCGCAATCAGATTGTAACATATCATATACTAGAAATTGCGTATTATTCTTATAATAACAGCTTGATCATGTCACAATGGCAATATTCAGTGGTATATACAGCAAGTCCCCGTCTTCCACCTGCCCCTACACCCCATAGAACCACGGCTGCCTCTCCACCGCCCTCTTGCCAAATCTCTTTGTCCTCTGCGCGTCCCTAGGGGCGAGCTGCAGGGCACTCCTCTTCTTGCCTTCGGTGGTGTCAGCCGCCTCGAGGTCGCCGCAGTCGGGCCTCGTGAGCTCGTTGCCAAACTCGTCCACGGTCCATATGAGGACGCCATTCGTCCAGCCAAAGCCCTCGACGACCTCGTACTCGCCACCGCCGCCGGCAATGTTTGTCGAGTTGTCGGCGTACTTTTCAAACATGATGCCGACGTCCTGGTCGGTGAAGCCCTCGAGCTGGGGCGTCTCGGACGTGGCGCCGCCCGTGGCGCGCCACGTGCAAAAGGTGCTGTCGAGGTAGCGCTGGCCGAGGCGGAGGGCGATCTCGTGGACGTGCTGGTACGCAGGGTCGTCCTCGCCAAAGGTGGCGGGCGTGTTCTGCAGGCCGGCCATGAGGATGTGCATGAGAGGCGGCCAGACGGAGGGCTGGTCCCACTGCTGGCCGGTGCGGAAGTTGGTGGCGGGGATGCCGCCCTTGCGGGTGTCGAGGAGGGTCTCGACGCGCTTGTAGATTTGCGCAATGGCAAACGGGTTGTTTTTGATGTACGAGGGGGCCGCGCCCGTCCAGAAGGGGTAAAACTGGGACACGCTGAAGAGGACCATGTGGCCCTCGGGGGCGGTGCTGCTCTCGAGCGTCGAGACGTCGTCGTCGGCCGGCACGTAAATGTGCTGCGCCGCCGAGGTGAGGTTGTAGTCAAAGTAGGACATGTACGTCTCGTTCCACATGAGCGCGTGGATGGCCTCGGAGCGGTTGTACGCCAGCTCCTCCCACTCGGCCGCCGCGCTGGCGTTGCCCGTCTGGTTGAGGAAGCCCGCAATGGCCATCTCGTTGGCGTACATGATGGAGTTGAGGTCAACGGGGACAATGTTGTTGGTGTTGAGCGAGCGCAGGGGAAAGTAGACGTCCTCGGCCGCGTCGCGTGGGCGCGCGATCCAGCGCGAGCTGTAGTCCCATCCCGACTCGGCACCCGAGGCAAGGGCGGAGTAGAGGTTGGCGCGCTCGGTGTCGTTCAGCGGCTCCGTCTCGGGGTAGATGATGCCCGAGTCGTGCGAGTAGTAGGAGGTATTGGTGGCTGTCTCGTAGTCCTCGCTGTAGGACTCGGGCCGGGGCTGGTTGTTGCGGACGTCGTAGCGGTTGAGGGTGTAGGTGGTGCCGTTGGGGCCCTCGATGTCAATGGTGCGGTTCTCGCTGAAGAACTCGTGCTCCTTCATCAGCAAGGGGAGAGCCCGTTCGAGGATGTCGGTGTCGTTGGTGTGCTCAATGTACGCCTGCACCATGCGAGACAGGACGGGAGGCTGCGAGCGGTTCAGGTAGTAGATGCGCGCGCCGTTGGGGATGAAGCCGAACTGGTCGACAAAGTCGAGGAAGTTCTCAATGATATCGCGTGAGATGTCCGTGAAGGAGCCGCCAGTCCTAAGGAGGCCCTCGATGATCCAGTACGTGTCCCAGTAGTAGGGCTCACGGAAGCGCCCACCAGCCACCACAAAGGTGCGGTTGAGGGGGATGAAGCTGCTGGGGCAGTTTGTGCAGTTGGAGGCGGCGGCGCCGCTGTATCTTCGTGTCAGGTCGGGCCAAATGTCAATGACCTTGTTGGTAAACTCCTTTACTACCTCGTCGTCGATCTTGTCGAGAAAGACGGGGTCAGTCTCGAGATCGGCCTTGTCGACCTCGCTGAGCTCGCCACCCGCATCGGCAAAGAACTCGTCCAGAAAGTTGTTGAGCGCCGAGTTGTTGCTCAGGGGCTTGTCCAGGCGGTCAAAGGCGGCCTGGATCTGCGACAATGGCTTCAGAGCCGGCCTTGCAGGCCAGTTTAGTTGGTGTATGGTCATGCAGATTGAACCAGGCACTCACATGTCGACGAATGTCTTGGAGTCGTCAAAGGGCTTGGCCAGTTGAATCTGGTGGAGCATCTCGCCATAGCAGTAGACGGGCGAGTCGCACGGAGCTGTGATGTTGCCGTCGACGTAGATGGCGCTGACGGCTGAAGCCGATGCGGCCGCAAGGACCATCTTTCTGAGGCCGGCCATGATGATGTCCGTGACGATCAAATCCTGGTGCAAGGACGGGTGAGGGAAGGTGGTCTTGGGACAGTGACCGTAGCATTCAGGTCTGTGATGGTCAGGTCACAGGTGCCAGCTATATATGTATGTGTGTGTCGTCGGGAGGGCGGGCTGCACAATCCTTTCCGAGCTACGTACGTACAGCTGACAAGATCGAGAGCATGACGGGGCCTCTTTTTTTTCCCTGCCTCAATCGGTCAACAATGACATCGCCATGGGGGCTTGCTAAACTCGAAGGGGGTTGGTTGGTGGAGTCTGGGGAACGGGTTCGTCGGTTTCTGGGGGGTGGAAGACTGGGACGAATCGACCACCCTGGTCGTAAACTGCAGATCTCCACGTCCGGGCTGCATGGGAACTGTCCGTCCTGGTGCCTGGAGAAAATGTTCCTCCTCATCCTGCTGATGTCACCCCAGGAAAGATGAAAGTCGCCGTGGTGCCTCGTCCGTTGCCCGCCATGCGAGCCTGGCCTCTTGCGTTGTCCAAGCTGGGAGAACAAGCGCGAGGGCTGTCAGATGCCTAGTCCGGTGACACGCCCCGATAGACCAAACTCTCGGTGGATCATCAGCTTGTCACCACCTGCCGCCTTTCATCAATCTCACGAGATGGCTTCGTACCTCTGTCACCTGGGTACAGGTACTGACTGGAGGGACGGATCCGACCACCATCCAGCACCCATCCCCCCATCCTTCCCCGCACCAGCTACACGTGTCGTCAAGTCAGAACTGTTCCAACATACACGGCTGAGGCCCAACCACGCACTAGCAGAACTCTGCCCTCAACCGACGCAAACCAGTGGCCACACCTGGCCGCAGCCGTCCACATCACTGCCGGGTTCTGGAAAGAGCCAATCTTCGATTTGAGAAAGGCACGGAATTCTCAACTCTAGACATGGTACTTCTTTCACAAGAAAACCGCCATTGGCGAGGCATCCAGGAATGATCGTTGAATCGGCTGGGGAAGAAATCAAGAGCTTCTACGGTAGTTGAGGTTCTGACGTCACTGGCGTCATCGCATCCCTGCACTCCAGCGCTTGGCCGGCGCTGCCGCCGGCTCAATACAGTGGGTACCCGCCAGTGCCGTGCCAAGCGCTGTAGACAGAACCGGGCTGTGGAACCTAACGTAGGCGGCTTGAACTGTAGTAAAAGCAAGCGCCGGAAATGGATTGCTTCGCGAACTTGTACGTGAGTACGTGCGTGGTAACACTCCGAAGAATTTGGTGGTGTGCAGCTTCCAGACTCCAGGAACCAAGTGAACTTGTCGTCCAGGGCCTCGGCTGTCCCACTCCCAACTACCCGTGCTGAAAAGGCTACCCTACACAGTGTCACGCGTCACCAAAGTCAGCACTGAGGGGACAGACACCACGCCTCCATGCGCTCAACTCCTACCAACACCAAGATGACGAGCATGTCGTTGCGAAGCTTCTTGGCAAGAGCACGGGCGGCATTGGCAGCACCTGCCAGTGAGCAGTCGTTGCCATTGACCTTTGTAGTTGGAAATGAATCAGCTGGTAAGGAATTCCCCCTCGTGTCACGGCGGTCACTAGACACTAATCTTGCACGTAGACATTGACTCACTCTGCTCTGCGGTGATGCTGGCGTACCTGCGCACGTCAAGCTCGTCAAAGCTGTACATTCCACTCTCCAACCTGCCGCGCCCCGACCTGGCGTTGCGGACGGAGATGAACGCGGTGCTTGGAGCAGCCCAGCTGCAACCTTCAGATCTCCTCACGCTATCAGAGCTACCGGACAATCTGCGCGCCGAAGACACGACGTGGATACTCGTGGACCATAATGCCCTCACTGGGCCTTTACACAAACGCTTCGCCGGCAGGGTATCGGGTTGCGTGGACCATCACGCCGAGGAGAATGTCGTGCCCAAGGACGCGGCCCCAAGAGTGATCGAGCCCTGCGGCAGCTGCATGAGCCTCGTCGTAGAGGAGAGCAAGCCTCTATGGCAGGGCCTCGCGCAAGAGGAGAAGGCCAAGCTGGCCAACTTGGGTCTCGCCGCCATTCTGACCGACACCATCAACCTGACCGCCGAACACAAGATCAAACCCAAGGACAAAACGTCGGCTGCGTTCCTAGCGGAGAAACTCAGCGGCACAGACTACGACCAGACCAGGCTCTTCGAGGAGATAGGCAAGTTGAAGGAGGATCTGTCGGAACTGTCCATCAGGGATATCCTCCGGAAAGACTACAAGGAGTGGAACGAGAATGGGCTGAATCTAGGCATCAGCAGTGTACCACAAGGACTCGCCTATCTCCTCGATGAGAAAGCGGCGGGGCGTGTCGACAGCTTCTACGGTGCGCTGGAGGAATGGGCCAAGGAGAAAGGGCTGGACGTCGTCAGCATCATGACCACTTCGCATCCTGGGGGTGAGTTCCAGCGGCACCTGCTGGTCTGGGCACGCAGCGAAAGAGGGGAGCAGGTTCTGGAGAAATTCGTCGACGCTGCGGAGAAGAATCTGCAGCTCGAGAAGTTTGCCGACGGGAAACTGGATCAGGGGATGACCAGGCTGGCGTGGCAGCAGAAGAATCTGGCAGCCAGTCGCAAACAGGTCGCCCCTTTGCTCAGAGAAGCTCTACAGAAGGCATGACTATCACTGAAGAAGGACATGAAGCTATAATGCACACAAACAGAATCCATCTGGACGTGTCAATGACAATATCCCTCGCTTGGCAAGTCATTTCCATATTGCATCAATTTGTGGTACAAGTCGTGATACATAGTAAGTAGAGTACATGATATACAAAGAGGCCTACCATGGCCTTCGCTCACTACAATCCTTCCCATGCGGATCACGCTGTGCTGCTGGCGGGGCCATCGCGGCAAAGTGCTTCCATGCTCGCCAAGATTTTGACGTATTCATTGTGCTGAATACGGCGAACCTCGACGGGAGGCATGGCCTCAAAGTTGGGCGGGTTTTTGTGCAGGCGCATGGCGTGCTTGTCGGCCACGTTGACGCAGGACGTGATGGCTTTGCCGAGGGCGCCGTCAGGCCTTATGGAAGGCTGCTCCACGATCAGCTCGTAGTAGAGCCACCGGAGTGTCTCCTGGCACAGCTTGACGTCGTGGGTCGCCGCAATCGTTCGGAAGGCGAGTTCGTACAGCCGAGCGGACCTCGGCAGCTGAAATCTCGACGTCGTCTTGAATATCTCCCAGAAGCGTTCCCAGTCTCCGTGTGAGGCGTAGGCATTCATGAGCCGGGCCACTTCCTCCTCAGTGGGCGGCGTGTCCAGCTCGCGGAGGAGCATCTCAAAGTTGACTTGGGCGCGGCCTAGTTCGGGACCGTAAGCAGGGGACGTCACGAGCGCTTCAACGATGGTGACCAACATTTGTCTGGTGTGAATCTTCAGTCCACGCTCGTCGCCCGTGTGCAGCATCTGGTCGACGAGGGCGAGACGGTCCTCCACAGTCAGACCGCCGCTGAGCGGGGCGCGCAAGATCGAAGACACGAGCTGCTCGAGACGGGCTTCATCCATCGGAGCGCCGGCGAGCTGGATGTCGAGGAACTCTTGCTGCAGAGACGCGACTTGGTCCAGGTCCGTGGGTCGGCTCGCGCTTGTAGCGGTGACACTTGCAGCGTCGACTTGGGATGACGGCGCCAGACGACGTGCCGATGTCGAGTAGTACCGATGCTGTTGCGATGCCTTCTCCATTGCGTTCCACTGAGACGCGCCCGTGGCTTGGTGTAGCTGCAGTTTTGTTGCGACCAGCCCATCCAGCTCTTCGTCCGAAGGCTTCTCGCCTCTGATCTTTGCTTGTTCCTTCAAATTCCTCTTGAAAATGCCTTTCCATAGGCTCTCGAGATCCAGCTCCTGTCTGCGCGACTCGGTCATGCACTGGACGACAATGGTTGTGCCGTGCTCGGAAGCCCCAAAGCCAGATATCAAACCGGTCGCATCAAAGTTGGCAGACTCGTCCGTCACAGTGTCCGCTGCCGTCCGCGTGTTCACGCAGACCCAGCCGGTCGAGATGCCAAGATCAGCGCCGGGTGTGAGGAGGGTGTTTTGCCCCAGTAGCTTCGCCTTTTTGCGCAGCCTTCGCAGCTTGGTCTTGAGTTCTCCGGCACCAATCAGCCCCTCAGCCCTTGCGCTGACATTGTAGTTTCTTCGGATCCATCGAACAAAGCGGCCAGAGGAGATGTGCAAGTGTCGTTCGCTGCGTGCCGTTCCGAAGAGCATGACGAGATTCGGACCCAGACTAGTAGGGGGATCAATGTCCCGTAGATCGAGTAGCGAGAGATCGTCAAGACCCATATCCTCGTATACGTATTTGATCAACGGCTCCAGCATCTCGGGTGCATTTTCAGGTATTTTCGGTAGGGTTGGTTTGTGCTGGCTTGGCAGGTGTCGCGGCGCCTCCTCCTCTAAGAACCACGGCGTGTCCTCGTCCGCCTCGGCGTTCTCTCCGACAAATTGCTCATCTTTCTCGGCTTGGACTGCTTGACTGTGAGATGGCACGTTTCCATCTCTTGTGGACATGAACCGGCGTGTCGAGACAGTAGTTGGAGCTCTTCGGACATTCTGGGACAGGTTCCCCAAACTCGGCGCATTCGAGCGTAAGACCGCCTGGTAGATGGTTTGTCGACATGTTTGACAGCCAAAAGCCGTCAAAGCTCGCCGCGCAATCATACCGAAGGTCCTGGATGTTCTGGTCGGGATGGATGATTAGCTTTCGTCTGGCGCAGCTCTAAATTTCGAGCGTCACGTCTGCACGTGACGACATGTACAGCGGCGAGCAAGAAAAGGTACGTACCGCCTCGGAGGCCGGAATATTGCGACCCGCGTCCTGCTTCGCCCAAGTCGCCCCTCGACCCAATTGACGGCTCATCGACCCACCCGCCGGACCCTTCCGCCCAACAGGCGACGAGAGAAAAATTGGGAGCTTCATCTCCTGGATTTGCATGAGCGACTGACTGACTTTTACACGCGCCCTCACTATTAATCTGTACAATTCCAAACTATTTCGTATATGTAATTCAGTCCCTTCTTTTCATGAAAATTTATTGAAGCACAGTCAACAGCTTCATTGCTTGTTGGACGCTTTTGCTTCTCCTTTCCCGGCGACTCGTATCGTGGCTGTCGCGTCCTCAAGTCGCGAGCCGCCACCATGCTCTCGAGGCATGCGCACCACAGCCTTTCGACACGCTCGAGGATACCGGTGCGACTCACAGCGACGACCTCATTAGCGTTATGGACGACACCCTCACACCGAACGTCCCAGCTCGCCTTGTCGCAACGATGCACGGTCACGAGCCTACAACGCCCCTGGCGGAGGAGACTGTCGGATGCCTCGCGCATTAAGAGACGCGCGCGGACTCTAGCCACTGCCGTGGGCGACGTTCATCTCGCTTCCATGCTCAGCAACCACGCCTTACCCTCCTTACCCTCCTTACCGTCACAGAACCCGAACATCGTCTCGCCTTTCGACCCCTTCTCTTTGGTCACTTTGCCCGACCCGTCGTCCGCCAGCCCTAACGTGGGACCAGCCTTCAGTCGAGCGAACAAGGACGGTGTCGGTGGCGACCCGACAGAGCTCATCTCGGTGTTCGACGCCTGCCTTCGCGTTGGCAGGCTTGAGAGGGCCATGCTCGTGCTCAACCGGGTTGATACCATACCGTCGTTCACCGAGGAGGAGCGTATCGTTCTTCACAATCAGTTTCTCCGAGCGGCCATTCAAAAACTACGAACGAGCCCGAATGCCAAGCAAGAGGCGAACTCCTTGCACCAATGGTACGAGATGAACATTCGCAGGTCGCGCGCACAAGGTCTTCCTCACACGCCTGAGACTATTGCGTGTATGCTCAAGATATCGATCGTCTCAGAGAGCGGAACGAGGCTGCGACGGCTCGTCAAGAGGTACATGGGAATGGCACCCGGCGAAGCGGGACTGCAGGTCTTGTACATGGCGGATATCCTCAGCGACTCCGACCTGGCCACCATTACCGATATTTGCCCTACCTACAATTTCGAGAGTGAGCCGCAGATCGAGGATGGGGAGCTCGAAGCCCAGGTGGAAGAGGCCAACGCTCGGGCGCAGACCCAGGAGGGACTTGCCCAGGCCACACCCGAGTTGGCGAGCACGGACCAGCGTGGTGAGGGCTTGAAAACCTTGCGCCAAGGTCTTGCCTTTCTCAGGGACATTCAAGACGTCGACGTGTCGGCGCTGCCCGAGGCCGACCAGCGCGAGATCCAGCTCCAGCTCGAACGCGATTCCATCGGCTCCGCTCTCAGCCGATGGCGACTCGAAAACCAGAAGCGACAACAGCAAGGCGTCCAGACGGCCATTACCGGATCGAACTCCCAAGGCTTGCCAGGTCATGTCGCATCATGGCTGCAGGCAACGGAAGACAAGCTGAAGGAGGAATTCAAATTGATTGTGGCCTCTGAGCAAAAGGCGAAGAAGGGCAAGGCTGATCTTGAGCGATGCGCTTACGGCTCGCTGATTATGCAAAGCGAGCCTGCTCGTCTGGCTGCTGTCACGATTCTCACTGTTCTCAATGCCAGCGCACATATTGGCATGGACAAGGGTACGCCTGTGAGCCGTCTTTTCAACCTCATTGGCGGCGCCGTCCAAGAAGATGTATTTTTGCAAAGCAAGGAGAGGAGGCGCAAGGAATTCAAAAAGCGCAACCTGTCATACAACAAAGCAAAGGCTGAGGGTCGGACCGAAGAAGAAATCAAGGAGGAGCAGGAACTCGCGGCACAAAGTCGTCTTATCGAGGAACCTCACGAAGCCAAGGAACGCCTAGCTGGCCGCGTGGATCAGCTATGGTCCCTGCAGACAAGGGCCAAGGTGGGCTCAGTCCTGTTGAAGACCCTCATCGAGACGGCCAAAATGAAGGTTACGAAGCGCGACCCTCAGACCGGCGCAGCTGCTCATCAGTACCAGCCTGCCTTTATCCACGGGACCGAGGTCCGGAGAGGAAAGAATCAGGGTGTGATCAACCTGAACGCCGCCCTGGTGGAAAATCTGAAGCGCGAGCCTATGCCGGACTTTATGGCGAAGCACCTCCCGATGATCACTCCACCCCGACCGTGGCAGAGTCTCAAGGAGGGTGGCTTCCTCGAGTCCAAGGCTCAGCTCGTCCGTTTCGACTCGGGCGATGTTGAGCAAGGGCTGTACGCAAAGGCGGCTGTCAACGCTGGCGACTTTAAGACTGTTTTCAAGGGTCTTGATGTCCTGGGCAAAACAGCTTGGAGGATCAACACAAAGGTTCTCAACGTACTTGTGGAAGCTTGGAACCGTGGACTTGACATTGCCAACATCCCTCCCCTCAACGTCGACACGCCCACCCCTGCTGAGCCAGACCAAGTCACAGATCCAGAGGGTTATCGCCAGTGGCTGAGAGTTGTCAAGCGCATCGAGAACGAACGTGCAGGCAAGCACTCGGAAAGGTGTCTCATGAATCTGCAGCTCGAAGTCGCGCGCGCCTTCAGGAACCAGACTATTTACTTTCCCCACAACGTCGACTATCGTGGACGAGCCTATCCGATCCCTACGTATCTCAACCACATGGGCGCTGACCACATGCGTGGCATCCTCACTTTTGCCAAGGGCAAGCCTCTCGGCGCTAGGGGCTTGCGATGGCTCAAGATCCATCTGGCCAACGTTCACGGCCTCGACAAGGCCAGTTTCAACGACCGTGAAGCATTCGCGACCGAGAACCTCGCCAACATTAGGGATTCCGCGACTAACCCCCTCGATGGCGAGCGCTGGTGGCTGAAGGCTGAGGATCCATTTCAGTGTCTGGCTACTTGCTTCGAGCTCAAGGCAGCTTACGACCTCGAGGATCCCACCCGGTATGTGTCTCATATGCCTGTGCAACAGGACGGCACTTGCAACGGTCTTCAGCACTACGCTGCGCTCGGTGGTGACACATGGGGCGCAAAGCAAGTCAATCTTGAGCCTGGCGACAAGCCTGCCGACGTTTACTCAGCTGTGGCGAATTTGGTCAAGGAGGCGATCGTCAAGGACGTTGCTGATGACAATCCTGTGGCGAAAATCTTGGACGGCAAAATTACACGAAAGGTGGTCAAGCAAACTGTCATGACCAATGTGTACGGTGTCACATATTCTGGTGCGAAGAAACAGGTCTGCAAGCAGATTGATGCTCTGTACCCGAACCTCGGACCCGACAATGGGATGACAAACATGGATCTGTCTGCCTACATCGCCAGGAAGATCTTTGCCGCCCTGGCATCAATGTTCCGCGGTGCGCACGACATCCAATACTGGCTCGGAGAGGCTGGAGGCCGCGTCTGTCGCGCCTTGACCAAGACGCAGCTGGACCAAATGGCGGAGAACTACAACGACGAACCCGAGGTGGTGGGCAAGGGGGGCGCAACTATCAAGAAGGCCAAGGACCCCTCAGGCAAGAAGGGCATCGATGAGTTGACAAACAGCTTCCGATCCACTGTCGTGTGGACTACGCCCCTGCGTATGCCTGTCGTCCAGCCCTACCGCAAGCCAAGTGTGCGCGAGGTCCGAACGTGCATGCAGACGGTCGCGTTTGCTGTCAGGGAACAAACCGACCCTGTCAACCGCAGAAAGCAACTGCAGGGTTTCCCTCCCAACTTCATCCATTCTCTGGATGCCAGCCACATGCTGCTCTCGGCGCTGCAGTGCAACGAGCTTGGGTTGGACTTTGCCGCTGTACACGACTCTTTCTGGACTCACGCAGCCGATGTCGATGCCATGAACGGTGTGATCCGCGAGGCATTCATCCAGATCCACGAGGAGGACATTATTGGCCGCTTGGCAGCCGAGTTCAAGACGCGTCACCACGGCTCTCTCTATCTCGCCCACATTGACCCGGAGACCCCGGTCGCCAAGAAGATCAGGGCATTGCGCACGCGAAGCAAGCTCTCGCCCAAGCAGGAGCTTCTCCTCGAACACAAGCGCAACACCTTGAAGTTCTCTGGCAACCCTTGGGATCTCGAGGCGGCCAAGCAGATTGTCACTCCAGCCTCCGTGTACGAGGACATGGCCGCTGCCGAGGCCGACGTGTCCATCAAGGAGGATGCTGCAGGCATGCATTTGGGCGCGATTCCCGATGCGACAGAAGAGGCGGCGCAGGACGCCTTGCTCGAGGAGGACGCCGAGGATTCGGCGGCCGACGCAAAGGCACCTGTCAAGAAAGCGGCCAAGGTGACTCGGTCGGCGGTGCCTGTCTGGCTACCGCTGACCGTCCCCGAGGTCCCCAAGAAGGTAATTACACTTCCCTCATCCCAAATTAATCTATCAGTGCTAATCATTTGCAGGGCGACTTTGATGTTCGCAGACTCCGGGACAGCAAATACTTTTTCTCTTGATTCCAGCATCTGTACAATACCAAGGCGCGGGCATTGATTGGCGAGCGTTCAATGGCCATTCGATTTCTGCATTTTATACAGGGCGTTTGAGCATATGGGCTCACGGCAAAAGGGGACGACTTTTACAACATGCATGCTAGGAGGCGGAGTTTTGTATCATTTTCGATTGTATTTATTACCCGACGATATGTGTTGGACGAAATGAGTTCTGTTGTAAACTGTAGTGATCGAAGGGAGTGGAGGTTATAGATAGCTTCTAAGATGAAGCGAGTCTAGATTGCCGTTCCGTGTGCATTCTCATGTTCCTCGCCGCCATCGTCCTGGCCACAGTCACATCCCATTATCTCCCTGAAGTCTGCGAGCTTCATTGTGAGTAACGTACCAACCGCCTTCTCAGCGCATGCTGCCTTGGCGTCCTTGCTGGCCTTGGCTTTGGCGTCTTCCACAACTCGCCCGTGCACCATCAACCCGCACAGCACGTCGTCTTGTGTAATCGCCTGAATCCCTTGGCTGAGAGGACAGGGGACCAGTTTGACAAGAAGACGCCAATCCCTGCACTCAAATTCCATCTGCATCTTCTTGGCGAGTAGGTTCACGGGATGACTCGAAGCGAATGTGTCGTAGATGGACATGTCCTCAAAGAACGGCTGGACGTGCACGTTAAAGAAGCACCGCACAACATTCAGATTGTACTGTGAGTCCACAAACATGGCACCGACAACGGCCTCGACTACATCCGCCAATGCTTTGTTCGGGGTGAGGGTGTTTCTCCAGTAGTCCATTCGAAGCTTGGTGCCGTTGCTGGCCTCTTGTTCCGCCGCGTTTCTCGCTCTCTCAAGACTGGCCGCGTACTCGGCCCGTTGAATGATCAGAGACGAGTTAGTTATGCGGAGGTGTTTGTGAAGCTGTAGCTGGACGCAGAGAGAAGACAAGAACTGGTTTGAAACCATAGCACCCTTGTGCTCTGTCAGCCACTGGGGGTCGGCTTCAGGAAAGGTGTGGTAGAGGTAGTCCACAATGACCATGTCCAACAATGCATCGCCGAGGAACTCGAGACGTTGATAGTCGGGAATGGCCTTCTCGTATGTGTATGAGGTGTGTGTGAAGGCACTCTGCAACAGCGCTGGCGAGGTGAACTCGTAGCCGATGTGGCTCTTGACTGTCTGCACAGCAAGTTTCTGCGCCTCGGTCACGCGCTCATTCTGAAGCCAGGATGGCGTCTGGTAATGAGAATAGTATTTCTGGAAGGATTTCATTGGATGTTTTCCACTCTTTACCATCTTCCTGACTGCCTTGACGGCCAGATCCATGCTTGTGCGAGATCCTGCAAGGTAAGCGGCGCCAATGATAGCTTCACAGACGTCGGCTATCGTTTTCTGAGACAGCTGTTGACGTTGCTCGGATTCGTGGGCGAGGACCTTGCCTTTGGCCAGGGGCAGATCGGGATACCAAACTCGACGATTATACCCCTTTGCGCGGACATATTCCGGAAGCCCACGGTCGACTGCGCGATTGAAGAGATTTTGGTTGGCAATGAGGACCATTCTTTCTACGTGGTACTCAAACTCGTTACCCTCGGGCAGAAGTGTGAAGATGGAGATTGTCGTGGCCATTTTCAAGAATGTATCTCCAAGAAATTCCAAACGTTCGTAGTTGCTACCCCCGTCTGCACTGAGCGTGCCCTCCACCTCGTCGCTCGTCTTGGTGAAGGCTTCCAAGGCAAGATCAGGGGGAAGATCAAGCCCGAGCATCGCGCAGCCATCCAAGGCGATGAGACAGGAATTGATCCTGTGAAAGATGGCAGGAAGCAAGGCAGCCATGCGTACAGTACCAACGGGGAGAGTCGAGACTTGCAGCGGCTCAAGGATGAGATAGCATTTAGAATTGGCCGCATCATTGCTAGCAAAAGGATCTAGATAATTTCTTTGCATACTTAGAACCTCCGCGTTGACGACGGGCTGGTCTTGGCGCCAGGCAGTGTTCTGGCGCCTCTTTCGGAAGAAGCTGTTGCTATACTGCTGGATGTCTGGTGTAGAGGCCTTGTAAGCTGTCGAGGTGTAAGGAACTGCGTCGTCAGGCACGGGAGAGTTTGGGTGAAGACTATTATTAAGTCCATGTATAATGAATTTGCGAGATCCGGTGAGCGAATCGAACACGAATTTGTTCTCAAAAAAGTCAGGAGCTCGATTCTCCCATGCAAGACAAGCCTCGCTGGTGGTTTTGTCGACCGCTGACCAGTCGATGTCACAGCAATTGTCTGCCGCAATAGACTCCTGAGACTGGAGCGCTGGTGCGAACAGAAAAGGAAATTCGTCCTTGCCAGCATCATAGGTCTTGCTGAAGATATCGTTGAAAAGTCTCAATGTGAATTGGTACAACAAGTCAATCTTTTCAGCGGGGAGGCGTAGGGGCACCAAAGCAGGGAGCACATTGACCAACGATGATCGTCCATGGCCGAAATGGAGAGGAATTCTCGCCATTGGAGGTAGCTTTTCTCGAGACAGTACAATCATAGGAGTTGCCATCTCGCTGTAAGCCTCTGGCCTGGCAAGGAGGAAAGTTGCTGGCCACAGATCAACGATAGGGCCAACCTTTGTCCAAATAGCAGGTTTCAGTCGGACTCCGTACTCTTTTTTCTTGTTCTCACTGACCGCGAGCCTGGCATTCCTCATCGCAGGGAGCTTCCTGGCCAAAGTCGGCTGCAGGTTGGCGTCTAGATGATCCTTGCCGTGCAGCAGCACACATGCTTCGTAGGCCGCCGATCCGCGTGCCAGCTTCTTGCTTGGCTGCGGATGGCCGGAGACAAACTTGACGGGCGATGGATCTGAGAGTATGACCTCGGCGCAGAATCGCTGGCCATCCACAGACATGTTGAACTCCGGCTTGGCTGTGCCGCGAGGGTCGACGCAGGCAACGTACCTGGCCAGAACCTCCTGACTGTTGTCGTAACTCAGACGAGCGTCCCCGATTTCATATGCCTTTTGTGCGGCAAGCTCAGCTTCGGCAGCTGTCTTGGCATCGATGATCATATCCTGTACTTTGCGGTCTTCTGGCAAGGACATGCAAAAATGCTGCAGCAAGCGAGCATCTTGCGCAGCTTGTCTCAGTAAGTGCAAGTCAGAAGAGTGGTCCTCTTGGACCATGGCAATGAAGCGCGAACTCTTCTGGCGCGCTCGGCCGCGTGATTGAATGTACTGAATCGCAGATTGGTGCATGTCGAAGCGGATGACCAGGTCGCAGACTGGGATGTCAATGCCTTCTTCAGCGACTGTGGTTGCAAACAAGCAATTTGTTTCGCCATCCTTGAAAGCCTGCAGGACACTTTGCTGTTGGTATTCGGTGACGTTAGCGATGGTGAAGAATGTTCTTTGTCGACCGACCTAAATCTGCGATTAGCATCGTGCTCCTGAGAACAACAGTGTATTCATACGAGAAAGCCTGGGCGAACACCCAGAATTTTGACCCCTGGTTGTTCGAGCAGATCTGATAAAATGACCGCTGTCGACCGCTTTTGCACAAACACGATACACCTTCGAGTACCCTGAACGCAGAACTCGTGCTTCAGAGTAGCAAGAAGGGACTCGACCTTTGGAGACAGATGTGGTTGGGAAGAAGACCTCTCGATGCTTCCCAAGTCGTATTGGTTTACAAGACGCTGTATTTGATAGACTGTCTCGGTAGCACGATCTGCCACTTGAACCGAGGCAGTCTCAAATTCTCCCTGGGTCCGGGCAAAGACTCCGGCCACCCGAATCTCTGTCACCAGCAAACTCCAGAAGCGGTCGGCAGGCCAGGCGCCTAAAGTTGACGAGATGTCTTCGGCTTCGATAAGATTGTCACGAAAGAGATGGTTTCCTCCCGCATCGACGAGATCTCGCAGCTGCAGCCACAAAACCGTGTGTGCGTCTCTCTTTGGCGGGGACTGACCATATCTGACGCAACTCTCCACGAGGTCTTGGGCGCCGATGCTCTGGCTAAGCACTTTGTCCGAAACAGTTGCAATCTCACTGTCCATCATGTCCTCAAGATCAGCAGTTGCTTGCTTGAGGTCGTTTGTCTTTGCATCAACTGGTGATGCGGTCAAGCCCATAATCTTGGGACGCTGGGTAGGGTCCAGTTCTCTGCGGTAGTGGCGCTTGATGATCATGGCGAAAGGGTGGCTTTTCTTGGTGTGATGGGCTTCGTCGAATACCATGAGGTTGATACGTGACATTTTGATGAAGCCATTGTTGAGGCAATCGAGCAGCACTTGTGCGGTCGTGACAAAAGCCATGTGCTTTGTAAATTTCTCCTCCCATACCTCCTTGGTGTTGACTATGCTGTTGTCGTTTCCTTGTAGTATGCCAATGTCAAATGGAAGGTTGTCTTTTAGGCATCTGTACTGCTGTTGGCAAAGAATGACCTTTTCCACGATGAAGAATGTGATTCTGTGGTGTTGGCCGGCCGCGCGGTTCTCGAGTTCTTGTTGGATAATGTAATCGATCAACATTACTGCAATCAAGGTTTTCCCAGTGCCTGAAGGAATTGATTATGAGTATGCGGCGGTGAGAGGACAGGCCTTGGAGCGTACATACCTGTAGGCAGCACCACGATTGTGTTTTTGAGCTTGGCCCGCTCATAGAGATCTTTCTGATAGTCACGAGGGTCGCTGACCATCCTCTTTCGACCATCGTATCCCTCATAAGTCTGGGTGCTTTGCCCCTTCTCGGACTTGTAGGGATCTGCTTGCCACTGTGTCGGTGACTCTCGCTCGCGTTGGAGAGTATATGATTCGAAGATCTGACCATCGAGGCGTTTCCTCTCGCTGATTCGCGGTTGCCGATCTGGATTTTGTTTCAGGACATAGTCTTCATCTCCCGATTCGTCAGAGTTGACATCTGAGTCCAACTCATTGTCATCATGGCTTAACGCATGGCCAGACTCTGTGATCATGGCACTGTTTGGCTGGGAAGGCGGCAGGTGTGGCTCGTCGTTGACGTTGTTTGCTTCTCCTGCACCCATAATTGCGGATCAGTAACGCGAGAGTCGCTCGGGCAATTTTTAGAGAGAATTGCCATGGATAAGGGTAGAGAAAAGTTTGAAGGCGTGAGAGGTTGGAGTGAGGGTGACGAGGTTCGCGTAAGATGTGGAAGAGAACAAGGCAAAGTCTTGGCACAGGAAATACCGACAGTTTAGCATATCAAGAGCAACAATAAGAAATTTGTGGATTGTCGGATTATTTATGAGTTTGTTCTAACTACTTGGTGAGCAAACGGTGACCCGACGGATCAACATGCCACGTCAAACAAACAAGCAATCAACGGATGATCCACGGTATGTCGCTCTGGAGTATTGACGCCTGGCAATGACAAGTCAACAACCAGCTTGTAGATGAGAAGAAATATATCGCCTACTTTCGCTGCATCCCTACAGCTCGCTTGGGTGAACACTCAGATCCACAAACTCGGACTGCAGGTGCTCATCCCGCGTCTCAGTCTGGCGCTGTTCCCACTTCTTCTGCTTCGAGGCATCTTTGGCAGCTTTATAATCCTTGGCCCACTTGATATGCTCTTCCTTAGGGTTTTTGTACCTTGAAGTGGACTTGGAGACCAGATCTTCTTCATGAGCCTTGTTCATGGACTCTATCATGCGATCGTTCTCTGCGTCTTCGTCCATCTGATGCCACTTGTGTGTACACGCCCAGTTCGTTCGTGCTTCTGAGGTCCTCCCGTTTTCGACATCCTCCCAGCAGCCTTCAAAACATTTGGAGTCGGCGCCAGGAACCGGCCGCACGGCACGACGTGGTCCACTAGGCAGAAGAATTCGCTTTTTTTTCATCCCCAGAAGCTTTTTCGGGCTTCTCTGATGTGCTTTAAATGCAAGAAGGGCCGCCCTCTTCTGGGTACGATGTTGCTGTGCATCTTCCTCGTCTGTCTCATCGTCTTGGGTAGCAGACGAGGAAGCATTTTGAAGACATTGGTCTGGGGCCTGACGGGGCCCCTCCGGTGCGGGAGGGGCCCAGTGCCAATTTAATGGCGGGACTCCCAACTGACTTTCTTCGATATTCCTGGCCTGGGGTATGGCTAAGCGCTCACGACGGCTGCGTGAAGTGGGCACCGGGCGATGAGAAGATTGGCCATTGGTCGTAGTTTTTGTGAGAATGTGGCTGTCCACAGTCGTATTGGATCGTGATGCCCCAAGGCCAGGTTCCGGCTCATCCTTTGGCTTCGGTCCGGGGCCCAGACGCAGCTCCATATCCAGCAGCTCCTGGTCCAGCAGCTCCATGTTCAGCAGGTACGTGTCCACATCAAAATCTAGATCCAAATCCAGCTCAGGCTCAGGTTCAAGCTTAGGCTCCGGAGCAGGTTTAGGGTCAGGACCAGGACCAGGACCAGGACCAGGCTCAGGCTGCGGGTCCGGCTCGACCCTATCCAAGAGCTCCCAGTCCGAATAAGGGGGATATATTTCACTAAATTGTTGCATATAAGGACCAAAACAGTCTCTTGGAAGACTGCTGGGCGGTGTGACAGGGCCACTGTCAGACTCTTCGGAATCCGACCCAGGCAACTCTTCAAGACCAGCGTCTACGCGGAGCATGTTCTCGAAGCGTCGCTGCTGCGCTTTCATGGACATGGGTTTATGTGCGCTATCCATTGTGAGTGATGAATGGGTGTACAGGATAAGGTGTGGTCTCGCGGTGATAAAGGGTATCCTGTGGTGAGGAATTGCTTTCTTAGGGATGTGGGTGAATGTGAACTGGCGTGTGGGAGTTGGGGACAGGCCAGCCTACCGTTTTTATACATGATGGCAATTCCAGGGTCCTGGTCCCCGAACTCAATATTCCTCGCACTCAGTTTGACTTCAGGCACCAAGGTATACTGAGGCGCCTTCCGCATCTTCTTTAGCTTTCGGGGGCCACATCGTGGAACGGCGCGAAGGCTTCTCTGCCACAGAATCTTTCTTGATCCTGCATGTGACTTTTGTCCTGGTCTGGCGTGTGGTCCTCTGGGCTAATGGTGTCGTGGATGGCACGTTTGGCTGTCTTGATCGGCCGGGCACCGACCTCACTTCCTACGGGACCTCGATCCCTGGAGACCACCGCCCTGGCGTTCAGGATACCGCCCCATGTACACAGCATTTGCTTCAAGCTAGCGTCGATGCTGACGCAGAATCTCTGTACCACGATGAACTGCACGGCGCTCTCAAAGCTGTTACCGTACACTGCCATGATATACGCAGCGACTATGGCGGGTGACAGCTCGTTTCCGGACTCACAAGTCACGAGTACCTTTCCCCGCTTGAAAGTAGCCGGGTCAACCACCATTTCGCCATCCAAGGTACATTGATGGGCTTGGGAGCGGTAGACGTGAAGTAGATGCTGATTAATGGTGCTGATCGTTTTGGGCAGGTTGTGTATGAGCTGCTGAGTCCCCATGACCTCAACGTATTCCCCAACAATGCCAAGTTGCTGGGATGCCATCTCCAAGCTGCGTGATGGTAGTCGAGTGTTACGGACTATGATGATCATGGTGATGCCCTCGTTCTGTAAGAATTGGAGATCTCGTATGGCCGTGACTGGTCCGACGTACAGAAAGTCGAGTACGCGCTGAGCTTTCCTCCGATCTTCGTATCTCCAATCTGCCGATTTATTCTCCGCGATGAGCCGAGTTTCATTTCCAGTGATGATACTAAGGTCCTCCGCTGTGAGTTGGCCAGCGTCGGCGTTCTCGTACGAGGGAACCAGCACGAATTGGGACTCTGAGCCTGCCCTCCTCCTCATCAGCGGATAGCGCACCTCCAGCGCTGGGGGGCTTGGTGCTCTGCGCGAGTATGGCGCGCTCGGCGCGAAATTCTTCTTCATGGCGACGCCCCAGTGTGAACCGATCACGCAATTCTTAAGCACGAAAGTTTAAGTGCCGTGATGGTTGTGGTTGTTGTTGTTTTGGCAATTTTAACGTTTTGGGCGCAGGCCGCTCATCAGGTCGAACGGTCGTGTGAGTCTCTGAGATGTGCAGAAGATCAAGTCTGGACTAGCGAGCTCTCGAGTTAAAAAGTGAGCGCTTGTGACGGCAAAAAGTCGGTTATAGGGTTCCAAGGGGACGTGAATGGTCCATGTTTGCTCGAAATGAACTTATCAATGTCGAATCTGATGTTGAATTTGATGTTGAATTTGATGTTGAATCTGATGCTCACGTGATACTTCTGGGTGGCCAACGTTACCTTAGGATCCGGTAATGCGCCAAGGAGGTTAATCAACACGCGTGATGAGACTGGACCCTGCGCGCGCTAATCAATACGCTCGGCCGCCGCTGAAACTAGTCCAGTGATCAAGGGTCCACGAATTGGCACCGCTAGTTGCAAAATGCCACCAACATCAACCTTGTGAGATGACTACCAACCTTCGAGTTCTACGTTTGTCATGCCAAACGCACAAACGAGATGTTAAATGACATCGAAATTGATTAAAGTTTTCACATGGCTATTCTACAACATTTCATACACCGCGTGTGTGCCTCATGCCCGCCAAAACGCCATGCCATTCCCGTGGGGTGGCAACATATGCCTCGCCCACGCACTCGTCAGTGATACACGTATCGTACAGTTAAACCGGCCCCAAAGGCAGTATGCTCAAAGGCAACCTACTTTGTTGCCCACTCCCGCAAGCCGCCGCCAACTCGCTCGTCATGGTCACGGCTCGGATCAGTTTCCTGCGAAACCGAATCCACCGTCTCGACCTGTTGCTGCTCCATTGAGGCTTCGGATTCGGTGGGCGTTGCTTCTGGTCTGTTGCCATTCTCATCCACTTCCTCCTCTCCCGCCAGGATCTGAAGGTGGGCTTCGCGTGCCGCCGCCCTGCCACGTCGTAGCTGTCGGGAACTGATGAAGCTCTGCTCTGTAAAGTCCAAGCGATCCAGCAATTGGATCAGCTTCTCCTCCACAAGCGAGCGCACGTGCAATGCCGCATCCGTGTCGCGGAACATTCCCGTGTATCGGTACGAGAGCCAGATGTACTGGTTGAGTGCAATGTGGAGAATCTCCAACTTGTTTAGATGATTGTGCGCAGCTTTCCCGCCAAGGACGTCCTCGATTTTGAAGTCGAGATATTCAATGGGAATCTCTGGAATGTCCAGCAAATCACCCTTGCTGTTCTCGGCGATGACTCGCGCGAGTGCTACGACGGTATCCCGGGACTCGGCAGCGTTCAGCTTGACAGGCATGTAGCCAAGAGTCATGCGATCGTAAATGGAGAGGTTCAGATGCTGCACGAGGTCGGCAATCTCGAGGAGCTCCGACGTAATGGAAAGTTGATACCGGGGCCCAAGGGCGGCAGCCGACTTGATGCGCATCAGGATGAAGGACAGTGGCGTCGTCGGGGGGTAGTACGATGCGAAGCGCTCGACAATGCCGGGCGGGGGCGCAATGTAGGCCGTCTCGAGGTCGTTGACGGGCCGGCTAAAGGCCTTGAACACGCTCTTGAGATCGACTTTCTCCATGGTCGTGACATACCCAGAACTCGGTCGGGATTCCACCGCATCCTCACCTGGCCTGGACGCCGTCCTGTACCTTCCAGCGCGGCCTCCAATCTGTTTGATCTCCGGGAACGTCAGGGGACGCTCTTGCGAACCATCGTATTTGAAGGTAGAGTCGAGAATGACTCTTCGAATTTCGAGGTTGAGTCCCATGCCAATGGCATCACTCGCCACAACAAAGTCGTAGTCGTTGTATGGGTCGTTGAATAAGGCGGCTTGCTGTATGCGGACCTCGGGCGGTAAAGAGCCGTAGATGATGGCGCACCTCCGGCCTGTCTTCTCCTCGATCGCCTTCTTCAGAGCATGCAGCTCCTTCCGACTGAATGCGACAACGGCATCGCCTTTTTGAAGCTTGCCGAAATCATTCTCCAGAGAATCTTTCATCGTCTCCAGCGGACTCAGCCTTTCGTAGCGATGGATGACGCACTTATCACCCACGCCCGCGCAGAGGGCCTGCACGAGACCGACAGCGCGCTCCTCTCCGCACACATGGACCTCTTTGGCCTGCACACCGAGGAAAGCCATTGTCCACCCGTTGCCTCGATCAGGATCGCCCAACATTTGAATCTCGTCAATCACAGCTACATCGAATCTTCCATTCAACGGAATCATCTCGACGGTGGAGCTGGTGAAGTAGTTGTCCGTGTCCTTGGGTATCTTGAGCTCCTCTCCCGTGATCAGCGCGCAGGGTATCCCCTCTGCCGTGAAGCGAGTGTAGACTTCAGCTGCGAGCAGACGCAGAGGACCCGCGTACACGCCCGACTTTGCCTTTTTCAGGGCCTGGATGGCATTGTATGTCTTGCCCGAGTTCGTGGGTCCGACGTGCACGTGCACAGTGCGCTGGAGCTCACGCGTGGCCGGGAACCACTCTTGAGGAAATCGAAAGTTGAGGAGGCGCTTCTGGTTCTCCTCGAGAGCTTTCGAGAAGCGATGCCGCACCATAAAGGACTGGAACGCGTAGCGCACCTCAGTTGTGATGCCCTTGGCGTCTCTGCGCACAAAGGCCTCGCGCAAGTTGTAGAAAAGAGGATTCTTGTCGCGGCGCGTGATATTCTTCTCTGCCAGAACGAATGCCTCATCTAGCGCATTCATGAAAAGGTTGGCCTGCCGGTTGAGCTCATCGTGCGTGAGCCCTATCGCCTCAAAGTTGGCCTTTTCAAATTCACTGAGCACGTTGCCAAAGCGAGCCAGCACGGCGCGTCTGAATTGGTCATGACGCCCAGTGTGTCTCGTCAGCAAGGTCTGCCGCAACCTCGACTGCGGATCGGGTCCTTTGCTGACCTGATGCTGTGGTTAGTGGGCTGAGTGGAGTGATGGGCAGCCGTGTCAGAAAGACTCACAGATCCAACTCTATCGACATCTTCTATACGTGCATCCGTTGTAGTGCCGTCATGAGGCCTGATTTTGTCCTTCTTGGAGTTGCGCGGAGTCGCAGGAGTGGAGTAGAAACATCGTTGAGCGGTCCTTAGCAATGAGATTCGACATAGGGGCGTTCTCACAGCCCCTGTCCGGGCCAGCAAACTCATAATTGCACACTGCTGGGCATTCTTGGGAATTGCATGCGAGGGGGAAGGTAGAGAGCGACGAAACATGTAACGCAAAGATCGAAAGAGTAGCGTGTTGGCAATGAGAAACGCGACAATATCTCAAGACAACTTTTTCCCCATGGACCCGCGTCAAGTCGCCTCAATGAGGCAGTCATGGAAATTTCATGCGCCGGCGCGAGGATAGCCCGACGCAAGCCACACACCGCTTGCTCTGAGAACCCGCTCAAGCAGGCTGCTGCGCCACACTCTTCAGGCACAGCTGTGAGACATTGATGCGGTCATTTCTTCGTCGCGCCTTCCTTGGATAGACTTTTGATGAACTTCAATGCCCCGGATTTGATCTTCTTACATTCGCCATCTCGCGCGCCGCGACAGACGACTCTTTCGTAAATCTTTGTTTTCTAACTTCGTTCAGTCTTGTTCCATTTGAATCTCAATTTCGACACAAGCACGAGACTTGCGTCTCGTAACACAGAGCCATGGCATCTTCCTCGACACCATCGACGCCTTTACTATAGTACGTCCTGGATCAACCCACGAGCAATGCCTCTGGATTCCACGTGCTAATTTTGTCGCAGCTCTTGCATCGCCCATCACACCACCATTCTCGCAGAATGTACCACGTCAGCCTCCTCGCAAACCTCCTCGCTCGCCTCCCTGATCCTCCCCAAAATCGAGCACACCTCGCCACAGAAGCTCACCTACACCCACGGCCAACACCAGATCCACTACATTTCCGAATCGCCGTCTGACCACCCTGGCCAACCGGGCGCCGGCGGTCTGACCTTTCTCGTCGTGGCCGATGCCTCCCTCGGCCGTCGCGTGCCCTTTGGGTACCTCTTTGAGATCCGCAAGCGCTTCTTCCAGCAGTTCCCGCCCAGCTCGGACTTTGCCGACATGCCCAACTACGGCGCCGCCTCGTTCAACGGTGAGCTCAAGAACCTCATGGTCGAGTACGGCTCCACGAGCGGCGGGCAGAGCGACGCGATTGGCAACGCCAAGCGCGAGATTGACGATGTGCGCGGCATCATGACCAAAAACATTGAGAGCCTGCTCGAGAGGGGCGAGAGGCTAGACCTGCTAGTGGACAAGACCGACCGGCTGGGTGGCAGCGCGCGAGACTTCAGGATGCGCAGCAGAGGTCTCAAGCGGCAGATGTGGTGGAAAAACGTCAAGCTCATGGCTCTTCTGGGCATCGTTTCCTTCTTGATCATCCTGGCTATTGTTGTTTCGGTCAAGAATTAAGGCAGCGTTAACTAAGATTGCTACTGATGAAGGGAGGAGCGCATGCAATTTTCCTGGGGATTTGAATCGTTGTACACGACTAGGAACTCTTTACTATGGGTAGGGAAAGGGAACGGGGGCGTCTGGCTCTTTGGAGATCTTATTTTATACCATATATCAAGCGGTTTTCTTCGAAGATTGCACCCTCCCTCGCGAACGCTTGATCTTTTGCCCTGGGTCCTCTTTCGTTGTCGAGTGTACGCTAATCTGAATTGCGAAATCAGCATTATGCAGCACAAGAGACAGCCGATTGACCAACATACAGTGAATGCTATACCGTCTCAGGCCTCTTGATCAAAGACGCGACCCGGATCTGGTCACCTCTTGGTATGCGTAGCCCTGCGTGACCGAGCTTCCATTTCGATTCGGTGCGATTGGCGATCTCTTAAGACGATGTGTGAAAAACGCTGGATGTCTCATTGACACATCGTGGAATGGCGCCGAGCTTGGCGCTGGTCGCGTGTGAAGTGACGACACTGAGGTTGCCGGTGGCGCTGCATCCATTGCGAACCGTTGCAGCGAGTGTCAATAAGAATCATGCAACTAGAAAAGTCTGGCCTAGGTCGCTGAGGGATCCATCATCGATCTCTTGTCACTGTGAACGGACTAAGTAGATCGTCGTGGTGATCTCATGCTCGTTGCCCGCTCGGTCTTGTCTGCGACATGTGATGACTCAGCTTTTGTAGACCTCGGTTCACCGCTGTACCAAATCCGTCGTGGTACTCTGTAGGACACGAGTCAACATGGGTGGCTAGCGGGTGTCAAAGTAAATTGAATATATGCACATGCTCGCTCTGGTATATATGACATGCTATGAGTCCGTCTTCTTGCTCTTTCTTCTGGATGAGGACCACGAAGACGACGATGACGACTTGCTCTTCTCGGACTTGGACCTGTCCTTTTTCCGGTCCTCGTCCTTGTCCTTGTCCCGCTTCTTGTCCTTTGACGACTTGTCCCTTGATTTGCTCTTCTTCAAGCTCCTCAAGCTCGCCGTGTCGTCGGACTTGTCCTTGTCCTCGCGCTTTACGGCGAGGAGCTCCTCCTCCTTTTTCTTGGCGGCGCGTCTCTTTGAGGCGGCCTTTTCCATCTTCTCGATAAGTGCGTCGCTCTCCTCCCAGAGCTTCTTGGCCACTTCTTCATCCTTCACTTCGGGACGAGCAAAGTCAACCTCGCGGCATTCCTTGATCAGCTTGCCGCCTCCGCCGCGTAGAATGTCACCATCCATGGCAGCGTAGTAGAAAGACTGCGCACCCTGTTCGGGTGACTTGAGCAGCATCCACGGCACAAAGTATCCGAGCACGTACAGGACGAGACCCGTCAGTGTGCCCTTGGTGAGCCATCGGCGCATTCCAGCAGTCCGACAGAACCCAGGATCGACAAAGACAACGCGCGTGGTGACCGGAAACCCATCAGGACGCTTGTACGAGTCGAGGTGCTTCTGGTAGGCGTGTCCAAAGGTCGTGAGCGCGAGCTTGCTGCGCGCATACGCCACGGTAGGTGACCACGTGCTCTCGTCGACGGGTTCCTTGAGCGAGGGCGAGCGAATGTACGAGGAGCACGTCGCGACGAGGATGCGTACGTCCCTGTCAAAGGGCTGTGCCCGCAGCGCCGGGCTGAGAATTGCGAGAAGATGAAAATTGGCCAGGTAGTTGACCATCCACGTCTCCTCGATGCCGTCCTCGGTAATGACGCGTTCTTTCCCGGGGGGCGTAAGCGTGGCCGCGCACAGAACAATCATATCCAGCCTTCTCGGGGGCGCATTGTCGATCCACTTGGTCGCAAACTTGCGTATGCTGTGCAGGCTGGTGAGGTCGACCTGCTCGGCGTAGATGAGCTGGTTGTCGTACTTGTCGCGCAGGTCCTGGATGTACTCGGCGAGAAAGGGGTCGGACGGCGGGACGTGCGTCAAGAGGACTATCTGGGCGCCTCGTTTCGCGAGGTCGTTCGCTACCCGTGCCCCCACACCCGTTGTACCACCTGTGATCATTACGACTTTGCCATTCATGGGTCGCTCGGACGTGTTCGTTTGGCCAGAGCAGAATTTTTTGAGTAGGACGAGGAAGCCTGCGGTAGCTACGATGTAAACCATGCGCATAAAATTGCTCCGTGCCCATTCTGGCGGCCCGTTGATCAGCGAGTAGGTGATGAATTCGAGAGGCATCGTGGCGGTGGCGGCGCGCGAGCTACGGAAGCTCGGCGAGACGGGAAGGGAAGGTCGTCTAGATGTTCGATACCATCTGAGACAAGATGGATTGGGCGGCGGGATGGCCGGGGGGCTTGGCTGTGAAGTCGGAATCACAGTCTCGGGATGGACAGCTGGCAGAAGTTGGCCCAGTCGTGGTCGGTCAAGAAATTGGAGTTGCTGCACTGGCTGACGAAAAATGGGGACCCGTTCGCCAAGACTCGGACTTGGACGGGGGCCCGGGAAGTTGTGGGTGGGGCCACCAATCCAAACAAACGAACCCCTAACCCCTGAGATTTGATCACTGTTGAAATTGAAAGAACAGGGCCAGACTATCGTGCGGTGTCTTTGACCGCGATGATCTAGATCATCCCTAAGTCCACGCCAGATTGGAACCATGCACCACGCCTCCTAGCCAAGCAACTCCGTTCCGATGTTGTCCTCGTTCATCAGTCGTCAGTCGTGACCTCCCAATAGCAAGTCTCAGCAACGTCTTCTACTCATCCTCCGATCCGCTATCCTCGCCCGCCATTCTTGCAATCACCTTGTTTCTCTTTCTTCTCTTCCTCGGGTCATCCTGCGAAGGACCATCGTCCTGTAGCGTTTTGCGCACCTTGACCTGCTTGTCCTCCTGCATCTCGACGATGCGATTGTTAATCTCCATGGTCGTTCTGATTCGACGCAGGTGCGTGATCTTCTCCTGGCCAATCCTCCAGACGCGTCCAAGCGCTTGGTCTTCCACCGCCGTGTTCCACCACAGATCCACGAGGATGACGCGGTTGGCCGCATACAGGTCCAACGCTGTTGAGCCGGCACGCAGTCCCACGAGCTGCAGCAGAGGTCAGTCCAGCCAACATGTCACCTCGGCATCCCATACATACCATAACCTTTTTCGACGGGTCGGTTTGAAAGCCCTTGACAGCTTTGGACTTTGCTTCAGGACACAGCTCGCCATAGTAGTATAGGAAGGGTATGTTGGCCACTTGCAGCATGTGGCCCAGGACAGCTGCTGTCGGTATGAATTGGGTAAAGACTCAGATTCGTCAGTTATAAATTGCTCAATGTGATAGTGTGACAGAACCTACCGACAATCTTGTCCCCCGGGAAATCCGAAAGCCACTGCAGAATAATTCCCATTGCCATGGTTGTCTTTGGGCTCGGTGGGACCCTGTGGCGCTCGGGCGTAGCCACCAAGGCTAGGAAGATCCCATGGCTTTTGGGGTCTCTTGAGAGCCTCTGTCCGTGGCTGTCGGCTCCTGCGGTTATCGGCCCAGACTTCTTGCTCGCCGCAATGACTTTGTTCGCCAAAGATGCAACAGTGGCAACGACCGTGGGGTAAATGTGGTACTGGGCTGAACAATCCTCACCGTTGTTCCTACCTGGGCACCGCTTTGGGTTCGATTTCTCCTAGTGTCTGTTAATCACCCTTCGTTGCCAAATCGTGTTCACTGACCATAGCGCAAAGCTCTTGAAAGTGGTTCATGATGCATCGCCCGCAGAATACATGAGAGCAATTTGCGCTCTCCATTGGATCTTCTGGCTCTTCCGTACCACAGATAGCGCAGCATAGGAGTCTCAGTCTGGCCTGGTTCACCGCGAGCTCTAGAAGTCGATCAAGGTTCAGATGGCCCGATAGAGTCGCACTCGAAAACCTGGCGATCATGTCCAATCCTCTTTGAAACTCCCGTATGCCTTCGTTGGTATCGCATGTTCTCCGCAAAATATCAACAACATTGTGTTTTGGAAGCTTTGCCAGCTCAGCAATAAGAAGCTCGAGCTGTGCGACAGTAGCCTTCTTCAAGAGCATACGACCAAGATTGAAGGGATGAGATGCGGCACGGCAAAGCTTGTTGCCGAGCTCGCTTTTTCCTTTGCCTTTGCCCTTATTCGCAAAACGATCGAGCTCCTTTTCCATGTTGGATGGATCCCAGCGCCCCACAGCGTGGGAGATCTTGTCCTCGTCGTTCGGTTCGTAACAAGCTCCGTCACGAATTTGACGTTGCAGATCCATATTTCGGATCACAGTCCTGACAACGTCAACTACATTGAGCATACTGGCCTCATCATGGACTCACATGAACACGTGGTCTTCTTCAGCTGTTGACGGGACTATAATGTCCTTGCTGTAGCTCTTGGGGATGTCGAGGATCTTGGCGTTCATGAAAGTATCATTCTTGGTTCTTTGAACGTCAGCACATTGCATCCGGGCACATGTCCCGCAAGCCCTTACCTTCTGTACATTACCATCGAAACCAAGACTTCGAGCTCCATGACTTTGTCTTCCTGTCACAGCTAGTGTTAGATATGTCGCCGGTCATCCCAACGCAATTCAACATCCTTACCGGCGGCTCTTGTTTACCTGCGAAATCCTTCTCTGTTTGTGGATTATTGTACTTCAGAAACTCGAGGTAAGGAAAGAATTCTAGATCATGTACTCAGCCTCGGATCTCTCAAATCGATCATTGGGCCCTACCTTTGGGAGCATTGGCCAACGGCGTGCCACTCAGGCACCACCGATTCTTGGCTTGAAGATTCCAGCAAGCTCGAGCGGCTGGCGAGGTTAGACATGCTTCTGTCTTCCACCGTGGTAACTCACTGATAGATTTCCCGTTCTTGATCTGCTGTGCCTCGTCGAGGACAACGCGGTACCACGGGATCTTGAAAAGAACCTTTGATTCAGCCGCCACCATGTCCCGAATGCACTGTTCATTTCCGTGGCATCGTTGCTCGATTTCCTGGTACCGCACGATGCTTGGGTGCTGGCTTAACAAGGTGTTGTACGTCGTTAAGCTAGATCAAGGTCATGCAATGTCAGCTGTTGCTCGGAACCTCCTTAGATGAGCTGCGGACATACACCATGAATCGGTTGACAAGTGTCTCTTCACTCATCGCATCGCTCGATCTGTAGATGGTTGCTGTCATGGCATTCTTTTCGCTACAGTGCTGGTTCGTCTTGTCGAGCCACTCTCCGGCCACTGTGAGGTTTGGTACAACAACCAACGTGGCCTTGCGATAGTTCTCGAGGTCTTCTCCCTCCGGTGGATTCGTAGACATGCAGAATAGAGTCACGATGGTCTTGCCCATGCCCATCTCGTCCGCAACGAGTCCACCATGAGGCTGTCCGAGTACTTCGCGCCTATTCATCCACGCTGTGACTGGGACCTGATAGCTCATTAATCCTGCCTTCATGGATTTATGATACCACCTGTCGCCTTTCGTTGTCAGCTTCTGAAAACCAAAGCTTTGGACACCCATCTTGAGGTCTTTCAATTGATTCGATGATCGACGGGTATCGCCACCTGGAGGCATGCATCTTCGGAGAAACTTGAATTGAGTAGCGTGCGTGGTAGCGCTGGATCCTGGCATGACCGAAGCATTGGCGTCCTCCATGTCCGGCCTTGTGTTGTGGCCCGCCAGTAGACTCCCTCCTGTTTGTGCTTTGGCAGACGCCTTTCCGCCCTTCTTCTTGTTTTTGAGCTGCTTGACCAAAGCCTCCTTTGCTTTTTCGTTCCAGTCTGGGTCTTTCTGTAGCTGCAGGAGCCAGTACTCTTTGGGGGTCCTGGGACGGTGGGCTTTCCCTGGATCCTCTGCTTGGCTCTTGGCTTTTCCTTTGGACTGTTCTTCAAGAACTGGCTGCCTATCTTCTTCCGGCTGGTATGAATCATCAGATTCTCCGTCGCTTTTATCACCACCCTGGCTGTCACTGCCATTACCATCGTCGTCGTTGGGCTCCCCTTTTGGAGAGACCAGATCAGAACCGTCGGCATCGTCGGTCTTGCCGTATTCTTTAGGTGTTCCGGTATTGTTCCTGACGCCAAGCCCGGTCTCAACCGGCTCACTCTTGATCTTTACCTGTGGTTGATCACTCACGGATCCATCGCTTGGCTTGTCAGCTTGGCTTGCCATGTCATGTCGATCTTGTAGACTTGTTTCCCACGCTTTTTCGTCCCTCATGTGTTCACTGAGAGACAGTCCTGTAGATTTACTTGACAAAACTTGATAATCGACTTTGAGCTTGGGATTTGAGTCCGATATGAGCGAGTCCTCGTCCATCGGTTCGCTCTTTATGATGGGCTCAACAGCCGATGGCAATCGAGCCATAGCTTCGCCACTACCTTCCTCTTTTGAGTCCTCCTCGGAGTCAGAGAAGTTGAGATCGACGACTTGAGCGTGAGATGGAAGTTGAAAGTCGGAGAGGTTCTGTTGGGGAGTTGCTGGAGGAGTTCCAGAAGAAGAAGATGACATTTTCGCAGAATAAGGCTAGGCCTGGGTATCAAGGGGGGTGGGTACGATGATATGACTGTTGCTGTGTGAACACATACAGCTATGAGGATGAAGAAGAGAAGTGTAAGGTTGGGAGAAAGAAAGAGAAGCAGGTTCGTGAAGTGGGAGTTGAGGAACAATATATAGGCACAGATTCGGCCTTGAAGAGAGATGAAAGGAAGAAAATGTGATAATTGAGGCTGCATGCACTGTTTTGTCAGATGAAAACCTGTTCTCCTACTGTTGGAGATACATATTTCCTGATCCCCTTTTTGCGGACATTTCCTGAGATCAGTTGCCTAAAGCTGTCGACACGCCTGGATTAAGTACCTACGCTCCAGACAAACCAAGCTGGATTCAAGCATTCGTGTTCTCTGCGCTTATGCCGTCTTTCTGATTAACAGCTCAAACCTAATGAGTTTCCGCCATGCTTGCTCTATGCTTGTTCCAAAGAGCACCACTACTAGAGCACCACCATTTTGATAAATGATGGTCGGGTCCGAGGGTCACAGGAGACTGGTGATCCACGCGGCAGACGAGGAGTGCAATGACCGCTCAGCTGCACTTCGGCGGCGACTGATGCATCTTGACCAGTGGAGGTGCTTTCCGTGCCCAGTGGCTCTCGTCATTCAACCAGAATTCTGGACTCCAGAGCCTACTCTGTATATCTAGATTCTAGACTGGATGATCGGATTGTGGGGTTGGACATCGTGGGGAGTACTGCAGAGAAATTCATCGAGTCATCTTCCACCACACAGCACATTGTTTATTCGGCCTGATCCTAGTCTAGTGTAGATCGTATGTAGAGTTCTGGGCCCCATAAACGCCGGTGCGAGTGGAGGTTCAAAGCGTTTGACCGCCGCGGTACGAGACAAATCGTTTCCGAACGCATGCGCCGATACGGTGTTTGTGGCACCCAACATTCGCTGTCACGGGCGTGGGCCGTGTCTTGTGTCTGAAACGACGCTGAAGCTCTGTTTGCTTGACAACCGCGGCCGAGGTGATGTCCTGCGCGGGTACTAGCATGTGTATCGTGACAGTGATAGGGTGTAACTCGAGAATTCAGGCCGTTGAACACGCACTGATGGCATGTGCTTGTCGTTACTGGATCTCAGTTTGAATCAGAGAGTTCAGAGGGATGATTGAGTCCCACATCTTATAAATCCTTGCTTTTCCAATACCAAACACCATCCACACACATCAGGTTGCTATCCATCTCTCGACTGACCGACCTCGGACCCGCCCTGTCTTCACATTTGACCTCCCACGGCCAAAACACTACCGCCGCAATGCCCGACATGCGAGGGTTCTACCGCCTCGTCGGATTCCTGACTTGTGCCTGTATCCCATGCCTTCACCGTCGTATCGTGGAATCAGACGTCGAGTCTCTGTCGATAACGACCACTCCATGTTGCCAGAATCACACGCATCACTCCCACAATTCAGGAGATCCGTATATGGGCGCCAGCGTGATACACTTCACCCTGCCGGCAGAAGGCCACTCACTTGATGGGACAGAATCATTGGAGAGCAAGCCATATGCCGATGATGACGGATGGATGTGCAGCCATGGGAGATAATGTAATAAAGGACAAAGGAAGGGTTCGCGCGAGCTGGATAGAATGAGACTTCTTTTCCTATCTTGCATCTTCGTGTATCTATGGAGTCCGACGACCCCAGGACTGCCCACGGCAGTACAAGCGAAACTCCTTAAAAAGCACAATTTTCCCGTCAAAGATGACAATGCACTCCAAACACCGTACGCTTATAATTGTGAAATCGTTGACATGAACTCATCTCATCATCCAGTCGTCATTGAGCTCCTCCAGCGTGGGACTCTGCGACTGTCGACGCGGGTCGATAACTCTGCTCCTCCGCCGCCCTCAACTCGGTCAGCCACGAGTCCATGCGCCTCTGCTTGTCCTCGCCGGCCTGAACGAGGCGCACGTAGGCTGCCGCGCCGTCATCGGTGTCCTCGTCCATGCTCCACAGTGTCAGGTGTTCCGCGACGGCCAGGACGGCGGCGAGACCAATCTCAATGAATGGGTTGCGCCAGTGCCAGGAGCAGGCGGCGGAGAAGATGAGGATGCAGGTGTCCATGGCGTCGGAGAGGAGGTTCACCAGGAGCGCCCTGCGCACCTCGCGCCTGCTGGGCGCATCGAGGTCAGCCGTCCAGAGCAGGCCGCCGAGAAGGAAATCCCTGGAGCCGAGAAGGGCGCCCAGCAAAAATGTCGCGCCCGTGGCGGGAATGTCAAATGACGAGAGGCCAATGGCTGGCCAAGCGATGAAGGCAAGACCACGGACGACGCGCACGGACGCGAAGAGGGTGATAGCGATGCGCTGCGCCGAGTTGAGAGGTGGCGATGGGGGGGGCGTTGGTTTGACAAGCAGAGGCTGCGTTTCCGTGATCATGACGGTGGGTGTGTCCTTCATGGTTTAAAGGGCAAAAGTGGAAGGTGAGAGTAAGTAGAAGAATGGCGCGCTCCTGTCTTATGTACGAGGCAGTGAGGGTTTTGCCTATGGGGTTGGTGGTGACTAGTCTCTGCGCTTTCAGGATTTTTTTCACTCGACGATGGAGCCGATCGCGCGATCCCTGACGACGCGAAAGATGGGGGCAGAGTAGAAAAAGTCTGATGACGAAAGGACCTCCTGGACAGGTTTAATGATCACGAGCTCTGTCGACAGACTGATACCAGCAGGCAGAGAAATTCTCACAAGAGAAAAAGATGCAGAGTAGAGGAGGGCGAGACATCACCATCTTATCAGTCCTGGGCTAATAACCCCCCACGGAAGGCGACCACACCGTTGCCTCTGGGTACGATGAAAATGGTGGTGTCATGAAGGCTGCGGCTGGCATTGAGCTAAGGTCGACTGCGTGCAAATGCGGAGAAACAGGGTGGGTGGCGTCGCGGCGTCGCGTGTGGTGGTTGGACAGCCAGTTTCACTCTCACAAGGCGCGGGATGGGAGCTCCGGGCAGGAGTCGCAGGACAGGATGGATGTTGGCAGGCAAATGATGGGATTCTCTGCTTCTCGCCATCATGGTGGTTTGCGCATGCACATGCACGACAGGACAGGAGGGTTGCAGTGCATGCTCGTCATGCTGCGTGAGGCGCCGCCTCCACTCGTCACGTCGGCGCGTCAGCTGGCTGGCTGGCTGGCGACCTGGAGGCGGTGGATGATGATTAATGGCGACATGGGATTTTGCCCCCTCCAGTCGCTCTGGGCCACGACGCCACCGTCAGTGGCAGAAGCTTAGCATCCTTGTTTCTCGATGATCTGTTGGTGTTCTCCAGATTGCTCGTGCTGTCTTTCTGGGGAGACGATGACAATCCGGCAGCTGGCAACGTGGTTAGGCGGAGATACGGATACGAGTGGGAGGAACACTCGAGATAAGGACTGGAGGTGTGGGAAGCCTGCGCCACACGACAACCTCGCCAAGTGCCCACCACCTTACCTGTAATATAGGTAATAGTTATTTCACGTCCAGGTACTGTGCCTTACAACGGACTGAATATCCAAGAAGAAAATGATGGAAGACTATCCATAACATTACATATCCAAGCCTCAGATAGCATTCTAACCCAAGGTATTTTCTCGTCGCCAAAATCCACTCTGGCTACCCTATGCCCGCCTTTGAGCTTTTTCCTCACCGCCTGCACGCCATGAGGACGCCATGAGATGCACGATTCCTACTGCGTGCGTAGTACAGAGCCAACCAGTATGTGCAGTAGTGTTTCAATCATCGACCGGCTGCGGGTGGCGCTACCCTTGGCGCATGCATTCAAGACCATCTCCTCGAAATGCGGGCTGTTAGTGGCCGGCACTTCCGTCAGCTGCGCGGGCAGATCACATGCATCACCACGCAGATATATACGTAGTCTGTAGTCTGGGAATCTGCTTTGACTCGTGACCAGACCATCTGTGATTCTCATCACCAACAGTCGAATGTTACCACATACCTGCAATTGGAAACATCAACAATGACAGTCACAGACTGCCCAAACACTACGAGGTATCTAGACTCAAGCTCTACTAGGCATCCAGGTTTAGTGCGCCAGCAGACACTCAATGAACGATGAGGCCCATGTCCGCCAATTTGGGTTTTCGTTCCTTATAAGGAAGGATGGATTTAATAGTTTGGCATGCGCCGCACCTGGTCCTGCCTGTTTCTTCCCCCTCCCGGAGCCTCGACTGGAGTCCCGCCCCAGCAAGCGCCTGCCAAAAAATGGCTGATGGCATCTTTATTCTCGCGCTGCCTGCCGCGTGGTAGCTCCAGTCGGTCACATCCCAGTTGCCAACGGGCAAAACATGAAGGCACGTCACCACACGGGGTGAAGCACGAATTCTCATAAGCGACAAACAGACGGGATGAGCCTTGGTTGACCATCATCTCCAACCCCCCTGCGCCGACAACTTGTTGCACAGCGCCAGAAAAAAGTTTCACAAACCTCCTTGCATGAACGTCTATGGCCGACGCGGGAAACCCTCGTCGTACCAAGCGGCAGGCTTCGGGCGCCAAGGCGTCATCTGCAGTGCCGCCTCAACAGGGACCAATTGAGTCTCTAGAGCCGCCTTGGCTCGAGGAAGAAGCAAAAAGACCCCAGGGGGACGGATCGTCAGCAAATCTAGGTGTTGATGAGACTTGGGGTTCCAATGCATCGGCCCAGGGGTTGCTGCATGGTGATACCACAATCCTACCCGGTGAGCGACGAGGACCAGGACGACGAGGCCGAGTTCTCTGCTAGCAGCGTTAATTATGACACGGACCGCGATTCGCTAGCGTCCGAGGAGCACGATGGGTATAACGAGTCCATGTCGCTACTCCCTAGCCTGTACGAGCACAGCTACGCGCATGGCAGACGGTATCACCGTTATCGACACGGTCGGTATCCCATCCCGAACGATGAGGATGAGCAGAGTCGTGAGGAAATGCTGCATGCAATGATGCTGGAGGCGACGGATGGGCGACTGTTCTATTCGCCCTTGGACGAACGCAGCGTGAAGAAGTTGGTCAACTTGGGCACTGGGACTGGCATGTGGCCGATTGAGAGTCAGTTACGTTTGTTTCCGTCGGGAACCATATGCTTACAGATGTAGTTGGGGAAATATTTCCTCATGCCACGGTCACAGGGACGGATCTAAGTCCTATACAACCTTACTGGGTGCCAGTTAATGTCAAGTTCGTCTGCTCCTCATGAGCCCAATCCCTCGGGCGTCATAACTGAGATTGGTAGGTTCTACGTCGACGACGTCGAAGCAGAGTGGATGAACGGTGACGACTTTGATTTTGTCCACCTGAGGAATATGATTGCGGTCCTCAGGGCTCCAGTCGACGTCCTTCGTCAAGCATACGAGTGAGTGAATCTCTTCAACCTCTCCTACTACGTGCCTGTTCACGCGGTGCGGCAAGGCACCTGTCACCCGGCGGATGGATCGAATTGCAAGATGTCAATGGCCAAGTCCACACCGACGACGATGCCGGCCTTGAGGACTGGTTCTTGTCCCGATTTACGCAGCACAAGGTCGACGCCTACGCGCAATTCGGCACCAACGCGCACGCAGCCGTCTTGGGGGGCGATCAGCTGCGCGAAGCAGATTTTGTGAATATCCGGCATAATTATATCAAGCTGCCATATGGCACCTGGCCAAAGGACAAGTTCCTTAACCATGCTCCGTCGGTAGGATGTCACGCTGACCACATACCCCAGAGTCATGCTTATAGTGGGAATGTACTACCGCACCGCTTGCGCGAAGTTCTTCTCGGCCTTGGGCGCCATTCACTTTCCCTTGTTGGGCTGGAGGAAGGCGGAGATGGAGGTGTCGTGCGCCGAATGTCGACAAGGGATGCGCGATCCCAATGTCCATGCCTACGGCAAGATGCATTTCCGGAGTGGTCAGAAGCCGGCATGATATCTCTGCTATACGATTTACGATTGACGATGGCATGCTTAGTGTGTGGTTGAAGGCAAAAGTATTCCTTATTTTTTCGAGATCTACCCATTCACTAATATTATCTACCGCCCGCTCTTCTTGGCCTTCTTCCTCCGCTGCTCGCCGCCACCACTATCATCATCGTCAGCGCCACCGCTCCTCTTCTTGCGCCCTTCCTCGAGAAGCCTCTTCATGCCACCCGTCGCCTTGAACTTGGGGTTCGATGGGTCGATGGCAAACTCATGGCTGTCAAACACAGCCTTGAAACGCGCATCGTCCACGTCCATCTGGAACTCCTCTTGCAGCTTGCCCTGCGCCTTGACGTCCTGCGCCTTCTTCTTGGACGCCTTACCCTTCTTCGACCCGTGCTTCTCCGCCTTGACAATGTCGTTCATGTCAAAGTGATCCAGATGGGCCGCCTGCTCATTGTCTGCGGCGTCTTCGGCCATGACCTTCTCCAGCTTGGCCTTGTCGGCGGCCGAGGCAGCTTCGGCGGCGAGGCGGGCCTCGCGTTTGGCCAGGCGCTCCTCCTTGCGCTGGGCGGACTTGGACTGCGGCGCTGGTTCTTCGGCCGTGAAGAAGGGGTCGTCAAAGCCAAGATCCTCATTGTCTTGACCCGCTGCGGGCTCGGCCACTTCAAGGTCCTCCTCTTCCTCAGCACCGTCTGGATCAGCACCCTCGCGCTTGGCCTTGGCCCTTTGACGCTTCTTCTCCTTGCGCTCACGCTCCTTGCGTGCGTACTTTTCAATCGTCGTCTCTTCCTTGTCGTCCTTCTCAGCCTTGGCGCTTTCGGACAGCGCTGGCGTGAAAGTTATCTCCATGTCACCCACGGGCACATCCTTTTTGGACCCCTTGGAGGGCTCGTCAGACAAGCCCAGTGCCTCGCGCATCTTCTTCCTCGCGAGCTCCTTCTTGGACAGCTTGGGCGCGCTCTCCTCGTCAGCACCGTTCTCCTCTTGGCCCGCTGCAGCATCGTCCTCCTCCCCGGAAAAGTCGTCTTCTGTGTCGCTGGCCAGATAGGCCTTCATGTCGTTCTCCTCCAACTCGGCCCGGCTGCCGCTGAATGCCCTCGCCATGGCGTCCTTGCGCGACGCCTCCTCGGGGTGCATGTCCCATGTGAGCTTGACCTTGGAGCTCTGCAGCGCATTTGTCACAAAGTCTATGGGCTTGTAGGAGCTGGGCAGCTTATCGCACCGATCGCGCGGCTCGTCGTCAAAGTCCACGTCATCGGGCACGAACCGCAGATCCAGGAAATTCGACGACGACTGGAACTCGGTGCCATCCGTCGCGTCGTAGATCTTCTTCGCCGTGACCAGGTCCGAGCACTCCATCACCGCGTAGTAGTACCGTAGACGGTCGAGTTGGTACTTGCGGAGGGCGTCGCTGTCAAAGTCCTCATCGTTGCCCTCCTGCATGAGCTGCTTCCTGATCTTCTCGTCGCTCTCTTCCTCCGAGTCGCTGTCCGAATCAGAGTCTTTGGCCTTGGACTTGAACAGTTCCTTTGGCGGGCCCTCGACTTCCTCCTGCTGCATGCGCTCTTTGCCGAACTCGCTGGGATAGACAGATATCCGCTCGACCCGCCCGCCGTCGGTCGCAAAGCTGGAGAAGAGGGCGAACAAATCGGTGGACTTGATGTGGTCCCAGTCCAGGTTGACAATGGCCAGGCGCTTGGTGACTTCGCCTCCTTCGACGTCAGCCTGTTCGTCTTGGAACTGCTGCATGTTCGCCGCCGTCGCTAGCTCGACCCCGCCGTCCTCTTCGTCGGAGTCGTCTTCATCGCTTTCGCTGCTGTCGGAACCGTCGTCCTCCTCCGACGACGAGGAGAAACCGCCGCCACGGGCAGGATCGTACTTATCGTGCGCCGCGCGCAGCTCTCTCTGCACAATCTCATCGTCGTCCACCTCGACATGTTCTTCCTCGGGCTCGGCGTCGACCTTGCCCTCTTCATCCTCTTCTTGGTACAGGTTCTTCAGAGCCTTCTTCTTGGCATCGCTCTTGATCTTCCTTCCATACCGGTCGACTCTTGCTTCAGCTGTGAATTCATCGTCGTCGAGCATGCGCGAGAAGCGCTTGTCAATCGTCGTCTTGTTCTTCTTCTTCGAGGGCAAGCGGAAGCGAGGGTCTGTCTCGAACGAAGCGAAGCGGGGGTCAGAAATGCGAGCAGGCGCGGCTGACGAGCCGGCCTTAGTTTTTGCGCCTTTCGCCATGTCCAAATAAGGTGTCGCGGAATTCAAAGCGGTCGTTGAATGCGACAGGTGCGCGCAGAGTAAATGACGAGTGACGGGGAGCTCTGGTGGTGGAGGGGCAGAATCTGTGATTTTTTTGGCGGTGAGGATATTCTGCCAGGCGGTCTGACCGCACTGGATTGGCTGACAGAATCATGTTCGACTAAAGCCCCTTGAAAGGCGATTGAGTTTGCGACGGATTGTAGTGCTTCGTCATATCTTGATTTCTATAGCTTTAGACTATCTGTCTTCTATGCCTCTATCGAACGACAGCGTCCTTGAGCGTCTGAACCGTGCAAGCGCCACCGCTCTCAGTGACGAGCTTGCCAACGTCCGTCTTGCCCAGCTGCTCCACAGCGCCGGCATTGAACGCAACCTCGAGATTGTCAGTAGTGGTGAAGCCGGGCTGGATAGTCTCCCAGATCTTCTTCTTGGGGTTCAATTGACCCTCGGGCTTGTCGGCACCCCAGCCCTCGAAGAACACCCTTTCACCAGCCTTGCTGCCCTCGGGTGGGCTGACCAGCTCGACCGGACCCTTGTGGTCATCGGTCTCGCCCTCCTTGACCTTGGGGGAAGCGGCCAGCACCATGGCGGAGGACTTGATGCCACGCATCTTGACGGGCTTGAGGTTGCAGACAACCACAACCTTGCGGCCCTGCATATCCGCAAGCGGGATTAATCCGTTGAGACCCGAGCAGACTGTGCGACAGACCTGGCCCTCGTATTCGGTGGTGTCCTCACCCGCAGGGTCTCCCATGGCAATCGTAGACACGTAGAGCGAGTCGGCATCGGGGTGATTGACAGCCTTGAGAATGTGACCGACACGCAGATCGATCAGAGAGGGCGAGAGGGGAGCCGCAGCGGGCGCGGCCTTCTGCGGCTTCGGGGCCTTCTCCTTCTTTTCCTTCTTCTCCTTTTTCTTGCCCTCGGCGCCAGCGACCGTCTCCTTGGCCTCGGCGACCTTCTCCTTCACCTTCTCCTTGGTGCGGTCGACAAGCGACGCGTCCTGGCCCTCACCGCCTGCGGCGGCTGCTGCGGCAGCAGCCTTCTCCTTCTTGAGGCGCTCCTTCTCAGCCTTGGCATCAACGGGCTTCTTGACAAAGAGGACATCATCCTGGTCGACCTGCACCTTGTCGCTGACCGACAGACCGAACTGAGGGGAGTTCTGGACGAAATCGAGGTGGCGCACAACATGAGGGCGGCCCTGCTCTCCGGAGCGCTGCTCAGAGTTCCAGCCATTGACCACTGGTTTCAGGGTCTCGTAAATGGCGACATCAGCCTTGGAGGGTTTCGAGCCGAGAAGTGTGGTCCGAGACGACAGGTGCGCGTTGAGGGTATCTAGGATCGGGGACTGCTCTTCGACAGAGGAGGTCTTGAGACGGTCCGAGGTGGTGAGCCATTGCTGGATCTCGGTCTCCTCAGTGGGAGTGTAGGTCTGGGAAGCAAGAGCGGACATTCTGGCGACTAGGGTCGAGTAGAATCGTGAGGGACTTGGGCTAAGACGCCTCGTTATGTTGTGAATGGGAAGCAGGTTGGCGGTGGCGGAAATTGAGTCTAGGTCTCCTACTTGTAGGAGAGAGACTCGAAAATTGGATTTTTACTGTTTGAATGAGGGGGGCGGGAGTGCAGTATGTAGTTGCGATGGTGGGGGTCGTGTTACCCCGCGAGAATGAGATACCTACCCTACACCACAGTAGGGGGAGGAGGCGAGTACAATACAATGAATATACACTTAAATATGGGTTTTCTCGGGGAGTATATGGCCTAGTGACATGGTCTTGCTGTCCTAGAGTGATTACAGAAGGCTGTTGAGACAATAATTCCCAGCAGCGGTCCACACAGTAATCTATTCACTCGATGGTTGACATTGAAAGTAAAAAATCCAAGTTGAAAGAACCACTTCCGATAAGAATATTTCGACATCAACCACTGCACCAGGAGCATTTGGCAATTCTCTGTTGTGACTGCGCTCGTGGAGCAGTTGTTTGCACGGTTTCATGACGAACGAGCGTGAATAGCAAACGTGATCGCGCGTTGCCGCCTGGCGCGTCCACGCAGCTGCAGGTACTTTAACACCCCTGCCGCCCGGCCAATGATGCTCGATACACGCGACGCAGCGCGTCGCCTTCTTCGACTCTGGCACTGTCAATTCAGTTGACATTCACGTCTGGCTCCAAGTGAATCGAAGGCTTGAGTGCTTTCTCAGATTCCTTTGAAATCATCTCCATTTGAGTACTCTGGCTATTTCGTCACTTTTGCTGCCCTCATCTCCTTGCTTTTTCCTTCCTTCGTCAGCAGCGTCATCGACTCCCGATTGACGACGATCTGCAGTGGCAGGGCGCAACATCGCATCGACGCTTGACGAAGCGGAAGCTACTCGACTTCGTCCATGTGCGCCCAGATTTCAAACTTCTCGCATTGTCCAAGAAAAACATCAAATGGCTTCTTCAACTTCGTCAGAGGACGAATTGTCCCGGCTCTCAACCAGCGCCCCGACGTCGCCCCCTAAGTCCAAGGCGGCATCGCCCGCCAAGTTGAAAGCAGAGGACAGTCTTACCGAGGAACAAATATTCAAACAGGAAGAAGAGGCCAAGAAAGCGAATGCGCGCCTGGAAGAAGCCAACCGAAAGGCCCAAGCTAAGCGCAAGCCGCGCAAGAAGAAGGCTGAAACAAAGGCAGAGCGCGATGCCAAGGCGCGGGAGCTCGATGAGCTCTTGATGAAGAGCGCTGCATTCAGCGATATACTCACAAAGAAGACCCAAGTGCTCGGCAGAGTGGGGAGTAGCCTGGATGGCAAACAACTCGGCGAGCATAACCTGGAGATGGCTAAACAGCCGAAATGCATGATAAACGGAACCATGCGAGACTACCAACTGGAAGGTCTCACATGGATGTACGAGATATGCTCACAAGGCATGAGTGGCATTCTCGCCGACGAGATGGGTCTGGGGAAGACCGTACAGACCATCGCATTGATCGCTCTTTTGCGGGAACAAGAAGGGTACCTTGGACCGCACCTGATCGTAGCGCCGCTGAGTACCTTGTCCAACTGGATGGATGAGTTTGAGAAATGGGTGCCCTCCATACCCGTTGTCATGTTTCATGGGACACCTAAGCAGAGAAAGAACATCTTTGAGACGAAGATCAGTAAGAATCTCACCGGAGGCCGCCCGAACAAGCGATTCCCTGTAGTATGCACATCCTACGAGATGGTCATTGTCGAGCAAGCTGCTTTGGGGAAGATCAATTGGGAGTTCATCATCATCGTCAGTCATCACAGCCGCGGTGGACGATAGTACGTATTGCTGACAATGTCTAGGACGAGGGCCACAGAATGAAGAACTCGGAGGCGAAGCTGTTCCAGCACCTTCAACGATTCCCGTCAGCAACGCGCTTGCTCATCACCGGAACGCCTCTGCAGAATAATCTGAAGGAGCTGTGGTCCTTGCTGCACTTCTTGCTACCAACAATCTTCACTGACTGGGAGGCTTTTGAGTCCTGGTTCGACTTCTCCGAACTAGAAGACGAAGAGGGAACAGCGCACTTCATTGGTGACGAACAGAAGCAAAGTCTCGTCAAGAAGATTCATATGATCCTGCAGCCTTTGCTGCTGAGACGCATCAAGCAAGACGTTGCGGCATATCTGCCACGCAAGCGTGAGTACGTGCTGTTCGCACCCATGACCAAGGAGCAAACGGACCTCTACAACACATTGACGGACCCGGACGTTGACAGCAGGATCTATTTGGAGCAAAAGGCCATGGAGAGGATCGACGAAACATTTAAGCCCGTGAGCAACGTCAAGTCGCGCTCTAGCAGCAAGTCAGTATCAACACCACAGAAGCCTGCGTCGTTACCAATTCGAGAAAGCCCGCGAAAGAAGGCAGAAGAGAATTCGGCAACCGCCGCCAATGCCTTCGATAAGCTCATGGCCAAGCGCGGGCGTGGTCGACCTCCGAAGATTGCAGCAATTCAGGCCGAGGCTGTGACCACCGAACCCAAAACCACGGGCAAACGCAAGTCTTCCTCTACATCAGTTGCCCCCGAGCCCAAGAGCTCGCGCTCAAGTCGGCAGTCAACGCCTGGTAGCACACGCAGCCGGCCGACGAGGGCGAGACGGAGGTACAAGGAAGCAGAGTCGGACGAGGAGCGAATGTCAGATGACGAATTCGAGGCAAAGCTAGCCGACGAAATGATTGACTCGGAGGAGGGCAAAGATGAAGAGTCGGAGCTTTCCCCCGAGGAGAAGGCACGAAATGAAGCCATTACGTTAGCAAAGAAGCAAATAGCCGCCAAGAAGCTTGGAAACCCCATGGCCCAGCTTCGCCTGGTGTGCAACTCGCCTCACAACTTTTACAATCCCTGGGCTGTGGCGACAGACATCCCCGTGGACGAGTCCATTGTCACAGCATCTGGCAAGATGTTGCTGCTCGACCGACTGCTGAAGCACTTGTTCGCCAATGGCCACAAGGTTCTCGTCTTCTCCCAGTTCACAACCCAGCTCGACATATTGGAAGACTACTGCAGGGAGCTCCGAGGTTGGAACACCTGCCGTCTCGATGGCTCGGTTGATCAGGCGTCACGTCGGTCGCAAATTAAGCAGTTCAACACCGACGATGACTACAAGATCTTCCTGCTGTCCACTCGAGCGGGTGGCCAGGGAATCAACCTGGCGGCCGCTGATACGGTGATCTTGTTCGATTCTGATTTCAACCCGCAGCAAGACTTGCAGGCGCAAGACCGTGCACACCGCATTGGACAGACACGACCCGTGATTGTGTACCGCATCGCGACAAAGTCGACCGTAGAGGAGACCCTGCTCTCGTCGGCGGATGCGAAGCGTCGCTTGGAGAAGCTGGTCATCCAGAAAGGCGGCTTCAAGACAATGGGGCAAAAGTTGAACCAGGAGATAGACGAGGAGGGCCTCGACGCCGAGACGCTGCGCTCATTGCTGCTCAAGGACGGGCGGGTCTTCCGGGGCAGCAGCGGTGACGGTATCCTTAGCGAGAAGGACTTGGACATTATTTGTGACCGCAGCGACGAGGCATTCGATCGCGCCGAGAGAGGCGAGGGCGATGCTGACGCGTACCGGGTCGTGGAGACAGGCGCGGACTCGATTACGATGACGAAGAAGGGATAGCGAAGTTGCATAACTTGGCTTTATTTGGGGTACACACATTGCTAGAATGGCTGCGGATGGCTCTGTCGCTACAGGACTGCAGGATGCTCAAGCGTGTGGGCTTGACTGAGCGTGGTTTTCATGGATACCAGGTACCATCAACCTGTATGGTTAAAGGGTGGGTGATACATGTAGCAAGCATTGCTTGACCGAATTATATAGCATTTGTTTATTGGCAGCCACTCAAGCCTTTGGCCCTGGTTACACTATTTTATTCACTATAGCTTCAACATGCCCCAAGTGTCCATCCAACTCCATGTCGAGATCAGTCTACTGCTTCCTCAATCTGCCGTCTCTGACTTGCTGATCCCAGGGAGCCGCCACGATTGAGTCTCTCTTGCACATCCAGGAGTTTCTTCTGTTGACTCAGTCGGCCCTTCAGCCTTTGATCGGCCTTGTTCTCCAGTCGATCGAGCTCCTCGCGCTCGCTAATCGTCACGGCGCTAATGGCCCTGACGTGGTCCACTCTCTCCGAGTTGAGGCGCTGTTGCCATTCCAGCGTCTTCCTCTGCTTCGCTTCCTCGGCGTCGAACTCGGTTGCCGCAATGGCCCTGGTGCGGGAGATAGACGCCTCCGTCAGAGAGCGCTGCTCGGATACACGTCGACGATGCGTCGCGGACTCGAGCGATTCTTCGAGCTGCGCTCTGTTCCGCACGGCCAGTAGATCCTCGTTCTGGAGCTGACGGCGACGGGCGTCTTCCATCTCGGCCTTTTGCTTCCAGATCTGTCCTTCCACGCTGGCGAGCTCTCGTTTCCGCGCGAGGGACAGGGCAAAGTCCTGATTCTCCTCCGCCAAACGGCTGAGACGGGCTTTGCGGACTCGTTCCTCGACTTTGACATCTTCAGGCAGACCGACCGCATCCTCGGGCTGAGCGCCAGTGTGGGCGTAGTACACGTCCACAGCACGGTTGGCATACAGCAAAGTCAGAAGCTCCTCTTTGTGGTCTGATTCCTGCAGCAGCTTTTTGACGTACATGGTCGGAGAGTACGTGTGGTCCTCGTCGGTATACTGGTTCAGGGGCTTGTTGATAAACTTCCACATGCCAGCCTTGAGCAAGATGCGGCTTGTTGCCACGGGATCGCGCGCATCGAAGCACAGATAAAGCAGAGACTTGCCTCGCGTCTTTATCGAGAGATCGGAGCCCTGGTCAATGAGCAGATTCATCACCTTTTGCATCTTCTTCTCGCGCTCGGCGGTTAGTTCCGCACCCGAGCCGTTGAGACAGATCTCGCCCAGCGCACTCCTGCCTTCGTGACAGGGGCTCGGGAAATCTGGATCGTGACCAGACTGTATGAGCACGCTGACGACATCCAAGCTCAAGGAGCGGGCCGCATTGTGTAGCGACCCATCGTCTCTCGAGGGATCCGCGGCGAGGAGGTCAGCCATCATTTCGGTGCCTAGTTTACCGCCAATGTCTGTAGCCATCGACAGCGGGGAGCGTCCTTTGTAGTCCACAATGTCGACCTCTGCGTCCCTAAGAAGCAGTTTCCGCACAAGATCCGGTCGGCGAGTTTGGATCGCCTGCATTAAGGGCGTTGTCCGCGATAAGGGAGTCTCCAAATTGACATTGGCTGTGCCTATGCGTCAGTCTCACTCCAGATAAGTGGCACGAAAGGAGGGGGCAAACTCACCACCGCGATCCAACAGCAACTCAATGAGTGACGAGCTGATCTTTTTCTGGGGCTGTGCAATGGCCCAGGTGAGAAGGGTCATTTGCTCCTGGTCACCAATGTCATCGTAGATTTGGTAAAATGTGGCTTGATCATGGTAGAAACCAGTATCGAGCAATGTCTTGAGAATCACGACAGACCTGGGATACTGTGTCATGGCCTGCACCAGCACGGGGGCCGCATCTGGCTTCTGCGCCATGACATCCACTCTAGTTTCGCCGTCGCGGTAGTCTGCGAAGAGCTCGAATAGCTGCAGGGCGTCATCTTGGTCGAGTGCGGTGTCGAAAATGTGCTGAAAGGCGAATGACAATGACTCAGTCGAAGGATGCAAGGCCAGGAGCTCTTTCGTCCAGCCAACGTTTGCTTGGGACGCAGCCACTTGGAGGGGCTCGCCCCTGTTGTAGTTCACATCGAGGCCATGCGATGTCAACAAAGTTATGAACTCGTCCGCCAGATCTGCCGTGTCTGGCGCGTGATTGTTCATGACTTGTAGTGCCATTTGGCTCAGAGCGCCACCCTGAGCTCCGTGTTCCAGGAGAACTCGAATAGTTTGTATACCATTCTGAGAGAACCAGGATGTGAAGCTGTCCGGTGCATAACTGTGAGCAAATGTATAATTGAGCGCCTCTGCTGGCAAAGGCCGGCTGAGTAGAACGCTGATGGAGGATGATGCGCCCTTCCTTACCGCATTGATGAGGGCTTTGCACTCGTTGGCAGTTGGCGAGGCCCCATGATCAAGCAGCAGTTGAATCAACCTGTCTTCGCAGTCCTCTTCGTTGACAGCATCGTTCAAGGCGGCGTGTACAAGGTCCACCACCGGCATACCAGCTTTGAACAGATCAATAATGATGTTGTGCCGTGTATCGCGATTCAGTCCCCAACAGGTTTCAAAAGCACGCAAAAGTGTTGGCTGCGAAGCTTTCTTTTGCCTGCCTTCCTGATCCCACAACCCCAAGAGCAGCTCAAGATTCCGCATGAACGCGGTTCGTGTTGCGACCAAGACAGCCTCGCCGCTCTGGTAGTTGGGATCTGCCCCGGCAGCAAGCAGAACTCGGAGGACCTCATGTCCTGCCTCGCCGTAGCGTGCAGCGAATGTCAGTTGCGCGTCGACTGGCTCGCCTGATACCCCTTTCCGCAGCAACTTTTCGAAAATGACGGCCCTCTTGTTGAGATCTCGCACTTCGGTCGCTGCCTGGAATGCTTTCTCCAATGTCACCTTGTGCACCTGGCCTTCGCTCTTCAGTAAAACCTCGACGACGTCGGCACTACCTCCTCGGCAGGCCTCAATGATGGCCTGACCCCCGTTGCTTGAAATACTAGCACCATGAGCCATGAGGATATTGCCCAGGTCGATGTCGCCGTCCCTCGCAGCGATCAGGAGAGCATTTGATGCTTCCTCCTTTGAGATGCCGTCTTCGAGAAGCCGCGCGCATATGCCCTTGCGAGATGCTCGATCGCGGATGCTCATTGTGCGGGCCAAGGCTGAGTGCTTGACGTCTAGCGTGTGCTTCGACTTGCTCAGTAACAGGTCGATCACATCTGACGCCTCTTTTGAAACAGCCATGGCCAAAGCCTCGCCGTCCGTGGTATCAGCCTTATCGGCCAAAACACCCAGAAGAGATACGTCCTCTGTGTAGTGCTCAACTGCATGAATCAATCCTCTGTTGATCTGCAGAGGTGATGCCCCTGCCGCAATGAGCTTCTTTGTGAAGGACAAGCGGTCCATCAGGTCAGATAGCTTGAGCGCGTGAGGCAAAGCAGGATCGAGTGTTGCTTGTGTTGGAGGCTTCGGGCTTTCCAGGAGAGTGTCCGTGATTGCAGTGCTGCCGCTCGACACAGCATGACACAGTGTTGGGCCTCGATTGACGTCGGCTCCCTTATCCAAGAGCATCTTGATTGTGGACAATGACAGTGCTCGCGAGCTACTTTGTGTCAGGGTATGCACTTCGTTGGTTAGAAGGGTCGAAAGATCCTCCGGCCTTCTCGATTTGGCAAGTGCAATTTGCATCTTCCACGTCTTGCCGTCCGAGGGTGGCAGTGATGACGCCTCCAAGAGGCCCCTGGATATAGTCTCTGCATTTGGCTTCCCAAGACCAAGAACCAGCTCAAGAACCTTGGGATCTGGATTGCCTACAGCTGCGTTGATGACGTTGTAGCGGCTGCTGTTCACGTCTGGATTGCCTTGCTGCAGCATCAACCTTAACAATGACATGTCGACGGGCTTCTCCTTCAACGTCTCAGCAAGACCAGTTGTTGTTCCTTCAATATCAATGGACGCCCCGGCTCCGAGAAGCAACACCATCATTCCATACCGCGTGCGGTGTTCGGGAACCTTCATGACATCCGCGATTCGAGCGGCCGCGGTTTGAGGCGATGCTCTGTGTATGAGCGTCTCGAAAAGTGGCAGATCAGCTTGAAGGATCACGGATTGCAAACCTTGACCTCGGTTGTAGTTGATGTCCGCCCCGTGTTGCAATAGGAGCCCGATGAGCGCATCGTCCCTGGACGAGACATCCTCGCTGATGGCGTCCTGGAGTGCGGCATGCAGCGGTGGCCCTGACAAGGCTCCCTTGAGAAACAGCTCCACCATCTCGTAGCGGTCTGCGGCCGTCAGATTCTTGGTCAGGGGGAAGACTCTGGTTAAAGTGTCAGCCGAAGGCTGGCTAGCGAGGATCCTGGCCGTCATAGTTGTGTCCAACCGCAGCACGGCCGTTCGCAACGCATGGCCTTCCCGATAGTCAGGGGACGCGACCTCATGGCGATGTAGCATCTGAGACGTGCTCCGATCACCGCTCATACCATTCGCTCCGTTTGAAGACGGCTCAGGAAAGAAGGGTTTCAGCAGAAGCTCGACTGAGTTGGTGTCGCCGGCTTCGGCAGCGACGATGAGCATGTCATCCAAAGGCCGACCTTTGGCGCCCTTCCGCAACAGCAAGTCAAGTAGCATGTACCGATCGGCCTGGGCGATCTGTTGAGGTATTGACAAGACACAACTAGAGGCTGTAGACGGCGACAATGTCGCAGAGTCGGTCACCAAAGAGTAAACCAGGTCCAGTTGCCTTTTTTGTATGGCGTTTCTCAGTGCAGCGGCGTTGTTGTACTCTATGGATACTCCGTAGGAAGCCAAAAGCTTCGCCACCTCATAGAACTGAGAGTCGCAGGCAACCTGAAGAGCGTGCGATAGCACATGCCCATCCGCGCCGGCACAGATGAGCAGCTCTGCCAGCTGCAGCTTTATCCCCGGTGTCAAAGTGGAACTGTTGAGCGTGTTTTCGAAAGCCTGGCTCACGCCTGGGACCTGTGGAGGCCTGTTTCCCATAATGATGGCAAGAGAGATGTCGCCGCGCCCCATGCTGACGGCAAGTCGAAGAGCCTCCGCCTGGTTGTAGTCGCCATCAGCCACTGAACGGCTGAGATGCGTGACCATTTCCATGCTTCCTATCCTTGTAGCGTCCACCATGGACTGTGATGCGAGGGACGACGACGGCCTGCCTTCTGACTGTAGAATGAGCTTGACCATGTCTGCCAACATTGAGATATTGCAAGCTTGGCGAAAGGCATCCTGGCCTTCAGCCGTTTGCGAGATGTTGGCGCCAAATTGCAACAGGAGCTCGACGATGGGAGTATTGCCTTGTCTTACAGCCAGGGGGAGACAAGCGTCGAGTGACATGGGGTCGGCGTACGGGACAAGAACTTGGACCATTTCCAGTTGGTTGTTCTGTACCGCGAGTCTCATGAGCTTAGCCTTATCCATGGCCCCATCAACACTTCGTCGTCGACTTAGAAGGTTTGATTTTTGCATGGACATGGCACCCAAGTCAACGCCCGAGGCCGTCAGCTTGGCGATGAGGGCCTCGGCCACGCCAGCCGATCCCGCTTGGGCGGTCCACGTCGTGAGGACCTGGAGGATATGCTTTGGCTCCCAATGCTTGCCCTTCTTGAGGTTGCTGGTTGAAAAGGCTCTTTGCAGGCCACTCTTTGGCCGGGCCTGGGAGAGCTCTATCGCATGGCGTTGGAGAAGGTCCTCAGCGGTGTGGTCGTCGGTGGGTGTCCGGTGGGAAGGCAGGCTGGCTGGTCGCTCGAGGCGTGCTGGAGCAGCCGAGGGTAGAGGGACGTTCCATTCTTGGGCGAGTCGGATGATTCTACGTTGGCGACGATCCACAGTGATGGCCATTGCGAAGGCAAAGGGTAGAAAACGATCCAGCGCTAGATCTTTGCGGCATGTGCGTTCCCTGAGTGCGGCGGGTATCAAGGTATTGGGGGTGAGTACGATGAGGGAGTCGAGCGTGCCAACGCTTGCATCGCCGACTTAAGCTGCAACAAACTGGGACATTGATTTATGCGCCATCGCTGAAAGAAATTGAAGGAGTAAGTGACAGAACAGCGACCTCGTTTTGAATTGGGATGAGGGACGGATTATACCTAGAAGGCAAGGTACAATTGTCAATGGGATGATCTGTTCGGTGAGGCAGTGAAAGTGAGCGATCGACGCATAGTGCTTCTCACACTGTTCATGGCGCTGCCGTCTCTCTGACCCCCGCCTCTAGTCTACATTATCTTGTAAACCCACCAGTTGTGCCTGTCGATGAAGCGAGGTCCAGTCGCACGGCAGCCCTTAACTTGCAATTGGCAGGCACAGCCAAAGTGCGCACTGTGTTCTTTGCGCCCCGGACTCCCGTCGTCGCGTCCGCATCCCCACTGTGCCTGCCGTCCGCCGTAGCTTCCGAGTTCCTGCACAACGCTTGACAGCTTCACGCGTCCGCACGCCTCTCTCGATGTTGAAGCTTCCGAACCACAAATCACCTAAGACTTGCTACCGTCTTCGACTCACAAACAGTGCATGGCGCGACTCTGATCTCGCTCGCCATGGAAAAGTTCAGCGGCGATTCAGCCCAGCTGCCCCCTTGATCCTGATTCCTGATGCACAGCCACCCTGTTCTGAGTCCACTGGCAGGATGTGCTGCTGCGAACCTGCCCGTATTCGGTGCCGCCACAGAGAGCCGGAACGAACTTGGCCATTCTGCGGGCCATAGCCGCGTGTTGTTGACCGCGGTATGCATGTCTTTGTTAGATTGCTGTCACACAGCCTCACACGGGCCACGTTTCTAGGCGCACCTCAAGGACGCATCGAGTGCGGGATACTCGATCTCCTGAGTCCTTGCCATGAATGTCTCCGGTCACTGACTCTTCTATTAGTTTGCTCATCCAAGGAACTCGCACCTGGGTTGGCTTGTCTGCATGGCTAAACACGGATGTCCCGGTCGATCATGGTCTTGAGCTAACCCGCCGTGACTGGCGCGATGCGCGTGGTGGCCTTGTTGGTCATGTCCGGGCTCAACATGCCCTCACAGCCGCCAGTACTGACATCTTCCAACAGCTGCACATATATTTTCGTCTGGGACGACAAGTCAATAGTAGACAAACATTTCTCTACCAGCCTTCGAGATCGACCCCTCATTCGACCGAAATGTCGCAACTCTTCCCAGACTTCACGCCATTCTCGTTGCAGACCTCGCGCGATCCGCCCGTCACGATTCATGGGCTCCAGAGCGGCTCATCCTCTTCCAGTTTGCCGCCACTGTTTCTGGTTCATGGGTTCCCACAGAGCTACCACATCTGGCACCGCATCGCCCCAAAGCTGACCGAGGAGTTCAACGTGGTCCTCATTGACATCCGCGGCTACGGTGCCTCATCCAAACCTGCCAACGTGACCTGCTACGCCAAGAGCGCCATGGCGCGCGACTGCATTCAAGTGATGGATCAGCTTGGCTACACGGGGCGCTTCTCTGTGTGTGCTCATGACCGCGGCGCGCGCGTCACACACAAGCTCTGCGTCGACTATCCAGACCGCGTCAAGGCAGCCATCCTCCTCGACATATGCCCGACGCTGGCCATGTACACGGCTACCGACTTTGACTTTGCCAAGGCTTACTTCCACTGGTTCTTCCTGATCCAGCAGGAACCCTTACCCGAGACGCTCATCTCAGCCACCCCGAGAGAGTTCGCCAACATGTTCATGGGCGGGCGACAGACTGACGGTCTGCGTATATTTGACCAGGAGTGCTTTGAGTACTACCAGAGCGTGATGGAGAAGCCAGAAGCCGTCCATTCCATGTGTCAAGACTACCGAGCAAGTGCCACGTTGGATCTTGACGAGGCGCGAGAGGACATCAAGGTAGGGCGGCTCATCAGGAACCCGCTGCTCGTTCTATGGGGCAAGCATGGCGTGATTGAAAACTGCTTTGACGCTGTCAAAGAATGGCAGGCCGTCGCTGCGGAGGGCGTCACGGTCCGGGGCCGTGCTGTTGACTCGGGGCACTACATCCCAGAGCAGGCGCCTGCCGAGGTCCTCCGAGCGATCAGGGAGTTTCTGGTCTAGATAGCTGCCTAGACAGTCATGCGTTCGTACTGCTCACCACACTCTGCCGACGACAGCCGCAATCAATCTACTTGATTATGAACATGAACGGGGTCAGCTCAGGCAATATATTACATGTTCAGTATGAATGGAGACCTCACGTAAAGCGAGATAGGAGGCGGCTGACGGGTGTTTGTCTATACCTCCGGATACTCTGGTGATCGCTGTCTAATAGATGGACAGTGACGCTATAGCTGCCCCCTCCTACAGCCCCTCCTCCCGCTCAAATGCCGCCTCTTCCTGCTCAGGTACTTCCTAGACAGCGTCGATCCACATCAGCGCATCGCTATTATTAATTACCATCCGAATCTAGTATCGTTGCAGCTTATCTTTCTTATATTGTATACTACCCTCCAAACCGTTGCTGCGATCGTCATTAGCTGCGACGTACTTCAAGGTCCATCCTCCCCTCCCCTCCCCTCGGCTCACCACACATCACCCCACGCTTCTACATCTCCACACTATCCTCCTCCGCCATGGCTCCCATCCCAGTCAAGATGAACGTCGTTCAGATCGCCAAAAACGGCGGTCTTGATGTTCTGGAGAATGCGCAGATCCCCATTCCCACCCCCACGGGCGACCAGGTCCTGGTCAAAAACGCCTACTGCGGCGTCAACTTCATCGACACATACTTCCGCGGCGGTCTCTACCCTGCCCCTCACTTTCCGCTCGTCCTCGGGCGCGAGGCTTCGGGCGAGGTCGTCCAGGCCGGGAACGGCTTCCGAGAGGGTGACAGGGTCGTCTACATGTCCGGCACCGAAGCCGGCACCTACGCGGAGTACACGGCCGTCTCGGCCAACAAGCTCATCAAGATATCCGACGCGGTGACCCTGGAGACCGCCGCGGCTGTCTACCTTCAGGGTCTCACGGCGTGGACTTTTATCCGCGAGGCGGCGGCCGTCAAAGCTGGTCAGTGGACGTTTGTCCACGCAGCGGCTGGTGGTGTCGGTCTGCTGCTCGTCCAGATGCTCCGCTCCGTGGGGGCCAAGATCATCGCCACGGCGAGCACGGACGAGAAGCTCGAGTTGGCGAGGAAGAATGGAGCCGAGTGGACCATCAAGTCGTCCGACGATATTGTCGCCAAGGTCAAAGAGATTACGGGCGGACACGGCGTGGACGTTATCTTTGACGGCATTGGCAAGACGACTTTTGACGCAGATCTGGAAATGATTGCCCTCAAGGGGCAGCTGATCTCCTTCGGCAACGCGGTGAGTACCCAACAGCTCCCAACCGTAGTGACATGTGGCTAATTTGACAGTCTGGCGCCGTGGAACCATTGAGCATCCTCAAGCTCGCCCCCAAGAACGTGCGCCTCATGCGCCCCGTTGTCAATGGGTACGTCACGGAAAGGGAGGACCTGGAGAGGTACAGCAATGAGCTCTTTGACCTCGTGGCGGGCGGAAAGGTAGAGGCGAGGATCCACGAAATATACCCATTGGCAGAGGCCAAGCGGGCGCAGGCTGACATTGAGAGTCGCAAGACTACTGGCAAGCTACTGCTCAAGTGCACATGAGTGACTAGGCAAAAGTGACATTCAGAATAAAAACATCATTTGTACGTTCGGAATTAGGCTATCTCGTGCGACTTCTTTTTCAGTGACCCCCTTCTTTTTGGCAGCTCTCTACTCGGGCCGCCCCTGGTACCCCAAGTGGAAGTGCTTTGCCCTGGCTCGAACGATATGAAGGCGGTCTTATTTGATACGTTGGAGGCTCAGTGAGCTCTGTTTTGTACGCGGGAGCTTGGTAAGAGTGTGTCGCTTTCAAATCGAGAAATCGCAGACGGTATAGTTACAATCATGGCGCCAAAGATGCACATCACAATGTACACGACACTATGTAAGCTTGTCAAATTGTGCTTAATCGCAGGCCACCTTTTACAGGTATACTCATATGTAAACCATACCTCCAATCCACACTACGCTCACCATGGGACACTGTGCCAGCTCCCAGACCCAGACATGGCAGGAGGGCAACACTTTGTCGCTTTGTCGTCGATGATGGGCATATAAGTGGCCTGGAACAGGATGTCTATTAGCCATCACCAGCGACTCGGAAATGGCCGAACGACTTCACCACTTCAGGCGCAGATGAAGAGAATCGAGTATCGAGGATACTCGTCTGCAATCACACTAAATGTGACCTGGTTTGCGCCTCGCTTGGCCGGTTGGGCCGATTTGACAGTGTAGTTCTTCGAGAAGGATACTGAGGTCTTTGCTGGGCGTTCTCGATATGCCTGGCAGTGTCGGTGGTAAAGTGAATTGAATATGAGGGCCCTGTCACGCAGGAGGAACGATGCTGCTGACCTCTCACCGTTCAACGTGTCACCTGACTGACCCCTGGAGGCAGCTTCCTGTCACTACTCGCAAACTTTCTCAGTTTGCGTTTGAGTCACGATCTCCACCTTGTGAGATACTGGCATCGAGCATGGACTCATCACGCATAAATGAACCGTCCTTGGAGACGCCACTGGAAAGGCACCTCGACACTCTTCCTCTAGAGATCCAGCATTCCATCTTTCGCCTCCTCGACCCAGCAGGCCTCATTGCGGTCAGCCAAACGAGCCAATTCTGACGACATGTCATCAACCCTCAGAAACGAAACTTTATCGACCGCCACCTAGCATAGGAGTGTCTTCCCGAGTACGGGGGTCCGCCGTGCAACGTATCCATGGCTCACAACTCACATATACCGGACTGGGACACTGATGGGTGGAACCACGCTCGCTTTGCCTGTGGAGGTTGCCTCAAGCTTCGTAGCCACACCGATTCCAAGTACAAGTACATTGCCAGGCTCCGGTTCAAGAAGCCACAACCCGAATCGCGGCCATCACTTCTTCTCACGAGCTGGGAACCGTACAACCACAAGCAGTGGGGTCGCAAGCACTGGAGGCAAAAGAAAGAACGGGGAGATCTCGCGCCACGCGAATGGAACCTCCGTCTTGGTTGGGCATTGGGAGGCTACCGTCTTGGAACGGCATTCGTCCATGTTGACGACATCCGGAGGCGAGCGCCCGCCAATCTAGACACTCATCTGCGCTACGGATGTGACAGCTTTCGAAACATGTCGGATGGCGAGTGGGCGTGTATTTCATACGAGACGGAAGCTTTCATGATGGAAGGAGAGGTGGCCAAGATCGAACACGCAAACGCTGGATCCGACCGCCATCTTCGACGTTGCTACACATGTCGGCTTGGAGCGAAGGGTTCAATCACAGATGATATTGGATTCACCCTCGCCGATCAAGGAACCCCACTACCGTGCTTAGAAACCAGGAGTCGTGTCGTGTCTTTCGAAACCTCGTTGGAGCTTATGTTTCCGGGCCTTTTCTCCAACACGAATCTTCCGACACCGCCCATCGATCGAATAAGACTTCCTTGGCTGCGGTCTGGCTTCAGTTCTCGTTCGAGTATGATTTACAGGTTGTGCCAGACACGTGACGCCTGGAAAAAAAGGCGCTCATTCCCATTGGGCTATGCTGGGCAGGCATGTTACCAGTGCAATGCCAGTGAGCCTGGAGGGCGGGGCAAGCTTGGTGCACTTCTGCAAATGAAACTCATCGCAGCTTGCGAGGTTCCCATGCAGGCTTTGCAGCGCTGTCTCGAATGCCACGCGCCTAGCGAGCTGTTGTTCGGAAACTGGCCCTCCACCACGCGGGAAGACGCTCCCAAGGGCCCTCTGGAACTCCCCAACGGAGCTTTGATATGGGCTATCAAGATATTGTTGGAGTTTTTCGAACGGTACTTATACAGTCTCGAACTATCCGAGGAGGGCCATCTACAGCTGGGACCAGCTTCTCGCCACGTGATGAGAGACGCCTGCTTGATGATCAAGTGTTGGATATGGCTTGAGAACACTTCAGCCATGCTCCGGGACGACCCAGAACCTTTGTTGGAGTGGGCTCTCGCGCGACATGGCGCAGAGTTGGACGAGACAGCGTGATGGATTGTGGGAGTTGGAGACTTGGGGCTTTCCAGTGCTCATGGCCAATGCCAGCAGTAGAAGGTTTTAGTTCACGTGAGGTGAGGGAGTCGGGACTCGCGAGTATCAACTATCAGGTAGTTTATCCCGGGTAGTCAATTTGCTTCACCCACCACATTCCATGTCTTATCGATACCCACGCGACCCACTAAAAAAGTCATGTCCAAGATCTTCCCACTGGCACCGCAACGCATCCTCAAACTGTCGCACTGTTGGAAGTTGAGACCAGAGCAGCACATCATCGAGACACGGCATGGCTACGCATGCTCGGACTGCAAATGGTGGCAAGCCTCACTTCTCCCGTAAACGATCGACGAACGACCGCCTGCAGAAGCGCAAGCGCGAGCAAGATGAAGTCACCGACCTGCAAGCCCGCGTAAACGCCCTCGACCTCAAGCCCACCACTCCGATCGCCAAGTTCGCGGACTTGCCCCTGTCCGACCCCTCCGCAGCCGGCATCAGCGCGTCGCACTTTACCACGTTGACCGACATCCAAGCGCAGGCGATTCCCCTCGCCCTCAAGGGCAAGGATATCCTCGGCGCAGCCAAGACAGGCAGCGGCAAGACGCTGGCCTTCCTCATCCCCGTCCTCGAAAAGCTCTACCGTGCGCAATGGACCGAGTATGACGGCCTCGGCGCGCTCATTCTGTCACCCACGCGCGAGCTGGCGCTGCAGATCTTTGATGTCTTGCGCAAAATCGGCAGGAAACATGCCTTCTCCGCTGGTCTCGTGATCGGCGGCAAGGCAGGCTTCAGTCTGAAAGAGGAGGCCGAGAGGTTGACGAGGATGAACATCCTCGTCTGCACACCCGGCCGCATGAAGCAGCACCTCGAGCAGGCCGCGGGTTTCAACGCAGACAACCTGCAGATCCTGGTCCTCGACGAGGCTGACCGGATCATGGACATGGGCTTCCAGCGTGAGGTCGACCAGCTCGTCGAGCACCTACCCAAGGACAGGCAGACGCTCATGTTCAGCGCCACGCAGAGCAAGAAGGTGTCCGATCTCGCGCGACTCAGCCTCAAGGACCCAGAGTACGTCTCAGTGCACGAGGCCGCCAGCCACGCCACACCCACGAATCTGCAGCAGCACTACATTGTCACGCCCCTCCACGAGAAGCTCGACACACTCTACGGATTCATCAAGGCCAATCTCAAGAGCAAGATCATTGTGTTTCTCAGCTCAGGCAAGCAGGTCCGGTTCGCCTACGAGAGTTTCCGCCATCTCCAGCCCGGTATCCCCCTCCTCCATCTTCACGGTCGACAGAAGCAGACGGCTCGTCTCGAGATCACGCATCGCTTCACCTCAGCCAAGTACTCGTGCCTCTTCGCCACGGACGTCGTCGCGCGCGGCATCGACTTCCCCGCCGTCGACTGGGTCATTCAGGCCGACTGCCCGGAAGATGTCGACACCTACATCCACCGCGTCGGCCGCACCGCCCGCTACGAAAGCAACGGCAAAGCCGTCCTGTTCCTCGAGCCCAGCGAGGAGGACGGCATGCTCAAGAAGCTCGAGGCCAAGAAAATCCCCATTGCGCGCGTCAACGTCAAGGAGAACAAGAAGAAGAGCATACAGAACAGTCTGCAGAACATGTGCTTCCAGAACCCGGACCTCAAGTACCTCGGCCAAAAGGCGTTTATCAGCTACGTGCGCGCCATCCAGTACCAGAACGACAAGAGCATCTTCAACCTCAAGAAGCTCGACCTCGACGCCTTTTCCAAAAGCATGGGCCTGCCCGGCACGCCGCAGATCAAGTTCCAGAAGGGCGAGGACGTGAAGAAGATTAAGAACGCGCCGCGGCAGGGCATGTCGAGCGGGTCCGAGTCCGAGATGGACATGAATGGCGTCAAGAAACCCAAAGACAAGAAGAAGGACCAGGTGCGCACAAAGTACGACAAGATGTTTGAGCGCACAAACCAGGACGTCCTGTCGAGCCACTACAGCAAAATGGTGGGCAAGTCGGGCGACGACGATGATGATGATGACAGCGAAGACGATATTCTCGCCGTCAAGCGACGGCTAGACGACTCTGACCTCGACAACGAGGCCAGCAAGGGACCTACAAGCAACATCAAGGTGGTCGAGGGCCTCGGCGGCCAGGATCCCTACGTCATCGACTCGAAACGGCGCGAGAAGGCGCTCAAGTCCAAGAAGAAGATGGCCAAGTTCAAGGGCATGCCGACCAAGATGGTCTTTGACGACGAGGGCAACGCCCACCCGCTCTACGAGATGTCGACGCCGGCTGACTTTCAGGGCGCCGGCGCGGCGGACGAGCAGCGCCAGGTGTTTGTCGAGGACGAGTCCAAAAAGGTGCTCGAGGCCGACGTGGACGACAAGGAGAGGGTGCGGCAGCGCAAGAGGGAGAAGAAGGCGAAGCGGAAAGCTCTCGAGCGCGGCGAGTCCTTTGTCAACGACAACAACGGTGATGAGGACAGTGCTCCGCAGCTTGTGTCTGGTGGTGATGATGATGGTGATGGCCACGATCCGATAGCGTTCATGCGCTCGTTGCCCGTGGCGGGAGAGGACAGCGACGCCGAGCCACCCAAGAAGAAGGCCAAGAAGTGGTTCCAGCAGGATGACTCGGACGCAGATGTGGATGAGCAGCCCAAAAAGAAGCAGAAGAGCAAGGGCAAGGTGTTCAAGATGCACGAGGAGCCTGAGACGCTGGAGGACCTCGAGGCGCTGGCTACAGGATTGTTGGATGGTTAGATGTATATATCAATTCAGCGCAGTCAAAGCATGTCTATTACCTACTCAAATGAATATTGCGCAGTACTTTCATGGTACTGGCTAGAAAGGCTCAAGGCTATATACAGGGCACGACGCCTTGGGAAATAGAACACGAAACGCCGTAGCTGCCAACTAAATCACACATGCGAAGAAGAGCAAGGTGACGCTCCGCTAGAGAACATGACCCGGGTATTGTGTACCATCCTCACCTCTTACATCTTCTCGCCATACATCCTCACCCTGTAGAAACACGTATGCCTCTCGGCGCCATAGTTGTCCGTCGCCCGGACGACAACCTGGTCCGTCCAAGCTCGCATCTGCACCAGCTCATCACTGAGTCGGTGGATCTGCACGCCACTGTTGGCCTGCGCGCCCTCATACACAAACTGTCCGATCTTGACAAACTCTTCGCCAAAGTTCTGAGGCGTGTAATCCCAGGCCTTCTCGCCATCCGGGAAGAACACGGCGCTGAAGTCCAGGGCCAGCCCACGGAGCTCGGGGTCCTCGTACTTGGCGTAAATCTCAATGTTCTTGGGCATCGCCCCGGGGTCAGTGGTTGCACCGGGAAGGATGTGATCGAGCACAATGTACTGAGGAATGACCTGGTGCCCCAGCTGAACCGAGAGGGAGACATCGTGCGGGTTGCCTCGATCGGATTGTTGACGAGCTCCGCAGAAGCAGTCACCTTCCTCCTCCCAGGGCGTGAGGGCAGCCGCAGGCGGCAACGGCCTGGAACCTCGGAGTCCCTTCTCGTAAGCCTTCTCCTTGATGAACCCCTTCTTGTGCGGGTCGAATATTGGAGACGTGCGCTTGCCGTCGATGGTGGCACCGGCGCCGAGGGCGAAGTAGTTCACCTGGTTGGAAAGGTCGGTGGACCAGTGGGAGTGAATTTTGCCGCGTGCAAGGGCCTCGATGCTGATACTGGCGAGCGACTTGCGGATCATGTCGTTGACCAGGTTGGTGACATCGGCACGGCTCATGCCTGCCGGCGGCGTCTGGCTCTTGGCCACGGCCACGGCTTCGTCGAGCATGCCTTTGAAGCGCGGCAGAAGCTCCTCCATCTCGCGACGCATCTGATCCCTGTGGCCGGAAAATTCGTTGTTGAGATGACGGATGAACTCTTCGCGCGTGACAATGGTCGAGTCGGTTTGTACGTGCTTTTCAAGAAGGGTTTTGACGACACCGTCAAGCTTGTCCCCAGATGCGGCTGCGTTGACCTGCTCGATGGCAGAGCCTAGTTGACTCGCAATCTTGTCCTCGTTGTCCCGGACCCATGCCTCCCATGAGACCGACACCTGGTCCTCGACGCGACTGTGCACGTCTTCGAGGCCGGCGTTGAGCTTACCAGTCCATGTCGGATCGCTAGCTAGACGCGTGGCGATTGCGCTCCACTGCTTGTCTGAAGACACTGCGAACTCGCCATGCTCCTTGTCCATGTTGAGAAAGCTTCCATCTGCACGGAGTAGATCACGGACAGCATGCCAGAATTGCTCAGCGACCACTGGCTTTCCATCCTTGAGCTCCATGTGGACAACATTCGGCACAACCTTTTGGAGTTTCTTCAGAGCCACGTCGTTGAAGTCTGTCGCCTTCTTCAATGCGCTGTAGTCCTTCTTGTGCTGGCGGAGATAGTCCGCAGCGGTGCGGTCTTCTTCCTCTTCCCGGCTCCAGAGATCCGAGATGTCGCTGTCCCTAGAGAAGCTGGGAAGCGGTATGGAATGCACCAGGTTGCCGACTGAATTTGCCAGCCCCTTGACTCCATGCCAGGGTGACAACCCTGATGGAACTGACGTCGGAACAGCGTCCCACAAAGCGCCAGGCGCGCCTGACTGCGACAGCGCAATGGCGGCCCAGAGGACGAGCATGGAGGTCACAACGAATCCCAGCGTTTGTGCCCCGTACTCGCGTGTCAGTTTAAGCAGACGGCGAGCTGTGCAGGCTAACCCGTCGTTGAAGCCGTCCATAATGCTCATCAGCCAGTCCCAAAGTGCTTGAAACCGGATATACTCCAGCCAACTGGGCTCTTCGGCCTCCAACACGACGGTACTGCCAGAGGCAGACCTTGCAGTCTGCCGCAAAGACCCAAGGCGCCCGCTAGTAGGTTTCTGCAACTTCCTCCCAAGTTGAGAAGACGCGCTTTTTGCAAAGAGTGCAGAGGTCCTTGGGGGCGGTGCGGCGTCGGCGGCGTCAGACGAATCCGACGCAGCAATCTCGCGTTGCAATGCGTCGTCAGCGTCGCTATAATTAGAAGCAAAGTTGTTGTTGCTGGCAACTTCCTGCGTCGCGCTAAACTTGCTAGGACTGACTGCCTGGGTTCTCGAACGGGCAAGGCCTGACGAGGCTTGATCGGTACCCTGGTGGATCGTCGCCGCTCGCGACGCCGCAGTATTACGCTGGGGATTCCTCAACACGCTTTGCGTGGGCTGAAGGGACATAGGTGCTAGAATGGGGGCTGTTTGGAGCGCGGAGCGAGCTGGCGCCTCTGATGCCAAGGCTTCGGTTGCCGCTTCTAGCACGGCAGGCGTCTGGTCAGGAAGAGGTTGTTCTGAATAACGCAGAGCCGAAGGCCGCTGTTGCCCTGCGCGGCCTGGCCCCCGGCGCAAGGCCGGTGTTGGTATCGATTTGGGTGAGGAGCCGATAGTAGCCTGGTCAAACAATTCGCTTTCGGTGATGAAACTCCTGTCATCAGACATGTCATCGGGTGGCTGTTGAGCCAAGTCTGAAGCCGCGGACGACGACAAATACGATCGCGGATGAACACCATTAGTTTTTTCTTGCGTTGTCACCTCTGCCGTGGCAGTCCGCCTTGTGCTCTTTTTGGGACTTCGGTCTACTATCAATTAGCTCACGCCCGGAAGTCCCATGCCTCGCTACGTACCCGCTTCTGCATCAAATAGGTCGGCATCTCCAGCCAGCTCATCTCGTTCCAGGTCCTGCTGAGGTCGAGGTGGGGGAGGCATCACATTCTTAGACGTCTGGGCGTCTTCCTCATCCTGGCGTTGCAACACGCTGCCAACCGCATGGCCCAGATCGAGCTGCTGCCCTCTGCGCAATGAGCGCTCCGCACGAGACGGCGCCGGCTCTGGACCAGAGCCATAACTGTACTGCCTCCGGGAAGCTGGTGTGGCCTGGAGTTCGCGCAGATGTGGTTGCACGAGCCGATGACTGCCCGAAGTGGGCGACACGACTGGCATCGACCCAGCGCGTCCAGGCGTTCCTGTCGCCCGCTTGTTCACGGCGCGTGGTGGCATAGTGAATGATGCTATGTCCTAGATTGGTCGCCAATGGTGGTGGATGGATGTATGAAGGGGCAACGCCCACGAATTTGATCTCAACTCAAAGTGAACGACGGAAAATTCCAACAACGCAGCATCTGACCGCGAGACTGGACGTGCATTCCATATGAGCCGCAAAAGCAAACCCGAGCACTTCTTCTGTATGCGACGGAAATAGTCACAGCGAGGCGCGCAGGTTCTTGACGCGCCTACCGCCAGCTGACCCGATGGCGAGGGAACAAAGAACTTTGGTGGAGCGGAAACACCGAAGGGGTTGCGAAGTCAATGGCAGCCGTCCAGAAGGGTGCCCTGACCACCTTGCGGCCTGTCAAAGGTGGTAATGTTGTCGTTTTTCGTAGTACCCCGGAGTCGAGCAATTATTTGAGGTCAACAAAGACTTGACCTGCAGCTTCGCGACCTGGCGTCGGGTGGGGTGGCTGAAGACTGTGGCTTGGGAAGTATGGGGCGAGGTTCGTAATTGACGATAACCGAACATGAAGACTTGAGGATTGCAAGACCATTGACCTGCGGGTGAGATAGCAGGAACTCACGTTGAGAACACTCAACATAGATTTTTCACTGCCCTATCGACGCTGTTCCTGTTGATGAGGTGTCGGTGGCTGGGCGCGCCATCGACTGGAGTCCAGTGCTTGAGTCGCGCCCCCGTAGCGCTGATTCTACTAGGAACGGCCATGGGTACGTACCACTCGAGCTCACCGCCCCTTTGCCAGCGCTGAGCTTATATAATCAAACGACTCACATGCCTTCGCTCGAGTGACGGGGAAAAGACAAAGTCCCTTTTGTCAATGTAGCAATTCTCTAGACCGTTTGTCCTTGTTTCAGAAATCAATCAAGTCCGCCTTGGCTGGCAGCCATGTTCTTTACCACGCATGATTGATCTTGATCTGCAACGGTTCGCGCGAGATAGCGGCTCACATTCATGCGTCGATCCTTCTGAACCATCCGCCAATAGACGCCTCACGCACGGTTCGAAGCAGCCAAACATGATTCGGGGGCTGACGATATTATCGCGGGAACCAGCATTAGACAAGATGACTCGCCATGTCAGCTCTTGACCATGTCTAGCGGCTTCGCGCTGGGAATGCTCAAGCGCGCATCTGGTGCTGCCAGGCAACTTTCGCGAGGCGGAATACTCACCTCCAGCTGCTCAACATTGCCCCACGTTGGCTAGACCACAATCAAGGTGGTGCCCCGCCATACATGTCCCCTTCAAAGCTCCCACCTTGCTGTGCGCCGCCTCCTGAGCGCCCGTGAACTTTTACAGCGCACCTCGCCGTCTCATTCTTCCCCTCGCCATACAATCCCTCTCACACAAAGTTGCCATACGTCTACCGCACGCACAATGGCCGTTGGAACCGTTCTGGTCACCGGGTGCGTCCGTCCCTCTGTTGTCTGTCCGCCACCTCCCTGCTAACCAGAGGCAACAGTGGTACCGGCTACATTGGCTCGTTCACCTCCCTCGCCCTCCTCGAGCACGGCTACGATGTCGTGATTGTCGACAACCTCTACAACTCCTCCAAGGTCGCCCTCGACCGCATCGAGCTCATCTGCGGCCGCCGCCCGGCCTTTTATGAGCTCGACATTAGCGACGAGAAGGCCCTCGACGAGGTCTTCCAGAAGCACCCCGCCATCGACTCGGTCATCCACTTTGCCGCCCTCAAGGCCGTCGGCGAGTCGGGTGAGATCCCCCTCGAGTACTACAAGGTCAATGTCGGCGGCAGCATCGCCCTTATGCGCTCCATGGAGCGCAACAACGTCACCAACGTGGTCTTCTCCTCCTCCGCCACCGTCTACGGCGACGCCACCCGCTTCGAGAACATGATCCCCATCCCCGAGCACTGCCCGCGCGAGGCCACCAACACCTACGGCCGCACAAAGGTCATCATTGAGGACGTCATCACCGACCAGGTCAAGGCGCAGCGCAACAAGTTGGAGAAGGCAGGCAAGTCCCCCGAGGCCTGGAACGGCGCGCTGCTGCGCTACTTCAACCCCTGCGGTGCCCATCCTACCGGCATCATGGGTGAGGACCCCCAGGGCGTGCCGTTCAACCTCCTGCCCTTGCTGGGACAGGTCGCCACCGGTGAGCGCGAGAAGCTCCTCGTGTTCGGTGACGGTGAGTTCACCCCCCGCTCCGTCAATTCAACCAACAAGAGCCGTCGATTAACAAGTCGCAGACTACGACTCCCGTGATGGTACCGCCATCCGCGACTACATTCACGTCGTCGATCTCGCCCGCGGCCATCTTGCCGCTCTCAACTTTGTCCGTGAGAAGAAGCCCGGTGTCAAGGCGTGGAACTTGGGCTCGGGCCGCGGCAGCACCGTCTTCGAGATCATCAACGCCTTCAGCAAGGTCGTGGGCCGCGACCTCCCCTACGAGGTCAAGCCTCGCAGGCAGGGCGACGTGCTCGACCTCACCGCGCACCCGTCACTGGCCAACGAGGAGCTCAACTGGAAGACCGAGTTGACCATGGAGAAGGCTTGCGAGGATCTCTGGCGATGGGTCGACAACAACCCTCAGGGCTACCGTCAAGAGCCCCCGCCTGAGCTGCTGGCAGCTGTCAAGACCTCAAAAGCATAAGTGTCCAGAGGAAAATCACTGCTAAATAGCCCATGATAATCAATTGCTTGTCAACAACAAAATGGGTCAATAGCTATGGCTTTGGTATCTATAGAAAGCGGTAGATTGTCTTTAAAATGCAGACCGCCCAAGAGCGAGAGAAAAACGCCCAGTTGTAAATGGTGAAGAAATCGTAGTCCAGTCATCAATAATCCAAAACATCGTTAACCTCATGATACCTACACCTCAGAGTCAGCAACATGGCCTTGCTCATAATCTCCTTTGACCGCGTGCTTCTGCCCATCCATCCTACTCTTTCTGGCTGCCAGTGTGGATGATGTGCTCATTCTCTCCCGCCTCTTCGCCTTCTTTCGTAATTGCACGGCCAACTTAGCGTCCAAACGGGCATCCATCGCTGCCTCCACGGGGTCGAAAACTGGGGAGAGGATGCCTCCAGCTGCAGCGGGCTGAGCCGGTTGCTTTTCAGACTCGGAAACGGTCGAGTAGTCGTCGTCTTCCTCGTGACGCCATTTCAGCGATGGAGGCTGCTTGCGAGGAGCCGAAGCGGGTGGTGCTTGGTGGGACTTGCGAAATGTTGCCCAGGCTGGTGGTGAAGCATCCTCCACTGTGGCGTTGAAAAGCCCAGGCAGGCCATTGCCGTACCCATCTTCGTTAAATAATAAGTGTTCGCCGTCTTGGTGGCGTTTCCTTTGAATCCCGACATGCGGCTCGGCATCGGAGCCATCGGTCGTTGTACTCATGTACACATCATCTGGGGACTGGGGCTGCGTCAATCTAGCCGGTTTGCCCGCCCGTTGAGACAAACATGTGCTTTCTGACTTGTCACTGGCCACTGTGCTGTCGCTCTGCAGACGAACATGAGATCCCGGGGCTTTGTTATTGGCTTTGCGAGGCAGAACGTAGCCAAGATCGAGCGAAGTGTCAGCCGTGTGGCGACTGCGGTTGTTGCTTGATGCCACAGTGCTGGGTGTCCAGGATGAAACTGAATCGTTCCGAGTACCATACGCCTCATAGTTAATCTTGGGCGGTGGCTGCACATGCTCGGAAATGTCACCGAGGGCAGTGGATTTGTTGCGCACCGACGAGCTGCCAGTAGATCGGTTCCGAGGATGCGAAGGAGCATTCGTCGAGCGAGGCAGAGGGTTAGCCCCAGGTGGTTGTGGTAGAGGCTTGTTGTAAGTTCGAGCTCGAGAGCTAGCATCCGTTCCAGACGACGAGGGCCGATTTGGTGCGCCTTGTGGTTTGTCAGTATCGAGTCCTCGTTAGAATTGGACTGAGAACGTACGTGGGCTGGGAAGCACAGGCTCGCGTTCTTGGGAGATGCCCAGGTCAAATGTCTCATCACTGCCGGGCCTGATTGAACGTCTTTCGCTTTTTGAGGAACAGGAGACGCTTCTTCGTCGATGTGAATAAGCCATCTCCTCGTCACTCGAATCTCCATCTATCAATCGCTGACGTGGTTGGGCAGTAGTCACCGTCTGTGTACTCTTCGTACTACGGGACCGGCGGCGGTTGCCTTGTTCTTGCTCCCCGTCGTTGGAAGCTGCGAAATTGGCATCTCTAGGCCGGCTTGGCTTGTTGAGACTGGTCACCAGTCCGAAACTGCTGGTCGGCCGACCATTCAAATTGGCTGACGGAAGCGCCGGGTGCAAGCTGGTAGGCCGCGACTTTGCTTGAGTATGAGAAGCCGTGCCTTGGGGAGCGCTCTGTAGCGACAAGCGCCGCACAGCCTTGACATCCTCTGAGGAATTGTCATGTGTACCGGTAGCTGTGTCCTCCCGATACCGAGCATTTGGTAGTAAGCTGGTCGTGCGAGCCGGGAAAACAGGCCCGCGAAGTCGTTGGTTAGCCACTGCCGAAGGCTGGTCCGCATCCTCGCCCTGCACTTCGCTCGTGAGACTTGCGGGAACGGCATCTGCGGCGTATTTGTTCCCGTGCACGTCGACGGCACTACCGTCCGACTTGTAAGCAAGGGGACCGCCGCCTGTCAGGGCGTAGAAAGCAGCAACAGGAGGGCTGTTGAGATCTACGCCATTGACTCCCATGTTCCTCTCCGCCACATCTTCGCCGTAGTCACGCGCTCCCGTCGCACGAAGACGCGACTTGAAGTCTGAAGGTCTCAGCGCCCCTTGCGCGTCCAATATATCTACATACCCTGACTTGCCACCAGCACTTTGTGCGGAGCCGGACATGATGGATCCGTTTACCGAACCAGGACCCTTGGATGTCACCGGACTCGAAGGCGCGGAGGCTTGAAAATGCGCCGCGATTGGCGGCACGGGTGGGAGTTCGTCGTCGTCATCGTCAGCGCCGCTCACGCCGACAAGGTATGGGGGGCCAGGCCTCGTCTTCTGGACGATGAAGGGCTTGCGCGAGGGTGACCTTGAAATGCCGTTCTTGCCAGCTGATTTCGGTCTTGGCGAGGACGATGGCGCAAATTGCGCTGTAGGTGCCGTGTTGGGTCGTCCCACGCTCTTGGACCGATGTCGAGGTACCGTGGGCGCAGGGGCAGGGGCATCGCGGAAGGGGCCGTGAGAATGTGACGTCGTGGCTCGGGAATGGCCAAGAGAATCGGCAGACGACTGCATCTCGGCGCGTTTGCGCGCAGCGCGTTTCAAGTCGCTGATTGTGTTGGGGCCATTTCCAGCGACAGGCAAGTTGCCTCGAATTGGTGGTAGAGCTCTGGCCGTCGTCTCGTAAGGCTGCGCTCTGAGGTCGTATGAGGAACACAAGCTGGCGGTTTCGCTGGCGGACCGTTTGCCAGTGTTCAAAAAGCTGAAGAACCCCATCGTCTCAGTGCCATGTGGCAATCGGACGTCGCAGGCGCGGATGTCTCAGGCGTGTGAATGCCGAAGGGGCGCTGGCTCTGAGAGGGAGCAAAGCGTGGGGATGCGAGCATGGGCCGGCCACAAGTATGCCCTTCGAAGCCGCAAAAGAACGGGCGAAACAAACGGGCATCGAGTAGTAAAGGATTGCTTCCTCGTGGCGATGGAGGCTGTGGTCGCTATATCTCTCTCTAGAGAAGGGGGGAAAGGAAGGATTTCTGGTGCGTCGAGTAGTTCAGTCGAATCGGTCACGGTGCGCGCGATGTTGGCGGGTGAGGTCGACTGGGGGGGAGGAGAGACAGACAGGGGGCAAAATGAAGGAACGACTGGAGTAAAAGCGATTGATGGCCAGATCAAACTACCTTATGAGTGACTTGGATGAGGGAAAGGCAGCAATTGCTCGCAAACGCGAATTTCCAGCTTGTCCAGTCGGACCCGGGCTTCGGCCATGCGAGGTGCCGGCGCAAACTTGTACACACACTGAATCGTGACGCCGAGAAATTTGGGGTGGAGGGTCGCGCGATGGCTAGCTGCAGATTGGCGTGGCTGCGACTGTTGCGGTGGCGCGGCACTCTGCGAGCTGGTCCAGTCTGGGCTCTTCAACGGGCTGACATGCCGTCTTATTGCTTTTTATCCGCGTTGGTGAAACGCATTTCTGCAATACAGAGTACGTACGTACCTCCGAGACGGAGTCCGGAGGTGAAGATGGGAACATCGTCACCAGCGCACCATGAGCTCGGCAGGTGGTTTCGATATGATCTGTCACAGGCCTGCCAACCGACAGAAGTTGCCCAGTTGCCCAGAAGGTTCATCTTCGCCCGTTGTGTTGTGCATGGACAGGGATCTTTCCCCCTTTTGGCCTTGTGCTGTGCATTCTGGGATTCGTTGACGCTAAATCGGGTACTTTTCCGTATCCGCGCTAATACTTCTTCCAGCCTTCTTTTCGTCTCACCGGGGCAGCTAATAACGTATCAGACGAACTGACAGTTAAGGCTGAGGGAATTCTAAACGTATCGATCTGGTATCGGACAAGTGCATCGTAGAATTTCGGGAGGAGCGGTCAGGGTGGTTTTCGATTTTCTGGTACGTACCTTAGGCTTACCTTACCTACTTAGTACCTTACCTGGAGATTCCAGCTGCACTGGCCCTGTCGATCACCTCTCGATGCGGAGTACCCACCCATCCTAATCTCGGTCCTGTCAAATGAACATGGGCACCATGTCAACAAGTGCCGTTCTTGCGGAACGAGGACACTCAAAAGGCTCAAAGTTGAAGTTGAACTCGAAACTAAGTTATAACTACGTACGTAGTCAACTTCTGATTCCTCTGTTGAACCTGCTTTTGCCAGCCTATACCGTTTGGTGCGGGCAGTAGGTTTTCTTCGCTGTGGTTATGTTCCGGGAATGACGGGCGCTGGATAGATCTGGATAGGGATATTGAAAACAGATTTCTTATCACATGTACTATTACTATCCGTACTCGGAGCACAGCTCCTCATTTGGCTGCCAGGCTGTCGACATGAGCCTTTCCTGCATGATTACGTGCTCAGTGTCGGAAAAAGCAGCAGTGACCCAGGCGGAGCGCAAAGACAAGTCCAATACGTGGTCCATCATTGCAGGGACATACTACAAGGTCTAGGTACCGGTACTACTCACATACGTACGTGCGTAGACTGTAGTCGATGGTATGAAGTGCCGAGAGGTGGGCCAGACCGACAGGGGGGCTCTATTCGAACTTGGTAGAGTATCTATCGACCGTACAGCAAGTACTTGTTTAGTCAAGTGGATGGCAGGTGAGCGCCCTAGGCCCTTGACAAGTCATTTTGGCGTAATATCCGAGCTCCCCAGATCTGGAAACACGCTCATCGATGCTGATCGTCTCATCTCAATTTTGTTCGCTGTCAAAGTCATTGGGCCCATGAGAAGCCGAAAGACTCAAGATTGCCTCCATATGGCAGCGTTGGGGCACGCATCCTTCCTTTTTGGTCCATGAAACCAAGGCTCCCGTAGTGTTTGGTGTTGACAAAGGGTCCTGCTGCGCAGGATCGATCTTTCACTCATGATTTTGAGCTTTCCAGGCAGCGGGAGCCTTTGGTTCGCAGAGGCCCCCGCAAGATCAGTAGACGCTGTACCCTCCATACCACAGATAGCCTCCCGCTACCGCGAGACTGAGTACGGCCCAAGGCAGGTCGAGCTCAATCACAGACCACACCCAGATGCACCCCAATGGCGGTGCTTGCTTCATGACCGCTAGATAACCAAACTCATTGCTGATATGAATCAAGTAGCAGCCGGCCACAACACTCGCTGAAGTGAAAATGGCTTGGCGGAGGTGTTGCTGGTATCTCATGGGCAGCCCAGGCAGCAATCGCTCGTTCGTCTCGTGTGGGTGAAGAACATAAAACAAGAACAAGAACACTACGTGCTCAGCTCCTCAACTATACAATGCGTCATCCACGTATTTGTGCTTACCGATCCACGCTCTGGCTGTCCTCAAACTCACACTGCTCCACTCGACCTCGGTTCCATACTGATGCTGCACCAGCACGTCAAAGGTCAAGTGAAGCAGAGCCAGCGTCAAGGTCCACAGCAAAGTTTCCAACACCCTCTCTGCTTGCGGGCTCAGCGTCTGGCCGTCGATCTCGTCGCCGCTTGCCTGCTTCTCCGCTTTGAGCGCGCGTTCACGAGCCGTGGCTTGAGCAAAGAGATTCTTCTCCTGGGCAATATCGAGCAGGGTTGGCCCCTTGGGGCCGGAACGGTCCGGGTGAGAAAGAGGAACGTCTTTCGCCTTGGGTTCTTTCCTTTGACGAGCCATTTTTTTGTCTTGAATGACGCTCCTTTGGAAGACCGGAAGAGTGCGTGAAAATAGGAAGTTGTCGCGCGTCTACGCGTCCAAAGGGAGGTTTTCGGCATGACGTCTCACGTGCCCCACATGCTGGACCCCTGAATTCCGACCAAGCTCCCCCTCTCAACTTGCAGCTTCGACTTCGAACTGCGTACTGCCACAGCTTCACTGGCCTCGGATCCGAGATTCCGCAGATACATGGCGCCAATCGACTTGGAATTGATGCGCCACCACTAATCTCATAGATTCAATTGATCTGACGACTATCCTGCCTGCCGACGGGCACGATGAATACGCTCTACCTGGCCGCGCTGGCCCTTGTCCTCATACCGACTTTATACATGTACACTGCAAACACCATTCGATCTAGCTTTCCCACCATCCGTGGCAAGCGCATCTGCTTGCTTATTGCGCATCCCGACGATGAGGCCATGTTCTTTGCGCCCACGGTGCTAGCGCTTACCAGACCGGAGCTTGGGAACCACTTTAGGATACTTTGTCTGAGCACAGGTGAGAGCGACCAGAAAGTGTCGCTGCGTATTCGCACTGACAGATCAGGCGATGCGGATGGACTAGGCGAAACGCGCAAGAGGGAGCTCGTCAAGAGTGGTCTGCTCCTGGGCCTTAAGGGCGAAGACGATGTCTATGTGGTGGATAACATGTACGCGCCCGCATCCTCCCCAGTCAACATCTTTGCTAAGTGATATAGGACTGACTTTCCCGATTCGATGACGACGACCTGGGACGAAGAAAAGATTGTCGAGCTTCTCAACACAGCCCTCGCACCCAAAGCCAACGATCGCAATGTCGACAAACCGCCCCAGACAAACGTCGATGTACTCTTGACTTTTGACGGCCAAGGTGTCTCGTCACACCCAAACCACATATCTCTATACCATGGCGCCCGCGCCTTTGTCGCAGCTCTCGTCAAAGGCCGACCTGGGTGGAAAAGCCCTGTCGATCTATACACTCTCACATCCGTCAACATGGTACGAAAGTACAGTTCTATTCTAGACGTGCTCGCCACTATGTCGAAGCAGGCATTTCGGGGGATACGTGGCGGCAAGGAAAGGCCGGCCAGCCTAGTCTTCGCGAGCCAACTGTTCGGCAGCAAGGGTGCATGCTATGCTACAGGACGCAAAGCTATGACAGAAGCGCACGTCAGCCAAATGCGTTGGTTCCGGCACGGGTGGATCATTCTCAGTCGATATATGGTTGTGAATGACCTGCGCCTCGACAACGACAAAGGAAGGTGAGATAGGCTCACAAACGAAAGGGCAGCTGCAAATGGGCAGTCTGGAAACTCAATAGATTGTGGCACGCATCAACTGCCACCTAGGTACGTGATCAAGACCAAAGCAAGCCGATGAGTGTCGCTGATACCCAGCTCAATAGAGACACAGGAATCCGCGCCAAGATCTCGATAAGCAGCGGCTACCTTCGGGGGTCGTCGACTTGCAGGCAAGAGGGACCCAAAAGAAAGTTTTTCTTTTTATATTACTCTCGAGGGCTCATGCAAACGGCGTTTTATTTGAGAAATGGGTGCACGGGCATGAGGGTGGCAATGGCGTTTGCTGGCTGGCTGGTCAAGGGGTTCGTTCTGTCCACCGCTCAACCGCTTTTGGGTATCAATAAAGCCGGCGTCCCTGACAAACAACAGCTCGTCCAGACATCCTCCACACTGATTGCCTTCGACTTTAGTTTTGCCCTTCCGCAGGCTATCTTGAGATTCCTGTCTTACATTGTTGCGCTGACAATGTTTGCTGGTGAAATTACTTTCATCAGGCCTCGCGCCGTCAAGAGCAAAAAACTCCGAAGCACCACCGCCATAGAGCTTCAGCCCTGGCGTGAAGTCGAGCGGACATCACAGCACAAGGTTCTATCGAAAGGCGACAGGTTTCATTCTGGTGTGAAGAGGGATGCAGTGTCAGTGTCGAACACGTAACTACAATAGCCATGGCTTCCTTGGACAATTCTCAAAGACGAACGGTCAGGGGCATCAAGGGCTCATGTCTTCTATCCTCTGAGCTTCATCCGACTTGGCCACGCCTCATCAGATGCCTGAAAGAACGATGGATACCACTTTTCCAGTTCCTTGGCCCCGGCCCATGCACAATGAGATATAGGGCAGGAGCCTCCCGCTCAAGGTTCAACCTTCATAACGACAATATATCTGCCTACCTTACCTATTCTTGTAACCCAATGGACTGCCGGCACACCAAAATAAATTCTCATCGTTCACACAAACCCAAAGCGACGCCAGGAACTAGCCTCACGCCAAAATCTAACGAAAACAATAGGGTGTTTCCCAGAACTGGCCCCACGAGAAGATCTCCGTGGCCATCCCACACAGGCCTCTCTCACGGGCAGACCGACAACAACATATTTCCCCAGGGTCTTGCAATGGACATATTCCGGGGGTCACACTTGGGCGACCCCATTGTTATCGATGATGAGGAGCGCTCCCCTGTTCCAATACGCACCACTTCGTTCATAAACGGCATAGGCCCGCTGCCGCCGTTTCCAGTCCGCCCACGGGACCTCGACTTGCGCCTAGAGCGCTTTGTGCCTCTATTTCGGATACCAGAACTGGGAGACACAAGGCCCGACGGGTCACTAGCCGGACTTCAGGTTCCGACATGTACTACCATTCATGCCAGTCATGGTCCCATTTACGCTGCTGAATACTATGAACGCCAGTACACAAGGTCTGCACCCGTCATATTCTCTCTAAGGCAGTCTGGGCACTACTCAAGGAACGTGAACATCCCTGAGCAGGCTTCTACGCGTGTCTCGAATTCAAACGCCACCCCTGGTGGCTTTCCTCATGGTAGCCCTGCTGCAAAGGGCGGCCATGTAGGCAACATTGAGAGGCATCCGCACAGCGTCGCGTCGCCCATGCCTCAGGACATGTCAAAAGCACCCGAGATCTCTCCAGACGTCCCAGCTTCAGCATCCGACTCTCAAGCCGAGAAGAAGGAAGACGACTGCGAAGAGTGTGCAGGCACAAGCGAGCTCCCGCCGCAAGCAAAGAGACGAGATAGCACATTGTCCACCGCTACAATCGACCTGGGACTCTTTGATGGGGCTCAGGCTACTCCTACCGATAGAGACTCGACTAAAGCACCGGAGCCCGGTCAAGGAGAGTGGGTCCAGAAGTATGAGGTCGACATGGACGCGCTCAAGGCGCACGACAAGGCGATTGCGATGAATCCACGGAACAAGTGCATCTGTTCGAGATGTGTACCCGAAGGCACGTGTTTCCGTGTCATTCTGCGCCATCAGCGGGTGTGTCGGCCGTGCTTGTTTGCATGTTACGGAGGCGACATGAGTATTAATACGAACCCAGGGGGTAAAGTAAGGACAATGACAGATAGTTGTGAATGAACAGATCAGCGTACGGTCAAGCGACAAGCGACACCACATGGGCGGATATTAATACAACGATTTCATCTTATACATGCCCAGAGAAGCTACATTCGCAGGGTGTTCTCGTGATGGTCATAAGTTTACGCTCGTTATGTATGTACGTGTATCTGGTATCATCAAGGTTCAAACCCCCAACGCCAAGTAATTTGCTGCCTAATGCATGTTCTTCCTCCTCAAAAGTGCGTGCTCCTCTTCTTCTTGACCTTGTTCCTCTTGTCTTCCTCACTTGGCTTTCCAAAAAATGTGCTCATGCTCGCAGCCCCAGGACCAGAGTAGGGCGACGAAGTAGACAAGAAATTGTTAAACTTCTTCTTCGCAGCCGAGCTGACACCGCCACCGCCACCGCCGTGAGCAGGCCCTCCGCTATATTGCGGCTGCTGTGTGGGTGAAGTTTCCTGCTGTGCAAAGTGAACATTCGCCCTGGGCGGATCCACGCTCCTCGGCCGTCGCGGAGGCTGCGCCGGCGCTGCTGGGCCCTGGTTTGAGGTGTGCCAACCTGCCGCGCCGCCACTCATCTGCGCGGGTCCGCCCGGACGAGGTGGAAGCGCTGGCTGGGGCCCGTACTGCTTCAGCAGCTTCTCCGTCTCCTTGGCGACCTTGCGCTCCCGCTCCTCGTTTGCGTGCCTCCTACGGTCTGCCTCTTCGCGTTCCTCGCGCTCGAGCATGCGTTTGATTTCTTCCTGCTCCTGCTGAACCCGCCTCTCTCGGGCATTCTGCTCCTCAATCATGGCTTGCCGACGACGTTTCTCTGCGTCGATCTCGGAGCGTGCCACGGCGTCTGGGTCTTTCTCCGTGGATTGGTTCGCGGGGCGCGGCGGCTGCGGTGCGGGCTGCATGTTCCCAATGGCACCAGCCATGGCCGCCCCTGAACCTGTAGCTACGGGCGTGGCCGTGTCCTTTGTCGTCGTTGGCGGCGGCGGTATGCCTGCAGTATTGAACAAGTCCGGCTTCGGTGACAGATATAGCGCCCGGATCACCTCAGCACTCAGTAGGAGGGTGACTTCCAGCCCCTTTCGATCCTCCACATCCACGCGTGCCATGTTCGGCTCGTATATCGAAACCGAGCCGCCAGGTTTTCCTGCCTTGAACAAGGCAATGGTGATGTCCGGCTCTTTGCTCTTCTGACCCCCGACCGTCTTGCCTGACATGTAGCACGTCATGTCTCGGCTCATCCTACTGTCTCGCTTCCACCGAAAGTTCACTTTGGGTATCAAGTCGGAGATGGTCGTCTCCGGTCCATCCTGGTCGATCTGGCTCCCGGTCGGCTGCTTGAAGCTACGTTGCGGCACCTCAAACTCCCACACATCCTTGCTCCAGCTGCCAGACTGGTATTTGATTTGGACGCTCTGGTCGGGGTTGTAGAGGTCGATGGTGAACGAGTTGGGTATAAGCGGCGTGGCCACAGGGTTTCCTCCGTTGGCGCGGACTTCGGCGGCAGAGAGCGTGGGCTGCTGCCACTCTGGCTTGACGAGGACTTCGGCGTAAAGAACAGAGGCGTATTTCAGGTCAAAGAGGCCCAGCGCATATTGGTTCGGCGAAGTGGATGGCGGCGGACGCTTCATCAGGAAGTCTGCCGAGGGCTCAGAGCCATTGTGTGTGAAGTAGAGGAGGCTGTTGAGCTGATTGTCAGAGGACTGCCGGAAGCGGTAGGTTGGGAGGTTCTCGTCGAGCATTGCGGCTACGATGCTTCGTCCCTCGGGGCTCTCTGTCAGATTCTAGCAAGCGACAATCTTCTTAAACCGGGCGGAGGAGAGACCCAGAGTCCAGGCAGGACCCAGGAGGGGTCGGCAGATGATGTAGTTAGTAGTGAGTGAGCAAGGCAGCAAGCAGGATGGCAATTATCCGATATACGTCACATGCGCACAGTCGCAGAGGCCAGGCGGCTGGGAGAGACACAGGTTTATAATCGCAGAGAATATTGGACCGGACGTGGCAGCGAAAGAGAGGGTGTGTTACATGTAAAAGTACTCTGCGGAATCGTACCTTTGGTATCTGATCAACGTCTTGGAAGTCAGCAGGGCCGCCTTGGCTTCTGTGGCTGACGGTGCGCCTGTTCCCGCACCATGACGCGTTGCCGCTGTCTGCGCCACAGCCGCCTGACAGAAATAGAACTGACAGCAGACGCGTTGATTGGCTTTGACACACCATCATCCCCAGACTGTCAGTGTCAGCGGATGGGAAACGTCCGACGCAAGTGAGAAGCAGAGCTGTAGGTAGGAATTCCTGAAGGGGCTAGAGCGCCATCCTTGGAGAAAAACCCCGGAGAGTTGGACAGTGCTCCCACAGCGCTGTGTTATATAGGGTTGGCGATACGCACAAATGACACGCAAACCCTCCATTGGAGGCTGCTTCGTACATCGATTCAAAGTCGAAATCTAACGCAAGCCAAGATAAAGCGTGATCCCTGCCCAAGAAAGATAAAATGCGTACATGAAGAATGAAACGCCAGTTCTCCATGTCTGCTCTCATAGATGCTACCATCAGTAAGTGTCCCAACAAGATCTGACAATCACATGCCATAACGCTAAGGTATCCAAGATATACCGTATGCCTAAACGCCTCTCGTGCGTGGCATTGGAGTCCCGGCCACGAAACGCTGGGCTCAGCTGGACACGCTGCCAGGTTTCGGGACACGGAAGATCGGAAGGGCGACGCCGGCGCGGATTGTTCTGCTCTGTCCTTGTCTCCTTTCCAGTGTGCGTGGATGCTTCAAATAATGCCACCTGGCGGATCGTAGCCCATAGCCCTGCTCCCGCTCCCTTCGCCCTCCCCGGCCGCGGCCTGGTTCGTTTTGCGCAGCATAAACATGGGTTTCTTGCCTTCCTTGTCCAACTGTTTGAACAAGATCAGGGGCTTTTCATCCATACCCAAACATCGCTCCTGGTCTCCGTACACAATATACAGAGCATACTGGTCCCAAGGTGCGTTGATCTGATACTTCTTCAAAGCGGCTGGCAGGACTTTGTGACATGGATCATCCATGCTCACGCGGAACGAGCGGAAGATTTCGACGGAATTGTCCCGTGCGCTGCTGCTGTTGCTACCACCGGGTGTGTCGGGCACGGTGGGCGTCTCGCGGCGTTGAGGCGGTACACGCACGGACCCGGGCCCCCGGGGGAAGCCCCCATGGTCGGCATCGCTTCGTGCCGTCAACGGCGGCGCTTCACCTCGATATGATCTTGAACCAAGAGTGTTCATGTGTGTTTGAGGTGACGTGGGTGATGGCATGTTTGGTGACGGGTAAGCTGGCGAGGAGGCGGTTTGTCCAGAGCCATTCATGGTGTGTAAATGGGACGATGAGAGAACGGCGCGTTCGGCTGCGCCTGTCGGGTCGAGGGTCTGCTCGGCGATTGTTCGTTCGTGGGTTGCCTGCGTAGGTGAGGCATTCTTCGGCATCGCGCCGATCAGGATCTTGCGCTGCGAGTACTGGCGCTTCACGCCGCTGCCGCCCGGTGGTGGTGTCGGTACAGGCGGCGACAACGTCGAGCCGTCGTAGCTGTACGATGTGCTCGGGGTGCTTCCGCTCAGGTTGGGCAAAGGTGTCTGGGCGTCTTTAACGAGGCGCAGCGCTGGGAGCATGTCTTCCCGCAGCCGTCTGCAGTCTTCGGACATGCGTCGAAGGTCTTGCTCAAGGAGGTTCATGCGCTCGTCTCGCAACCTGAGCTGTTCCACTAGCTGCCTGATATCCTTGAGGGTGGCCGTGGCATATTGTGCTTCGGCATCAGCGGCTAGAAGGTCAGCCAAGTCCGAAGACGACATGCGCTGCTGCACGTATGGGAGACTTACACAACGGCATATAATGATCGCTCTCGCAGGGTATATCCTGCGCCTTCTTCACATCGTACACGCTCTTCAGGATCGTAAGTCGGTGACCGACACTGGCGATGCCCATGCTCTTCAAGTCATCGTGATGGAGTGCCACCAAGGCCTCGCCCACAATGTCGTTCTCCAGAAAGCGATCCGCATACTGCTGCAGGCCTATGCTGGAGATGAAGTCGGCGCACTCGTCCGCCGTCCACTCAGTGATGATCGTCTCGGGTAACCGGTCGGCACTGCTGCGCCCACCGTGGCCGTACGTCGTGGGCGTATGTTCAGCCGAGGTGGTGTGGGCTGACGAGAGCTCCGAGTCGATGGGCGAAGCCTCAGAGTCGCCGACGGGGGAGTGATCGCCGTGGTGACTGCGCTCGTACTCGTCGTCGGCATCCGACTCGGGGTAGGCGCCGTCAAAATTCATGTCCTCAGCGGCGTCTTCGATCGACTAGGGACAAAGTCGGGCTTTGGCGTGGGTTGTGGGCTCGATGCGAGAAGGGGCTGCCCCCGTTGAACGAGAAGAGTCGGCGACAGGTCGTCCCCAGAGCGAGGCCAGCTAAGGGCAGGCTGGGGGCAGGTCTAGGAGAAGGGCGGGAAGCGCACGGTAGGACCCTTACACGGTAAGTATCTCGTAGCTGGTGGCACGGGGGTTGAGAGTTGGATGCTGATCAAACCTTGCGACTGATGGGTTGCCCAGGCCAGCCTGATGAAGTGACAGAAGGAAGCCCTTCCAAGTTCCAACCAACCAACGGGCCTATTCCCCACCTGCATCCATCCGACCAACTTGGCGCGACCAGGCACCACTAGCTGCTCCCGTCGTCCCTGACTCCACCGCCGGTGAGCTCTGGACCTTGACTGTGGCTGAGCGACCTGTGCCGCTGTGCGGACCATCCTTCATGTCCGTCCACCTGCAGGCTGCGGAGCGAACCACAAAACTGACCTCGATGTCACAAACAGCAATAAACAGCATGTCCGAGCGCCCGTGTTAGCAAACGACCTCCTGTTCGTATGCGAACCAGACCGCGGTACCTGCATGAACAGTGAAGACCATCACCGCACCGCAGCGTCCAGTCTTGAGCCTCCCCCCCAAAACAGCCCCTCACCAGGTTTCAGGTTCCTACCCTCGACTCACTCACAGTGTCCTCGACCTCCAACTGCTGTTGCCTTTAGGAATGTATTACTACTATACCACCAAAGCCCCTCCCTAGCTGAGATGCTAGCGCCGGTAGCGTAGTATCGCACGCATCAGACGTCCTGATAGAGAGTGGACGTGGGCTGGAGACGCCGCATGCTACCCTGCACGCTGCTCTTCCTACCTCAGGTACGCCGATGGTGTCAAACGTCGACCGGAATCTGAGAAGCTTCTAATGATAGTTATTACTATTTTCGAGACTCGATGATGCTCTAATTACCTCCTGCTCAGCAATTCAAGCCCAAGTCATCGCGCTATCCACGCACTACTAAACTTCCCGACAGTATGTCTTACTGCTACGTACATTGTACTGCCTTGATTTCCGCCGGTTTTGCCTTGGTTGTGCCGAAGAAATCAATACTGTATCGAACAGAAGAAGTTCACGACTTTGTGGAGGGCTCTGCATCCCGAGCTGATCCATCAAATTGACCTCATAGATAGGAGCGCGCGGGGGGGGGACAAAATTATGCCGGTCCCAGCCAGGACGCCGCTAATTGGATTTCACGTTGAATCTATGTTCGAGAAGTGAGTGGCCATATTCCGCGTTTCTAGCTATGATTCAGGCCAAAAGTTGAAGCCGCATCGGGTCGCTCGGAAGTAGTCGGAGCAGAAGGATTCGTGCTGAACGTCGTGAACGTGGAATTCCGGTTCGAACGCTTCGCATGACAGTCTGTGTGGCTAGATTTACTTAGCGTACAGAGGCCGACGGGTGCTTCAGTGCCGTGGCCAGGTTTTGAGAATCCCAATGTGTCACGAGTGAACTTGCCTGTGCAATCTGTTCGACGACTTCGCCCTCATTAGTCTATCTGTCCAGTATGGACTGAATACTCCGCCAGAGCTGCTATGTACATACATCCTGAGTTCCAAGAACACCCACACTGCTCGAAACCTGCCCTAAGTACAATGTATGGCGATTCTGGGGCGAACCAGTCGTCAAGCGATGGTGAAGAAGTATGAAAAGCGTAAAGGCCGGCCATGGCTAGCCAATGGTGTGGTGTAAAACGTAAAGGTAAGTCAAAACGATGGGGCCGTAAAGTTCAGAGAAAACACCACCAGCGTCCTTTACAGATTCTCGGGTCTCGTAAGCAATTGTGCAGGTCCCAACGCCAGTCGTGTGTTCGGCTTGTAGAAGCAGTAAACCAAAAATTGCGGACATTATTTCCACACTCCGACCATATGTCACACCCTGTATGCAAACTCCATAACAATGCTCTATCATCCGTACAAGAGCGCACCACTTATCGAAGGGGAAGCTTGGCGTCCCGGGCACCCCTCTCGATGACATCCTCCACAGACCATCGGGGAGGATATATCAACTTCTTCGACCGGCGGAAAGCCAGTTCATCCTCGATAGCGCAGTCGTACTTGGGTTCGAGATCATCCAGTCCGCCGGCGATACCTGAAGAGTACTTGATATTCATCTCATCGGCGACCTCATCGCAAGCTCGCAACAGTCTGTCAAGATCCTCCTTGTTGTGAGCGGAAGAAACGCAGAAGCGAGCGCGAGAGGTGATCAGCGGAGTGGCAGGATAGCCGACGACGACGACGGAGATTTGACGGTTGAGCATGTGGTGGGAGAAGGCCGGGATCTTGGCAGGGTGATAGAGCATGACAGGAATGATAGGAGAATCATCATGGCCATAAACAATGTATCCGAGACGCTTGAGACCAAGACGGAGGTATCGAGAATTGAAGGCGATGCGCTGCAAGCGCTCCTCACCCTGACCGGGGCAGAGCTCGCCGGTGATCATCTTCAATGAAGCCAGGATCTGCATGAGGACGCATGGTGAGGGTGTTTCACCAAGCTGCGTCGCGGAATTGGTGGCACGCAGCTTATCGACAATGTGCTTCTCCGCCGCGATGTAGCCTCCATTGGCACCGAAGGATTTGGTGAGGGTACCCATGAGGATGTCGACCTCGGCAGGGTCGACGCCAAAGTAGTCGCATACACCACGACCCCGGGGTCCAAGTGCACCAATGGAGTGCGCCTCATCAACAAAGAGGGCGAACTTGTACTTGCGCTTGAGAGCCAAGACACCGGGCAGATCGCACATGGTTCCCTCCATCGAATAGAGACCTTCGATAACGACCAGGATCTTCTTCCAAGGACGATGTGTGCGGGGCTGACCCTGAGAGATGGCCTCACGAAGGACCTTCTCCAACGATCGAACATCGTTGTGGGCGAAGGATCTGATCATGGCACCAGACATACGAGCACCGACGCGAATCGAGGCGTGGTTGAGCTCATCCGAGATGATCAAGCAACCTTTGGAGACAAGGGCAGGGAACGAGCTAGCGTTGGTCACGTATCCCATGGAGAAGATCATGGCGGACGGCTTGCCGACAAAGCTGGCCACCTCCCGCTCCACCTCGAGAGCAAGGTCAGTCGTTCCAGCATCTCCTCGAGGACTGCAGGTGGTGATGCCATAGCGACGCACACACTCTTCCACAGCATCCGCACAAGGACCTTCTGACTGGGCAAAACCAAGGTAGTTGTAGGAGCTCATGTTGAGCGTCTCCGTAGTGGTGCCAGTATAGCGATAGCTGTGGTTGAAATCGTCGGACTCGCGGTCCAGCAGCGTGATGTAACGTCCAGGGACGCCTGTGGCAACGCGAGCGAAGCAGTCATTCAGACGGACCTTGAGCCGCCTGGTGTAGAAGTTGTCGAAATCATCGTTGAGGGGGGCGTAGCCATTTTGGGCCTTCAATGAGTTGTAGCGTTTCTTATCGCCAAAGCGCTTGCCGAAGAAGTCACGGATGTGTCCGATCAGGATGAGGATAAGGTAGCTGATGTAGGTAGTGTACAGAGCACTCTGAGGCGGATCATCCTCAACGGGGGCTGCCAGCGGACGGCCATGAGACTTGCTAGTCCAAAGGTGGCTTGGATGGTTCAGGGGTCCGAATTGAGCATCTGCTCGCTTTTGGCGTTCAGCTTCTTCGGCAGTTCTTGGCTCGAACAGGGTCTTCGTCGCGGGGAGGTCAATCGTGTTGTTCTCTGCAATGGCGGTAGACAGGGAAATTGTAGGCAGGGATACTGTCGAGCTCGAGATACCTGAGGCAGGCGCGGATGAATGCTGCTGCTGGAGGTGGTGCTGTTGCATAGCCAACAGGGCTTGTTGCGTGTTGTCGGTAGATTTCGGGCTCGAGGAGAAGAATTGAGTAAGGCGGTTGCCTTTGGAGCTGGATGGGCGACGCTCGCGCAGCTTCTCGGAGCCAGGCATGGCGGCGTGGGAGTTCGAGAATGGGTTCGCCAGTCGACGTGGCATCTCTCCTGTTCTAATAAAAACAACCGGGTGGCTTGTTCGTCGATTCGGTCCAAAGATGAGTCTCTATTAGGGCTATTTTCGGGATGATTAGCGATGCATACTTAGGAGACGAAATGCAGTTCGGAAAGAAAGGTAGGTGGCTGCAGCAAGCTCGAAGCACTGTTCTGTTCAAGGGTGAAAGTGAGAGGTTGAGTCAAGACAAGCCGGCCAAGCATGTGTGCGAGTTGGCCAAGAGCGCGCTTGCCGTGGAACGATGGGCTGTCATGTGGTAGCACTGCCTTCCCCACGAGAGGCTGTACCCCAAAATGGGAGTGCAGCGAATCCGATTCCCAAGGCGGATGGCAATTAGCATTGCAGGCAAGCGTCTTGCCAGAAACCCAGCATAACACCGCACGCACAGCCTTAGTTGGAAGGCGTCATAGAGCTCCCAATCGCACATTGTCCCGGCTATACTCTCGCCAGTGACTGCGTAGTCCCGTCATCATGACGGCAGGTCACGATCACGGTGCCCTAGCAGTGGACCAAGGCAAAGGGGAAAAAGGGGTCGCGCGTGGGATGCAGAGGTACCTACCAAAAGATGTTTGCTCGTGCCAGACTCGGGAGGTCGCTGGATATATCGACGACGCTGCGATTGTAATACCCTCGCGCTCAAGTATTAAAGTGGCGGGCAAGTCACGCAAAGGTGAGCTCAGTCGTCCTGTCGCTGTGCCGCGTGGGAAGTCTCGGATGAGTGGTTGGTGAAGCCGCAGGAGCCGCTGAAATTGCATAAACGTCGGTGCCAAGCAGGTTACAAATCAGTTGTGCAGAGTCAACAACCAGCCGCCACTGAGGAAGTAACAGCAGCCAGAAGAACCAGAAGGTGAAGCAGACCTTTGCAAAGTTTCTCTGGATGACGAAAACTTGGGGTCGCAAAGACGAAGGGAAAGGAGAGGTGGCAGAGGCTTCAGTCGGAACGATGATAGAGACGACACGCGAAACTCCACTGGAGTCGGGGGAACTGACGGCTGCAGCCAGAGCCCAGAGGCAAATTGCCTTGGGACTTGGGAGGAAAAGCAAAGCTGACGAACTGGAGGACTGGACCCAGCCCGACGATACGACACGATGATTGGCCGCAAGGAGGTTCGCTTTCAGGTACCCGAGGTGTCAGAGCAAGACTGGACTCTGTCCACTGCGTCAGCGTTTTCTGGCCCGCTGAATCCCACTTGGGCGTACATCGCGATGTCCATTGCAGCATTGCCCGATGTCGATTTCGATTATGAGTGGCTGGGTTTCAGAATTTCTAATTTGAAGCCCCGCTTTCCCTTGGCAGTCAATGGATAGGCTCCCGGTCTGTCAGACGCGTGCCCCTGTGCAATTTGCTGCAGGCTGATGTGCTCGCGTTGCTCGCTTTTGGGGTCGTATTGTGCGTACTACGGATACACTCGCTCATCAACGGATGACCGGCGTCTTCATATCTTGCCTACACAACTGAACGGCGATGGTGAATCCCGAGATGCCTGTTCGCGCTGCCGG